GATTAAATAGTGGTTTCAATAAAAGTTGAAAACTATTACATTGTATTTTTCGAAGCAGGACCTAAAAGGTTGCAGGAAGTCTGAAACAACTCAAACGTAATTGCAGGAGTGCTGAAAAGAGATGGAGGAAATCTAAATTAACAGTCCATCTCGAAATTTTTGACAGTACCTCATGCTGTGGCTGTGTCCCATTTCAGAGACCGCACCGTCAAACGGCGCCAGAGCAGTGGATTTAACATTGTTTAATCCACTGCTCTGCTTTGATGTTGACTAAAACCACAGGAAATTACACAATTTTAACCCGGAAACGCCACAAAATCTCAAATTTTTACCTGATTAATGCATTCAAGGTTATTTTTAACATTTTTTTTTTTACCTACCTTGAGGTATATTTGAGATTAATGTTTGACAGAAATGTAGAGTTCTTCAACACAGAGGCGTACTACATTTATTTGAGGAAAAAACTGCTCTTGTTTCCTGAATTAACAAGAATTATATCTCAGAATTAACTAAAACATTTCCGGGGGAAAAAAAGTTCTTTTTTTATATAGTTAACAAAAAAAATCATGTGAGAATTAAAAGATTAACTTCAATTTGTACAAGAAAACATTCTTCCCAGTTTTTCTGTGTTCAAAGATTGGTGTCTTAGCTTTAAAGGATTATTCAGAATAAAAATAATATCCCTTTCTCTCTAAAACAATGACATAAAGCAGCCTTATTTGTTTTTATGATCTGGATATAGCACACACTATGTAAAATTTTAGCACACGGGTGTCTAAATTCAGGTGAAAACTGCAAACATAGCTAGGGACAAAATAAAATGTCAAATAAAATCTTCAAAGAAACAAGCAATATTTAGGATTGATACCACTGAAACACAGAGGAAAACCAAATGATCATAAAGATTTATTTTGAGTTCTTTAAAAAAAAATATCAAACAATTCATTTCCAATTCACTGTAGTGTGTGATCAGCACAGCTGATTTGTTACACTAGATAAAACTATTTTACGACTGTGTACATTATTTTTTTACTAAGCTACAATATTTCAGCACACCTTTTCAATAGCATCTTATTCGTGGTCCAGGTGATACATCCGTCCGTACAGACAGGGGGTCACCAGTCCAGCAGTCATGTCTGAGTGTTTTAAAGTCACTCTTCCATCTGCAGATTTGTCAAAATGCTTTACTTCCTCTAAAACCATTTGACTCGCCAAAACTGACGGGTACACATATCTGGTTCCAAACTTCCCCTCCATCACGAAGTCCATTTTGGTCTCAGCTTCTTCTACCCCCTGTCCACAGGAGCTTGGGTCCGACCCTGCACAACGGATGAGTGCACACACCTGCAGAAGGAAGGATACAGGTGAGACATGTTGTAAAGGACAGTGTCTATATCCATAAACCCTTTAGTTCATACCTGCAGGGATAGGTCTCCATCCAAAGTGTGCAGCCCAGCAAACGCACCAAATGCATACAGCTCCTCACTGTCACCCTGTGAAATTCGCTTGTACTGCAGGTGACAGCAAAAGGAGCCATTGCACACCTTCACCCTACCCTCTTTTTCATTTAGGAGGACAGATGTGAAAGGGTCACCAATCGTGAATGATGTGAATGTGGCTGATGATGAAGGGATTGAAGATGCATCAGAGCAGCTCTCACTGTGACAGAATCCAGAGTCTGTAACAGGGGATGAAGTGGACTCAGACTCCAATTTCTCCTCCTCTGTGGCCACCCTCTGCCCCGACCACTCTGGGTCTAAGACCGGCACCCTGGCCACCAGCAGCTTGCCCTCCTCTGGGTCTCCCCTCTTTGAGTGATGGTAGATAAATGAAAAAGGTGTGTAGATAACACTCCCAGCCATGTTCTTATTATCATGGCGGAGGTTGGCTGCTAGCAGTGTGACATTGGTGCTTCGGCTTAATGATCGAAGGTACTGGACAGAGTCAAGCAGGGGGAGGGTGTTAAACCAAACCGTAGGGAAGATCAGCTGACGAACACCCTAAAAGGAGCAGGAAGAGAGTCTGCTTTTAAAAAAGAAATCCGACACAGGGACATAGAGCTAAATACACAACTGTGAGTGGTTTTACCTTTTCCACCAGTGCTATAGTGGGCTTGTAAAATAGGATGTCAAAGCATATCAGCAGGCCAAATTTTCCAGCAAAAGGAGTATCAAATGTGATGATCTCAGGCTGTGGTGGAGTGTCAAAGGACTCCTCAGGGAAAAGGTTGTATTTATGGTAGCGTGCCACCAGCAGGCCATCAGACCCAGAAGATAATGAAATTAAGAATTCATGTGTTGATGCATTTGCTGGAGTTTAGCCAGATGTCTCTATTTTAAGATCTCAACTTCACCTACAGGCAATATTGGTGTTGAACTGCCAGCGTCCATCAGATGGACAGGAGGAGGTGGGATCTGTAGACAGGGGGCAGGGCTGCCGGTCAGGCATATTAGCTACAATGTAGATGTTATTCCGACGAGCCGTACAGCTCAACCGCTGGAGAACCTGTCAAACAACCGTTCTGAAATGTAATTCATAATAACAGACCAGTGTTGGCTGCTCGTGGGTATCTTTAAATCAAGATAGACATCAAACATGAGTGTATATCTGTGCACCTCAGTGTTGTCGTGTTTTCTGGCTCTGTGCAGGGGTTCCAGCTCTCCTGCTGGGGGTCAGGAATTGTTTCAAGATAACCTACGATGGATGTGCGGGTGAAGTTAAACCCATGTAGACCATCTTCTGGAAACACCAGGATCTGGGCACCCTGATAAAGACCAGAGAAGACACGACTGAAAAAACATGCCAGGATTCTGAATGCACAGTCATTTGCTGTCATATAAGGTATGACCCTTTTATTGAATAATACACTTACTGGTTACGCAATAGAAAAAACCTGGCACATGGTGGCTCATTGATTTTTAGTAGAGCAATAAGTAACCCTTTTTATGAGTCGCTACTAAGCATTTATAACTTTCCAATAAATCATACCTGCTGAGCGGCTCGTGCAGTCTGCACTTCGTAGATATCCAAGTTTTTCTGCATTTATGGAAGGGCAGCCTGCCGCGACACCGGGACACGAGGGTCTGGGTTGGTGATTAAATAGTGCTCATACACAGCAGCGATGTATGAGGACTCCATTGCTGGCTGTGTTTGACCAGCAGCCACTGTGAAATAGATACTGACTATGACACTGAATAGTTTCATGGCATCACTTGAAAGAGACAGAAATTAAGTCAATAAGATCAACTCGGTCTATTATAGCTCTTGAGGGGTCAGGAGTCCAACTCGAGTCTACAGTAATGAGGGGTGAGTCAGCTATTTTTTTTTCCTTTTGTTTGTTTATTTTAAAATTTTTTGGATTGTTTGTAGAGTTACTTGGGAAACCCATTTTGCGAAATGTTGACTGAACAAATATACGGACAATTATAGTTGTAACTTCTACATACACCATGCACATGGAGAAAAAAGGTTGTAGTTCTAACAACCTCAGCAGCTTACCAGGCCAATTTCAGATTACCTTAAAGCACCTGTGTTCAAGATAACTCTCTGGTAGACCCAGGGATGCTGAGGAGCTCTGAACCATTTCTCCTTTTTTTGTCTCTATCTTATGGCTTTTTCGCAGGGGTCTGGGTCTGCTCCAGGTTTTCTGCCGAGAAGGTTTCTTCTGTGCCACTCTAACTTTCTAAATGCTGAAAGGTGCTCTGCTTATGGTACATTAAGATAAGACTGAGACTTATGATATAAGATGAGGATGAATCTTATCCTACAGTGATGTTAGCATGACATAGAACTGATTTATAACTCCACTTGCATACAGATATGTGAATAAGGATGTCAGCTGCATAAAAATAACATTTAATTCAGTGAAGTAATATGAAGATTTTACATAAATTTCCCACTTTACTCTTATTTTTCTAAATTATAATTGTGCAGTTACTTAGAAAGTGATTTACGAAACAATTTTGTATCAGCACACCTATTCCAGCTAACAACAAGCCTCCAAAATAGGCAACAAAATGTACAGAGACCAGGCTGTGAACCAATTCCAGTGAAAAACAGCCTGAAGAAAACCAGGAAAACTCAGCAGGATTGATATTTTTCAGCTTTGATATAAGAATCCATCACTGCTTTTATCAACATTCAGTCAGATCAGCATGAATAAAACCATGAAATCCAGCGGCTTCCCTAAAAAGACTTTTTTTTCCTTCACACAATACTGTTAATAAATCAAACACGATTAAAAGGTCTTTCTTTCTTTCTTTCTTTCTTTCTTTTAGTAACTCCTGTTGTGGTTTCAGCCACAGTCTTTTTACCCCTAACACACCTGAGAACTATGACGAGTTTTTCTTTTCACCTGAGCTGACCCACAGTGCTGACATAATAATAAAGACTGTTTAAAAGCATACTCAGCACTAAACATAAAGCGTCCTCTAGCGGCTGTAACAAACCACTTGAGAATAAATCAGTTTGTATTTAAGAACTTGGTTTTACAGCCTCATCAGTCTTAATATTTTACTAATCTTGTGTTTTTCTGAACTCTTCTTTTCTTCTTCTCTGCACATATGATATGGCATCCAATACAATTAATTTAAAATGCTGTGAGGAGACAGGCTGTAAGTGTGTGCAAAGGGTTCAAGAACTTTCATCTTTCGAAAACACAACTTAAGACATGGTTTACACTAAAATGTCACAGTTTATTTGCATGTGCAAAATGTGGTGCAGCCTCCGTGTCAACATGGCTGCACTCCTTCCAGAGTTTCTTCTGTTCTTTTCAGTCACCAGCTGGAGAACTGCGTTGTTAGGAGGCCACTCTTACACTTGTTAAACTATAATGAAAAGACAAAAATATTAAAATACAAAATCCATCGATATCCACCAAAGTATGAAGAGACCAATATTTAAGAAGTGATTACATTCTGAAAGAAAAGAACAAAGGATGCAGTCAGTGTACCTTCATGCCCTGAAACTCTGGTCCATGTTCACCGTCTTTGCTGCTGTTCTCATCTTATCTTCTTCTTTCGGCTGCTCATCATCTTCACTCTCATCCTTGCGTGTCTCTATTGTACAGAGATAAATATAAGGAGATGAGATGAAGAAAATGCAGGTCAATAGAGCAGCACACAAAGACAACAGTTTAATGAAACAAACACATTCATCAAACTTTACTTACTTTACTTCTCCATGTTGTCTTGTTCATCCAATCTCCTTCTGCATCACGGAGTTGGACGTCATCATTGGCCTCCTCTGGAGTCATTTTAGGTGTTTGACTCCTTGAAGTTACCTGAAACAAACATGAATTTCAGCCCTTCAGTTAAAATTGTCTATTTTTTTTCTTAAAAGCCGAACCTTTTAAGTAGTTAAAGAGTTATTCACCTTCAAATTCCCAGAAACACACAGTACATCCGTCATTCATCTTTCCTTCGTCTCTCTCTTCATGGGCCTGTCTCTCGTACGTTTGGTCCTCCTGCGTCTTCTGTCTCGTGCTCGGCTCTTCTGGGGGTTTCTTCTCAGTTGAGGTCCTTTACCTAAAAAAAAACAAAAAGAAAATGGGTCCTACACTGACTTTGTTTCATGTTAACGATGACTCTGGAGGAACCAAACTCACCTTTAGATTCACTTACCCACTAAGTGAATAAATCAAGTTAAGAGGTCACGCGAAAGGACGTGACACAACACAACACAACACATCACAACACAAACACACACACACACACGACACAACACACAGAAGAAAACAACACAGGTAACAGAGCACATAACGACACATAACATCAAACATAACACACAACACAACACATTAAAAAACAAGACATCACAACATAAACACATGCATGAAAACACAACCCATGAAACAAAACAAGACATCACAAGACACTATACTAAAACTGCGCCACTACACAAAACATCCCAACACATAACATCAAAATAAATAACCACACAACACAACCAAGGACTTTTGAAGTTCTGCCCAATGAGTCCAAGGTGAAGTCGTTTTTTTCTGCCTTTAATTGAAACTTTTTTGTTTTATTAGGAGCAAGTGTGAGAGGAGGAGCTGGAGCGGAGCGAGGGATTCGTTGTCGTTGACTAAAATGCAGAGCAGGATGCTGGAGGCTTTCATTGGAGGAGGAGAGGAGATGCTGCTGAGGAGCTGAAGGCTAACTAAGACTGAATTATCAAACAACGTTATTTGTTTTATTAAGAGCAAGTGCGAGAGGAGGAGCTGGAGCGGAGCGAGGGATTCGTTGTTATTGACTTTGTAGTAGAGCAGGATGCCAGAGGCTTTTATTGGAGGAGAGGAGATGCTGCTGAGGAGCTGGAGACTAACTAATGCCGAATTACCAAACAACCTTATTTGTTTTTTTAGGAGCAAGTGCGAGAGGAGGAGCTGGAGCGGAGCGAGGGATTCGTTGTCGTTGACTAAAATGCAGAGCAGGATGCCGGAGGCTTTTATTGGAGGAGAAGAGAAGATGCTGCTGAGGAGCTGGAGGCTAACTAAGACCGAATTACCAAACAACCTTATTTGTTTTTGTAGGAGAGAAAACTTAACTTACTTTAACTTATCTTAACTAAAACTTAACTTACTCTAACTTATCATAACTAAAACTTAACTTACTCTAACTTATCTTAACTAAAACTTAACTTACTCTAACTTATCTTAACTAAAACTTAACTTACTCTAACTTATCTTAACTAAAACTTAACTTACTCTAACTTAACTTATAACTAAACAACTTAACTTACTCTAACTTAACTTATAACTAAAAAACTTAACTTATATTAACTTAACTTATCTTAACTAAACAACTTATTCGAACTTAACTACGGCACAACGTGACCCCCAAAAGGACTCTTGCTTGGACGGTTGTTTTTCATCCGTCCAGCAGGCCTCTTGTGAGTCACGTTACACCACTGGAACCTGATCTTCATGAGGCGCTCAAGATTCTTCTTCCACTTGGGCTCAGGACTGGTGGAGATGAGCTTGGTGGAAGAAGGGAGCGCAGGTTCCTCCTGAGTGGTCCTCAGTGGGGCCATCCACCGTCTCCTCCATCTGGAGAGCTCCTCTGGGTCCTCAGGCTCCAAGCCTGGCCACTGCTCCTCCTCTGACATCAGAGGGGGGAGGCAGGGGAAGGGGCTGCGGGTAGGTCCCGGTGACCTGGCTGGAGAAGAGCACAGAGAGGGGCAACCAGTACCAGAGCAACAACCAGAAGAGGGGGAGGAAGGAGAAGAGCTAGAAGGAGAGATGGATGGAAAGAAAGGGGTGAGAGACAGGAGGAGGGACTGGAGGAGAGACAGTAGGAGAGAAAGAGGGAGAGACCAGGGGTGGGAAAAAGGGAGAGGCGGGGGGGAGAAAAAGGAAAAAGGGAGAGACCGGGGGGGACAGAAGAGGAGTGAGAGGGAGTGGTTGAGTTTGGTTGAGCCTGGTTGAGCTTGGGGGAGGAGAACGTGGAGGGCCGTCCATCGGTGGGACCTTCCTCAGTAACAGCCAAGGAGTGGACTCATCCTGGTTCTGGACGAGGCTGTACTGCTCCACTCGGACCTGAGACAGAAAAAATGACGAATTATAAAATCTGAAGTCTGCAGAAATGATTTTTCCAGGGGAAGGTTTCACATCTTTGAAATAAATTAATGAATATAATTCAGTTAAAGAAAATTAAAATTAAAAAAGACAAATTCATAAACACATTTCTGTAATTAAAATCATTCATGCAAACACAGTAAATTAAAATGGTCTTTGGTTCCCAAACTGGAAATGTCCCCTTGCGGGACAAAATAAAGGAGTATTTTCTCTATCTTACCTGACTTCACTGGTTTTTGACTTAAGACTCCCCGTCAAAAACTCTTAAATTCATTTTGGCTTGTTATTCCTAAAACAAACATAAAGACAGTTAATGATCTCTGTTTGTGGAGAATTCAGCTTATTTAATTATAATCTATGTTTAACAATTTTTTCTCACCATCTTCTCGTAGAAGAGAAGATATGCTGACTCCTCTGATCTTTGGCATACATCCTCTCTTGTCATATAGGTGACCATGGAGTCATTATAATTCAGCCAAAGATCACTGGCAGTCTGAGGATCCACATCAGGGTGCAGCCCACTGCTGATGTAGTGTCCTAACAGGAGAGGAAGAAGAGTTTGCATCAAATGTTGGATAAACCCAGCTGAAGAGAATTATAGCCATAAACATGTGAGTCTTTCGTGATGTTTGTTGTTTGTTTTATGTGTTGATGTAAAGACGGTCATGGAATAAAAATGATCCGTTACTGTGAGCAAACATTTGATCAAAACTCCAAGAAAGTCAGGGTGAAATAGTCAAAATGCACTGCAGGAAAACTTGATTAATAACAGCAGCCTACATTTGTACATTATAGTGACAATTAGGTATTATTGCAGTCAGCCACAGGGGGCAGTAGTGGACATGAGCGCAGAGCAGGTTTGACTAAAGAACCAGAGTAGAGTTAATTTCACAACTTGGCTTAATGTCAAAAAGTTATTCTCGTGTAAAACTGATCACACAGATTTTCTCAGATGTCTCAGTATTTTCTCTGAACATTCAAGGTAATGCTGCATGATGGCTTAAAGACAAATCTGGAGAGTGAGCCCATGTCTGCAGACACAGCAGACTCTGGGATCTCAGCTGTCAAAGAGTAAATCAAGTGATCTCACCATCAAAAGTTGTTCTGCTTTGTGTCATTTCATAAACTTTAACAGTTAGTAGGCTCTCTGATATTTTAATACAATGAATTGCAAAGTCTAGAACAGTGTTGTACAGTAAGTACGTAGCATTACTTAAATATAGAACTTGAGTATAATTTTGAAGTGTCTGTACTTTACTGTAGTTTTTTTTGTGCCGGCGACTTTCACTTTTATTTGGCTGCATTTCTAAAAATAAAAGTATACTTCTAATTCTAATTCTGGTGCTTTAGCTTACATGTTAAATTATGTGATTTTAAATCCTAAAAATTGGTTTATAACAAGTTTCTTCAAACATTCTTTGGAGTTCAACAGTTCTTTGAAAGTAAAATGATGGAAAATGTTACCAAGATCCAAGAGAGGCCTGCACTTTCTGCTGAATGAGACCGATCCAGTTACTTCATAATGTTTTATCTTTCTTACAAAGACATGGTTTGAAGGCTAATGTTAATTTGATCTTCCTGAGACTTTAAAGACTCTAGCCTTTGATTGGCATTTATCTATCTGTTATGTATCTGAGGACCTAACAGAAGACTGCACTGGCTGATCTGACCCTCACTGAGTGAATCTTTTACCTGCGTTTCCTTCACTGCCTAAATGACTGATGACACTAACCAGACTGTACCAGCTCGTAGCCTGAGAGCAAACACACAGAACAACTGTTAGAAACAAGCACACACACACACACACACACACACACACACACACACACACACACACACACACACACACACACACACACACACACACACACACACACACACACACAAACACACACACACACTTCTACACTCTTACACTTTGGCGCATAAGTGTCTCACCTGGCTAGATGTCACAATCAGTTCCCTGGTGAGGTCCACGGGGTCGTGACGTTTCACAAGCTCGTAGGACTCAGTGAATTGGAACCTCTTCATTTGGAGCACCAAGAAACTGTGGAGAGCAGCAGAGAGGGAATGACCACAGGATTATTAAACTGAGGGAATTTCTGAGCATGAAAATACTGAGGATAAATTAACAGAAAATAATCTGTGCATGTGTCTGCAACAGGGGGAAACAGTGAGTCTGGGATGGATGTAACGTCACCCACTTTGGCAGGGTTGTGAAGGTGGAGCACTGTGCTGAAGTTGTGCCTCCACACTCGCAGTTGAACTCCAAGTCTGTGTCCTGCAGAGAAAACATGCTGTCAGATACTGTGTACATTAAACATGGAAAATCAACAACCAAAAATAACCGCAGAGTGAAACATTTGAGTGGCTTCATATCAGACAATGTGGATGTTGATTAAAGAAGTCCAGCTTCTTTACCTTCTCATATTCCTGCAGCATCTGCTGCACCGAACCCCCAGGAATCAGGTCCAGAGAGAGATTCAGGAATTCCTCCTCTCTCACTGAGGCGGAGCCACATCTGCACGTTAAAAGGACAATACATATGATTATATACTGTAGTTATACATGTTGTGAAAAGAAAATGTAAAGATAAAAGAAAAGATTACTGTAGATTTGACCTGACTTGATAAAAATGAGCAAAAAATTAAACACATTAGTCAAACTGGAGGTAAATTTGTCCTGCAACCATCTGTATGTTTTTACCTCTTGCATTTTCTGCAGTTCTGCATCCTGAACAGCAGGTTACTTTCCACAGGACACCTGTAGGACCTCCCCAGGATAGAGGCAACTTGCCTCAGTGGCGCAGCCAGGTCCCTCATCTGACCCAGAACTGCAGTCAGAAACTCATGGGCATCCTGAGCAAACAGAAACACAGGTTTGATTGGATACGCAGACAAGGAGCAGTTAGTGAAACTTTAAAGAAAACGAGCTGACTTACTTTCTGATCATGGTCCATAAACTCTGGGGCCTGGATAGAGAGAAGCCACTTAAATTTACCCAGAGCACTAAGTTTTAGGAGAGTGTCACCACCGTCACGGAGACGAACAATGTCCATGAAATAACTGCAGAGGAACAGAGAGGAGCTTGTTTTAGTTTGATTTAAAGATTTGCGGATAAACTGAAGCCTCATGTCTCAGCAACAAAAAGTTCCTGACATCCTGAAATTAACTTATCCTTGGCAAAAAATCTGTTATGAAATAGTTTAACATGGATATTATCTCTTCTTTTAATGGGTCAAATCTTGTAAGCAGATTTACTGTTCATTTATATTAAATGTTGAATCATTTTTAGACTTTAAAAAAAATCTCTTTTTACAGTACAGGACAAAAAATAAGTTCAAAGCCAAAAACTGACATAAAATTATACATAAATATTGTTTTCAACTTATAATGAATCACATTTAATTCACCAGCTTCAACTTTGTTTATAAATATCAAATGATAAATAATTTCCAGAATTTTAACCCTATGCCAGTCTACATACACAATGCATTGAAAAAAAAATATTGTTATCCAACATTTTACACTATGAGCTAACATAAAAAAAAAAAACAATCAAACTCAGATTGGGACATTTTTCTGATCACCAGTTAAAATGATTTGGGGTATGTTAATTTTTTTTAATATGTCAGATTTAAAAACCCATTTAATTACAATACTTCATTTGAATTATCTGACATTGACATATTTCATAAGTTTTTATTATTTATTATTTTTATCTTTTCCTCAGTTTCAGTCCTGTATATTAATACCTATTATTAATAATTTATCATTAAATGCTAGTTCATTAACACAATAAACCAGATTTTTCATTAAAAAAAAAGACAAAAGCTTAATATTTCTCATATCCTGAGGACCAAAAAAAGCTTTGGGTCAATTTTGAATAGCAATATTAATTTGGATGCATTATTCCTTTTCTTTCTTGTATTTCAGTTTTTAGTTTACGTCAAAAGTTTGACTCGTAGCTTCAACAACACGTTCTGTTGTTGAAGCTGTTTGAGAGCATGTAAAGATCACAGTTGAATTTTAATCCAAGCCACGATCTTTTCTGAACCAAACCAGGAAACGTTGGTGTACAAAACTAACAAATCAGAGACCATTTCTCAACGTAAACCTTGTACTTGGCATGTTACGTTTGAAATTATTCAAGGATAGTTCAGGTGTTTGAAGGCGATATATAATAATCTAAAACAAAAATAAGAATATACATTTTTGACTCAAAGTGGTGTAAGTTGCTTCTTGTGACCCATCTGCAGTGCATAGCTTTGCTTTAACGTAGGAACTCCCGCAGACAGCTATGCTGGCTGTTATCTGCTGTGTGTACAACTCTTACTCATGCAGTCTGGCATAAAACAACCTAACCCTCTACTTTAGTCATCTTTTACACTTATTTTAACTGTGTGTGTGTGTGTGTGTGTGTGTGTGTGTGTGTGTGTGTGTGTGTGTGTGTGTGTGTGTGTGTGTGTGTGTGTGTGTGTGTGTGTGTTTACAGATACTACACCTCATCAGCTGGGCCTCTGGGATCAGACTCCAGACCTCCTCCTGGCTCCTGATGTCCCTCACAAACCGTGTGAGCGTGAGCAAGCTCTGGAGGCTGGAGTTCATGTAGCAGATCTGGGCTGGGTTTGGAAATCTGACACACAAACACAACAAATGGAATCATATCTTAATATCACAGCTCCAGACACAAACTGAGGATTGTTTTTATCAAAATGTAGCTGCATGGATTTAAGTGATGAATCCAGAAAATCACGTGTACTCACCCAAGGTTGACCTGCTGATAGGCGACTCTTGGTTCGCTCTGTGGCACGCTGCTCTGAGAAACCTTGTCAGTGGCGACTCCCGGTCCGCTCTGTGGCACGCTGCTCTGAGAAACCTCGTCAGTGCTGCAGTGAGACAAAAACAAACTGTAAATAACAATGAACAGCAAAGAGCTACAAGTGTGTGGGGCTAGTAATCTACTTGTACTGAATCATATTTTACAGTTGACCTCATCCGTGGAAAAGAAGGTTATTTTAGCAAAAATCAGTACTGAGATCGAAGTGGGACTGAATTTAAGGAGACGAGATTTGACCAACACAACACTCAGAGTTTTTAATTCACACTACCAGCACTGCCAATAATCCTTATTGACTTTCAATGACTTACCTTCTCTGGAGTTCCTGAGGAGGCTTTCGCTGATCTTTAGGATCAGAGAGAGGAGACACACACTTTTCTCTCTAATGGAGTAAAAAATAATTTTGATTCGTCAGTAACAGAATCAACTGAAAGATAAACCAAAACTAATGCTTATAACAACACTGAAGTCCAGACTGGTATTCCTATGCTTTACTTACTCTACAGCACTTAAGAAACCAAGAACAACCCCATTTCTTCTCCTTTGGTTTCTTGATTTTCTCCCCAGGTGGGGGTGCTGTGGAGCCAGCCAGACCGTTGGAGGTGACATCTCTGCAGACACAAGCACACACCATTACCATGTGGTGACATTTGTTTTAACAACCTGTAGTGATGTTTTTAAAGGAGTCTGCAGTGACTAGTCAATATTTATCAGAAGCTTTTGTGGCTGCACAAATAAACAGCTGATTGTTGGAGCAGTTTACTCACCTCCGCTGATGGCTGATTAGACTTCTGACTTTTCTCTGTGGAGTAACAACAAATATAAAAATGAAAACCCACTGTGTCAAATATTTTTGGTGTCTGATTTTAAATGTCACACTTATAAAATGATCTTATTTTAACAGCTCTGAAACATACCAGAGGTTGACCAAACAGCCTGTGCAGCCAAAAGTTCTTTGGGCTGCAGTTTTCTGTGTTAGGAGCCTCTGACACAGTGTTACTGGTCAACACAGAAACACAGGTTGGTTATTTTAATGAACAAAACAAATCCATAAACAGAAATATCTGCAGAGACACATGACAGTCACACAGACTCAAACCATGGTGATATTCAGACGATAAAATACAATAAACACGCACTGGATGGTCTTTGAGGAAGTATCAGAGTCAAACTGAAAAAGTGTCTTTATGTATCAAAAATAATACAGCACACTCACAGTGATTTAAAACACCTGAAGGTTATTCCCTGTTTTTGTGTTGTTGTTATTGATAAATGAACCCCCTCTTTGTTCACACTTATTCATTAAAAACCTAAGTGCTGAATCTCTTTAAGTTGACACAGCGTTTTTAAAACAAAGCTTTTTTAATGCATATTATCCGGGAAAGGCCTCATACAAAACATGTTTTTCCTTCAATTTCAAACACAGTAAATTAAAATGGTCTTTGTTTCCCTTACTGGGAATTTCCCCTTGTGGGACTAATAAAGGAGTATCTTATCTATCATACCTGACTTTACTAGTTTTTGACTAGAGACTCCCAGTAAGAGCAAACAATGATAAAACTTCTTTATTTCATTTAGTGTTTTTACATATTTCCTTTGTCTGACTGGTTAATTGATCAGTAAATGTCTTATGTGAAGCCTTTGAATTGTCTTATTCAGTTAAAATAACCACTGAAATGTATAACATAAATACATGTGTCTTGTGACAAAAAGAGTATGAAACACAGTGTAAGTCCAAAATCAAATCCTAAATTTGCGAATCTTTAGATTTTTGCTGGCACTGTCACAGATTTAACTCTGAACTGTCTCAGATTATAATCTGCTGGGAGGTCTCTGTCATGTTTCAAATGTTACACTCTGCATATTAAATGCAAAAGAGGTAAAAGATTGTTTTAGAGGCACATTGGTAAACTACTGTTTAATATCACACCCCTGTAAATTTGAGTTTGCATTTTACTGTCATCATAAGTTAAACGTGTTTCTTACCTCATGTTGAAGCTCGACCAGGCAATTCTCTGAGCTTCTCCACTTCCAGGAGTGGGTTGACTCCTCTGTGCAGATTTAAAGAAGAAATAAGAGAGCATCGGTTAGTATAAAAGAAACTGTCAAATAAGTTTCAGACTGACGGTTTTAAATAGCCCAGAAGACATAAAAAATCTCTTATAGAGATTTCTCACAATAACACAAGCTTTTCTGCTCTTAAGCACGAAGAGTCTTTGACATGGTGGGCAGGACTTTCATGTGATGTCAATGCATCACTTTTAAGATAACCATCCCAACGTCTCGACTTTAACTCGCTGTTGTGGCCACATTTTTTGGAGTACAGACAAAAAAACCAGATCATTATGTTCATGAAAGGAGGAGGATTTGTAAGATTTTCTTATTTTCATTCTGGGATTTAAAGAAATCGTGCTATGTGAAGAAGTCCAAAGGCAGCTTCTCATTCAAACAGTGGGTCAGTTAATGCCTTTGATCTCACAGCTGTTTAGGATAAAATCATTAACAAGACACACACACACACACAGTCTGACAATGTGTGTGTGTGTGTGTCTGTGTCTAAAAGACCTGCATGTACACACAGTTAATATGTGTCTGCATCACCACCTATCTCCACCCACAAACTTTGAGCTACAGAAACCATTCTGGGCTTCAAAAATTCAGCTCATTGAGGACATTATGGGGTGTACTCAGTATTTTATTCATTTAACTTTTCCCCACTTTAAAATTATTCTCATTATTCATGCTTTATTAAATTTGTCAGACAAATCCAAACTCATTCAAACCTTTCTGATACTTCAAACCTGTTTAACACTTTAGGACTTCTAATTATTTAAAATTTTTCCCACTTCAAAATCATTCTCATTATTTATGTATGTTTTTATTCTTCAAACAAAATCCCAGTTCTACCACTACAATTACTACTTATATCACTTTAACTTGTATCTTCACCTCTACCTCCACTGCTCATGCTTCTCTTAATATTTTTTTACTTTTACTCTTACTTCTACCACGAGCTCTACTGCTTTGACTTCTACTTCTTCTATTCTAAAACTACTTCTACTGCTTACATGACTACTAATATCACTAGTACAACGACCTATTATTATCATACTTCTTCTAGTACTTCAACTTTAACTTATGCCACTTCTTACTTTTCTGTGTTTTAGGGTAATTTTCTTACTTATCCATTTTTTTTGTTGCAATTTCAGACAGTTTTTCTAGCCTTATTCAGCATGAATGCAATTTTAATTTATGAAGCACATTCATACTATTTGTACTTTAGCGATTTTCACTTTCATCCAACTTCTACTTATCTTTCTCCAGCTCTTTAACCAAATTTAACATTTAAACCTTCCTCCATTTTTTTTTTAGCAGTTTAGCATTGCTTTTTCAGCTTTCAGCACTCAGCATTTCCACGCATTTTCCGCAAGGAAATGCAATTTTTCTAGTTTTGATAATGCCTGTCACATTAAAGTCATAGACACTGTAAATATCCATGCACACATTTAATCCTTGTCGATGCATCGCTTAACCATCACGAAAGTCTCGACAGTAACACAAGTTTGTATGCTAATATTGTCATGAAATCTTACGTTCTCCATCTCGTAGATGTTGTCCTCTTTTTTCAGATGTTGGTTAGAGGTGTTTGTCGGAGTCCTTCGGCGTCTGGTGAGTTTTATTTTCGATGAAGCCGTCAAAAGTTGTAAATTCGTGAGCCACTTCAGTTTTTCGTGTTCTTCTCTTCAGATTTGATCTTCAGAAACGACCGCTCTCTTTGGCATGTATGATTTAAAGTTTTTACATAGTTACAGGTTACCATGGAGATTTAAAATGCTGTTTACCTTAAAAACCTTCCTTATTTCGGTACAAAACGACAACTTTTTGAAAACTATAGCTTAGTAGGTCTATGTCTCATAGGTAACTCAACAAAAACTGGAAACTTTGTGTCTCATTATAATTTCCACTGAAGCCTTTACTTCAATTAAATTCAGTCGATTTCCTTTAGAAGGCTACTAAAATAGTCTATATATACTCCTATCATATCAATATTTTAGAGCAGTAGCTAGATCTGTGAAGCACTTTGTCCCCCTGTTTTAAAAAAAAACCCTAAAGTTGATCATTGTTATTTGACAAAGCCCATTATAAGGCATCAAAAAGGCCAAAAAGATATCGAATTTTGAACTTAAAAAAATAAAAATATCACATCAGCTCTGAGCCAAAATACCTTTTCACTTGAGTAAAAAGAAGCCTATTTTCATGTGATGGTACTTTATACTAATTCACACATATAGTGAAGTCATTACATGCTTTTATTAACTGGTGTATTCACAGGGGGGGCAAGGGCCCTTTTGGGTGCCCCTGCAGCAGATCTGTAGTAAATAAAACACAATTAAATTCTACCTTAGTTGCCCTTCCAGTAGATTAAATGTAAAACATGCACTCGCAGACGCCCTTCTAGAAGGCAAGATATCAAAGAAAATAGAAAATAAATCACTGACCTCTGTGATATCCTGCCAAGAGATAAATGTGATCATTAATGTGGTCATTAAACCTACAACCCACGTTTTTTTTTCTGGGTGTTTTGTTTGTTTTTTTCTAATACAAGGTGAGTACTTTAGGGAGTCCTTTAATTTTTTTTTTTAAGAATTCATAGAACCCTATGACTTAAACTTGGCCACTCTTTTAGTTATCACTGTAATGTGAAATAGGAATGATCAGAGCTGATGACAACAGCCCCAAAAAATGCTACCAAAGTGTGTGAAAAGAAAAACTTTCTTTATAATGTAGTTTGCGCTTTGCTGTTGAACTGCCATAATAACAAATATAACCTCCCCCGGGCTTTCCTGCAGTAAGACTGAGAGTACTGATGCCTGTCAGTGCAACTAGTTTAAGTTCTTTTCATGTGTGTCAAGAAAAAAATGCATTTCTCACTCTAATCTTTAAGTGATGCTTTTCAACTGCCATGATTAAATTTTAAAATAAAGAAAAACAACAGAAGTACACACTGTCAGGTCTGTTCTGTGGTGTAACTGCTGCCTCTTAAAAAAAGTCTGATGTTGATGATTTGCTGTCTCTTTTGATAATTGCTCAGTATTAAGGCTGTTTCTATTTGATAAAGTTTTGTTGTGTGTAGTAAAGTGCATATTACTGAATTTTTTTAAAACTCCAAACATCAATAAATTCACTTAAAAAAATCAAACTATTTATATACAACATTTGATAGAAATTATAGAAAAATGCCATAGCCTTGAATTTTTACTGCTGGGCCATTCAGTCTCAAATAACATATCAAATGAACAGGTTATGTGCTGTACATGTAAAATTTAAACTTGCACTGAAATATCTGACAGATGACGAAGAAATGCTAATGACAAATTAATAATACGGTATATTCTTCAGAAATAGTATAAGTATTTCAGAGCATTTAAATACTACATTTTCAGATTGCACACAGGTATATTATTTCCAAAAGTGCACTTAACCACATTTTGATCCCTACGTTTCCTACATCTGAGCTTTCCGGTTTCCCTGAATGTAGAATAAGAAGTGACCACTAGGGGGCAGCATTTTGTACTGAAAGCTGCTCTTTCTCCACAGGTCATTGAACTCTACAAACAGTATTGAGCTCTGTGTGCTTGTATGATTGGTCTCTCATGTATTTTTAACCAAGCAAACTGTCTGAACATGTTAAATAGTGAACATGATCCGTGTGATTTTTTTTTCAGCACATTCATTACACTCACAGATATCTCATCTTTGAATATTCAGTATACATGTAATGTACAGTAAATTTCACCATATTACCTGGGAAAATACTGTACGTTTTTACATGACATTTATTTTACTGTCACTGTTTACACTACAGGACAAGATGTTCCACTCAAAACTCTGACAGATGATAAAAGTTGATAATTGTGGATGAAATAATTCACCTCTTACTTTATACATATATGAACTGGCCCTGACTTAACCGAGAACCAGATCATATAAACAAACAGAACAGTAACAGGGAGTTTAATGAAGTATAAACTGATAAATCTATCTCTATAACTCTTTTGTGCCCAAATTTTTCATGTTGTCATATAATCACTCATGTTAAATAAGTGCAGGTGAGCACATCATGTAAATCATGTAAACTGCTACAATTGTGATATTTAAGTCAAATTCCGTAAGTACAATATGCTATTACCTTAGGTGCCCTTAAATAAAAACTGTTTTATTACTTTGGAACTTTACCAATTTTAAATATTTTAAAACCAAAAATACCTTATTCTTGTGCGAAATTATAATAAGTATGTATCAAATATTATTATTATTACAATTATTTTTATTATATCACCAAAAATAACTATGAAATAATAATTAATGAATCATGTTATACAACAAAAAATAATAACCTATGACTTTAAAAAGTGTTCAGTTTAAATGTTGTCTTCGCACCTATTTTAATTAAATTGCACCTTTAAAATAATCTAAATGATCAATACCTGTTTATATCAACTCTAATATATCTTATGGTATTAAAATTAGAAAAGGCTTAATATCTTGTTGAGTAAACTCAAATTGATATGTGCAGGCGTAAATGTAATAGATTAAAAAATTCACATCTCTTTCTGAAAAATACAAAAGTTTTATTTAAATATTGGCAGACAAATGATGTTAGTCATCACATAAGACAGGTCTGGCTATTTTCCTTGCAAATTTATTATTGCACATGGATTACACTCTCTCTCGGTTCATCAGAAGTCACAACAGTGAAATCAGAGGAAATCGCTCTTCAGATGATAATCCCTAATTTACCACCTATCCACATGACTCACACCTACTCACTTGATGATTCCCAGGTTATATTCTGCTCCCACATACACTTATTATACAAGAAGTACAAGCGTCACCCTCCAAAAAAACTAAGTACCAGAAATAAGGCTGGTATAATCCCCCCCTTCTCTTGTATCACCCATGACAATTTCTGCAAGGGACCCTCTGTACACTGGAAATCATCAAACTTCTGGGTTTTCATCAACAAAACTTCATCTTTAACTGCAGCTCAAAACATTCCAAAATGCTTGCAGATTTGAGGACTTATCTGTAGTTTCTCTTTTCGTTTTTTTCTTGCATGGACAAAAGACATCTGTCCAGACCTGCACACCTGTTGGACTTAGAGAGGGAAATCAAACCAAGCAGCACTGTGGCTGTCCTGGAAAACTTTCATATCATAGGCATTATTGTTCTGGAGAAAAACCTTCAGAAGGTAAATCAGCAATACAAAAAGTGCATCAGAAATATTCAAAAGAGGAACAAACTTTTCAATCAGCTTTTCCCTCCTCTACAGAATACAATTAATACTTTATGGCATTATACAATCACAGGCACACACATATTGTGCATTCACAATATAAATCCACCCTGTAAATTCCTCCATTTTTGGCATTCACACAGTAGAAATACATGCTGTCTGTGGGGATACTAACCATCTTTGGCTCAATTAATCTTTGGGTTTATGATCCCAATACTAAAGTGGTAGCTTCAGTTTGCATTGTTTGTGCATTCAGCTTACAATGGGATCTCAGAGGGAGAATTACGTGGACGCATGTGTGAAAGAAAACATTGGCACTTTTAAGTCCTGTATTTTACCCTCCAGCTCCCCCTAGTGGACCTTACCTCCGACTGCACTGATAAGATGGTTCAACCTCATAAAAGAGGGACTCAAAAGGCACATTTCTGACTGGGGTTTGGTGTAACTTTGTGGAACTCAGACTGTTAAACCCACTGACTGCAGCAGGGAGAGGTGACCAGAGTTCAAACCCGCTGCTTCCTGAGGAGGAACCATGACAACATGTGTGTGATATGATGCAGAGAGCAAAGGTTTCTTTCTAAGGCAAATGTGCTCATGTGTGGAGTTTGCAGTTCAGAGATAATCCAAACCGGGCACCAAGATTGGATGGGGACGGGGTGGGGAAGGAGGGGGCGGAGGGGAGGGGTCTGTAGATGCCGATACAGTTCAGAGCTTCAACAAGAACCCCTTCGTCCTTTCACTGGATGCACAGGATGTCACTCTCTTTCAGGCCGAACCGGGTCTTATACTTGTCAAAGAGGCACTGCAGAGATTTGACGTACATGGAGTGGTACAGGTCCACCATCTCCTCGGAGGGGTCCTCGATTTTGGGCACTGTGATTGGCTCCCCAACTGCAAGAGGACAAGACAGGATTAATTATAAAAGCTGCATTTACACTGACAACTTTCATACAAGACATCCTGCTTATAGAATTGAACCCAAGAAAAGATGTGCACCATGGTCTTCACACTGGTGTCAATAAGATGATAATGAGATAGAAAGTAAAACCTGTGATAAAAAAGCTGTCCCCCCTGATAGCAGCAGGAGGTTGTTAAAGCTTTTGGTTGTATCTGGCAAAAGCCCAATCCCCATTTTCATTCAGCCATTAGCCTTTGTGGAAAACCTCCATTCAACTCAAGGCAGATAATCAGAAATAGAGCTAGCATGGGCTTTGGTTAAAAAATCTGAAACGTTACAGAAGCACTCCACTAATGTGATATCCTCATGGTTCTGTCCAAAGGGTTAACAAAAATACTAAACATGACTGGCCTCTGACTTGCTGCAGTATAGCTCCTGAAAGGCTTCCTCCATGTTGACAGATAAGATGCTACTCAAATTAAAAACCAAAATACAAATCTGATCAATTTACTCAAACATGGATCTTATCATTTTAGTTATTTTCCACCAGTCTGAAACATATCAGATGTGTTTTTTTTGCTGAAAATAAAGTCTTGATGACTTATTTGATGTTAAAAAGTGTATAACTCCATGATTGACAGCTCTCTTGACAAATATAGACTCTGTTTAAACCAGGTAAGTAAAACAGAGCAGAAACAAGGAGGAACAACTGAACACTAAGTATCACATGACTTTAAAAAAACTGACTGAAAATGGACTCCTACAACACACATTAGCATGCAAGTCAAACAGAATCCATTGTCTCAAAAATGGACAAACACACCTGGATTATGTAGTCAGGAATAAATATTCTGTTGCAGGTGCAGTAAAATTGACACTAGACTCTGTTTTGCTGTGAGCTGGGACAATCTGAGGTGTTTTACCTGTTTATCTATAAAGGTAAGAAGAGTGTGTTTGTCGGCATAAGGTCTAAACATCAGCACCATGGCTCCACTAGCTGATCTTTACTTCCAAGATTCTGGCATCACCAGCACAGGACGTCAGAGTCAGCCACAGGTAAGTTAGCTTCACTTTTAAACAATGAGAAGAGGAGGGGCCACATGCTCCAACTTTTTCAGGTTAATCTTTTGACCGTATTAAAGTCTGAGTCATTCAAAGAGCAAATGAAGTCAGTGTGAACCATTGATATGCCCTTGAAGTTGGACTTGAAGTCCCCAGATAACCTCACACTGACCAAACAGCGGTAAACAAACTTGCCTATAGTGGTGATGGGTTTGCCATAAGGCACAATGCCCCAGGAGTTGCCGAAGAAGAGACCACATCCATGGAAAAGGCACGGGGCAAAGCCTAACAGCTTCTGTAGCCTCTTCTGGAGATACCTCCAGTACGTCCCCTCCTCAAAGATCACCTGCTTGTAGGCATCGTTTTCACCAAAGGAGTACACCGGGACGAGGTCGGACCTGAGGAGACACAGAAGGGAAGCAATAAATGACTCTTTCTATTTAAAGAGGGACACATGAACAGATTTTATACGTTCTACTCTGTTACAATCTTGAATTATAAAACCATTAATTAGGATCTGATATACTTCAGAAATGAAAAACAACCCCTCCTACTGCTGAAACATACCCTTTGTACCCGTGTTACATCCTTGTTTACATAACCTGGATTAATAGCCTGAATATTTTTTACTGTTTTATTACAGTCATATCTGTAATCTATAGCACACCTGTGATAAGCACCTTTAAAGAGCTGAGTGACAAGTCTTTACATGTCAAACAGCCAACACATATTAAATAGAACAGTTTTTGTTTAATGTTCATTATGTATCATTTATCTATATAATGAACACATTTGGCTTATTGCACTCTGCTATAGTTTATACATGCATAATCAGAGGAAGTAAGCCTTTTCTGTGGGGCTGCAGCATATTTTCTATCAGTTTGATAAGATATGAGAGATCTTATGCAACCATGGATTCTCCTGGACTGATATTCATAAAGTATTCTGGACCTGAAAAACATGTTGATCCTTACTGCTCAATATCACCACTATAAATGTTTTTTTTTTGTAATCTAATCATTTACAAGCCCTCCTGAAGGGTAACATACAGCCCTGATTGATGATTACATTACATAAGTTTGTTTATAGACTGTTTTTCCATGTAGAGTAAATTCAATCAACAACAAAGATCCAATCATTTCAGTTCATCTTAATTCTACTTCCCCGAGTCGAAATAATCTTGTGATTATGATGATAGTATCTCAACCTCTCAATTCTGAGGAAACATTTTCCTGGAAACACGTACACACTCACAACCATGACAGATTGTATGCTATATACACAACATTAGAGAGGAAAGAGGTTAAGATTTCAATGTATTTACTAGTTCTGATAAACTCGGTGTTTTATGAGTGAATCTAAAAAAAGAAGCCTTGAAAACGAATTGTGGTTGAAAAAGCGGATCTCACTTTTTATTTGTTAGGTTTTTTTTGTCTTGTTTTTTTGAAGCACTTAGCTTATATCTCTGGCTTTTTTATATCCTATAAAAAAATAAAGCAAACCTTATTCATTAGTCTGTTAGTCATCTCTGTTGAATTAGAATCAATATCAAGACTTAAAAGTTTGTGGACAGAGCAAAATTGTGACCTGAATTCACAGTCCTAGCTGGAATTCTAACCTAGTTGTTTTGAATCCAGCTCTGCGTAACTTTAAGTTTCTGAGCGTTAATCTTCTTTGGACATGGTGAACACTGATCCAAAACAGTATCTGAGAAGGATGCTGGCTCTTTAAAAACCAGGTCTGCTTCTCTTCGTAGTACAGTTAGTAGTGCGAGTGCAGCCCAATGCCAGCTCAGACAGTCTGACCCTTTAACAACAGTGCTGCAGCTGCAAACTACAACACCTCACATTCATAGAAGATTTGTTTCTGCCCTTAGTGTACTGATTTTAACCTTTTCTGTGAGTGATAATCTGAGCTTATTATATTCCATGACTCAGCAGTCCTGACAATAATGTTTGTATGTCAGATCACATATCGGTCAAGGCCGTGTTTAGTCCTCTGTGCGCTTGTTTTGTCTTAGTGTGGGGGTGGGCAGCTCACCCTTTCTGCAGGGCCAGCTTCACAAAGCCTTTACGGTTCTTCAGGGTGACTGAATTCATGCCGGGGGCACACTGCAGGGACTCTGCTGCTCCTCCAACGACGATGACTACAGCATTTCCAGTCCCGTTACAAGACAGCAAGTAGTCAATGGAGTTCTTGTTCACTGGACAGATACCTGAGGAGAGAAAGAGGGTAGAAATGATTAAATATGCAGCAAACAAACTGTGCAAAAGAGGAGAATACACTGACCTACAAAGGCAAAAATCTCCATTCACAGTCATAGAGAATAGTCCGGCGCCCCCCTATTATACACATACTGCTTACACTGCACCACTCATTCATACACATGTCTGTCCTCTATTATGAAAGACCTACATGCCAGGACCTCATTAGGATTAACTTAATCATATTAATGATGTGCAAGTCCTGACTGAAACAGACCATACTTGATACACAAGTCTTTATGTGGCTTACAAAAGCCTATGAAACCATCAGATTATCTTATCTGCTGTTATTCTTTCTAGTTCTTTCCTCTGCTACCATGAAAGTAGCTGTCAGTCTATGTGATTGACAACATGTACTTCGGTTATGACCTCTCATGCTAGCAAATAGTGAAACAACAATGTTGCACTGTCACACCACCTACACATGTCTATTGACAGAGAGACATTACAAGGGTGTAAATATTGCTGTACTCTGATGCATGTGCAAGGAAGGACTGGTGAAGTGAAAATAATACAGCTTTTTCCACACAGGGAACAAAAATGATGCATAAATGTTCGCAAATCAGTTAAAAATATGTTTACTATAAAATAGTGTAAGAAATATTAAAACTGTAACATTTTTATTGTTCAATAAAAGATGACTGAGAATAAAAACCCTTTCCAGAGAGGCCGAGATAAAGATGGGAAAAGAGACTGTGTGAACAAATAGTTAAACAGTACCTGATTTATGTTTAGTGTAAGATTGCATAGTATATGAGGATTCAGTTATCTACTGTATGTCACATTTTAAAAGGATTCTGGGAATCTGAGGAAAGGCTGACAACCAACTCTTGATGGCCATAATCTTCAGGGGCCCTTAGGCAGTGCTAAATTAAACATAAACAGTGGTTTGTGGAAGAGATTTGTGGCACTTGCAGTGATTTCAGCAACAGAGTTAAATCTCTTTCTAGTTCAGGAAGACATGTAAAACCACATTTTGCAAACAGCATGGCGCCTTAGTAGTAGAGTCAAGGTGCTAAAGTGGCCTGTTTGTCTTGCAATCAATTAAAACAATTGGTGCACTGTTCAACAAAATCGAGTCAAAGGACTTTCCACACTGTTGTGCAGCTACAATCTTACAAGAATCAAGAATGATTCAACAACTGGTCTCCTGGGTTGTTACCTCTCCTTTTAACAGTGATTTTTAAAGGCGAGGTGATGCTACATGCCCCTGTTCTAACCTTTTTGAATGTGTTGCTGGCATCAAACCCAAAATGAGAGTATGTTACTCTTCAAACAGTAAAATTCCACAAGGTTCCCACACGGAAATAAAAAGATGTTGTAAATGTTGTTATACTCAATAAAATAGAGACATACGCTGATTTGCAAACCAATGAATAGGGTTTTTGGGGAAAGTCTTCACACCACCAAACCTTCATGGGATTTAGGTTGTATTTTCACTTTTTTTGGGAAAAAAAATTTTTCTTTGGTTTATTTACCCAAACTTTACAAAAAAGTTTTACCTTTTAATTTGAGTACAATATGGAGCCTAGACTGTCTTCTGTTTTACTTTTTTAATTTATCATAACTTCACATATTTTTTAAAACATTTTTTTTAAAATCAAGAACTCGCTCTGATACTTAAAGAAAATATGAAGTGCTGCCATTCAGGGGTGATTTTGGCGCCTCCTGTGGAGAAAGCTGCACTGCACTTTCATCTCTTTGCTGATTATCTTTGCTTGTCTGATTAGAGTGTATATAAAGTCACTCTAGGTGTGCTGTTGGATTCTGGTTTAAAAACAAAGAGAAAATTAGTCCTCTCAGTGGTGGTCTCATTTGCTTTTGTGGGTCACATACAATCCTAAAGTCAGTTTTGTTTCATAACCACTTAAAAATTCTTCATAGTATATTAAACTAAACAAAGTGTGTACTCTTGTCACCTCTGAAGCAGCTTTAATAAAACCTTTGTCTCAGAAGTAATTATAATTCTGTTACACATAAGAACTGAAGGAGAGAGTCTTATGGGGATTATTTTATCAATGAAACCTGTTGAAACAACCTGTACAATAACCTACAGTAGCCTTACAGAGTAAGTACAGTATCTTTGGGCAAAGATGAAGCCTGAACAACAAACAGCCGTTCAGTACAGAACAGTTAGAGCTCTATCAGTCTGTCAAATCAGCAGATCCAAGTAAACAGAAGCTTTTTTCAGCTGTGCAATCTGTTCAAAGGTCCTCTCTCCTACAGATACGGCACTATCAGACATTTCAAGAACTCAAAAGAACTCTGAATCCTCCCACCTCCAGACATCAGGTAGTCTCTCAGGACAGGCAGGCGGAAGTTCCCGGCTAGGGTTGCCAGGGAGGGTTTGATACCCGGGAATTTCTTGGAGAAGCCCGTGGCCTCAGTCCCAAAGTTGCAGAAAGCACCGAAGCAGAAGATGCCGTGTGGATGATAGCCAAATATGTAGTTCCGGCTGGGCAGCAGGTTGTGGGTTTTAATTAGCTAGAAGAGAAGAGGCACAAAGAGGAGCAGTGTGAGGCTGATTTATATACCAGGGGCACAGTGTTGGACCCACAAGAACAGCTGATGGGAGTCATGCCCGCTTAGAGAGCAATATGGCTGAAAGGCTTAAGGAAAGATGCTGCTGAGGGAAATCTGAATCAAATACATATAACAGACCTTTTCAAACAAAGTTTAGAATGTGACGCACTGATCTTCACTAATTTCTGACATTGATTTTATTTTGGGATCTATTTTCATTATTATTTTGGTTGAAAACAACCTTTTTTGAGGTCTAATTTGAAAAAAACTTCAGCACTTTTCACGTAATTTTTAGATTTTTTTTCATACTAAAACCTGACATTTCTGTCTAGAGGGGGCAGACTGAAGTTTTTTTTAAATCTCTACTGCATTATCTATCATTTTTGACTAAATAAGCAGCAGAAAATGCCAAAGAAACTCTCTTTAAAAACTTCAATTATGCTGAATTAATATTACCAGTGGAGCTCTGTGTGTCCTGAAATATGGAGGGTGGTTTGCCCTGGAATTTGTATTGTTTGACGCAGACATAGTTGTTTTGCAGAGGGTATTACAAACTACTGATCCCATGCAAATTTGGTTTGAGGCACACTTTTAAAGCCTTTTTTGTCATCTTTAAAGTGAGCTGCAGCTTCTATAGGGGGGTGTAAACATTCCTCCAGCATTTAAATGTAACACCTGAATACTAATTTTAATGCATAAACAAATGCAAAACGTGGTTACCCATTCAATGTGCACGCATGTTTCTGTATAGGTGTGTGACTGTAGGTTACTATGTGGAGTACCATCTGTGTCACTTTTTCTGTACAACATTTGTTTTTTCTTTGTTCAGTATTGGATTGTTGTATAAATTTAGGACACAGCTTGTGCTTCAGTCGTCTGAGTTCATTCTTATCAGTTCACACTCTAAATGACACTGTTCAGGCACAGTCATAAAACAATGACCTAATAAAAATGTGGTTCACCTGCTTGGGCAAGCAGCAACATATTTCAACTTTCAGCACCATCTCTCCAGCTCTTGGTTTCACACTGAAGTTATCGAACTATAGGATCATGTATGAAAACAGTCACAGTCCTCTGATCCGTACTGTACACTCAGATTCACCACCATGTGTACACAGGGCCGCCTTGGCTAGTCAAACACTACAGTTGCATAACAGCATTAGCGAAAGAGATCACACTCAAGATCCTCGCAGCACCACAGGAGTCCACCTGGCCTGCATGGCGGTTGTGACAGGGTTACAGCGGGACAGGAGGATGTAGAGAAAGTTTTAACCTGGAGAAGAGACAGACTAGACAGGATGCTCTGGCTAAGAAACAAGCACTAACATGACAAAAACCAGCACTAATGTTTCCAAAAACAAGCACTATCACTATAAAAGAGTCTTTGTTTTTTAGTATTGACGCAGATGTTCATATAACAGTCACACAGCAGATTTCCTACAGCCCACACTCTGATTTAAAGGCTGTTTAGACTTTGACCACTTTGCCTCCAACTCATAAATAATACTCCTGCATTCAAGTCAGATAAAGAGCATTCGGCCTACATTCAGTTAATGATAGCCTTCAGGAAAGGGTGTAACCCGTGATCAATACAGACTGATAAATTCAATCAATGATCAGCATTTCAGAGTCAAAGATGAAGCCATTGCAGAGTCATCTGATACTTTGAACCCATGAGATTGGCATCAATGTGTCATCATTTTCTTTTAAGACTGGAAAGATCACATGTGGACATTATGGTGGTTACCAGGCATCAAGCTCCAACGGCAATCAATATAAGAGTACAAAAAACTGAGATCTTGAAGTGCCCACTTGAGGCCAACTACAATCATCTGGGTACCTTTTCTAACTTTTGGCAACTTAAGTACAAATACTTGACCAAGCCAGCAACCCTGGTGAAAACACATCAAAAGAGCCAGAGACCCCATGTTAAATGCACATTTGCACAGCATGACTAAACATGGGTACAGCCTACATACACACTGCACAGAGGGCGACTTATTTATATATCATCCATTTTGGAGATTTTAAAGCTCCTGTGAGGAGTTTTCAGCAGGTTGTGAAACAGACTGAAATTAATGCTGATGACCTCAAATAGCAAACAAGAGTGTTTACAATTAAGGTGAGTACTTGTGTGTGGAAATTTCCTTTATATTTTTTTCTCTTTTTGCACATATACGGTACAAAATCATCAAGGTCTACTTTATCCACAGGGGGCGCCAACCAACACAAACCAAGAGTTCCTCACAGGAGCTTTAAAGTTACAATCATGTTTGATTAGGCTCATCTGGGGGCATGGCCAACTTGGCTCACAGATGTCTCGTAGCTGTTAGCCCAGAGGCTAAAGTCTCACCTCAACTCTGGCATTTGCTTAGTCAACTTACATTTCAACATTCACAGCAAACTCAAACTTTGCACAACAGTAAAAATCTGCACTGTCTGATGTAAGCCTCGCAGCAATACTTTCTCTGAACGAGAGCTGGCATCCAGTGTCTGAGTGTCTTTTAATGACCTCTTCAACCAGCTAAGACAAACGGCTCCGTAGTACACACAGTTCAGATCAATGTGATGGACTAAGTTCAACTGCAGGGACTACAACTCCAGTCCTTTTTCTCTCTTTAGTTTCTCTGTGGAGATGATAACCTCATCACCACATGGACAGAGCTTTTCTACCCACAGTGAGGGGCTTTTATACACTGTGAAACACTGTTAGGATGAAGGCTACTTTGATATGACAGACACTCTAAGAAAAACAACAATCAAATCATTAGGTTTGAAACAGCATATGTGCTTTATTTTTGTCCCTTAATAGTCCAAGACCCACAATTGTCCATGAAAATGTTAGCAAAGGTATTAATGGTGTAATTAGGAGTGTTGTACCTTTGGCACCTCTTTAAAGTTTTCTGGTAATTGTTGGCAATTATTTTAGCAGCTAATGAACTATTGATCTACCAGCTAAGGGTTGAGGTTTCAGATTGTAAAAAGTGATGATTTAGTGAAATCCTCTGACAGTCAATGACTCATGCAAGGACACTTTTGTTCCCTTTAAACAGTCTAACCTTGACCTCACTAACAGTTTAGTCAAGTACTGCTACTGTAATGTACGGAGCCGCCCCCCTTTACAGAGTGCCTGAGTGCCAGTTTGTGATAAAAACTCTCTTCTTTTCCCTGAACTAAAATTGTTCTCTCATCTAAAGGAGCACTGATCAAAACGGGCCCCTGAGCCTATCAGGCAGGACAAAGTCTGAAACTCTCCACAGACGTCAGGACCTCATCGTAATCAACACGGGACAAGGAACAGCCTGGAGCTGACAGCTGATACTCCACACACCTCTGATAAGACTATCTATAAACCTGTGTATGGATGGAAATCAATTAACAAGGAAATTAAAAACATTTTTTTGTGTCAAGGCAAGTTAAAGCACAAAGTGGCATCAGCTTCAGGGTTCAGTCTAATACTGGTAGCAACCCAGACATCTTGTTTCATTCCCTGCTTTCTGGAGTTTTTGGGTTTGCTTTTGACTTCTTACTTACCCTAACTGGGAAGTAGTCTCTGAAATATGTCCACACTGTCCAGTTTCTCACCCAAGACGACCTCCTGCCACCTGAGGGAAACATTTCAGATTAGAAATTACTAAAAATAAATAAATAAAACTGGAGCTGCTACAAGCAGTCATCAATAAATTAATCTATTCCCATTTTACGTGAAAATAACTTAATGTGTACTTGAGATTATACATTTTCAGAAATAAAACATTTGTTAACAAGCTTTTCATTATGCGAACTGTTAATGTTACCATGCTAATATGCTCACAATGTTGCTAACAGTTTTACATTTGATGGTTTGTTTTAATACAGACTTTATTATGAAGAAGGAGAATGGATAATCCATCTTTCTCTGGGAGTCTGATCTTTTCCAGGCAGGCCTGTACTCCTTTTTTTTTTTTTTTTTTTGTGGACACTGAGGGGAACGTCAGAGACAAACTAACAGTGTGTTTCGACTAAGTGCCTAGGGCTGGTCAAGTACCTCAACTTGCATTTCCACAGCTAACTGCACCCATGCACTATACGCCCCAGGACAGACTTGATTTCCATATTAGCATGTGTGTTAACAATTTAGACCGCTCAGACCACTGACGATAGCAGCACATCTCAAACCCTGAAAATCTAGACAATGGACAGCTCTGTGATTTCTTTTCCAATAAGCCACACTGATCTCAGCCAAAATACACAGAAAAATAAGCTGAGGGCTATATTGGCTCTGTATCAGCTATGCTTATGTCACAAGCGTGAAATCCGTAACATGGAGGATCTTTTGGGATGTTTTCCAGACTTAAAAGGCAGGTCCGAGATACGCCCCTTGTTTCACATAATGCCTTTCTTTTGAGGTCTCCAGGACTGTGGTTTGGTTGAAGAGATCACTTGCATGGCTCGTTATTCAAGCCTACAGTGAAATTTTATTGGAAAAATAAATTGTCATGTATCGCATTGGTTGCGGGTAAACTGCGTGAATTTCTAGGTAACACCAGGCTACTTCTTCTTGTGAAATCTCCATCTCCCTTTGCGCCCTTCTCTCTGCTCAGCTGGTCACTGTGCATACATCCCCATTTTCAACCATTATCTGTATGTCATTTATAGCACAAGGTATGAAGTTCATAATTTTAGCAATCAAATTGCTTCAGTTCAGGAGAGACATAATCCCATACAATATCTCCTGGCCCTCCACTATCTCAATCAGCAGATTGCAGCTTGTCTGACTCCATCCTTTAGGGTCACATGGTACGTTTGGTACTCATAAAAACAGGGTGCCAAAAAAGAAGTATATGGAAAAAAAGTGGAAATCCAACTGACTGTATAAAATACTGTAAGCTGTAGTTGTAATCAAAGTGATCAGTCGAGCCACTCACATAGCTATTCATAAAGCCACACTGTTAGCTCAGCTTAGAAAAGCTTCCAGCATCTTGTAGGTTGAGTCAGAACTCGACGTGATCTCTCTGATATGAACAATTTAATGACCTGACTAACAAACATCCTGTTAAATCAATGCAGCCATTGTTGGTTCTTCACATTTAAGCCAATAAACTAATGTTTAGGTAACACAGAGGTCTCTGAGCAGTCATTCATGTGCCGTCACACTCTTTTAAACCGTCCACTTTCAATTAGTGCAACTTTTTTAGCTTCCCATGATGCATCATTGCACCCACTTTGCACCCCAAGTGTGTTAGTGTTGACAGTGGTTTGTGATTGATGTGTGCACTTTCATGCCTTGTTTAGGGGTGTTCCAGTCAACGATGAGCCAGGCGGTGTACATGGCAGCGATGATCCAGCAATCTGTGCAGAACATGTAGATGAGCAGCACAGTGCAGGCAGCGCCTAAAGGCAGAGAGGAGGAAGAGCACAATCAAGTGTTTGAAAAGAAATGGCTGTTACTTAAAGACAGGAAAATCGATTACTGTAGGTTACAGAACGGGAGAAGTATTCTGCCGAGGGCTCGGAGAGAAATCAGGAGACAGACACAAGTATGAGAGCAGCTCAGAGGTCTGACCTCCTTATGAGACTATAATGGGACTACAGGTTAGCTCCTCTCTGTTCTTTTGCTTTCTTACAGCTTAAGTCTTACATACACACTCCCTCACTCCCTCACTCACCCATCACCAAGAAGCTGATGACCCACTGCAGCACAGAGATCACCTGCAGATGTTTCTCCATCTTGGATGTGCAGGGCCAGAAAGCTAACGGCAGGTCCTGCAGGGCGGAGAGGATGCTGGAGCCTGTGCCTGAGAATAAAGAGTGCAAGGAGACACAACAAAGCAGGAAAAAAGTTTTATCCAAGTGTCAAATATCCACGTTGGTGGATTATTCAAATTAATAGATACTGACGCCTTAAAAGATTCAAAGAGTGTGCAGTTAACACTCTCTTTTCTGAGAAACTATTCCTGGTTTTAGTGAAACAAAACTGATAAAAAGATTAAAGTTCCCAGCAATATGGTGTCAAACAAGCAAAAGCCATCCTTTTCCATTCAGCTAAATCTCAGTCGCTCTGTTTTGGCTACTCACCAGCTCTCCTCAGTCACCAGCCCATACAGTATGTGAAGCAAAGCATCTACATGTGAGGAGACCGTGTGCGAGCAGGGAGCAAAAAGTAACAGACACACTTTGAGCCACTAAAGCTAGACAAGCTCACACCACTGAGAGCCAATAAGAGAGAAGATCCCCCCCTCCCCTGTCCTCTAATCCCATGGGTTCACACTGAAAATAACCCAGCGCTCTGCTCCTTCTGCTGCTGCTGGTTTTACCTGTAAAACCGTGACGCTATGACTTCTTAAAGGCTATCGCTACTTGACTCAGAGCCAGAGAGTGATGCAGAGAGGATACAAGCTGGAGAGGATATAATGATGGCTTAATCTGTCTGCTTATCTGTCCTGCTATGAGCCAGAATGAGCCAACACAGACAGGGGAACACACACACAGTCACGTCTTGCACATGAAGCAACCAGGTGATCCAAATCCTGAATGTTTCTGAGTATGTTTGCAGAACTGATCTTTTGCATGACTTTAACGCTCTGATTTTTGGGGCCCTCATGTGGAGGAAGTGGAACAATTGATCCCTTTACTGATCTTGTCAATTGCTTATATACAAAGGGTTGTGTGACTGAATATCTCATCGATCTTTATCTTAAGATTTTACACGCCACTTATGTTGGTTTTAAGGGCGATTATTCTGGATATTTCTATCTATATGCTTTGATGTCTTTCTGCTGCACTTCTATGGACTTGAAGAACAGCATCTCATCTTTGTCATGTGTGTTGAACTTTATTCATAAAGAAAATGTAAAATAGAATGAACCCTGCATCTTTGGTGTTGGAAATCTAAAGGCTTTGTTAGCATGCTAGCCTGAAATCTACCCTTCTGCTATATTCAAAGGCGTTGCACACTGTCCTAAACACATAATTAATCCTATCCCTGATGGTCTAAATTTCTTTTGTAGCTCATATAAAGGCATCAGTATTAATTTAAGCTTGTTTTATACCCGACTGAAAACTCCTCAGAGGAGCTTTAAGACTCAAGAGGTCCTTAAAAGCACTTTTAATGATTGTTCAGAGTCCCCTAAAGCTGCTGAATCCATCTAAAAAGAAACTATTTTTGTTTTTTAAGGTGTTTCCAACACTTTTGACACAATGCCAACACATCTATTGAAATCTTTTCAGTGAAAACAAGCAGCAAGACTCCCATTCATAAAGAGATTACAATGTAAATGGTGTGGACAAATCCACACTCCTTGTTTAAGGTAAAAAAGGCTTCAGAGTTCAATTGAAGTTAATTAGGATTAAACTATCCGGAATTAGACTGGAGTATCTACCCACAGTTACCTTACTAAGGTGAAAGAGAGGGAAATTTTAGCATCCCTGCAAGCATGAGAGAAAATAAGGACTATGTGTTTTCATCATCTGCCACTTTTACATACTCTGTGACAAGTCCTTCAGCTGCAGCGAACATACTTTATTTCTACCTAAATTTCACAATCTAGGTCTGAATACCTACACACACAGCCACAAGATGCAACCAAAGCAACAGAAAGATTGATCCATGAAGCAGTCCAACAATAGCTTAATAGGAAACGTTTTTCCAGTTTAAACAGTGTATTTCTAAGAAACCAAAGTAGACTCAAAGAGCGCAAAGAGAAGCAGATTCTTGAATCAAATGCTCCAATCAGGAAATTTACACATCCCTCACTTAATTACAAAGCACACTTCAGGAAAAACAAAGAAGTAGGTAAGACTTAAATTTGTTTTAACTCAAAATCAGAATTAGAAACTTCAACAGCAAAGTGAGTCTTCACAAAGATTGTTCTCTTTCTGTAAAGACGCAAACAAAACTTTTCATTTTAAGTCTGTGCAAAACAAGAATTTCCAGAAACCACCATCCAAACTGCAAAAGAGATCAAACCTCTTAAAATCCAGGTGTTGCCATCATCCAGATGAGCCATTGCAGAAATAGATCCTCAGATTTTTTTGGTATATCGTCATTAAACATCCTAAGCACCCACAATGAGCATCTTTGTGTCTGTATACAGGCTGAAAGTGATCATATGACTCATTTTTAATCCAATTTTAACAGTTTTTGGAGTTAAAGCTACATTTGTGGAATTGAAAGTCTACTAAGATAAATTCTTGTTCTCCAGGTGTAAATTTCTGCAGCAATTCTCTGCAGGGATTTCTGCAGGTTTGCCAAAGGCTTAACTGAAAATTGAGATCTTTTAAAATGTTTGCATGACCCTATCTAAAGGAGATGTTCCAGAGAGCCTTCTATCGAGTAAATGAGATCATGACAGGTCAAAACAGACGTGGACTGTCCTTCTGACCTATTGAACCGCCTCCGGCTCCGGATTTGTTTGACCACCACTCTTGGTTTGTTTGTTTGTTTGTTTGCCTGCAGCAGCTTCTTGTTACACTTTCTAACCCACAAACAGCCAGTTACCTTTGAGGACGCCGGAGTACGCAGCAAGGATGGTCTTCATGGCTGGTTCTTCGTGGGTGGTGTTGGTGAAGAAACTTCCCTGTCCACTTGCTGTCAGGATGACAAAAGTCCCACTCCACAGCTCCTCTCACACTACTGCTTTCAACTGCAGCTGAGCGCTGAGCGCGGCCGGCATTTAATGAGCGCGGGAGGAGGAGCCACGAACACACACACGGTCACACACACGCAGGGAGAGTGAGCAGCAGAGGAGTGTGTGGGCGCAGAGGACGGCGGTACTGCAGGTGGAGGACGCAGAAGATGATAATGTTGCTGCTCGACCTCTCTCTCTGTGTATTTATGGGCTCAGTCACGTGGTTTCACTGGGAAAAACATCCAACTTGTTTTGACCACTGAACCTGCCCTCACCTCTCCACTACGTGAGCATGAAATCTGCAGATTAGGACACCGATGAATGTCAGTTTTTATACTCAGACTCTCTGACAGATGGATCATTTGGATAGAAAAAGTTCTTCCACTGACTTCCTCTAATTTAAAAGAATAATCCTGCACATCTCAGACTCTATTAGGCAACCCTAGTTGTATAAAAGTTTGGAAGCTGGGCAAAGTGTTGATTCAAACTCAATTTGATGACTTATTAACTATTGAATCAAAAACGTTGCAAAGACAATAAATCAAATGATAAAACTAAAATATTTCTCAGTTAAAGAAAAATAAAACTCATTTTCAATTTGCTACCAGCAACAAAAAGTTGTGACAGGGACATGTTTGTTAATGTGTTGCGTCACCTTTCAACAACACTCAGTAAACCTTTGGCAACCAAAAGACCTGATTCTGGTGTTTTAAAAGTGAAATCTTATCCAATTATTGTGTCATATTGGCTTTTACTTCAGGCTCTATGTTATACTTTTGTGTTATGATGTACCAGAAGTTTTTGGCCAGTCAAGCACCTGGGCGCAGTAGCGGTTCTAGGCACGGGCGAACAGGGCAGCCGCCCGGGGCGGCATTTGTGTCATGACTCATGGGGGGCGGCACGAGCACTTCCAAAAAAAAAAAAAAAAAAAGATAATAATAATAAATCTTAACCGCAAAGCGATTTTGTATTAACTCTTGTGCTGCGTCCGAATTGCCCACTCGGATACTACATGCTACTGCTACATACTACTGCTAGATCCTACTCCTACATACTAAACACGTTGGCCCAATTCGGACACACTAGACGAGCGGTGGGGAAAGACGACCCCCGCAGGCAGAGAGTAGGTACTGCGCCCGTGCAGACAGTGGTAACTGAAGCCCCTCATCTGCGGGCCTGGCTGTAGTACTGCAGCTGTGCAGTTTAATGATGGAATAAGTGAGCTTTACCGCCATGATGTCGCCACATATTTGCTCATAAAATGATTACTTGGGCAAATATGACACCATGACATGACAAAGAGATACAACCGCACATTTTTTTAGGACAGTGTGTGAAGTTACATGAAACTTACATCCCGCCTGCTGCTGCTCCGATATGGTGCGCGCTGCTGTGGCCAGCCGGCGTTCGCGACGCATCTATGCTGGTGGCACTAGCATCACATGCGCTCCTACAACTTTTAGGAGGACGAAGAAGAAGCCCGCTGTGCATTTTGGGTCAGTAGCATGCCCGTAGGATGCACCGCGACCAACCTACAATGTGGGCGTGTCTAGTATCTGACATAGTCTCAATGCAAGAAGCGGCCTCGGAAATAGACAAACAGTTATGGCGTGACTGAGGTGCAACACAGGATGCCACAGGATTGTGGAGGAATCATGAAGGGCTGATGGTGGCACCTCCAGACCTACTTGGATTAATGATTCAGGAGGCACATGGGTTAGCACATGTTGCAAGGGGGGAAGTTACAAGAAACATCATAAAGGAGTAGGTTTTTGGACACCACAAATTTTTGATTATGTCATAAGTAGATGTACAATGTGTCTAAAAATAATGTTCGAAGGTGTAACAGTTGAAGCTTGTCCAACCAAGCGGAAAGATGCTCAGTATGTTGCCAAGTTCTTATGTAGGGAAGTCATAAGCAGATGGGGACTTTCAGAGTAAATATTCTAAGATAATGGAGAAGAGTGTGTGGATAAAATAGTGAAACTGATTTGAAAAAACTAAGAACTGAACAATGTTTGGGAGCTGTGTACCATCCGCAAAGCCAAGGTATCTGTGTAAAAATGAATGGGGTGATGAAAAACCCTCTGGGTAAGATTGACCAGCACACAGTTTTACATTTTGATGTCATAAAGGGGGAGTATTAATTAGGGGGAAATATGATAAACATGTCAAACAAACAAAAATGTATGTTTTTGGCAAGATACTGCTTAATTTTTTCATTCTCAGGACAGCAGTTGGGGAAGCCAGCGAAAGAAAGGTGGTTCTCCAGAGATCTAAACAGCCTTAATGGATCCACACCTCCCAACAAGAGAATCAAACACGGACAATGTAAACACAACTGAAACCTGACAGAGGATGTAAACAAGGACATTGCATTGGATACACAAACGGAGAACACCCATGGACAAGAACACTACACAAGCAGCCAAAGATGTTAAGGAGCAAAAATTATTATTCATTTTTATCATAGAGTTTGTTAATGGATAATCTGGGATTGAATGTCAGTTTATCTCTCTGTGTTGTATTTTGATGTTCATGCAAATACCAAACAGCATGGGAAGAATGGAAAGGATGAAAGGGGGGTTAGTGATTCATAGACTAAGTTGTAAGGTGAATGTATTGGGATCTCAGGTGTTTTCTTTGTTTTCTCGGTTTAGGATCAGTGGTGCTAGGCAGGGATAGATCCACCGGAAGGTCCGATGGGAAGACCAGCTTGACTGTGGATAATTTTAAACTCTAATTTTTGAGACTCCCAAGAATATTTGCTTCACATTGTGGTTTCACATAAAGTCTAACCCTTACTTTTCAATTGGCTTGGAGTACAATAGGTGGTTGCCTAAGGCAGAGGGACCGTGAGTGACTTTTCCCTGTCTAGATTGTTTGATGGATAATAATGGAAAGATAGCTGCCTGACAGGTTTTCGCTCTCACACTCCAAAAATAAGTAATAATAGTAATAATTTGAAATTGTAGAAATGTCTTTCCTTTTCCTTTCCTTTTTCGAGACTCGAAGGGGGGAAACATGTGGTATCTGGAGTACTGCACCACCATACAAGGGTTTGAGGCATTGCTCAGGAATAGCCTGAGCTGACCAATTGTGGAATGAGGGCTTGTGTATTTTTGTGTCTCTTTTATGGTACCTGGGTTGGATATCCTAGAAGCTGCAGTTTTGCAGGTCACAGGTCACCGGACACAGGTCAAATTTCTAGGCTAAATAAAAAATCAGATGGTAACAAAGATACCTTGGAAAATGTAGGAGGACCCACATCACTGACCCTATATAACAGGAGCCCAAAAACGCGGGTGAGAGAGCTGGACATCATTGGCCGTCCTCTCCCAGCAACTGCAGTGCTGTATTGATACTGGTTTTGTCTTTATAATAAACTCCTCTTATACAAGCAAGCCAGTGTCACGAAGCCTCCTTCTGCATCTACACATCGAGGACAGCCCAGACACAACACTCCTCAAACTGCATCAAAGAGCCCATGATTTCCAAAATTAATGCCAAATTTGGATTTGCCAGACCACAAGACGGCCTTGTACTTTACCTCAGTCCATCTTACAATGTAGAACTTAGAATGTAATTTTAGCAGACACTTTTATCCAAAGTGACGTATATTCGAGAAGAACTGGGCACAGCCAGCAGGGGCAGCCGGGGTCAAGTGTCTTGGTCAAGGGCACTTGGACAACACATGGACAGCTCTGGTATTCAACCCTCAGCCCTTCCAACTGGGGGATGACTGACTCTACCAATTGAGCCACAGCTGCCCCATCTTCAATGACCTCAGACTCAGTCAGTATTTACTTATTTTTTCCTCATTGCCAGGTCCAGTCTAAACCTGCATTTGTATAAAAGAAATAAACTGTGTTCAGAGACAGTGGATTTTGGAAGTGACTTTGTCCCCATGAAGTGATTTCCACTACAAAGTCATATTAATGTTAAATAATGCAGTGCCATATGAGCACCTGTACATCATAGCTATCCAGTATCAGTTATCTACAGAGGGGACAGTAAAGGACAAAATTCGCTTGTCTCTTTCCAAAGTCTCTGTTATTATATCATGTACTGTGATTGATGAAATCCCCAAATTCTTTGCAGTTTTACTTTGAAGCACATTAATCAAAATTGCAAAACAAGTTTCCATCCTCTGAGAGCCTCAGCCTCTCTGACATGTCCCTTTTATACCCAGTCATGTTACTAACCTGTTTAACATAGTTGTGAAACTGTGAACTGTTTTGAAATATGTTGCTGTCATTAAACTTGAAATGAGCTTCTATTTCTGATTTTAAAAATATCTTTTCTTTTCAGTTTTCACTTTGATTTTACTTTACTATTTTAATTGAATAAAGGATTAAATAAATGATTTGCAAACTATCAACATTTTCACAACGTTCCAATTCTTACAGGAATGGGTTTGAATCATGTCAGCTGTAGAATCACAATAAAGTCATGGATTTACAAATGGAGATATGATTTAAATGTACTCAGGATGTACTTTCTGGGTAAGACCTTGCACATTTCTGCACAAACTGTCAACATCTTTACTTCATTTCTCCAGTAATACGGGTCTACTTTAAAAAAAAAAAAAATGACTAAGATTAAAGTTGATTTTACCCTGATTTCATAGAGTTTCTAGATAGATTTTATACATCTAAAATTAGTGATTTTGTTAGGTAAAGTGCCATCAGGCTACATGTGAGACAAAGAGTATGTTATGTGGGAAAAACTTGTCACCTTGTTGCTGAAAGGTTGTTTTATGTTCAATATCATGTCCTTCTAAGCCTTAAACAGTAAAGACGCTTATATGAAAGCTGTTAGCTTATAAATATGAACAATGCTTGACCACAGGTTGATTTGATCACAAAGTTTGTGCACTGAACCTGCAGAGAAAGGACTTTCATAACATAACTGTATGAATATGTCAGGTAGGGGTTAAGGTCAAGGTTAGGGTTCATTCTTAAAAGGGGCCAAAGTTCATGGTTCATATAAAGAGTAGTTGTGTGCTGATACAATGATGATAGCCTTTTCTACTTCTACTCAGCCACTGGACAAAAGCAAGGTTTTATGAGGGTGACAGTCTTACAGTTTGGAAAACAAGAGCCAATCAGAAGCAGGATACCGTCTCAGATAAGTGATAATATCGCTCTGCAGTCCAGTCCAAAGGGATGCAATATTGGTACTGGAAGATTAAAGTTTTTTGTAAAAGTTCATTATTGTTATCTGCAAATAAGAAATTTTTGCCCATACAGTGGCCAATTAATAGTGTACAAATATTGACAGCTTGTGCACACCATCAGTGACCTTCAACATGTCGTCTGTGTGAAAGTATTCTGAAGCGTGGAAGTAGGAGTTAAAAAAACATTGCTGTAGTAATATCAGTTCAACTGTGCATCTCAGGAACCACCATACTAAACAACACTAGGAGTTTCTGGAAAGAAAGAAGCGAAAAGGAGTGGCATGAGAAAAAACCTGTCAGTGGCCTCTACATCAGTTATGAGACTGAGAAAATATAGCAGGGAAACCTGAAGAAAAAGAGCTAAATGAGAAAATTGTTGAATTCCTAACCAAAATGAGTTTGAAAATGTCAGCATATCAGCAAAATGCCAATGTTGTGTTCAATACTGTGTATAACAACATCTCAGTCACTCATGTTTGATAAATGAAGACACGGTTATGTTGTGTTTTTTTTAAATCCTATAACTCTGTCATATTAGTCTGTAAACTGTCTAAATCATTCTTTTTTTTTTTTGTTGCATTATTATTTCTCTGTCAATACCTCTCTGGCAGTCAGTTTACCTGATTTTATAGAGATTTATACATATTCTGTGTCCCCTATCTTAAAAATCACTTCTGCATACGGTATGTGCAACATGTGACACTTCTTAAACGACACAGACCTTTTTCTTTTATCATGGCCAGCAGAAAAGGAAAACATAAGCTCCAAAAGACAAGAATTTACGAATGACATGTGGTAAATATCCTAAGGATTTTTGTCTCTGTACACAGTATTGCCTCTGTCTTTAAAATGTCTGTTGATATTTTTTTATTTTTTTAATATGCTTTTTTAGATTGATTGTTCCTGTTATGGTAATGTATTAATGTACTTATGTAAAAATACCTATTGATACATGTTTTTCTTTTGTTCTACAACTACAAATGGAGAAATTAAGTCAGGACATACATCAGTACAACATACAAAACACAGTCCTTGACTTGACTTGTGGGTTGTTTGTTGGTTAAACTGGATAAAATGACAGGCACCCTTGAGGCTTATTCTCAAATTCAGTGTTTAGATCTTCCGTTTATATAGCAAAAAAGTCATCAGTATGTGTATCAGATAATTTCGTAAACAAAACACACAAAAAAATAACTCACTGGAGCTTTAAAGTTGTACATTTACTTTCCACTGTGATAGACTTTGTGTTGACTTTATAGCATCCTATGATGATGTCTTAACTCTTTTGGTGTAAATAATTGGCACCATCAGCATTGTAAAGGACCCATGTTATTTGTCAGTGAACTTCCTCTTTCTCCCTGTTCTGTGATTTTTACAACCGTTTACATTGTCCTCAAATATCTCAAAGAGAGGTTTCATTAGTTCTAAAATGACCATGTCTGTTTTGTCCCACAGGCCTCTCACTGTGTGCAGTTGTGTTATGTAAGCTTGCGGCTGCCATCTGCTCTGGCCTGCAGGTGAGTCCTGCTCTCTGTGGCTCCCCTCAACTGACATGTCTGCCAGCCTGTACTGAGGAGACACCAACTTCCTTTATCTGCCAGTTCCAAAATACTCCAGCAGAGAAAGTCCTGCCTACAATCTAATTCTTAATCCAGTGAAAGTAAAGGCAGAGTTGGAGAGCATACAAAAGTGAAGGACCTATTAAGCAGGGATGTGACTCCTGGGGCTGATATGTAACTGTGTTTTACATGATCAGATGTACTGTTGTTGTTGTAAAGTAATATTTAAAGCTCTTTTGAGGAAATAAGCAGTCTTTTCCTATCTTGTCATCTACATACGTAAGTTGTGTCTTTGACAAAGAAAGATCCTGTCGACTTTTGATAGTTTAATGTATAATTATTGTGATTATTTTAGGTTAAAACTGATTCAGCTGCTGCCCGTCTGACACCTTCCCTCTTGCAGCAGTTTCAGGCTTTAAAAATGATGGCACATAAATGATCAGTCTTATTTCCGAAGGTCTTGTTTGGTTTTGTGTAACGTAAAAAGGCATTAATATGAATTTCAGTCTATTTCATCAATGTCAATAAACTTCTTATAGGAGGTTTAATCACCAAAACTGGACGAAATTATTAGTTTTCTTTAGTTTTTTTGTATCAGACGGTGCTCTTTTTTACTCACCTGACAAAATGGACAAAAATATTTTTATTATAATGTATTTCATGTCAGTTTTTAATCCAAAAGAAGATTGGTAGCTATATTAATATATAAAGTAAAAAATTTACCCTTTCTATCTAAAAAGTTGTGACATATACAGTAGCATGTAATGTAACATAAAATGAAAATAAAAGTACCTTACTGTTTCTATTTGTTGCATGGGTGAACCTTTAATTAACTATGATAAATTCAACTTTGATTATGTACAAAATGAGCCTAAAGTGATGTTCTGGGTCTAAATTTAGCAGAAAATTTCATGCAGATTGAACAGAAGGCCGTAGACATCCAGACTCCAGGAATTCTGCCACCTCACTTCATCACAGCTGATGTGTTTATGAAAGACCTGATTGAACCTTGAAATCACTGAAGCTGGTGTGTTCACTTGATAATAATGAATAATGAAGTTATGATGAAGTTTTTCAGTCACATGCTGCCCAGAGCGTGTCCTCTCTGTTTTTTATCTAATGAAGCAGTTACAGGAGGAATGTGTCTGCACTTTGTATCTGATGCAATTCATCCCAAAAAAGTCCAGCTGATAGCAGATATCTACTGGATCAGGACCAAGTATCAGAGAGGCTTTGGTTGGAATCAGTTTTTTAGTCCTTGACATGGGGCTGCAGTTGAGAAATGTCAATACCAAAAGTCTAGGGCATCAGTGAATTAATTTCATAAGCTGAAGAGTTGGTTTGATTCAAATAAACTAACAAACTTCAAATAAGAAGTCTGCTCCCAGTCTGCTCTTCCTAATGCCGCTCAGTGCTACACCCACATTAAACATAGAATTTATTGTCATATATTGTAAATATATTGTCTTTTTTTTTTTTTTTACTGTTTTCTTTATGAAATCTATTAAACAAACGTAAATATGAAGCATACAGATTATTTAGAAACAGACCTTACAATGACCGATATGAAAAGTGCAAGAGTTGAAAGACCACTTTCATTTTAACCCAGTAAACACTGGTGAGAAGCTAAAATCATGGTAATGGGCTCTGCTATCACCACATACCCTTCAGTGGACATGGCCCCAAACAGGAAGTTACTCTAACTTAAACATGCAAACTGCCTCAAACTTTATATGTATGATTGAAACCCTCTTCTCAAAAGGTTGACTGTCTACAAATGCATTTCTGTCATAGCTCCACCTATTGGTGAGAGGTAGCAAGCTATGAATAAGGGGCGATATAGAATCGAAGTTAATTTTTTCTCTTTCTCTGAGTAAGGCAGTGAAGCTGCAACACACTGTTACTGCAGCGCACCTTGACTTGAACCAAACCTCAAAGTACATAATTGTGGGAAGGCCTGGAGTATTTACTTTTCTATTTTAATCTAATTTTCTGAAACTATTCTTGCTCTTGAATTACTTCTTGTTTATTTGATTTAGACCTGAAATAAAGAGAGACTTTAATTTCTGTTGATCTCAAATGTCCCAGACTTTCATATTTCCTCTTTCTACTTTTGAACTTTCTCTAAATTGGATTTTGCTGGTCCTCGCTCATTGTCCCTTCGCAGCTTCCTTTGTTCAGGTGAGGCACCTTAAATTCCCTCAGTGTTTCAAATAAAGCTGCCTTGCCTCATGTTGCCTCTCCTGTTATTCATTATCTCAATGAATGCAAAGGGTTTATACCTGTTTTTAGTGTTCCACCTTCTTATATAAGACATGCTGTGTACTGTATCTGTGGAGCAGATACCAAATCATCACCAGATATGCCTCTGTTATCATGCAGGCTTCATTTCTGCATTTTATTTTTCCTAAAGTTTCAAGAAGCACTTATATTTCCCTCCAGATAGGACTTTTAACTTTGAAACCTCGAGAATAAAGAGAGAGTCTTACACTGATGTTGTCACATGTGGCTCCCCAGTGTCGACTCTGTTTATGTTTGGCTTTCTTTAAGGTGAAGCTGTGATAAGATATGAGCCAGGGGTTACAGTGAACATCTTGATTATTCTGAGCTTTGACCGCTGTCTTCAAAAATAAGTCAATAATGTTGTTACCCTGACCTCACTCACACCCACCTGAGAGACCTGACACCAAACAATCATCAACAGTTGTCCTGGCAGAGGGCCAGGAAAGGACCACTCAACACAATCATGCACCTGGACTCAGTAACTGTTTGTGAAATACCAGCATTGACAACAACAAAAAAGAAAACATTGATATCAATCTTAAAATAAGCAAACATTATACTTTGTAACTAATTAATTCACAGTATGGGTGGTGGTGGTTCTTTGTGCTGGTTGAAGCTAATAAATGGGAGAAAATGAAGGAGCAGCAGAAGAAGACTCAGTAACATAGACTGCATATCCTATGGACAACTTGGTTCCACCTTCTGCCAGTATATAAATTTGAGGCCAAATTGCTGTCAGTATTTCCAGGTTTTTTCTCCACTTCCTGAAACCGTCATTGCGCAGTAACGTTGTAAACAATCCACCACTTGCGCAGTAGCATTATACACATTTGGCAAGTGAGTCACCGAGATTCACTGTGATGACGCTCGGCTCAAACAGCGTGTCCCCTGGGAGAGCTATGCAATTTTCGTACGCCCATAGGCTGTATCAAGTGTCAAATTTTAAAAATGGAGCTGCACAGAAAGAAAATATTGAGATGAAATGCTACTTGAAATGCGAGTAGGAAATAAATACATTTGAGCAAGACAGGTACTTTATAAACACTATATATAATTTAAGCAACTTAAAGTGCTTTACAGAGTGAAAAACAAAAACATTGAAAGCATCAGAAGTAATATGGAATTAAGCAAGATTCAGCCTTTATATAAAGAATATATTTAAATTTCTTAATTTAAATTTCAGATCAATAGAAGGAAAAAAAAAGAAGACGGAGAGGGTTGTTGATCCCAAAGGGAAATACAATATTGGAGGAAAAAAGAAATAAAAAAATCAAAAAGAAATCTGATCTCAGTTATTTGTTCACGTTGTTAAGTTCATGAAGTTACATGTTTCTCCAACCTTGTCATGTCATTCTTAAATTTTGTTGAAGCATCTTTTTTATGTTTTATAAGTGTTGCAATAATGTATTTGTCCTGGCCATGATAACTATAGGGCCAATACTTTATCTCCTAACAGCCCTTGTTAGGACATAAAAGTTTCTTTCCTCTTCTGTTTGGAAGAAAAATATTGTAATTGTTAGAAGAACTGCAAATCTTTTGACACACTCAAACATATCAGTACGAAAGAAATATTCCACTAATTAATTATCATGAAACAATCCTAACGACTTGGATAAACCGTCCCAAAATAAATCTGACCAATTTGTGCTTTTGTGGGTTAAATCTTTACTTTTAAAACTAGAAAAATTGCATTTTGAAACTTTTCCATAAGCCAAAGCTTTGCAACTTCAAAACAGGATCAAACATTTATTGCCACCTTAGTGTTATAGACGCTTACAAATCATCTGCATACTGATGCAGAATCATCTTCATTCTCTGTCTATCATAACTTTTGTGCGACTTTATTTTGAAATACAGCAATACCCAGTCATTTCTCATTTTTGCATCACAGCACTGCTGCAAGTTATAACATTTAGTCAGCATTTTCAACAGCCCAACACACACACACACACACACACACACACACACACACACACACACACACACACACACACACACACACACACACACACACACACACACACACACACTTCTGCACACTCAGCTGGTCCAGTCTATGATGAAATTATCAGGGCATTGCCCAACCAGCCAGTCTCTTTCCCTGTGGTAATATCAGAACTGTGCCATGTAGTCTGTGCCATGTTGTATAAAAGTGTCTGCCAAAGTTCACAGACAGTCTTATCATTCAGGAATGTGAGCCAAAACCGGACATTCAACTTTTAATACTGAGCTTCGACTAATAAAACAATAAATGTGACACGTATTCATATTTACTGAGTGTTTGGTGGACTGAACACCTGTACCACATGAGGGTCATGTCCAGTAGACTCTGATCAGGTTTGATAACGGAGTGTGCAGGTGTTAGCAAGAGTTTTAAACAGATTTGTTGTTTCATTTTGAGAACCTGAAAATTTTAGACAATTTTAATAAATATGAGGCAGATAGGAACAGTTCAGCATCAGTGAATCCATCTGTTTGTTCTGATATCTTTGTAAAATATGAGATCGTAAGTATTGTCTAGCAGGTGAATGGACACAAAAAACTGCTAAAGTATAACCAATGAACTGCTAAATGAAATCTTGATAACCATAAAAATAAAACAAAAACAAGCTGCTTTTACACATTTTTTTCTTGGTCTATTTCTTGACCTTGTTTCAGCTGTGACTCCCAGGAAGCTGTTTCCTGTACTTTAACCCTGAAGATAAACTAAGTCCTAACCTCCTGGTTACAGCTCCATGAGTAATGGAAAGACTTAATACCATCAAGGCTATTATTATCTTCATTTAAATTGTGTACGAAAGTGGGCTGGTTGGAGCCATTGAGCTCCTGAGCTGAAATTGAGGCTCACTCTAGCCTTGGTTTCAACCATGTTCCGTCTCTACTTTAGCAACTGTAGAAATCAGCAATATGCACTCTGGAATTGAAGTTTTGGGTTATGCCAGTGCAGAAATTGTCATAAATGGACACAGACCTTTATTCTGCACCAAATGACAATCACTCAATTACCACCAAAGTCAGACATTGAGAGCACTGAGTAGATAAAAGTATCTCGCGTTTTATCAGCAAAGTTCACTTAATCACAAAAACAATGAGAAATGGCACAGGTAAATAAGTCTTTTTACATCTGACATTGTTTGCTTTTAGTGAAAGTGCGTCTACTTTGAACTCTTATATGGTTATTCCCAGTTGTTTCCCATATCCCAAGTGTGAGTCGCCTTCATGGGGGTCATAAGATAAACTTGCAGGTTTATTGATCGATGATAGAAGAGCGAAAGTAGAAAAATCAAGGTCATCATACCCTTTGATCTGTGAAATTGTAATTATTGTTTGAAGTGGGTAACTTTTAATTTTGCTTTTTTTTAGGTAGAAAGCTGATTCTCAGAGCTCTAAGGCTTCATTTAATTTCATAACAATCGGACAGTTGCTAAACACAGCTAAAAAACTCAAAGAGATGGGGTATATTGCATGTGCTTTTTCTCAGTCAAGAAGTGATCCTTGGCATTAATCGCTTTGTTGAGCTGTGATGAATGGTATGACAATTTATCTTGGAATATGGAGTAGAAGTAGATAGGAACAAACTGTAAATACTGATGTACAAGTGAAAGTCATTTATGTCTCATGGACTTATTGCAGAAACGAAATACAAACAATTCAGTTTTGTAGTGTATGCAAGATTTTTATTGTCCATGTAAAAAGTATTTGGAAAGTTACAGTATGTTGAAATTACTGATGTTTCATGACAGTGTCTGAATCTGATGCTGCAATCTGAACCAACCTTTGACTCTGTTTGAGAAAGAAGCACATCTTTCACAAAACGCACTGCCCTGCACGGACATCCCTCATGAAAAAAAATCTTTAGTTAGTGCTTCCTCAGATTATTTCTCTACACAAGTTGATGGAAGAAACAGCAAAGTTTCAGTGAGTGGATATGATATGTATATACCAAGATGGCAGCTTAACGATTGTACCATAAGGTTTAATTGCATGCTTACAAGCTAGCTTTACTTGATCATCACACATTGATGCAATCTAATAACTTTATCATGTTCAGTATTTTTGACATTCACCAGAGCAAAGATAATTTAAAGAACACTGTTATTGCCCAAGAAGATGCTAAATAAGACATGCCACCATGTAGAGTTTGACTTTATAGACTAATAAGTTCTCACAGAGAAGCTCAAATACCTGAATATGCATGGACTTAGACCTAAGCTTATAACATCAGTTAGCAAACAGTGTTAGGATGTAGGAATTAGTCAAATGCAAAATTTTGCTGTTGAAACTCAGCTAGCATCAGCATATTGATTGATTGTTTTTTCATTGAAATATCAGATGATGCCTCTGGATTTTAGTCGTCTGTGATCGTTACAGTAGCTGGTAAAATGAGAGTTGTTGTATGGTGTATATAACCGGTTACAGTTTATTTATTTGTAAATGATGGTTGTTGTTAGCAGAGTAGAGCGTACAGTGTTTATCAGAGGCTAAAATGATCTTGGTCTGACCACCACAGCTTTAAAAATAAATATGCACTTGAATCCTTCAGTTGTTAGTCCATTTAGACAAAGTTCAGATGTGTGTCCTTGTCCACTCCGTAGTTTCCTTTGTGCTCCTCAAACAGGTTGCTGAGCTCGTCCATGTAGAGCTGATGGAGGCCATCGAGTTGCTCTGCTGTCGGCTTTTCGTTCTTCTCCACTCTGATCGGCCGCCCCACTGCAGAGAGGTGAAGAGGTGAAGGATAACACACTCAGTCAGTTTACTTTCTGATTTCTAATGTTGTCTGTTTGATGCAACTTTATCGGTTTGTTGATCCAGAGCATGATGGTCTTACAGGCCAATCAGCTACTGATTTCACTGTTGCTGAGTGTGCAGCAGACTGGGCATCATCTCAGCTGGTTGACAAATCCTGCTCTTTATCAGTCTGATATTGTTCACGTTCACACAAACTCTTTTTGGCAACTATGTGTCTTTAGATGCTTTCTGCCAAAATCAACAGCGGGTGAAGAAACACATGAGTGGTGATACTGTACCAAAGGTTTTTGTCGACTTACAGGCATTACAGACTGGATCAAATAAGTGTAGGTAGCCTTTTGGATTCAAATCTTAAACCGGGTCAGAAGTGCCTGAAACGTATATAGTTTAAACTGTCTAGAAAGGGGCGACTCAACTGGTTACCTGTACACAGATATATATAAGAAAAAATGGTTTTAATCCTAAGTAAGAAACTGCCTTACTAATTATTTTCTCAATGACTTTGTTGTGCTCATTACTAGTTTTAATCTCCTTCAGTATAGCTGAATGGTTGTTTTAAATACTTTGAGTCTCATTTATAAAAAGTTTAACTATTATCATCCACATATTCTCACACATGGTAAGTTTGGGGAAAAAAAAGATTGACAAGAAAATGTTTTCTTTCACAGCAGGACAGCCTGTGAAGGAGAGGCTCTCATCAAGGCAACTTCACAACCAGACATGAATAATGGACTGGAGCTCTTCGGCTGCTGCTGTTGTACAAAAGTGAAACCTAGATACCCCATAGGATAGACTTTAATATCTTGATGTTTTTGAGGCCAAAAGGCATCAGAGGGGACTGGCGGTAGGGTTTGCTATATTGACATACATTTAGTCCTACTCACTTAACTGACACATTAGTGAAATGACAAAGATCTCTCAGGCTGAGGTTAAAACCCTGCAGGGGTCACTCGTATTGAGTTATGTAAAGCACATTTGATGCTTGTTTACATGAAATGTGCTTCACAAATCAACTTGACTTGAGCTTGATTATGACCCAGTTACACAGCATCAACACAGTGAATGAATCAGTAGAGAAACTGTCAGCACTCTCACTCACCGCAGTCTGTACTGTACTTTGATAAATAAGCATAATGTTTACTGACCTATTGTGTGGATGGGTTTTCTGTAGGGCATGAGACCGAAGGAATACTGGAAGATACCACGAGCATGGAAAAGAGGCAGAGAGATACCCATGATGCTTTGCAGATGTTCCTGTGTCCATCTTAACCAGGTACCCCGTGAGTTGTCCACCTGATCAAACACTTCATTCTCTCCGAAAGAGAAGACTGGCACCAGGTGAGCCCTGAAAACAGATTTATGACAAAAAGTGTTGTTAAATTGATCAAATGGAGTTGTTTTATTGTTCAATACTGGGTCATAGAAAGGAGCAGTGGCATTTCTTTACAACGGTTACAGTCCGTCATAACATGAAATGAAACTGCAGGAACAGCAGCAACAACTTAGCTAGCTAACACTTTTTAATCTGATGTTGCAAAAAGATGCGAGTGTCCTCTCTACATGAGAGTTTTTGGAGGTTTTATCAAATAAATAGGGTGTTTGTTGATAACATGTAATATAGGCTCACATGATGAGAAGATGATGAGTTTTTTTTTTGTTTTTTTTTTATAAAGAAGTTTCTGTGACAGAGCTTATTAAATGACTTTGAACATCATTAGAGATGGATGATTTTTTGCAAGCAAGTCAGATATATTATTAGTAAAGTTTATAGAGAAATAACACACCACTCTTGTCTTACCCTTTCTGAATTTTACTGATCATTGTTTCTCTCAAAAATTCCCATAAATTGCTTAATAGTATTATCATCATAATTTGGGGGGCAGCAACAATCCTGACATGAAAATGTAATGTTGCAACATTTAACACAAGCTGTATTTAACAGAAGGTTAAATATTTGATCTTACCCGTGCTCCATGGCCATTTTGATGAAGCCTTTCTTCTTTGCCAAGAGGACATTGAACGTGCCAGGGTGGGCATCCAGGGCCTCTGGGGCACCACCAACAGCAATTGCAACAGCATGGCCTCCTTTGTTCCTATGTAGTGGATAACTGGCACTCTCTTTATCTGAGGGGATCAGACCTGCAGGGTTGTGATGACAAATGATCAGGGATATGATAAAATACACCATTCAGTGTATATGTCAGTTTTATGTCAGGGCCACATTGATGGCCACATGATGTTTGCTCATATTATGTGGCTCGCAGTCAGAAAGCTGCCTTTGACCCGTGCTGTCAATGCTCATTTGCCTTGTGAGTCCAGGTATCAACACTCACTTACTATCTTAGCCAACACCATACCTTTTACCTTTTTTTAAAAAATGATTTTGTGCCTAAAAAACAACGAAAAAAGATTGCAGATGGTATATTTTGTGCTTCCTATATTTTATATTCAACAATTGAGCAAATACATTAAGTTTACATGAACTTCATCCTGTTATTTTTCCTACTAACCAAACACAACACAACACGACACACACAAAAGGTAGTGATGCATCAAAAGTACCTCCTTATGTGCCTTTTATTTGATGAACAAAAGATTTCAAAGACATCTATGGTCACCTGATACCTGATCAAACCTGTCATATCAGATCAATACCTATAAAGGAGAGCAGCACAATTCACCTCTGTTGATCACAGATGACTCTGTGGCAACCCCAAAAAATGTTTTTTTTTTTTTTTTTTTTTTTTTTTTGGGGGGGTTTTGAAAAAGGAGCAACTGGACCCAACTATTCCAATAATGAGTAACACCCTGTCCTGCAATCCAGGCAACAGCTCAGCTACACAGCACTGCTGAGAAACTTAAACTTTAAGGGCTCTATTTTCGTGCCTTGCCGGCGACGCGGTGTAAGTCAGGTCTGCCGCGCCGACAAGGCGTTCCCAAGCACAATTTGGTATTTTGGTGAGAGGCGCAGCCCGGCATAAGTATACCCCCTCCCTAACTCAGCTCCTCCCAGCGGCGTAAGTCATAGGGAGGGAGGATAGAGGCTGGGAGTGGGTTTAACACAGCCGAGACCTGTATTGACCAATAACATCAGCTCCTCTCCTCGCCTTTAAATCCGCCATCGGCAAGGCGTATTACAATCTTCGTGGAGTAGTAAAAGAGATCAAGACATGTCTTAAGCCACACGATGGCGACAAAATGCAGCCCCTCAACAAGTGTCACTGTAAGCACTGCATTGGGCGTCCTCCACACTCTCTCATATAAGCACAGATGGATTTGGTGTGCGTAATGTTGAACCCACTAGTAAGACAAACACCCTTTTCCACAAATAAAGACACTCACATAAAGTTGCTCATATTCAAAACTCACGTGACAAAGGTGGGTTGAGCGCAAAGATCACATCATAAATTCCAATAATGGCATTAAAATCGGAACCATCTGTGCGTAAATGATGCATCGCGCTCCGTGGCCTGGCTCTTTCTTTCATAGATGTTGGCATATAAAATAAATTTGGCCCACAAAACTGAATATTATAATATGTAGGCTTATGTATATGTATGTAGGCTTAAAGTAAATAACTCATCTGATCACTGAAACAAATCATCTGTTCAGCCGCTGCAGCAGCAGGACGGGGAGAGGACACAGAGATGTGTCCAGGTCTAGCTGTGCGAGAAATAAGAGGAAGAAAGAAAAGGAGGGAGACAAATTACATATCTTGTTAACTTCATCATGTGTGTTTATTTACTAGATATTAAATTTAATGCGGTTTCAGCTGTGTTGATTCGGTCAGGTTGAGTATCCAAATGCGTGCCAAATGCACTCATCAGATTAGATATAGATCAGAATATATCGATATAGATCTAAATGTATGTGCTGAGTCAGATTATTATTTGTTGTCAATTATTTATAGCGCTGAAATGTGCCTGACACTGGAAATCTGCCGTTGAGGCATCTGTGATGTATGCCGATATGCCGCCGGTCTACCAAAATACCACTAGACCAGCTGAACTCAGCCTGCGCTGAAAGCTGACCAAGTTTGCATCGGCGAGCTTTCAGCGCACTTTATACGCCTGCGGCGAGCACGAAAATATCACTGCACCCGCTGATTCTGTCGACACCTCCCCCTGCCACGCCACCACGCCCAGCTTGGTGGAACTCGGTGTGCCTCAGTCCACAAAAATACCAAACTGGCTGTACGCCGGGCTCCGTCAGATGAAAATACAAGTGCGCGAGTCCACCACCCTCCGCCACGTCCCAGGTGTACAAGAAGATAGAGCCCTAAGTGGTGGTGATGTTATTAGTTCTGGCTTTTGCTTCATTCAAGGGTGACTATGGCACAAGAGTTGGTCAGTCTCATCTTTGATAAGAATATACTTTTTACTTTGTTAACTTGGTTTAATTTGTTAGACAGAAAAACTCTCATTCAGTTTCACACCTGCACACATGATGTAGTCTCTGAAGAAGGGGGCTCTGAACCAAAGAGGCAGCATAAGCAGGTAGGTGGTGAGTCCAGGGAACAGCTGTCGTAGGCCTGTGGCGTAGGTGCAGAAGTTGGTGAAGGCTCCGGCCACCAGAACACCATGAGGATGGAAACCCAGGACGTAGTTATGCCTGGGATCCAGGTCAGTGGTCTTCACCAGCTTTGGAAAAAAAGGAAAAATAGTGTTGTTAAAAAGAAAAAGAAATGACGTTGATGAACTTTTACTCAGAGAATAATGGGATTAAGATTATTTACTAAGTAATGATTGGCTTCAATCTCCTTTGAGTCGAGTTAGAGGAAGAGTCAAACTGAATGTATTTTGATCATAATTTGAGCCTTTATTGAGTTGGTTTGAGGATCATACATTTGGACTCCAACACATAATTGGTGAAATTTTACTGCAAACAGACAATGGAATTAAAGAAGTTGGGTAAAAATTCCAAAACCATTTCTTGTGCCAGGTTGTAAACATGGTCATTTTTATGGGAACCAACCTCAAATAAAAACTAGAGAAAACTCTTTTTTTTCAGTTTTACATTATCTTTCTTTTATTCATCATTTACCTTATATAGGGGTTCTCATTTAAACAGATCTGCTAATTTTTTTCACTTATTGAATGATCTAAATCCAATTATTCTCTGTTATTCATTAAGAAAAGCCTTATTTTGTATTAGAAATTCAACAATTGATAGATTTGGTGTATAAGGTTCACGTGAGCACTCGGTTCCTCTCTATCCTCAGTTGAAGCCCAAACAATGGATCAATACAGCGTTAGTCACTGTGCCTCTACTGCAAAAAACAAACACACAAAAATAGAAGTCTGTGTATGCAGACTGATATGAAGAGTTGACATTGGACATGTCACTGAGGTTCATGTGAGCTTTTAAGCAATTAAATCCTTCATATATGCTGTAATCTTCTACACCATTTTGCTCTACTTCATTTACTTTAGCTGCTGCTGGGCAAGTTTTGAATGTTACTAGTTTTCTCGCTGATAAATAGATTTACACATATGACATCTCCTGAGTCATAATGCAGGATTTAAAGGATATCATTTTTTTTTTTTCAACACTTTCCCATGCTTTGAGGATGGCCAGTACTCCCAGGTTTTAAACTTATTTTTGCCTGCTCATGCTCATGAGTCTGAAGTCATAATCTGAAAAGACTCAGAGGATGTTTTGTATAACCATTCAGACTTTTCAGAGTACTCCATGTGGACATCATTTAAAGGTCATAACTAAAACCTTGTTAAAAGTTCTGAAAAAGCCATAAATTGACATACAGCCAATAAAAACTTTGTACTATCAAACCAACACAAACCTTCCTCTGATGTGTTCCTGTGTCGTGTGACGTCAAGTTAGCAGACATAAGAAACTGTATCTAAATTTTCTCAGACCATTTAAGATGTTGTCAGAGTTTTTATGTGGATTTTCCCACTGGAGCAGTTTTGAAGTGTTTCTGATTCTATGTGAACAGATGAGAGGTTACAGTGTAACAACTAATGTAGCCTTTAGCCTAAAAAGGAGACGTGGCTTATTCAGCTCTGACAAGCTCAGCCCAATCAATAAAAAACCTTGTCAATACAACAGATTTATCAGAACAAACAAGAGCAGAAGGACCAATGTGGTCCCCTTCACACTGAAACACCAAGGAGTAACTGAGGCTTTTCAGCAAAAACAACTTTTTCCATGCTCTTTAAAATCCTGCTCCGATTGTTTCTTTTTTTACTATTTTTTTTACTAAGTGTTATCATCTTGGATTTGTGATGTAGGAAATCTCACTGCGTTTGAGCCTGCTGTTTGGGTCTCTGCCAGAAATTCACAGCAATTTGAATGCAGAAATACTCAGAAATGCTATTTTGCACTTTGTTTTGTCATGATATGTTCTGTAGCATCAGAAAAATGCCATCTAACAAGTTAAAAAAAAAAGAAGAAAAACATGATTTTCATTAAAGTGGGTATTAAACCATTGAATAAAATAAAGTAAATAAATTACATCCTTGGAATGTATTTAAGGATTACCAATTACTGATATTTCTGATAGCTTAGACTAAATTTTCACTTTGCTAGTACCACACTTTTGTTGTTGTTGTTGTTGTTGTTGTTTACTGTCCAAGAGATTAAAAACTGAAATTTGTACTTGTTATCACAGGAACATGGAGATAGTAAATCATATATATCTTTGTCTTTTTGAAGCCATAGAAGCTGGGTCCATTTCTTCTCTCTCACTGGTGCATTCATAAATTGACCAAAGTCCAATAAATTGATTTAAGCCCAATCAGTTATTTGTCTGCTCTACAGTAATGGTTTTAACATTATAAATTTTGGTTGTATTTTGGGATGAAATTAAAGGAATATTTCAGGGCATGTTAAGAAGGATAAAGAGCATTATTATATTTTGTAGCCCTATAAGTGAGGAGGTATTGATTACAGGGGACTGTGGTCACTCATAGTAGTGAAAGGACAGGTCTTATCTTTGAGAGGTCAAAATGAACTCAGGGATCACCAAACACTAAGGTTGTGTTTTTGAATCACGTGCAATAGAGCTCAAGGACAGCAAAATAACCAAGAGAAGAGGAAACTGATGGACCTGCAGAGAGGACGTCCTTCCACTGTAAGACAGTCTATGTTCTCCAGACCTTAACTCACACTCTCAGGACAGACTACTGGGCCCAGTTGTTGAAAAACAGTCTGATCAGATTAAACTTTTTGGACAGGATCAAGTTACCCTTTTTTTTTTTTTTTTTTAACCAGACAAATACACCTGTTTCTATTTCTCAGAGCTCCTTCGGAGGATTGGGGTTTGACTGGGCAAGAGAAAAAAAAAAAAAGATGGTCTTAATCCAAGTGTAGGGCTGGATTCAGACTAGATTATGGGAACATAATGTATAACCCTAACATTATAAAGAGTTGTGACAGTGAGTAAATGATTGATGGAATCAGATTTTGATGATTGAGAAACATTTAAACCACATATTTAATCAATAATACTACAAAGACATCACAACACATGTTGAAACTGAAACAAATTAGTGTGTCATGGAAAATATATATGCTTGTTTTATATTTGACACCAGTAACATATTTCGAAAAAGTTGCTTTGAGAACAACAAAACACTGGAACAGTAATCAATATTTAAATAAGTCAAAGGCTGAGTGTTAATTAATACTGAATGCCAGTGATCTTGAAGTGGAACCAAACTAAAAACAGACATAACTCTGTAGTAGAAATCACTGCATAGGCTAAAAGATGCTCTCGAATCCCATGTGAACACAGGGTGATGTAAAATGTGAGTTTTAAAATTCTCTAAATTTAAAATTAGTTCATATTTTTCACAAATTAATATGATATTATCAGTTTTAAGCCCAGATATGTTGTTTTGCTCTACTTTTAATCAAATATGAGGTTACGATTATTTCTAAACCTCTGAAATTCTTTTGTTTTTTCTGGTCAACATTAAAAGCACAAACCAACTCCCTTGGTGTTAGGGTTGAAATAAAACTTGAAAAAAAAAACCTCATTACAGTAGCTTGGATACGTACGAATTTTTATGAAATTTTCCTCTTTTCATTTTCTTTTTTGCGTCTTAGAAAATTAAGGTAGAATTAAGGTTTTAGTGGCATCGATAAAAACATCACATTGAATTAAAAGCAAATGAGAGGATCTTTTAGTTTTTGCAGATTCAAGCACCCCTGAGGATAGAAGTCTGTAGTTTGGTTTTTGGTTGATCCAGAGATGGTAATCCTCCAAAATCTGTTGATCCTGATTTATTTTATCAAACATGAGCAGGATTATCATGATCCCAAAAGATAAAAAGAGAATTTTGTAATTCATATCATTCGTATCCAGATGATACCTTTCCCCGATGAAGCCCAGATGTTATCCCCATATTACTGTTTAAAGTTGTGTTTCACAGTTTACCCTGAACCGAGGTGATATTCAGTGATTGATAGAGTATATATATTTTTCTCTAACAAAAGGAACTTTAGGTTTGTCACCCCTCCATGAAACTGAGTGACTTTTCTCTGGAGTATCAGAAGTAATGACCAGATAAGATACTGTATCTCACCCTCACTGGCTCAGAGCAGAGTGAGGTGCAGATAATACAGGGCACTACAGGTCACCGTCGAGAGTAAAGCCTGGTTTGTTTTGCAGCACATGGTGAGCATTGTGGCCTCTTAAATAACAAATCTTCTCCCCTCACTGATTTTATCTGTGTTTGATCAGTATTTTAAGACCCTACCGCTCTACTCTTCAGGGGAAATTCACGGCCAAATTATCAGGGAGCCACGCTAACTCCTCATGACAAAAACTTTCATTCACTTTTTTATTTTCCTTTTTTTCACTGTTATCTAATTAATGCTACAAGATTCCTCCAGCACAGATGCAGAACTAATTGTTCTAGTCTTAAGTTTTCTAGCAGTAATCCCCCTCACAGTGAAAATTGACATTAGTGCTGTAGAAGTAAGTCCAGATTTATGACCTTAACAAAGCAGGTGTGTTGTTTTGCATCCGCTCTGTTTGTGCTGCTCATGACCTCAAACTCTCACAGTTAATCATTGTCTTGATTTCCCTATTATGGAGGCCATAGTGGCTTAGAAACAGAAAAAAACTGTCATCTAGTGACCAATTGGAGAGAAGGTGTTACCACGACATCATCTGTATTGTTGTTTTCAACCATAAGGACTTTGGTCAATTTATGAATGCACCAGTGAGAGAGAAGAAATGGACCCAGCTTCTGCGGCTTCAAAAAGACAAAGATATATATGATTTACTATCTCCATGTTCCTGTGATAACAAGTACAAATTTCAGTTTTTAATCTCTGGATCCCAACTTCACCTCAGATGATATCAACCTCTATCCCCACAGTTGCAAAAGCAAAAAACAAACATGTAGATTGGCTTGGCTACGTTGTTGGTGTGAGCAATGGCAGCATGGTATGTTGTGATCTAGTATGTTATCCTCCCTACTCTGCTGGACAATTAGCCTGTTTCCATAAGAAAAGAAAGCTTGGCCATCCTGAGATAATAAAAACAAAGCAAAGATCATTGGAGAAATTAAAACATAAGGTAGCTTGTCTGCTCGGTGCTCCTATGGTGATTATTGCTTGCATTCCTTCCCTACTGTAAATCTTTTCACCCAGAAGATGGCCCTTATGATCTGGCTCAATCTTTGCCATGGTCATGCATCGTTATGACGCCACCATGACTTGCCACAAGCAACTTGAAATGATCTTTAATTCATGGTGGGTTTCTTCGCTGCACATGGCTGTCACAATACGTAGCGGTTAAGACCAGTCAGTGGTGCTACTGTCTTCCTTCGACCTGGAAGATTAAGTCCTAAGAGTGAACACACCAGAAAAGTGTTGCAAAAATAACAAGTATTGACAATACTACATCACATCATAAATTTTTTTTTTAAAATCACCCACTTTAGGCCTGTTTATGAATGAAACAATGTTTGTTTTCTGACCCGTGACCCTTTAATTTGCATTATGTTGGCCCTCAGCAACTGGACTAGAATCCATAGAGGTTATGAGGAGAATTTTTGTTTGTGTACTGAGGGATGACAATGAGTAAATGGTGCAATCTGTTGGAAAACAGTAAAAACTACTAATTTGAAGCCTTAAGTTGACTGTATATTATAAGATATTGATTGCTTTTTATGTTTTCAGGACCATGCAATCAAAAATCCTAAATATAACGGGTTGAGGTATTGTGAGTTTTGGTTGAACTAACTCTGATTGGTACTTAATTTGTTCTTGCATGTGTACACCCACCCCAATCTGCCTCAAACTGGCTTAGCCTTGGCTTTAGCCTCTTAGCTAACTTGTTTGTTGATTGTTTTAGTATGTGATCTAACAGGTCAACTGGAAAAAAGACCATTAAAAACTTATCACCACTCACTGCAGCTGTAACAGATATACTCTTGTCAGTAAATCTCTATCTTTGTAAACTGGGACACTCACACAAGTCAGGTGAAACTGTTGTAACTGCAACTTAACACAAGTTGTTGATCTGTTAGCCAGGTTAGAGACACGCTAGCCCCTGTCAGCTGCCTTGTTTTGTTGTGTTTGGTAATAGCCTACAGACATGGGAGAGGTTTTCGATTAGTGACACGCTTGGCTTAAAAGCAGAACTACTATATTAAAGCAGATCATGTGCATAGATATGATGTAAGTAAACATATTCTTAATGTGTAGATGAGAGTGGCAGTTCAACAGCTACATGTCAAATGTACAGAAGATGCTCATTTCTCAGCATTCATGGCTCTTTCAGTTTTCTAGTCTTTCTTTTTTTACTATGTGCTGTCGAGGATTTGGAAGCCCTGGCTGCTGAATGTATCCCGTTAAAATTTTAGTTATGTATTCATCTGCAGCATCATCCCATCTAAATATGTTCTACTCTTAAAAACAAGGAGGGACATGTCATCTGGTGACTTTTTAGTTTGAGCTGACGGTGGTGTGATTAGAAACGGTGGGAAGAGACACACCAATGAAACTAATGAGTCTCTCCAAAGGACACTGCTCCTCTTTACTCTCACATTGACTCTTTGTTTCAGGCTTAATGCGACATACAGTCAGATGATCCTGGAGATAATTCACTTTGAAAATGATACATGAGATCCAGAGTTTAAGAGGGTTTTCTTTCTCAGAAATGAGTCCGCGTGTGTTCAGTGTTAACAGTATGTAAGAATATACTCTATATAGAATATACTAATAATTTTTATATTCACGCTGACTGACACTGTTTCCACCTTCAATAACACTGACCATCAACACACTGATCACTGCCTGTTATTTACAGCACTGTAAACATTCATATCTGCAGTTCAGTTCACAGGAGATTGTACTTGACTTGCCCTCTGTCTCTTTTGATCAAAACTTTTCTGTCATGAAAAGTTTCTGAATGTCATCATCAAAGCAGAACGAGTCACCAAAACTCAGTTTGCCTGCAGATATGTGAGTCTCCTTCAGAGCCCCAGTTGCATCATTTTTGACTCTAATGTGAAGCCGTGCAGAAAATTTTGAGCAGCTGTCTGATGCAACTCAACACAGAAGATCAACAAAAGCTCAGAGTTATTTATTTTTATTGAACCCATCTCAAATATCTTGTTTCAGTGTTGCATTGTAGTGCAAGTTGCAGATCTCATGCAGTATTAAAAATATTATCTTTTACTATTTATTTTAAATTAAAAAATATATATATTTATTGCTCAAATTGTGTACATTTATTCTTGTTGACCTTAATTGTAGCAACATTTTTAAAAAACAAGGACTCCCGGATGAGGTTCCTGCCAAGGCCAGATCCAGACTTTCTCTAATTGGGGTGGCCCACCTTAAACTGACTTCTGCAGGGTGGCATGTGTGCATGAGTAATATTCATGTACTCTTTCTATCTGCATCAATGAGATACAAACTGTAAGTGCATTCATCGTATAAGACAATCATAAACGGAAGATAAAAAAGAGAGAACTGCTTGAATTGTCTGCAAATATACCCAGGTGGCCTGCCATGGTATTGTCTGTGTGTAAGAAACACTGCCAAGACTGTGAGTAAATTAGAGCTGTTTCAGAATGGTAGTCCACTGCAAAGATGGCAAACTTATTTGAGTAAACTGTTGACCACTAATGGCTTGCTATACTGAAAATACAGGGAATTTGATGACCTTTCTAATACACTTAAATGACAGAGTGGAAACATCTGAATCTGCCAAGCTTCATTTATGGAGAACTAAAAAAGTTAATGTTATGCCTATAGTCAAAATTTAAGGTATTGACAAAAGAAATGTGGTACAACATACAAATAGTTGATATAAACATAATCCTGCCTCTGACAAGGCAAATAGCCAACCGTGGCCCATGCCCCCCGGCCACCCTTCAGGGCACCCCTGTTCTCTGGACACACCACAGCAAATGCTGCGATATCAGGTCTCAGTTATTAAGTGTATATGTAATACCTTACATCTGAAAAAAGGTTAGATTCTTTATAATAAGGGCTCTGCTAGTTCAGTGGTCAACCTGCACGCACTGTACATGGAGGTCAGGACTCAAGTGGACAACCCTGCAGCGTCATTACTGTATTTACTGTATGTTACCTCCTTTGCCTACGTTCATGTCCTCTCAAATAAAGCCAAAAACATGGTCTGCATGGTTTGTAGATAAACTTGTGGAAATTTGTATCAATCTGCTTGATTGAAGGCAATTCCCTTCAAACTGAAGAAACCGCCAAATGCACTGTGTATAGTATAATGGCATAATGCTGTAAAATGAATAATTAGGTGTCTTTTTATAAAAAGCTTAACTAGAAAAGTTTTGCATAAATGTAGTGTATGCATATAAACACACACATACAAGCACATTGACATGCATAATCTGTAAACATGTTTTTGAGACAGACATGTTTGAAGGTTCAGTATATATATTTTTAATATTCTCTCATAACTTCTGCTGCAAATGTGTTCAGACTCTTGTCTTTATGACTGTGCCTTCTACTTTACCAACTATGCTATAATTATCTTATCATATCATGTTGTGGCATTTAATCCCTGGTTTTATCGCTCATGTAATCCCCTCCTCGTTCTCCCTTTGTACTCTATGTTGTTGTTGGACATATGGACAGTTACAAAACAGAAATGGATAAAGTTTTATAGCACTTTTTTCTTCATCAACAACCATCATCTGAGGGTTAAAAATTCTCACTGGATTTGTTTTGAATATCTGTGTCATATTTCATGGTTTTAAAAGCAGGCATAATGTTTGTGTAGTTTTCTGTGTACAGTGATACACAGAAACAGTTCAAACTCAAAAGTACAAATAAGTCTGAATATGTCAATCAAAATTTTCTCTGCACATCCTGACCTAATTTTTTTCTGCACAGAGTCTGGTGGGAGAGAAATAGAAACTTCAGGACAGCCTGTATCATTAGGAAGTACTGATGAGTATCAGGGCAAAAGGAGAAACTTTATAACTATTATTAGTAGTAGTAGTATTAGTGTTATTATCTCATATTTTGAAATAAGGTTTAAAATTAAGAGTGTTGAGAAAAAATGTCTGAAGGTCATTCATAAAATAAAGATTTTTGTCATTTCAGGAGTTTTTTTTATATCTTAATTTAAAAAGTGTAGTAATAAAAAGTTTTTTTCACCCTTTGAAAGAGAGGTTAAATTTTTTTAGAGCTTTTTAAGCCTTTAGTATTTTTAGCATGTATAAAATGTCTATGAGGAAGTTTCCTCTGGTCATTTTGAAAAAAAAAAAAAAAAGAATAAATCAAGTTGAGATTAAGAAAATTCCTCCTTCTGATTATCTTCCTGTATATGATCTGATACTTAAAAGTTAAAGTTAAAGTAAAAAATTCCTCTTGTACCTTTGTCTCTATCATTCTGGTACTAATTCTATACCATAAAATAGATATCCTGTAATTCTGCAAACGTATGAATAAAAATCTGAATTATTTGCTCAGAGCTCTCTTGAGAAATCTTTTGCTTTTGTGTTTTTGTTTTCCTCACTCTCTGTTTTATCAGCAGTCCAAAGTCTAACTCCTGCCTGGAGGTGAGATGTTCTCTCTGTTTTGTTGTGGATTTTTTCTTCTGTATGAAATTTACAGACGTGATATTCCTCACGTATTTTCATGGTTGCAGATGTCACACTACAAACATATCAAGTATAACACTCGGAGAGAAAGCTGCAAAAGTTCATGTTTTTCATCATCAAAAGATGGCAGGTGAGATGACCAGAGATCACTGACATACACAGTCTTTGAGTGACCACTAGAGGGAGACGGGGAGCTGAGAGAGACAGTCCTCCCAGACAGTTGTTGTTTAATTGGTCACACATAATTGCAACCCAGTCCTTGTCAGACTGTTTTTGTTTTTGGCTCTCTCAGTCCTTAAAACAGTTTCATGTCCAATCATGCTGCCTAATTTTAAGAGACTTGTGGTACATCACCAGCTACTGTGAGACTTTAATACTTCATTTGTTGACTGATTATGTGAAGATACTTCAATATATTAACACTGAGGAATAGAAAATTTGACTCATCAGTAGATGACTTGACAGGACTGAAAAAGGTGGAATGACAGAACGTTTACTTTTAACAAAAAGAAAAGAAAGAAAAAATAAGTGAGCATGGTAAAGGCAAACTCAGGGTGTTTAAGCGCTCAGATTTCTGTGTGTGTGACTGGTTACTATGGCACTTTTGTAAAGTGGGGCACAAAAGGAGTGGGTCCCTCAGTTTTGTTTTGACGATGGTGTTAACGTCAGACCACCGACTCAAAAGTCAGCATTTGGGAGAAATCCAGTATTCCTCTTAATGTCTTAATGTCTATGTCACCTCCAACCATGTGGTTGCAATGTCTGTTTCCCTCCAGGTTTGATTAGTTTTGCCCTTAGCTCATCATCATGGTAAATCCTTGATCCTAAAAGTAAATAAATAAAATCAAAGTATCCACTGTTGTTGGAGAAGCTGAGAGCTCCACTTCATGTTCTTTACATAGTTGTTAGAAGTAAATGTACATAAAAAGTGATGGTTCAAGAGGAAAACTGCACATAATTCATATTCAAACATGCAAACACTGTAGGAAGATGCCAATTAAGTAAGCAGGGTGTGTCAACTTTAACCAGGTTGTCAGAAATTTATATCTGGCATCCAGGGGGTAAATTGGGATGACAGGATTAACTGCTGATCCCCCTGGAGGTGTTAAGAAGATGGAGGACACCCACTTAACAAACCAGAGGATGCCATCGCTCACCTGGATAACCTGTAGAGTTCAGGCAGCTGTATATGTCTTTGGTGAGCAGTAGAGGAATTCACAAGTGGTCCTATTTAATAGATCTGCAATCTGAAGCCCTCACAGACTCACTTGCTTATGCCAGACATTTTCTGAATCCATAAAGGTTCAGTTTTTAAGCTTGAGAGCGAAGTTTAAGATTAGAGGACAGAGAAAATGGCTATAGGAGATTCAGAACTGAATAAGAGACATAAATCTCCCTCTATTGAAAGGCCAGTAAAAGTGCTTTTACAGAGCTTCTCCTGATTGAAATGTTGGCCACACACAACACAGATCACAAGCTCTCCCTCTCACCTTGATGGGGAAGTAATCCCGCATGTATTCCCAGACTTTGAGCCCACATAAGTAGGGCACCCTGCGGCCACCTCGTGCAGGAGTGTCATAGTCAAAGAACCACCAGATGGAGTACAGCACACTGATCAACCAGAAACGGGTGAAGAGCAGGTAGAAGAAGAGGACGATGCAGGTGGGGGCTGAGGACAGAAAACACAGGTAAATTGCTGCAGCAGGATGGAGGAGTGGACTTGATAATATCTATCCAGACATTGTATGCTTTGGTAGGCATAGAGCACTTTGTATTTTCATTTTCAAAAACCTGAGACAAATTGAATTATCTTAATTTAACCTGATTGTGATTTTCCCTATTTTTGCATGACAATAAAAGAAAAACCTTAAATACTGTGTTGGTGTCATTTCATGCATCAGAAAGTTAGATTTAACATGGATAAAGTGATTCAGAGTCAAAGTAAAATTAAGTAAGTAAATGACATAATGTTAGCACTTCCTAGAAGTCTAAAGATGTCCTGTTTTTCCCTGGATGGCAACATCCCCTTCAAACTCTGCTCTGTGTGGGTTATTCAGGGTTTCTAGCTGTTTTGTGGGGATAATTTCACTCCCTGAGGTGTAAGCCCTTGTGTTAGTCAATACAGTAAAACCTTTCTCTGGTTATATAACCAAATTAACACCCAGGATATAGATGGTTACTAGATAGTCATGTGTTTGTCTAAAAGCAGCTGTTAAACAAATGTCACAGTAAGCATCAGGTCTGCTGGTGATGACATAAGCTTTGGCTCCAGTGGTTTGTGAAAGAGGAGTCATGCTGTAGGACACACAGCTTCTTGAAGTCAATGTACTTTCATAATTAACCATTATGCAGCAGTTTTCTTTTTTATTTTAAGCTCAAGTCTTACGCTTTCTCTATGTTTGCACACAGTCAGCATTGTTCAGCTGCCAAACTTTCGCCCCTGAACTCCACAGTCAGTAAAAATGCTTTAAAAAAAAGGTGGTGCTCGATCAAGCAGCGCTCCTTTTTTTTCTCCAAGATATAAACAATTTTGCAGTGCAAGCACAAGGAGAGCAGGACACCTGGATGCTGAGAGAATCATTCAACAGAGGATATCAGTCTGTTAAGATGCACTTCTACTGAAATGTTAAATGAAGGTTTGGAGAAGGATGTTGACCTCAATCTCACAGCATATTCACACCCCTGTTGAATCAGAAAACAATGATGGATAACATGAATCTATAGCCTCTATTGTTGATTCCTGCTTCAGGAACATTTTCCTGTAAATCAACCAAACAAAAATGGTTTAGAGGTATAATGTAAATGTAATGTAAGATTATGGAGAGACCTAGTACCTCTCTTTTGAGGCAGCCAAATCAATCAATCGATCAATCAGACTTTATTTGTAAAGCACTTTCCATACATTAAGATGTAGCACAAAGAAAATCATTAAAATCATTTAAAAAAAAACCTGAATCATTAAAGTGTTAAAAAAAGAAATACGTTAAAGTTGATAAACATAATCAAACATACACACACGCACATGCATACAATACATACACACATATTCATACACACACCAATACATGTACATATAGATATTTATAGTTGCACATTTTACAAATAACTAAATAAATATAATTTAAACAGCACAGAATGACCTGAGGAGGTTAGGAAACGCTATCATCAGATCATAATGAGGAAACACCAGAGGTAAGATTAAAATGTAAAAATTATGCCAAATGTGGCAAAAAGGTTGGTTTGAGTTGGACACCAGTGGACATCTGTCTGTTTGTCATTCCTAAATATTGCAACACATCTCAACAGTTGTATGTAAAAAATATGTTCAACATCTTGGAGCTTTTTGCAGAAAGGAAATTAGCAAGAGGTGTGAGGGGAGATGGAAAACAGGAAAAATGGGGTAAGAAAAACAAAATAAGAGGGAAAACCTTTTTATACATCACAATCTAATCTGCAAAATGCGAAAAAAAAAAAAATATGACAAACTTTGGTTATTTGCATTTGCATTGGCCCTCTTGCCACAACATCAGAATGTTGTTTGTGTTTGGCATCTAGACTCTGACCATGACACTTCTTGCAGATTTATGTTTCATGCACAACTTTCAGAAAGTCAGTCATGGGAATGTCAAACCTCCACTTGAAGCCTGCAGGTTTCTGCTAGAGAAGCACTAATGCAGAGAGTTTAAAGTAGCAGATGCAATAATAGAACAGAAGAGACTAAAAATCTTGCAGAGTGAATTGACTCTTAAACTGGAAGGATGCATTTATCAGATGTAAAATGTGGAATCAGTGCAGCTGGTGTTTCCTGCCTTAACTGGCTATCCTGAGGCATTGCTTCATTTGCCCTCAACATGACCTACCAACTCTGATCAACTCTGACCTCTGGCCACAATCAGCTGTAGCACCTGAAAACAACCTGCTGCTGTTAAGAGGTTATAAAATGTCACTAACAAGGAAGCACAATGGTTAAAAAAAAAAAGATAATGTTGGACAAAAGATTAAAAGCTGCAGCCACTTTTTTTAAATAGAGGGAAGCAATATTTACTAAAAAAATGAGTCAACAATGTGCCAACAATATCTATATTTATATTTAAGTGTGAAATGAAGAAACAGCCCTGGTTTTGCAATTTCCATTACAATTATCTACAATAAATAAAACATTTGACTGTCAAAAGTCTGCAGGATGGGATTGTAGTCAAGAAATGCAACTTTAGTAAGTAGAGCACAAGGTAACAAAGACTACGTCAACCACAGGGGGAGACAGATTTAATACAAACCCCAAGTTCTTCACAGGAGCTTTAAGAGCAAAAACAAGGAGTGAAAGAGAGCTCTCTGCTCAGACCAGGTCTGTTTGGCTCCCTCTTTGGGCTGCTCAACAGTTATGTCACTTTTCAAAAAAACTCTTGTTTCACTTGCATAACAAGTCAAGGCCACGAACTTTTAAAACATACTGTGAAAAAATCTGAAAGAATATCTGCAGGTGTGTTACGATTCATGCTTTGAATTTGTTAGAGTATTAACCTGATTTGAATAAAGACGTTTAAACTTACCAAGGGCCAGGAAGGAGTAGACCCACTGCAGCACAGCGGCTGTCTGCAGCCTCCTGTGGAACGGGGTATGCAGAGGTGCAAAATCAACCTTCATGTTTTTTAACAGAGACCAGAGACAAACCGAGGTGCTGCAGCCGGAGGTGAAGAAGAAGAAGAGGTGCAAAGACTGAGAGAGTGAAGTGGGTTCAAAGTCTGTGTTTCTCACCTTCTGTTACAGTCACCTCCTATGAACGTGTTATCTCAGAGTCCCAATCAAAGGTTTGATTAGCCAATCCATATCTACAACACTTGACCTTTGACCCTGCAAGGAAAGAGACACTCAGCTGTATGATAGCGGAGCATTTAAACTTGAAGATTAAATCAATGAGGAACACACATTTAAAGACAGTTACATACTCTTGTGACTGCTTTTTTCCCTCCCTGATCCTGAAGAAAGGCAGTCAGATCTTTGACAGATCTGTGTTGATTGTGCTGTTGACCCATCACTGTCCTCTGCTGAAATTAAGTGTCATTGTCAACACTTTAAGCAGCAGCAAGGGGGAAAACAGTGATGTTTTTATATTAGTCAAAGTTTGAGGCTACAGCAGTAATTTCACATCAGGAATCGTTTGCAAAAATGAGAATTTAGTGTGCAGATTGAAGATTGAAACAGTCTAATGCTCAACCGGTGAAGCAGGGAGTGTCAGTTTTCACAAGTTTATTATATACTGTAACAATTCTACACAAAAAAAATCAAAAACAGGGCTAAACTAAATGTTAAGACTCCCTCTGGTGTTAAGGGTCAGTTTAACAAATAAAGGATTTCATACAGAGATGAAATGATAAAAAAAATCAAAATATATTTTGGCTTCAAGACACTCTCTTTGACGCATTTCAGCATCAAAGTCTGATCAAGAAGTCACCAGATATTTGGAAAACAATGAGCTCTTTCAGATTTTTACTCCACCAATAGGGAAGTTTCATTTGTGAACAGAGTAGTTGCTGAGGAGGGCATCTAGACACTAAACCTCCAGCAGATGGCGCTACTTAGTCTATTAAAGTATTTAGAGCTGACAATACTCTACAGAAATATCTCTTCATCCCTTAAAAAACAATGAATGTAGTGTGGATATACATATTTAAAAAAATAACTCTAAAATTCCACCATAGCACAGGTAACAGAAAGTAAACTTACCCTTTGGGCACATGATAAACAACCATTCATAAAAACAGAATCAAATCCAGAGTTTAAAAATAAAACCGTTTCTGTAATGTATAAAACAGTCATAACGCAATGTTGTATAATAGTTGACATGACATGTTAACCTTTCGCTGAGTTCACCTGTGTTGTGCCAAATACAGCTGAAGGAGAGATTCCTGCACATGAGAGGAAATTTCGAAAGATGTGTTTTCACACCATCAATAACAGCTTCTTTAATCACTGTAATTTACACATGCAGAGCGTCCAACCCAAAACAAAACTTTATTTCATGCCTCCCACTTCTTCACACCCAGAATGGAAAATGACTTTGGCTCCAAAAACCAACTTTGTTTCCTCACTGAAGTTTTAATGCAGGCCCCAAGATGCAGCCAGTGTATCCTCCTTTAAAGTTTTGATCCCTATATGGAATAGTTTGTTTTGTTTTGGTAGATGGTTGTTAGGCGCTCCTGCTCTGCCATTTTGGACACTTAAAATTACTATAGGTGCTGTTTGAATTATTTGAAGACTACTGAAGGGAAAGCTATAATTTGAAATGTAATAAATAAGTCTTCAGTTGAGCTGTGCATGATAGAAATTGTGGTTTATCTTCTAAGTCATTAAAAAGGAAAGATAACTGAACATAGTGTCAGAGTCACCCAAACCTTTTTGAACCATCAGCACACAACACTGAGGCAGACACTGAGAGGACAGAAAATCTTTCATCTTCTTCATGTTTATCTTTCATCTGTTCCCCTCATTAACTTTTATTAGATTGACATTTTCCAGGACCAGTGGGCATGGCTGCTGTTACATTTTGTTTGATTACATCTTTATTAATAATTGATTTATTCAGGCTTGTCTGCTGTAAATACCTCATTTACACAATGGATACTCAGAGAGTCTGTCAGCTTTTGTTTTACCAACAACTTCTGACAAAAAAATCTGTAAAACAAACACACTCAGACCTAAAAAGTATTACAAATTCATTAAAATAAAAACCTTTCCACATCAGAATGATAGTCCCTCATAAAAACGAGCTGTCAGCTTTCATTATGAAGAAGCTTTGCTCAGATAATCTGCTTTTCTTTTGATGTCCTAGACATTGTGGTTGAATATGAGACGGACCCTCGGGGTGTGTAATGACTTGGCATTATTCATGTTTTTTACTATTTGCCGACACAGTCTGACAGTAATAGAAAGTCTTTGTCACAAAGGCAGTTTTCCATGAATTAGTCTAAGAGCGAGTTAAGCAAGCTCTGTTTGATGTTAATATCTTTGTTGTTATGCATCATGAAGTCCTCTTTATAAAAATCCTAACCAAAGTGTCTGGTTTCATAATTTTTGTTCTGATTCTTTGTTATTTTCTGGTCATTATTTTTTAATGTTACACAAAGCAAGACTACAACACCACTTCCACAACAGTGAAGCTCTGTAAAATGTTGGTAAGAAAAGATTTTGATGATCGGAAAACGATTTTATCACTATATTTAAATAAAAATAATCCAAAGACATTTGCAAATATTGAAACTGAAAAAAATGTGTTATGAATATTTAATGTATGTGAAAATAAATGTGTTTTCTGGCAAAAATTGGGACAGAGGTCTGTACAACAATGAGCTGCATCACCTTTTCTTTAATAATACTCTGTAGATACTTGGAAACAGGTGAGTCCACTTTTTGGAGTTTGGAGAGTGAAATGAAATCTTATTCTTGCCTATAATAGGATTTCACTGCTCAGTGGTTCAGGGTCTCCTTTGTCAGACCTTTTTGTGAGGTGATGCTCTAATTTTTTTACTAGATAAGAAGTCAGGACTACTGGCAGGCCATTTTAGCACCCAGACTCTCTGACTAGTTTAGCTGTAATGTACAAGCTCTTCCCTGAGAAAGCATTGTCTGAATGGCAGCATACAAATGTATGACTCCAAAACTTGTTTTGTTCAGCAGTAATGATGCCTTCACAGATATTAAAACCACATGAGCCATGGGTCATTACTATGACCTTTAAACTGAATGCTGAAAACAAGCTGGGTGGACACTCTGCTGCTCTGAACAGTGGATCTGGTGTCCATGATTGCCAAAAAGAGTGTCAGATTTTGATTTGTCGCATCATTTTCTCATTCTTCCTCAGTCCACCTGAACTGGGCTCAGGTCTTGAGAAGTTCCCAGCATTTCTGAATCATATTTATGTATTTATGCCTCCTCTTTACCACTTCAACTAGTAAATAATCAATTCCTCTGTTATCATTTTACACAAAATAATAGAGATTGTTGTTCATAGTTCATATTCCTGACTCCATTTCCCCCCTTTTTTATCTTTCATCAACATTTTGTAAAAGTCAAATTGTTAAATGATGGATGGAAAAAACGTCCCTCCCCTTGCACCTTTACGCACTGTGCGTAAAAACACATCACCGAGAGCTACGTCAAGTTTTCCCTACTCAATAGACGTTTACCGGAAGCATCAATGACATTTAAATATAAAATCAGCAGTCTATGTTTTGCGGTTCTTAGAGCAGACACTAGTTGTGTAAATAAATTGTGTAACATGAGCTAGAATCCCTTGTCATGTGCTTTGTTTAATTTAGGTGTGTAAATCTAAATTCAATTTAAACTAATGCTTTTAATCTGGTGGTTTATTCGGAAGTTCTTTTATTTTCCCTCTGACTTGTTGTTTTCCTCCTCGGTGGCTCCACTTCAGGGTCTCCGGGATGCTGAGTGGGAGGGCGGGGCTGTGATTCTTGCGGTTCCGTGGAGTGATGTTGCAGGACGGAGCGGGCGCAGAGTGAAGCAGAGTAAACCTTGGTGCGGTTGTTTTGTTTTTTTGTGCGGCACACTCGGTAGAATCTGTGAGATTTCGGATGCAGAATGGATTTATTCAGTAAACACCTGATTTAACGCATCGTAACGTGTCATTACTGGAGGTATCGGTGCATTCTGACACACGGACATCTTGTTTCTCTCACATCGGGAGTGTAGAGACATATTCTCCCTCACCTTGGATCCGGTGCAGGTTCTGTTAGCGGAGCTCTCTTTAGCCCAGCATGGCGTGGCCCTGTATCAGCAGGGCGTGCTGCATGGCCCGCTTCTGGAACCAGCTGGACAAGGCTGACATTGCGGTGCCTTTGGTCTTCACCAAGTACACGGACGTCTCCGAGATGCAGCACATCCAGCTGCAGCCGCCGCTCCACCCTCCCCAGGCCCGGGTCGCCATAGAAACGCAGCCGTCTCGCTCACATTCTCGCACCCCAGCAGCGGGCCGCGCGCCGCGAAGGTGCGTCTCCGAGGAGCGAGTGTGCAGCTCGGTGATGCGCGAGGACTTTAAGCATTGGAGGGTGCGACCCGAACCGAGCTTTAAACCCAAAAACGAGTACCACGGACCAGAAACACCGTTCAACAGCGAGACCCAGTACCAGAAGGACTACAAGCCCTGGCCTATCCCGAAAAGGTACGACCACCCCTGGATACCCAAACCTGTGAACGATGTGGACCGCTCCAGGCACGCGAAGCAGCACGCAAAGCAGCACGCGGATGCGGACAGCGGCGTGGAGAAGAGCGCGATAGCCGACAAGGAGAAAGACCTGCCGCAGGGTCAGGAGAGGAAAAAGAAGGCTAGTAAACCCGAGGGGACGAAGAAGGTGGTCCTGAAGGTGGAGGGAGAGGGCAGAGGGAGGGCAGCTGCGGACGCTGTGAACCGGCAGATCAAAGAGGAGATCACAGCCGGCAGCTCGTACAAGTGAGTTCAAACACAGACAGACCACTGAGGTCCAATTAAAGCAGGTGAACAGGCCACAGACACGAGGAGATAGAGGGGTTAAAAAAACTCAATCACAGAAGACCCATAAGAGAATAGTCTAACACACAAGCAGTTTAGATAGGTACTTGATTCATCCAGTGAAAGGTGAAAATAATCAAGGACCTTTTTTGACCTTTTTTTTAATGGCACACCTAACTGCATCATAGGTCATTTTTGAAGCTCCATCTTAATTATGAAAAACTTCATCAATCATGATGACAAATTAAAAGTAATATTACACTAAGAAATGTTGCATTTCATTTACAAACTCACAGAGAGCATGGAGGTGATTTTATTCCAAATTCAAGGTTGATTTGTGCAGCCAACAATATTGTCTAAATTCAACCCAAAATGAAATCTATAACCACAAGAACACATTCACACAGCAGCCTTGTTTTTGTGACTTCACTTTGAGAGTGTGAAACTATAACTGTGGGATTCTAACTGCTGTGTTTTAGGCCCAAGGTCCTATAAACCTTAATAATCTGACAAACTGTGGTCATCCATATAGCTCCCCAATGAGCAGCCACAGAGGCAATAGATGGTTAAAATGCTGTGAGGGATGAGGCAGCATTTTTAAAACGTGCTTGACCGTCTCTGATCAAAACACTAGGACATTTCCATTCAGCCACTTTAATTTCATTAAAAAAAAATCACAGATACATTCAAGAAATGTTAATCTTGTAGATGTCTGATTTGTAAGCACCGTTCTTCATATATTGCTGGTGGATTTTTATTATCCAATGCACGTTTTCAATGTCACAGTGTCATTTAGCAGGTGCTTTTGTCCACAGCAATATACATATAAGAGTAGGCTAAGTGCAACACAAGCAAAATCTAGACAGAAGTAAACAACATGAGTAGGTATGAAAATGTGCCATAAGTGCAATTGGGCAAAGTGCTGTTATGCAGTGTCATCATCATCATCATCATTTGGTGAATCAAGTGCAGAGTTGTTATTTTGATTAGATACTGTACTGGGTCTTATTTTGGCATTGGGATTATCCAATCCAGCTGATGTATCCCTTTTAAAACTCCAGATCTCGTCAAATTCATTTGCCGTTTTTGATTATTTTTAAGGAAATTGCCGCTACACCAGTAAGATTTTTTATTTTTCATCCACCAAATGAGACTAACAATGTTATCAGAAAGGCTAGTGGTGACTGAAACCCTGCCGTTTTAGTAACATGGTGAAAGTTGTTGGTCACTCCTTAGACTGTAACACTGACATCTGGCCTATACAATACTCTAATGTCACTATTATTAGCTAGCATGGTGTAAAACAACTGACACAAACATTAGCATAAGTGCTTTTACAGTAGTTAGCCAAAAATGATCATTTTGTGAGTGGAAGAAACTGTCCCATCATGTCTGTTGTTTTTGAAAATGTTTATGTTAACTCTGATGTTAGCTAATGGTTGTTTTAAACTGCAAATATGTCTCAATCTGTCTCTGGATTTTCATGATCTCTTTAGCTGCTTGACATTCAGGCTACTTTGAAATTAACACAGTTTGTCAGATTATGAAGGTTTATATGACTTTAAAGTTTAAGATTCCCACCCTGAGCATCATGAAAGATGGCTGCCAGGTGAATGTGGTCTTTTCTGTGATTAACAACAGCCCTGGTCACATTATTTTGTCATGTTTTACTCAACTTAACTTTTGCTTTTATGGAAAACTTCAGGATTACAAGTTATTAAGAAAACAATATGACCCCCTCATCCTGTCTTTAAACACACTTGCCTTAATCTTTTCCAAACAGCCCTTCATGAATTAATAGCATGAATAAACAAAACTTTGAATCAATGGGCCGGCCTTGACAACCTTGAGTAATTAGAGTGTTATTAAAAGAATAAGATAGGTGTGTTTTTTTGCACTGCTGGCTTAAGAAATGTGAATTTTTCCACCATACTGGGGTTAATTGGGTGTTACTTATTCACTTAATCTCACTCAAACAGCTGTTTCACTATTAATAAGGTGCTTTTCTTATTATAAGCCGCAGCATGTGGAAACATCACGGGGCAGTTTATTTATATTTTCCCCACAGCAGGTACGATGACATTTCATTTCATCAAAGGTCAAGGTGGATTTGTAGCCAAACTCTGCTGATGTTTGGGTCCACGGGGCTAATCTCTGTCTGATTATGCAACGTTCCCGAGGATGATGGGAACTGGTGGATGGATGAGCTTCAAGTCACGCATGCCGCAGTAACTGTACGCACATGTCCTGAAGCTGTAGTTTGATATCAGCAGCATCCATGTTCTGGGAAACAGCTGACAGTGACGCTGTAATGAAATATATTTGACATCCATGAGTCTAACCTTGAGGAGCCTGATCTCACTATCTATATCAACATTCTATTTACTTTACTGTGTTCATATTGTGCCTAGTTTACTGTCGATGTGGGCTTTGGAACAGGATTTGGCTTATATGTGACTGGCTCTGTTAGTTCAGTGAGTGGGTCTTACAGCTGTTAGGAGCCCTGCAGTCCTGTCTGGGTCGTTGAGCAGTCAGCAGGGTGCAGCCAGGGGCACTTTCCCCCCACATGGCAGGAAATGGCTGCGTCGTGACAAGCAGAAGCCCTGTAAAGTCTCTGTCTTCATCTGCAGGCAGAGACTCAAAGCAGGTCAGCTGTGGGTTAATACAGGGGATGGTGTGGAGTCACAGTTACACACACATGGATTGAGAGGTCTCCATATACAGTAGTTTTCCTTTCTGTTTTGTTCCTATTACCTGAGCTTGTTTATCAGCTGACACTGGGTTAGATTTCAGTAGGTTCAATCATTTGTATTGCAGCTGCAGTGAGACTTAAAGTACCCCGAAAATAAATTCTTGAATTCTCTGATCTTAAAGGGATATTTCTTTTTTTTTTAGGTGAGGTTGAGTGAGTTACATGCCCCTAGTGAGTGTGTCAGCTACTTTCCTCACTATCAGATAGCCCATTTGTCTTTATACTCTTCGCAGGCACAACAAACCCAGTCATGCCGTTCCACATGCAGCAGGATCAGTCAGTCAGATCTATGAAGTACAAGTCACTGATGCATTGCGAGTTTTAATATTTTTGCATCTCAGTTTTGCATGATGTTAAGTACTGAACTCTGAAGTGATGTGTGTTAAGTTTTTAATTCAACTTAATCTACATAAACATAAACATAAAAATATTTGGTGGATCATGGGTTTTGTCATTATGCCCTAAAAATCAAAACAAAGAGAACTGAAAACTTCCTCTGGAAACTCTCTACTATTCAGCTTTGCTGCTTTTTTTTTTTTTTTTTTCACTCCTGAATGTTGAAGGAAGCAACCTGCATGATATTGGCATTTCCAGTCATTGGCTGACCTGCCTCTTTCTTATTGGCATCAGCATTATTGAAAAAACGATCAGACGAGCACTGAAGTTCACTCTCTGGAGGTGTATTTAACTCTCTCTGCAGACTGGAGTTTCCCCTTCTTTTTCCTCCCTTTCTTTGGGCTTTGAAAGTTGCTGATAAATCTCTTAACTTCTTTCCACCACTCTCCTGCTGTCTTCTTCAGTTGTCGACTTCTTTGGCCAATTAGCTTGTTTTCAAATTACCCCCAGTCTTGCCATTAAGGCCATAATGGGGAGTCATGGAGTACTGATGCAGTGAGACAAATTGGCATGGATATCTGTTTTTAGTGCCATATTTTTCTGAATCTAAATACATCATTCATCCTTGGTGTGTTGATTATTATACCACGCAGGTCAGGATGTATATATAGTATAGTATGGTAAGTGTGTCCCACCCTGGTGACCACAGTTCTTTTACTGCAGAGATGCTCTGGTCTGAAACCCACACATTTATGGAAATCTGATGTACTTATCTTAAACTCTGTGCCTTGTATAAAAAGCATGTTTCATAAAGGAGTGATTCTTATATAACTAATGATGTGTTATCAAGCTGTTTCTAATGACGGTGATTAAAGTTTTGGGAGTGCTCCATGTCAGTCAGACAGACTGGTAGGCAGCTGTCAAGTTGTCAAGCATAAATCATAGACATCAGGTGATCACAGTCGTCTGAATCTTCCTCTATAGCTGAGAATCATATCATTTTTAAGCAGATAATCTTTAAAGCAGAGGACTGAGGATTGAAGGATTGAGAGATGGGAAGAAGTTTGTCCTGAAAGTATTTGAAACTTACTTATTTCACTCACGTTGAAACTATGGTGTTAGAGTCTGAACTGAACACAGAGGTAAAAACCACCTCATGCAGATTTTGTTGATACATTTCACCAACTTTTAGTGTTGTATGTAAAGCAAACCATGAGTTAAATATCACATTTTCCTGTCGTCGGCAGATTTTCATAAAAATGATTAGGCATAAAGGAAGGGAGTGAAACATGTAACATCCATGTTTTTTAATCCACTTTTACTAATCAAATATTTTGTTAAAAAAAACTTTGTACAGTCATACATACAACCTTTATACAATTATATAATGTCATTGAGATGTGGATCTGTTTTTCAAGAAAGACCTGAGTCGACGAGAGAAAGATGGAGACAGACAGTAATCAGACAAACAGGCATGTACAGCATTAGAGACAATATGAGGCCAAACACAATTAGAGTGAAAAGGTCCAATACTGACCAATTGGGTTGATTCATTCAGTATCTGAGATTCAGAGTAGTCAGAGTAAGTCTTTCCACGTTCAGTTCTTCCCTGAGGGGTAAGCAGCAGAGTCAAACAGACCTGAGATCTGCCCCGCCGAGAGGTGGTTTGAAATGAGAGGAGATGTGATCATCATGTGAATGTTTGTTGCACACTGAGAATTCAATGATAGAAGTTACTTCAAGTGCAGTGAGAAGAGATGGACTTATTGCAAGTTACTTATTACAAATCAAGTCTCTCATAGTATTAATAGATATCCACAAATAGATGTTATACCTATAAAATGGGGGTCTGTCAATCAGTCATATAACACCTCAATTATTTACATTATTTTAACATTATTCTACATATACTTTAAGCTAATTTATACATTATTTTTGCTTGGTTGTTCGTTTATTCACTAATAATTAACAGTATCGTTTACTTTTAAAGGTCACACAGCAGAGTGGCAAATGTAATATAGGCTATAATTTATAAGCTGAAACCTTTCTGGTCCCAACAGTAGATGATTATCCAAAATGTGAAGGGACTATAAGGAAAGGTGATTCACTGAGAGTGACTCATTGTCTGTAGAAACATCCAGTGCAAAAAAATAACAGTTGATTTAAGTCCCACAGATGACAAGGCAAAAAAAGGATCATAGTACAGGATTATGGGCTGTCAAATCAAATTTATGGGGGGTGATCTCCTGAGTCCTCTGCTGATACCTGTACTGTGTCCTGAGCTTCTTTATGTCTGCCTGTAAGTAATTTAGTACTTGACTCTTGACTTGGTTCTTTACTACTGAAAGTAACAAATCAGTCACATTACTTTTTTTTTTACTGCAGTCTAACATTACCTGACATGTAACATGTAATAAACAATCTGGACAACATTTTTCTCCAGGACATATGCCGCTGCAGGCCCATTCATCTCTACTTTTGTCAATACTGTTTGGCATTTCACACAATAAATCCGGTGTTATGTGCATGTCTCCAAGCCTCAGAAGATGCTTTTAGTCAGGCTGCTCTGCTGCTTTTGCTCTTCACTCTCATAAACTCGGGCCAGAGTCAAAAACACATCCCAGGAGTAGGACCAGAGGGTGGTGCAGGAGCATACATGGAGAAGGGTTTTATTGATTTCTCAGGGGAGTAATTAGATAATTGTCTGAACAGTTTTGGTGATTACTAAATTAAAAAATGTGGTACATTACATTACAGCATTACAGACAAATCTAATCCAATTACAGTCATGCAGTACTCTGGAGCATAGAACCCCTAATACTTGTGGAAATGTATCAGAAGGACGCTCAAATAACACAGCTCAGGTTTTGAAAGGCTCTGCTTGAGGATTGTAATCAAAGCAGGTGATCTGTGAGCAGACATGTTTGTTAATACTAAGGGTGCAGCTTCACCATATAACGCCTAAAACAACAGCATGAGAAGCTGATCTGTATCACTGCATCAAGAGGAGGGACAAAGGCGAACTGGAAATCATATCTCCTTTTTTGTCTCTCAAATCTGCAGATCAGATACTGTCTATATATGTATGTGCTATTGGAGCAACAAGGGTTTTTTTCACTTATTGATTCCTGACAGCTGTCTCCTAAACATGAAAATGAGGTAAAACAGTCTGTTAACAGGTACAAAGTTAGGGTCTGTTTGGAAAAGACTGTACTGTAGCAGCTGTGGGTGTGGAGTGAAGTGATTTGGCACCAGCTCTTTAAGCTTGAGTCTCAAGTCAAATCTGTAGTTGAGTTTGCGTGTAACTGAAGTGCAAGACCAGTTTAAGTAGGGCTGGGCGATGAACCGTAAATTTACTGTTAGAAAAATTTTCGGCAATAACCGATGTCATTTTGCCCATGTCAATATATTCGGTGTCAAAAAGAAGAAATATATTAAAGTTCGTTTTGGATGTGTGAAGGTAGGCTATGGCCCCTTTAAGACGCTGTCCTACGTCAGAGATATGACTCCACCCCATTCAATCCGTAGCAAAGAGGGAAAAGACTGGTGAGGAGATGGAGGACGGTTCAAAAGTTGTAGCGGCTGAATCGGCAGCTGAAGTAGACGAAGTTAATGTGGGAGGGGTGAGCAGCTTGTGGAGTAGTTATCGTCCATTTATCGTTATCGAGGTGAACTGCTCAATATATAATTGATGTTGAGGCCACATCGCTCAGCCCTAAGTCTAAGCCTCAAATGCCCTCATCTCTGGCAGGTAGCTGTATGAAACTAAATGGTTAATCACTAGCCTTGTGGAGACATGATGGTTGATTATACTTTGTTCTTTCATTTGCAGTTATACCTTAAATGTGTTTTAAAAACTGATTTTATCTCAGTTTTTACCAGTGAGGCTTCTGTCGTACCAAACGATCATTTTTCTACAATTTAAATCTCAGTGCATCAATCAACCCACAGGATCTTGCAGTGTCAGGATCCCACAGTTTTGTTGATGATCCTGCTGGTGCTTGTGGTTTTTTTTGTTTGAGGTGCAATAAAAGCCGAAGTGGAAAAACACCATCTTGCAAAACAAAGTTAATGGACAGAATCAATTGGTTTAACTGTGCTCTGTTTCTATGGCTCCTCTTTTCTTTGAAATGTAATTTTATTTAGCGTGTGCTTAGGTAGACTCTTTAGCATGATGCAACTGTCATTAAAGAGCCACAGTCACTGTCTAGTCAAAGCCAGTCCTCTCTCCATTGTGCGTGTTTGCACCAGGCTACTTCAACATAAAGCCCTGCTCCCCTCAGCTCTGTTTTGTGCTTTTTAAACTTGTATTTACCCACAGAAAGCTTTGCTGAACACAAAGACTCTTTTCTTCACAGCACAACAGCAAAAGCTAAAGGCAGCTCCAGCCCTTTCCTGTATTTTCTTGAATAAATTTGTGTAGCGTTTTCAGTCAACAGCCTCCCAGTCACAAGTCTCCAACCTTCGTTTCACCGCCAACTCACTGCTTTATGTTCAAAATGCCATTTTTTTGCATGACAATGAGTCTCAGACAGTAGCAGCAGCGGCCTTTGTTTGTTTTCTTGTTGCTTGCAGCACTGCTGTAAGAGACAAAGACCATTCTTTATCTTGTTGGCATTATTTGGATGTGAGGTGACTAATAAAAGACACTCAGGGAGCAGATTACAGGAAAATATCAAGCAAATGACCCAGAAAGACAAATGAGAGTTGAGTGCCGGGGAGGTTCACTGAGTTCAGAGGAAGGAAGAGAGTGAGGAGGAGGTATGAATTTTTCCATTTTCATTTATGTCACGTATCACAGCTCAACATTATTCACTCCTGAGGTAGTAGTACAACCTCTGGAGCTTCTGCTTTTGAATTTTCCTTTCGTTTTTCTCACTTTAGCACATCAAGTCATCCCTCTCTCTCTCTCTCCCTCTCTCTATTATGAGGCCGCTCCTTCAGTTCAAATGGAGTTTGTCTTTTAGGTCACGTTTAAACAGGCTGTACACTTGCGGTACCAGACAGTGGACTGTAAAGAGGCCAGTGGATTCTGGTGGATTTAGAAATGATCCTCTTAGAGAGCCAGAAAAGCCTGTGTTCATACTGACGAGTGCTGAATACAGAAACACAGACGCAGACACATCAGACACACAAAAAAGGAAAGAAACAGCAGGTTCTTATCACGTCTGAGGCTGTCTCATCTGCTGTTTCTGAGTCTTCTGCTCCCTGAAAATAAATCCACGTCGGTTTATAGTCATAAGACATATTGTAGGGAACAAAATGTAGTCGACAGATCTGTGCTGATATCCTGTATTCATTTGGTGCATCAATTCAGATCTCTGCCAGATAAAGCTTTCTGTCTTATGTAACCAATCTAATCTGCCATAATCATATCTGATTACAGTTAATTTAATTCAAGGAAAGTTATCATTAGGATATGAATGAGTTATGTAATGCACCGAAGCCAAATTTTACCTGAAATTAGGTTAGTTGATTTAGTAATGAAGTTCTGAAGTCTGTAAGAACGGAAAAAGAGCCACAGCTCTCTTTAAAGAGCGATGAATCTGTGACTGAAGATTTTAAATGGTTGCTCAGGGTTTCGGTCAGAAATGTTGATAGGCCAAGTTGCAAGTTACTTTCAATAGGGTCCACACATGCCAGGAGGCCCCTTCTTCAGAGAGCCCTACAGGAAGTTAGTGCTGTAGTCAAACAGGAGACATGTCTGAGTTTTTACACCCCAAAAGACACTAAAAAAATGAGTCCTCCTTGTAGCGCTGTGAAACTGGAGGGTAGGGATGTGACAGTACCAAACTCCCATATTATTGCATTAACAAGTCCACAGTGAAATATTTGTTGCAGAATTAAAAAGAGCAAAAAGAGAAATGAAGACTTGGAAAAGTGCCATTTAGCTCTGAGTAGCTTGTGAGGTCCATTCATACATGAGGAGTGAGCTGCACTGAGTTAGCTTGAGGTTGTGTGTATCTCTAGACTTTGAAGCTGCTGATAGTGTTTGACTGAAGTATGACTATGATGAGCAGTGTTGTGTGTAAACATGCAAAAACAAACTAGTTCACTGAGTGCTCTCATATTTTGGGGGAAAGTGAACCAAGCCATTTATTTAGCAACTCATGAATGAGAACATGTGGGTAGTTTATCAGTGAGCAAAGAGGATCCTACTGGGCAGGTAATGTGAAGATGGATTTCTGCCACTTCTAGCAACCCTGCGTGGTTTCACAGGGGTTAAAGGTTTTTAGGATAACTCACTTTTTGTATTTGTTGGATTCATGTTTCGATGTTGCTTTACCATTAGCACTTTTATTTTACATGATTTTTATTTTACAAACCATCCTCTAGGGCCGGGCGATAAACCAAAAATTTACGGATGCCGAAATTTACGACAATAACCGACGTCCCAGATCAATATATTCGGTGTCAAAAAATAAATAAATAAATAAATAAAAGTTGGTTTTGGATGTGTGTAGGTAGGCTATGGTCTCATGTCCCTTTAAGACGCTGACCTACGTCAGAGACGTGACTCCACCTCATCCAGTCTGTAACAAAGAGGGAAAGACAGGTGAGGAGATGGAGGACGGTTCAAAAGTTGTAGTGGCTGCAGCGGCGGCTGAAGTAGGTGAAGTTAATGTGGGAGGGGGGAGCAGCTTGTGGAGTAGTTATCGTCCATTTATCGTTATCGAGGTGAACTGCTCAATATATCATGATATTGATTTTAGGCCATATTGCCCAGCCCTACCATCCATACAGCTGTAACGATGCAGATTGAGCCTACTTAGTTTTAGGATCTCTAATTTGGCTCCAGTGTGTTTACTAACCTTCTGAACCTTTTCTTGTCATTCACAGAAAATGTCTGTGGGTGTTCTTGAGTTCTCACACTGTGAACTTCTCGGTCGGACTGCTTATCTTGAATGTTTTTGGGAAGACAACTTGCAAAGTGGCCTCTCATTTCACATTTCAATTTTCTCTGGCCTGTTGGCAACATTGGAAATGAAAACATACCTCACATTAGATTTAAAAGCTGCCGGAGCATCTAAAATTTCAAAATCCTCCCTACAGAGACTATTGTCCCATGGGTGCTTATCATCCACTTCTCTGCTAACTGCCCCAGTGCAAAAATGGATAAAAATTGGAGCGTCATGAAACAAAAATCTGACTAACGTCAAAGAACCTTAACCCAAACTGTTGAGCAGCTGAAATCCTGTATCATGCAAAAATGTGACAATAATTCAGCTGGTTTTTGGAATAATTCAGCAACTAATTTTGTCTTCACTGACAATGTATATGTTTTAAATCACACTTGAAATTGAATCATTGATTTGTATGTTATGGTTATTCCTTGAACAGTTTGCATGGTTTACCACACCTGCCACTTGTCAGATCTTTTCAGTCCATCCCTGACCAAAACCTTTAAATATTAATATGGTTTCCATTTTTCAAAACACCCAGCCAAAGATCCCTGTAATGTAGTGGCATGCTCGTACAGCTCACTGTAGCTGTTTCCATTGAGAGGCTGCAGAGAGGCTGTCAGATAGAGATGAGGCCAGCAGATCCCAGAGGAGAGAGGGAGTATTGACCAGCAGCCAGACCCTGACACTCCAGGAAGCATTGTGAGGAAGTGAAGCTCCAGCTCTGAGCGTGGGCACATCGATTTCCCTGGAAAACACAGAGAGAAGCAGACCAGCCGTTTATCTCAGAGCAGCACGGCCGGAGAATTAGAGCTGGAGTCAGAGATGCCTGCACAGAAGTTTGTCTCAGCAATGTTTGCACACAGAAGTTATTTATGGCTCACAGAATTTCAAAGTGTACTCTAACACAGAGAGAGAGAGAGAGATGAAGCCCAATTTTACACCATAGCCATTTTTAGACCTCAGAAGAGGAACCGCTTTTCTCTCAGCAATAGATTGTTTACTACAATTCTTAAAGTTCGGAATTGGAAATAAATCAATAAATCAGGGTTTGGACAACATTAATTTCAGTTAACAGCAGCAAAATACCTGCAGGCGTAAAATATCAAATTAACAAGATGCATATAGCTGGTTGTGGATTTTGTTATTCACATGATATTTTAGAAAACAATCATCATCAATGAAATAAGAAAAATTCCACAGAGGCAGTGGGAGTTTCTGCCCACAGCACAAATGTTGCAGATGATTGACTAAATGTGAAATTACTCAGCCTCTTACAGAAACTCATTGTTTGTATTTGGACTCAACAGATTAGATGCACACTGATTGACATTATCAGGAATTTTGAATGTTTCAACGATCCACAACTAATATTTATGTCCTGTCTGGTCCATTTACATAAACATGCATTTTCATATTTATTATCAGAGGTTAACGGCCTGATTAAACATTGAAGATTTTTTAAAATCTAACAGGAATACAGTCATAGTAAAGTTATTATTTTATGTCAGTAAAGTGGTTATGTTACAATACAAGAATACATTTATTCACTGAGTCAGGGATTAGCCTCATAATGCTGTTTTGAAGGGGATACCACATATCTTAGCCTTTTAGAGAGCAGTAAAGCCCCTCTTCTTCATTGATTGATGGTTTTTGTAGAGGGTTTGTTTGATTTTGCTCAGAAGAAATCTCTCCCTGAAGCAGATCTGATTTGAGTTTTTAACTTCTCCTCTGTGTTGGTGTCTTGCAGCCTGCCAACGACCTGTCATTGTTCTTGTAACTGCGATTATATGTCTGGACAACTTGTGCACTGTCTGACCCCACTGTACGGAGAAGTTTGATTTTATTTCCCTTCTCTTCTGAGTCGTCTCAGGGTTCAGAGGTCCAGATTGTGCCGCGTTAGGGCAGGGCTGGGTGAAGCTCAGCGGTGCTCCACCCCGTCAGTGCCAGTGTTCAGCCGTAGCGATGAGGCCTTTCTCCGCATATCCCCTCCACCACAGCGGGTCAGCAGGGTCAGCCCTCCAAAGCAGATTTAGTCACACAGTGAGAAATCTAAGTACTGCCTGGGCCACAGTGACTCATACAAGAAAATGTCCTATTAAATATTAAAGCAGAGCAGCAGTCATAATAAGAGAAGGAGCCCGGGAGGTTCTTTGAAATGAATGCAGTAAACTTTGATGAGAAAGTTTCTTTTTTTTTTTTTTTGCCCTCTTCTTTGTCAAGTCTAATTAGATCTTTTCTTTTTTTAAGATGTTAAATAAAAAATACAACCTGACAACTAAATTTTGAACTTTGGAAATGGCAAAGGGCAGTTTTACAAACACATAATCAAACAGTCACTTTGTCATAAAAAAAAGAAAAACTGCAGACTTTTTTAAACTTCTCAAATCACAGACGCGTCACGTCACATGCAAAGGCTGTATCATAACTGTCACCTGTTTGAACAAGCAGTTTTATCTATGATCAAATCACATCACCTGACCTTACCTCACTTCTCGTTAGACACAGTCACTGATTGTAGGTATCAAATTTGGCATTTTGGAGCAGGCTAGGAATGCCAATATTGTTCCTTAAATTGTACACAAAGTGTAGAGTGTTAAAATTCATGGTTATTAAAATGCACTATTATGCAGATGGGTCCCTCTGTATATGACTTTGTATTTTTGCCCTATCACTGTCACTTGCTGTGGCTGTTTAACCTGGATGAATGATCAGGACCTGAGTCCACGTGACAACAGTGCCAGAGCTAAAGAAAGAAGCCTCATGTAGACGTCACTCTGTTGTTTTCACACTCATGATATGCAGCTTCAGTAGCGTGATGCGGCTCTGTGACATGATGACTACTGAACCAGGAGGCACTGATTTTAAAACAAGTACCAAGACCACACAGAGCTCAGAGACACTGGCCTTATTGTTACATGTATACATGAATAGCTGCAATGTTACAGTGCAGACCGGTGTTTCACACTGTGAACCCTGCCTGCACTCACAATCTGTCTATTTTTCTCTGCTTATGACACACACACACACACACACACACACACACACACACACACACACACACACACCCTGTGCTGTCATATGAGTGCTTCATATCCTCGGCCTTTGACAATGTTGTATAACCTTGTCTTTGCATTGTGGCTTCTTTGACCATTTGAGCATTCATTCAAAGTGGACTTCAGACTTGTTATGTAAGAGGTCTCTGTGTGGTTTCCACCTCTAGTGCTCCACACTGCTGGAGGGGGTTCTGTGTTACTTTTCACAGGGTAACCAAGAAAAAAAAACATAAAAAAAGTAATGCCTTAACAGAAAGCTCCTACATTTGCTCTCTATTGAGCCAAGTTAGCATGTTAGCCATTGTTACATTAGCTGCTTTTATAATGTAAGCTAAGGGTGTGTGGTTCTGAGCCTTGACAGAAGGTCTTAAGGGGTTTCTATCATAGACTTAATATACTAAAGACAACTTGGTTCTGCCTTCTGTCAGTATATGGATTTGAAGCCAAAAAGCTCTCTGTATTTACGTTTTTTTTCTCCACTTCCTGGAAACAACATTGCGCAGTAGCGTTGTATGCACTCCACCAATTGTGCAGCAGCATTGTACGCATTCGGCAGGAGGGTCGCCAAGAGTCGCTGTGATGACACTCGGCTCAAACAGCATATCCCTCCGTGAGCTACGCAATCTTTGTACGCCCATAGGCTGTATCAGGTGTCAATCATAGAAAACAAGAAGCCCCCAATAACTTGACTTGAATAAGAGGACTTGAGCACGAGCCAGTCTTACAGTAACTACATGTCAACATCACAAGCAGGGGGGAGAAAGATTTATATTCTGTGTAATAAATTTCTACAGTTTGTCCACAGCTCCATAGGGATTGCTTAAGGAGGCAGGATTTATGACTTATACTGCAGCCCGTCACCAGAGGGTGCTGTTCTCGGGGTGGCTTCACCCAGAAAGGAGGCAGACGGCGTCCATTCTATATACAGTCCATGGTTTCTAGCCCCAGGTTTCAGTTGGGGCTAGAAGTTTCGGCTTGTTCTGGCTTTTGTCAACAAAGGCGACATCAGTAAAGAGAAGAGCATAAACAGTATTTGTTTAAAAGCTTCCCACAGTTTTGAAGGTGCCTCTGTCTCAGGGAAGAAAACGTTTAATCTACAAAGTGTAAAGCTGAGGAAAAAGAGGTGCAGTAAAATGGTCTTTCCATCTTCTAAGTGGGAGTGTCTAAGTCTCTTAGCTTTTTCTGAATTGGACAGCACAAGGTGATGTCAGGTTGTGGCCTTTTTTGAAATAAGCCATTCGAGAAACCTTAAAAACCACATCAGTGGATGAAACTGCCATCTTTGTACCTCATCTTCTGACACTTCATGGTTTAGTATGGACATCCAACACTGCATCATTAATACGCATCAGCATGATAAGTCTCATTAAAACATCAAAAAGTATTACTTAGAGAAGCTGAGAACTACTGAGAAAACGAGGCTCATTAATCCTGTAAATCCTGGCCTGTGGTTGTATATCGTTTCTCTCCCACATGCTCTCCCATGACAACCCACCATGAGAACATTTGAGGTCAGAGCACAGATTTCACACTCTCATACAAACTCAGACGACTCAGCTCCAGTCCGTAACCATGATCCCATTGTGATCTATTAAAACATGTTAAAATCAATGGTCCTGTTCCTGCCTCATGCATTACATTAAACACGATCACACAGCCTCAGTGCTGTGTTTTAGAGCTGCCAGTAATTGATTTGCTGTCTCTCCATGAAACTTGTGCTACAAATTATTTTAACGAGGCTCTGCTCTCGGCCTGGTCATGTCTGTCCCTCGGTCTGCCCTGAGTGTTTAATATAGAGCCTTTCTTCACTCACAATTGGAACACAAAGTTTTCACTGAGCTTGGCTGCATTTGCGTGCCTCTCTCAGTGATGGCACTGAATTGTGCTGCGTTGGGGAGTTTACTTGTTTGTGACTGCACTGGAGCCACAGGGGACAACCGATGGGTGTCATCTTACTGGCCTGAACCAGAGCTGCCTGTTTTTCTTTGTAATCAGCCACAGTATCACGACATGTTATTGCAGGATAAGGCTGACAGTACACATGATTTTACTGTTTATTCATAGGATATAGGATATCTTTTGAATAAACAGTACAGGACATATATAGATCCATACTGTAAGTGTGCACACTCTAGATGTTTGGTTTTATTGTGCTGTTTAAGGTGGCTGATTTTTTCAAAGCAATATATTGTGACCATTTCATAAAGAGGAACAAACTCAGTGGCTTTTAGCAAACAAAGACTTTTTAAATTAAAGACACCTTTTAGCTCAACATACAGTATATTCATGTATTTTCTTGGAAACCAAAGGGTTTTCTTCTGAAAGCTCAGTTTTATTAAGCATCCCACAATGAAATAAACATAACAAATATTCAATAGTTCAAGCTTCCACATTGAGCCTTGAGGAATTTATTTGTAACAAAAAAAATATTTTTTTTTTTGTCTTGAATATAAGACAAATCAAGTAAAAATACCACAACCATCATCTTTTTCTATAGAACTGTTGGGGTTGGACAACAATAATCCTCTGTCCAATAAAGCAAAAAAAACCCAAACATTTCTGATTGTGCTTTTTATCTGTACTTTTTCTGTGATCTGATCAATAATCAAAAATAAATACTCAACATATGTCTTAAATGCATCGTCTAAAGAGCATGGATGTATCATACCATGTCTTGTTGGTTAGGCAGCATACAGTCTGAGTACTATACCAAGGCCAGGGTGTATAGTGGTTGGTTTCAAAGATGTGTTTGGGGTGTTACATGAATTAAATTAACCAAAGTGTTGTTATTCTCTTTAACATTGAAGTAAGCCTGCAGACAGGTGTGGATAACAGCCTTTCGTTTTAACATACAGGGTTCAAGCTGGCGTGTTTAACTTTTTTTCATCCATTTTGCCCCTAAAATGCAACAAATACAGGTCATTATATGAGTAATGTTGATGCATGGAGTAATGCCATATTAACTGAAACAAGCGGTCTACAGAACTGGATTGCTCCAATTAAGTCATTGCTTCAGACTGCAGCGAGCCTCTGAAATGTTCCTAAAAAAATCATTTGTCCCAAGAGCAATTAGATTACTACTTTTTAATCCTCTGAACCTCCAACTGTCCAGGATTTAAAAAAGATTTTCTTCATCAGTGAACTGAACTCAGAGGAGATGTCAGTAACCCTGTCCTCTGTCTAGTTTCTCATTCTTACTTTTTAAAGGACAATTACAGCTTTTAATACTGTTCTCTTTATTTATGGATTATGTTGACTGTGATGACGCAGAGGACTCTGCTAATCTCTTGTTTGTGAATGCTGTCTTGTTTGTAAGTGAGGTCATTGTGTGATTTTCCTGTTAAGCCAAAGACAATTTTCCTCATTGCGGACAAATAAAGTCCATTCTGTCTGTGCTCCAAATATTCACGGACTTTCTAGGTTAACAGATGTGTAAATGTATTTATGACGCACAGCAGAGTCACTTTAGTGTCAAATCCAGAATACCAACATGATCAGACAAGATCTGATTTTAACCAGGTTTTTGTTGCTGATCGAGAATACAGTCTTTTTGTGCAGCACTGCACCAGTGTTGTACTGGACCTTTCTTTAAGGTCAGCACACCTTTTGGCACTAACGTGGGTGCAGGTTCATGTGCTCTTTGCACAGCGTGGGTGCTGTGCTTAGAAATGAGGACGTGGAAAATTACAGACACTTCAACTGTAGGTCAAGATGCTTTACCAGAGGGCCCTTAAATCTAGAAATCTCTGATGAACAAGCAGTTTTTTGCAATATTCTTTATCTTGAACAAGAAGAAATATTGTTGATGCCAGGGGTTATATAGATCGAAACAACACAGAATAAGGGTGGTGATATACTAATGGTAAAAATAGATGCAGGCCTTCCCACGGTGGGAACACTTGTTATCAGCACAGTTTCTGTATCTATACCATATGGGTGCTTAAAATAGATTCATAATTAATGTTGAGAGAGTACATCCCACTGCAGTGAAAATAAGGAGACAGAGAAAGTGATGCGGTGTGATATATGAAGATAAATGAGTTTCATATACACCCGGTATAAAGCTGCTGTGGTCGTCCTCTGGGGCACAGTCATGCAGCGCGTGTAAATGTGAGCAGACCGAACACACGTTGCAGGCACAGCCGTACTGCTGACCTTCTTCAGAAGTGCTGTGTGAGGACTTCAGAGAATAATGCCAACCAACAGACTGGTGCAGACCTCCTCCCACCTCCACTACCTCTGACATACTGTGCTCTACATTACTGATGCACCAGTTCACTTCACTTCTTTCCCCAGATACAGAGTACAAAACTGCTCTCCAGTTCACTAAGGTCTAATATTTTCTATTTATGTTTACATGATTTTTTCTTACATAGAATCCTAAAAAGCAGGTTTTAATCAGAAATAGTAAACACATAAACAGCTTTGCATAGACCCAAAGTGATCACTGATTTTTGCACAGTTCATATCAGAGCTTGACTTTCGTACACTTGTAGGTTGACATAGTTTGCTAATATATACCTATTAAAAATATCTCCGTTTGGATGTAACTGTTTTTAAATAATTGGTCCAAGTATGAAAATTCTTTCTGCAAGGCACATTGCTATCTGTTAAATAAAAATAGTCCATGTCATGAGCTGTGTTTACACAGTGATCCCACTGCAGCTCCTTTCCAAAGCTCAGCTGTCACTCTGCATTCATACTTTAAAACTGAACCACACAACAGTAATATCATTGTGTCCCAGTGTGTTTGAATGAACACAGCAGAAGATAAAGAAATGCAATGTATAAACAAATAACACAAGCATCACACTGTTTTGTCTCTTTAACTACCGCAATGTCTGCTCAGCAGTAGGACAACTTAAACACTTTATTACACCTCTGAAATTCTGGAAAAACACATTATATAAGTACAGGACAAGAGCATCAAAGAGATAGGAGGCACAGATTTGTCTCTAAAGAAGGACAAGTTTGATGGAAACAAACAGTTCCTCGCAGGAGCTTTAAGACACCAGCCCTCAGAGTGTGTTTGCATCAGTTTATCATAATAAATCAGGACATGATCCACACAGCAAACTCTGTTTTCATATCAACTCTTCAATTGACTATTTTGACCTCTACAATCTATGAATTTGAACTCCAAATGGACACCATGACTTTGGTGCAAGTAACTAAAAAAATGACATAAATAAAGTTCAGTCTGGAGGACTGTTTGCAGAGGAAGCAAAAAGAGTAGACAGGCTAAAACTGGAAATAAAGTGGCTATTATGACATTTAATTGGCTGTAGGCTGAGCTTGACTTTGTGACCTGCCTTACCTAGCACCATATTGTATTTTGTATGACAAATACAGATTTTGACAGGGTCAGATGTCCTGGAATACTCTGGCCTCCCAGGATGTACTGACTGGCTTTTTGATTGAGAAACAGATTGAATTTTAATCTTCTTATGGAGGGAATAATACATGCGTATTCAGAGCATACTCAGAGTTGTGATTCCTTTACGTTTCCTTAAATGTTTTTTTTTAAATGTTTGATTTCCTTTTTTTTCCCCACACAGAACTGAGTACAAGGCTTACAGAGATGTGAAACCAGCAAGGATGATCCGAGCCAAGTCCCAGTACCTGCCTCCAGATGAGAAGACCAGTCTAGAGACCAGCTACAGTGCCACCTTCAAGGGACAGACACCACTGCAGTCTGCTGACAACAGGGCCCAGGAGAGGAGGAGGATACGCAGCCTGTACAGTGAGCCCTACATAGACCCCTCAAAACAGGTGAGAAATACACCTTTCTGACTCTGCAGTATGCTGTTAAAGGGCAAAAAATTGGTGTAATATTTTCAGGGTTTTGCACATGCTCATTTCATTGCACATCAGAACTTAAGAGTGGCTATAACAAAGGTTTAAGCTCAGGAATCTCATGTTCACTATCCAACATCCTTAGGTTGACAGGTATAGTGCCCCTCGCTCTAAACCCAAAAAGTCTGGAGCCACAGCAGCGGGCCAGAGTAAACCAGTGAAGAAAGCCAAAGATAAGCAGAGCACCGCGCTGAGGGGCTCCAAGAAGACGACCTCGGAGAACCAGCCTGAGAACCGGCCAGCGGTGGGGGACAAGGAGAAAAGTAAAGAGATGAACAACAAACTGGCTGAGGCAAAAGAGTAAAAACCATTTAGCACTACTTCTTCTTTTATTTCTTATTCTTTTGGGGAAAAACAAACACAGAGGCTGCAAAATTATTTAAGGATCTCATCTTTATTCTCATCTTTCCCTCTGTTTCCCTTCAGTCTTCTTCTTCTTCTTCTTGATCAGTCTCTCTGTAAACTCTCACTCTGTCTGTTCTGTCCTCTCTCACTACCTCTCTGCTGTGTTTGTACAGTTATAGTTATGACAAAATGTTGGGGTTTAGACATGCCATGCTCCTCCCACCTCATGCTATATCATATCTTTATAGTTACGAGTGGGCGGGAGCATCCTCTTCCTCAGCCATTTGATGCCGCCCACCACCCCCCACTCTGCTCTGCTCGCCTCCATCTCCAGGTTGCCATGGCTACTGTCTTGTTAGCCAATGGATGGCTCTTGTTGCATGGGCCCACAAGCGGGAAAGCAATCCTGAAGTGTTGGCTTTGATCAGCTGAGCAGATTGCTTTGTTGACTTTATCAAGGATTTTTTTCCCTCTTCTCTTTTGGTTTTTGGAGGAAGATAACCAAATTGGCTCCTTGGATTTGGTTTCTGCTCCTGATAAATTCACATCAAGTCTGAAAATCTTTGATAAATGTCCTGCTTGATTAGTCCATGGCTTATTGTTCCCTGCTTTTTCATCTCTGCTACTGTTCTCTGTTCATTGAAGAGCTCATAGTCTGTGTTAAGCAATGTCATTATGCTTTGTATGTTGTTATCAGGCTCTCATTTTTAACTCTGCTTTAGGCTTTGACAAACTGTTGTCAATTCACCTGATGAAAAAACACCCTGCTGTACTATCCCTTCATGAAAAACCCATTCATACAGTGGTATTTTAATTCACTTAAAGCCATTTTGTAACGCAAAATTTGTTGCCAACAACCCATCTAGGTCACACTTAACTGATTATGCATAAACACCAGTCATTTGCAAAGCAGATGAGCATTCCCACCGAATGGGACAACACTGCTGTGCAGTTGTAGTGACATTATATCATTAGAGTAACAGCATTACTCAGAATCAGAGAGGGATGAGTTCAGTGGAGCTGGGATGTTGTTTGAAATGGTTCAGGCTGTATCCTTTTTGCAGAGCTGTCAATCTGAATCTCCATAATTCAGTGTAATTGCCCCCAACGTAGTGTTCATTAACAACACTAAGCCCCCCCTGCAAAGCCTCACAGCGGTTATGCAATTTTAGCTGCCTGTACACACACACGCACAGTTTTTGGCTTTTTTTGATGCACTGTGCCGAGGGAGACCGTGACCAACGTGATTTCACTGCTACTGGATTATAGCAGGGAGCTGAAAACACAGCTTAATGGTCCTGTCCGCACTACTTTTAAGGTTAAGGCTGTATGAATGAGACACAGATCTTGATGAGTGATAAATAACTGCCATTTGTGAAATATATTTTCAACCTAAAGAGCCCTGTCTGCGAGAAACTTCTGTCATATTTAACTTTTTTACAACATTACATTAATATTCAGCAACAAGCACTTAAAGGACACCTATTACAGTTTTATCCACCTTTCAATGTGTCACTCTTAAACATCTATAGATCAGCTGTTCACAATTTGCAACTTATTAAACACCTTATTAATCTTTTATTTATGTGTTTGTTTAAAATTATTTAACTAAGGAATTGTCACTGATAATCTTGTTTACAAGAGTGTCCTGCCCAATCTTGTTCAGGCGCCTGCAAATTCTCTAATTTCAGCACTATTGAGCCTTTGCCTGAAACACTTTGGCTGCTTTACAAAGCTTAACAAAGCTGGTGGGTGTTACTTTTTACTCAGCTTTGTAGTCACAAAATGACCCAGAAGTTGTGCCTTGACAGAGGACATTGTAGGCTAGCAGCTGGCTCTCTGCCATACCTTGGCTATTGGTACATTACCTGTTGTAATAATATTACTGACTGCTTATGAGTCCAAACCCAGCTGGTGCTGGTCTTTGTTTACAAAGGTGTCATGAAGTTGTGAGCACAAATCTAAAAACTGTTTTTTGTTGACTTTTTCTTGGCAAGAGAAATCAGGGATGACTTTTCCTCACAATCACAATAATACATAACAACTTTTTAAGACACATGAAATTGGCAAAGTGAAACACAGAGGAAAAGATGAGCAGTTAAAGAGACTCTCCAGCTTCTAGGTGGGTCTGTCTATGACCAAGCCTCTGGGTGGGTTCATTGTCCTGATAACACAGCGCTGTCCCACAAAGTTCTTAAAACAAGCATTTTAGGGAATCTGATGACGCCAACATCTGTGTATCATGTCTTTAAACTTTACCAAGGTTTAGTATGGGCACCCAGCACTGTAACATTATATATTAAAATTCTGAGCTTCATTATATATATATATATCCCTTACAGCTATTGTGAAGAAATTAATCTGGTTTTGAAACAGCCTGAAATTTATGCTGTGGTTTCTGTCTGAGCTTCAAATGCTAACAAGACCATCAGCGGCAAGAGCAACAATATAGTTATAATATAAAGTTATTTTTTTACTCTGAAAATGCTGCCGAAGGTTAGGTAACAGACAAGGCCATAAACAGCACAATTCAAGGCTGACATTTGTAGCTATAAGAAGTTCAGTGACTCTTGTGTTATGTTGTTTCTCCATCCTGTTACTAATGAGGTTAAAACAGCACAAGAGGAGCCTCATTTGTCAACATAGCTGTCAATCATTTTGTCATAGCGTGTTTTAGAGGCATCAAATAACAAATTAAAAGTTAGACAGGTTGATTTGATAAAAAAAAAGAAAAAACTTATATTAATGATGGAAGCCATATTTGATAAAATTTTGACATGTATGTTTATTCTAAGTTTGACCCATGTATCATCTGTTTCCATGGAAAAGGCGGCTTTTTGAACGTTACCACAGACAGTCAGTAGGGGGAGCTTTAGTAGCAACGTTTACTCTGGACACAGCCAAATATCTGTTGGGTTGACTCTGCCAAACCGTGCTATAAGTGACATCCATAAAGCACTTTTTTTTTTATGAGAGTTAATTAATCAACATAATTTATTGGAAACAGAGGTGGTTAATATAATTTTGTTTAAGTACACGTATATTTGGGCACATGTAACGATAAATATGTCACTGCTTCTGTTTTGGACTCCCACTTTATCACTCTCTGTTTCTGAACTCATGTTGCTCTGCCTGTTTTTCCAAACACTCCGGTCTCAAAGTGGGAAAAGTATGTTGGGTTGATGTGGTGGAAAGAAAAAGAAGGATTATATCGTAAGTTGTATTGTACATGTTTTAACCAATTATAAGCTCCCTTGTGTATATATAGGTTGTACCTGTCTATCTGTTAAAGCAGGGCTACATCTAGTTGCTTTCTCTGAGTCTTAGCTTCTATATGTAGAGAAAGACACCATTAATCTCAAGCTTTTGTTTTTGCATTAGAAGAGCACTATTCTGTCTTGTCATGGTGCAACCCATCGATGTGCTCATATCACATTTTACTGTCTTCAGTAGCTTTGCTTCTCAGCATCGTGTCCTCCATTTTGATGCTGGTATGGTATCCTTTTTCTGTAGCATCTGAGACAGCAACCATCTCCACCACCGCCACCACCATGTCTATCTGAGCTGAGCCCCATCAGGGATGACTCGTTAGCATTTTGCAGCCTTTGGTTGGGGGACACTCGGTCAATTAACATAAGGGAGGAGGGGGCTTGTAGGTGCAGTAAATGTAATCGGTGCTTAGCACACCACACACTCTGTGCTATCTGTGTGATTCATAGAATAATAAGGATAGAAAGTATGGTGAAGAAAGTTATGTTTTTGGGCAAAAAAAATATTGACTGTGACGTGCTTGTGTTTCTATCTGCTTGCTCATATTTAATGAACAAATAAATGCAAAAAGCAGAAAAAGTGTCTTCTTGCTTTTTATTTTATTTTTGTTAAAAAGTATGGTGAAAGATTAGAGGTTGCAGGTATCTGTCAGCATTTCTCCTCCCTGTCCTGGTCTTTGTTTTTGTGAAACAATATGAAAATAGATCCACATGGAAGAGAATTTTGCTCTTACAACCTCTTTCTATGCTTATGCTAGGTCGCGCCAATTTCTGGCATGAGGTCTGGCATCCTCTGTGGACCCTGCATGTTGTGTGAATTGAAGAATATATTATGTTTGCATCTTGTCTCCAATATATTCCAATAACTTGTGTGATTTATAGACAACATGCATGTCAAAGGATGTCCAGACACTTATTCCAGAATTAGATGTTTTGTGCTTCTCCGGCTTTTAAATAATGAACCAACTTTATGTAAAAGAAAAAAAAAACACCAACAAATGTGTGATATGACATTTGCTGAAGTCACATTGTTCTTTCTCATAGTGGTTTCATGGTTAGAGTATTTGAGGATGTCACATTTGGATGATGCTGTGTCCGGTTTGTGGTGTGCTAATGAGTGACATTCTGATTCATTTGAAGGGTTGTGCTAAAACAGTACCACTACATACAACTCTGCCAGCCAATCCGAGATATTGGCTGGGTGCAGACTCTAAAGCAACACCTGTGGGGCTGTGCACTACCCAATCCCAGGTAATCGATCACCAGAGCAACGAAAAAGAAACAGAGCCACAAATGCCACTCATTCCCATTCATACATGCTCATGGAGTCGTGGTTTACTTTTGTTTTCTATTACAGTGGCACACTTTTTGTTTTTCTGGTGAACCACCACATTATCTCCGGTCTACTCCTCAGGTCATAGCCCCTCTGTTTTTCTCTTCCATATGGACACTAGAGTAGGGGGGTTGGATGGGGCTGTCTGACTGCCTGCTGTATCATTCTACATGTACGGTTCCTTAAGGTACCCTCTACTTAAGGAGGCCTCAGGTTTAGTCCAGTCATCTCCAACCATCCTTGAACCTTTGCTGAAATGCACCCACTCCTCATGGTTTAAAAAAAAAAAAAAAAGAACTGCATGATTTTTGAATGACACACTCGGGGATTAGAGAGGGCTGATCCACTCATGTTTGAGGCAGGTCACTCACATAATCACTAGAGATGTTCCGATACTGTTATTATCCTCACAGTGTGCATTCAGATCCCTGCATTTGTAGAGTGGAATACCAGGAACCAATCCTAAATCAGTGCTATGCTTTTAAAATTAAGTGTACACTCCTCACCTTGTATTACCTTTGTAAAACACAAGCAGTGTGTCCTTGTTGCATTTCCTTGTAGCACTTCTAAGTATATCTGTGGTTGCAACCCAACTTGATGTGTGAAAACAAGCCATCTGTTTAGTGGTTAATGAGTTACTCTTTATGATCTGCATATATTTTATTGTCTGCAACATACAGTCAATCTTACGCTGTATGATTAAGGCTCTTCCAAGATTTTTGTCGCTATCGGAACAGCTCTAGAAATGACACCTTTCAAGATTGTATCACTGCATCTTAGCTCACTCGGTCAAAGTTTGACACTGTTTTTTATTTTCATTCGAAATCCTGTCTCCGATGCATGCTGCCACTGTTTTTTCTGTTGGACCTGCAATCTGATGTTTAGACTCTGCACCTACTCTAGCATATCTGAGTGTTAGCTTGGATATTCTGTACATAAGATGAGATGAGATGAGGGGTAAGTATGAATGGAATGAGAGAAGCGGATCTGCTTTGGAAAGAGACATTGCAAAGGAAATTGTAAGTGCATGTTAAAAATTTTACCATTTTATAAATTACTAATTAATGCCTATTCAAATGTGATTTGATATTTTTTCTTTCTTTTAGTTTTTATTCCACAGAGCACCCTGAGACTGTCATTGCATTAGGCATCCTGTTGTTTTTGACACTGCGATTAAGTGAATCAGTCAAAGTTTGGATTTAAACCAGCGGCCTGGATTGATCTAAATGCAAAGCTGTCCAATGCAATGTTTGAGATGTTAAAACTTTTTTTAAGTGTATTCCCATAACTCACTCAGTTTACAAAGTCTTTATATCCCATGATTCATGGGTCGTTTGATTCAGGATGGCCTTGTAGCATTTTCATGTAATATTTGTGATTACCAACCAGACAAACAAGCCCTGTAGACATGCTGTAGCTTAGTTGATTTACACTCCTGTCTGAAATGAGCGGTCACAGGGTGCTCAGCTCAGCTCAGCCCGATGACTTCCTGTTGTTGGCCTCAGAGAAATGCCTCATTGTGTGTCTCTTTCTGTCTCCTTCTTCTCTGGTTATCTTAACCATGTGCTGCCTTCTAGAGAAGCTCACGACGAGTCTCTCCGACTCGGTCATCATAATTCCCAGGGTGCTGCTGGAGGAGAACCACAGCCACTGCTGGAGCGAGCCGAGCCACGGAGGAGCACAGGAGTCGTACGCTTTGCCCTAGACGGGAACCAGACTGACTAGTTCTGCCTGGGAGGTGGATAGGCCTCATACAGAGACTGCTGCTCTGTGCTGTAAATATCTAGTATTTGCAACTAAGTCGAGTCAGGTGGAGAGGGAATCCCACAAAATAAGAAAGCACACACATTTGAAGCACGCATGTTTGAGACAGTTTTTGGCTGTTTGACTCACGGCATTATCGCAAAGGTGCTACATCATTTTTTCTGGTTTCATGCAATTTTCTTTTAACAGTATGTCAAAAATATTAGAAATACCACACCATAAAGTGCTTATACAACATTTACTAAACACTGTACTGTACATTGATGAGTTTTAGTGTAAATAAATTACCATAACTTGCAGATCGCAAGAATATACTGTAGTCTGTGGTTTTTGGTCAGTAGTTTTTTATGGGTGGTATGAAACAGAGATTTAGCTGAGGGCTTAAAAATGCCATGCAAATATATAATTGATTTCTTGGCCTTATGAGTATAAGAGCATAACTTAAAGTGAGATAGCTCAAAAAATAAAATTTTGAACTCATGGCACCCTGCATTCTTGGCATTTTCAAAACTACTGCTTTAACTCCTTGCAAATTAAGGCTTTTTAAGTTTTAACATTTTTGCCTTTTAAATATCTTTTTGCACAAGACCCCAAAATTTAAAATATTGAATCCACTACAGTAAAGAAAGCTAAACTTGTTGGGACTCTGTGGTTTTATAATTATATTTGTCCTCTGAAAGAGGAAGCGGAACCTATTTTAACGTTCATGTTTTACATCTGGGAAATTCAGCATGATTTGGTGATATCACAAACAGTTTGTAAGCCAAACACTGACATAATGTCGAAAACACTGAGTGCTTAGTGTATGAAGTAAAAGACATTAAGAGTGGAATAAATCAAATCTTTAAGATACTATAAGGAGTTTTCTACATAAATGAAAGAGATTGAAATTCATATAAATTTCCTTTTATGATTTTCAGATTCAAACAAGACCATCAGAGACCAGATTGGTGATTTTATTGTGTTATTCTGAATGCCTGGAATCCCTCTAAGAGGGGGTAGGTGTCAGGTGAGCAACTACCAGCAGAGACAGGATGCTACCACTATCAGCATAAAGGACCAACTCATCAAATAATTCAACAAATTCTAAGAGACTCTGACTCATGCACTCATCTCAGTTTAAGTACACTTTTTACTCTGAATTTCTTCAGCATTTTACCTTGCCATCAGAAAGCCCATTATTCATCAGGAAGCCAATTCTTTCAGTAGAATCAAACATGTTTACAGTCTGGTACAAAAAAATGTTTGTGTCTTGTTTCTACATCACATTGCTTGTTGCCTAACAACTGTACAGGAGGTTAATGTTTTATATAACTTAGGCCTATCTGTTTTTATACATTAAGACTAACAAGTGATACATAATTACTTGTGAGGTTGACTTGACAGATGGGCAGAACCACTGTAACTGTTTTCCTGTTGGCTAGGTTACAGCCTCAACTCCATATCTCAGCCAGTTCCTAGATTAGCTGGGAGGAAGTCAGTGCGTCCAATATGGCAACTTCCATCCTGGGCTTAATAACACCTCTTTGCCTAGAGATATCACTGAGACTACGTCCATGTTTTATACCATCTAATGCTTAGACTTGTACTTAGGCATGCAGCATTGTGTTAGCCTAATGTCAGTACCATTGGTGGTGACCACTGATACTGGTAAAAGAAAAAAAATCGACCTGTCAGCTAGAGCCAACTAACAATCAACTTAAAAGATGTTTCACTGTCCCTATGTTGTTGACGACTATCTGAACAGTAAAGCCGGCCCATGACCTTAGTTTAGTTTGATGTTCCAGTGAAGAGTTTTTCTACATTAATGAAATAGACTAAGATTCATATCAATGTTTTTATGATATCCAAAAGCAAACAACAACATCGGTGGAAAGACCAGTAAATTTGATATGCAGCTACTAACTGCATTATTGAAAAACCTATTTCTGTGAATTCATGGTCTGCATCAGACTGTTTAGAGCGTCTTTGTCTGCAGACTCAGCTTTACTGCAGTAGGTATGTGCATATTAATGCTGATGCAGGACATTACATACATGACAAGCTGACATAGGTAGAGTTTTTTCACCTGTGCTTTACTGCTCCACAAGGTACGTCACAGCACTACCCATCATATTGTAGTGAAAATGCAAATTAGGGGATATCTCGTCAGTCATGGGGAAAGAGTTAAGCATGTAGAGGACAAGATGAGCAAAGTCTGCTTTGTCCACAGGGGGCACTAAAATTGAGAGCTCCTCACAGGATCTTTAACATTAGAGGACAAACAAACATGGCAGGAACCATTTTTTTCATTTTTATTGTTTGCTTAAAAGGAGTCTCCATTGAAAATACAAATCAAAGACTGTTAGAAAGCACTACATCAGAATAGAAAGGGTTTAAAGCTGTCTGTGGAAGACCTCTTGTACAACATTGATAGTAACTTTCTGATAGGGCTAAAATGGAAAAACTTAATGCTTTGAATGGGGTTAGAAAAAAAGGGGGGTGCCAAGTGGACCTTTTTAACCTCCTTTGACATTTCTGATGTGTTCAATTAGTTTTTAACCTTTTGTTTTGAAGTTTGCATCATGGGTCAATTACAAGCGTTTAAGCACACCTCTGCTGACAACCCTTTAATGTTGTCAATAAATCAGAAACATTTAAGACATTCAAGACAAGTCAACACTTTCACTGGAATCAGAATCTGATCTGAGGATGCATGACCACAAAACAACATTAAAAACTACTGTAATGGATACAAACAGAGCTCATCTTTTGACTTAACAGTATATAAGTTGGAGAAAAACTCAGACTGACACTTTTACTGAGCACTAAGAGGTCCGAGACAGCAAGAAAAAGTAGTGATGGATTGAATACTTTCCTTTAAAAGCACAAGTAGCAGCATTTTTGGATGTAGTTTATGGCAACCTTTTTTTGGTGCTCCATTAATGCAGGTGCTCATGTTTTATTAACGGCTCACAGTCCAGAGAGAAGATGCAGACTAGGATACAAGAAAGGACGAAAACCAAGCTGTGGTTTTGGGGTGTTGGTTTAGAGAAGCTGTTTTCTATTCAATGTTCAAATTTCTCCTCATTATGCTTCTGTTTTTTATAGCCTATAGTGTGACTGACAGCACTGAAGATCCCGTCACATGCACTCTGACATAATAGAGTAGCTATGGAGATGTGCTGCTCCAGTCATTGTGTTTCAACAAGATTTCTGTGATTTGTGTAAGTGTGCCCAGAGATACTGTTGTCTCTATCGAGTGGTGGGGGAGGGGAAGTAACACTCAATGTGTCAGTCTTTATCAGCAACTCAGCCGTCGTGATGAAATACTCAGAAATTATTCAAAGCCCACACAGTGCAAGGCCAAGAGTGCGGATCACCATCAAGTCTGTGATGTTACACTGTTAATACTGTTAATTCATCAGTATTAGGTTCAAAGTGTTTCCCTTTTTTATTCTATTTATGTTGCTGTAAATAAAAACAATACAGTTTTAACGCCTTGAGGGAAGGTTAACAATTAAAAGACAATAAATATTAAAGCAAGGAAAGGGAAATATACAAAATTATAATATTTCAAGAGACTGGGAAGCACTCTTAGTTTTATTGTAATGTCTACCTATTCATATGTTTACATGATCTTGTAAAAATGAATGTATTGCATAATTCTAGCTAAAACCAGCCTTTTGGAGTACATATTGAAATGTCAAAAAACATAATTTTCAAAGGTCTGACACAGATACCGTGGTTTGAGATTAACTTCTCCTTGAATGTTTGCACTGTAATCAGCCCCAAACTGGTCCAGGCATTCAGGGCATGCTCTACAGTCCACATGCCCAGCTTTGACCCAAAGGACCAACAGTATAAATACGTAGGAGAAGGCAGAATAGTATCTGCCTTTGGATATCTCTTTGTAAGTCTGACAGATAGCATGAATTGCATTTGTACCAAAGTAAAGCATTAATATGTTCGAAAGATGCAGAGCTGTTAATGTGGCCATGTCTTTTTAACCATTCATCATATAGCCAGTTAGCCTCTTGTTAAATTGTTTGTTGATTGTTTTGGTATTTGTCATGATGGGTCAACCAGAGGGAGGTGTAGCATTAACTATCTGTAAAAGAGCACATCACCACCAACCTTAGCGCAGGTGTACATTTGTCAGTAAATCACCCTGTGTGTTCAAATGGGATGAAAGCAGTAGTTCAATTAAACGGCGAAGAGGACTGAAGCTTTGCTTGATGTGCATGTAAACTAAAGGGAGGAAACTACACCTTGCATTAATTCATATGAGAAGAATCGTGCAAAAGATAACAAAGAAAAGTGAACATTTCTAATGTTTATCGTGTCTATAGTGCAGACTTTTTTTACTATAGTGTGTAGTTTTTTGTTGCTCATCCCCCTGGTGCTTAAGTTGTAAATAATGGCTGACCTTGCAGCAAAGCCATACTATTCACTGGTGTGGATGAATACTTCCATTCATAAGTCTAGAGCCTGAATATAATCTCACTTTTTTCAAATGAGACAAAGAAAATAACCCATTGTCAGGTCAATATGGCATTTCTCCTGATTTAATGTGGCAACTGGATCTGAGCTGCCACACTGTCTCAGTCACATTAACTGCCACTGTCACATTATATCGCCAAAAGGATACCTTGCCTCACCATAATGTTTTCTCACTCACATCCAAACAATTTCATAACTTTAACAACATAATACTCATCCCTTTTGTCAACTGAGGCCATAAAAGTCAGTGTAAAGTCAAAGTATTTTTTTTACAGCTGCCTTAGCTTAAAGGTACAAGTGTGCAGTATTTAGCAGGATCTATTAGGAACAGACTTCGTAAAAACAGAATGTAATATTCATAAAAACCCACTAAGAGTGTTTAATAAGCAATGAGCTGTGTGAGTGAGTGTACACACACACAGACACACAGGACATAAAACATGATGAATTACTGTGTCTCTGCACCGCCTGACCTGGATGAACACAGGGAGGCAGATGGAAGGAGGAGGAGGAGGAGGAGAGAGAGGAAGGACTAAGGAGACAGAGATCATGTTGCAGACATTAAGTGGAGATGTTCTCTGCTGCTTTCCGGAATAAAGACGTCCAGAGTGGAAAGTTATTTCTCCTCCTGTTCACGCCCTCTAATCCCCTGTGTCTGATTTATAAACTCAAGAATTACCCCCTAGATGCTTGTTTCACGTATTTAACGAGGGAAATTACCACTGGTTATGGCTGCTCTGGGTGTGCGAAGGTTATAAATTATGAAACAACCTGCACACCGCAGCCTTTGCAAAACCAACTGCAATCTGAGTCCATCTGAAGTGTATAAAACCACCATAAAACCATCATCAAGAAAGGAAGAGGACACTTGACAATGGAGCTGAGAGTTTGTCTCCCAAAATTTAGATGAGTCATTCAAGTTATTGTGACCAAGTTCAGATATATTCTTGATAAACATTGAAAATGTGCATCATCAAGAGACAACACCCTCCGCTTTATGGACTATTGACTACATAGTATCTGAGTTATTGGAACCAAGTTAAGCTATGAAGGTGTCATCAAAATTAAAAATGATCATGTTGATCTGGAAATAAATCATCATGCTAATAAAATTAAAATTTTGAATATCCTGTTTAGTGATGCAGAATGCTGACAGGCAGTAACATTTTAACCACTGTGTCAACAGGCAGAGTGTAATCAGACTCCTTTCTGCGAATGATATCACATGACTTGTTCCACGCATTGGCGTTGTTATGCAGAATTGATAACTGTTGCTATGAGGGTTTGACCAATCAGAATCAAGCATGTGACATAGCCATGTAAACAGTAACAAAGCCATTTCAATGATTTTCTAATCAGTCAACAATATTATTTTAAGGCCTATATTTTCAGTAAACAAAGCCACACAACTACGCAATTTTTGAGCGACATGTTTTAAAACAGTTGGGCAAGGGTTTTGCTTACCATTTGTTGCATTACCTCTTCCATTCAAAACAGTGTAAACAAAGCCCTTAATAATTTCAAGGTGGTATTCAAAACCACCATAAAAGTACTACCTTGTGTGCAGAACAGCATGCTGCATTTTACATGTTTGACTGATCTGTTGGAATTGGTGATATATAAGGAATCAAACAGTTTCCACAGAAATGGGCAGCTACCTGTGAGGGTCCCCACAAGTTGTCTCATATGTTATCTCCTATATGATATGCATAAAATTAACTTTTACCTCAATCTCAATATTGAGCAGTTAGTTTTACATGAGTGTCAATGATAAAAGTAATAACATACCTTTATTTGTGATCTTACCCCTCAACCAGTGTGCTGGGATTGGACTTCATTTTCCTCTCAGATGAGTAAATGCAGGCTCTTTAACTGATACCAAAGGGGCACACTCTTAACTCAGAGGATGGTGGTAATGCACCTAAAAGCTGAGCACTACCTGTCAGAAATCATGAAAAAAAAGACACTGGGATGGTGCATTGTGGGAAACAACAAACATCTACATCAAAAGCACTCTGGAGATGCACCCGGATCTCGTGGTGATGTTTTTACGATGACAGTAAAGGCGATTCTGATTCTGACAATGTGCAAAGAAATCTGCACTGGTTATTTTTCCTGAATTAGTTACATACTACAGTCCACATTTTAGCCAAAGCAGAATTTACTAGTAATAGAGTGGCCAGTTTTGAATACGTACATACAGACAGACAGACAGACAGACTCAAATAACCTCTAGCCTTAATGAGCCAAAAGTTTGTCTGACAAACAAGAAAGAAAGATCAATCCATGAGGCAGGTTGATGGAAGACGCCCTTAGCAGTTCCTGTCAAAGCCATGCCCTCCCCCATGGGTCTCAGTGTGAAAAACAATAAACAGGAACTGCTCTGGTAAGGGGGCCTACTGCCAGTCAGAAAAGTCAATACAGAGATAAATTAGCTGACTGTTTAATCTGAAAGATTTTACACATTCATGCTGAAGTTAAATAGAAAAATGAAGTGAGTGATCTGGATCAACATAAACATGTCTTTAAATCGATTTACATTCTTTTAACCTCAAAATATCTCCGCTCTCTTTGGTCCTGGCCACTCTCCCTTCCTCCCTCAGTCCACCCGCACTGCTGTTGCCATAGTGACGGGGCTGAACGGGTTAATTAGTGGGCGGAGCGTCTGCAGCCCTCCAGATGGTTGTAAGCCCTCCTTCCCCGCAGGTCTCCGGGGAGCACCTTTCAAACGGAGAAAGCCTCTCCTGTTTAGTATTCAGACCCTCACCGTCAGTCCAGGAGCTGTATTTATGACCCCCGCAGTCAACAATGAAGGATCATGGGAAATGTGGCTGAAAAAAAATCTGAATCCTCCTCCTCTGCCAGGACTTAGTCCTGATCCTTTGATTTACATTTTTTTACGGTACATTTCCACTCCCTCCCTTTTTATGGCTCCTATCATGCCAAAATGATTAACAATGTTGACTTTATATTGAACTACTTAAAAAATATATTCTTCCCCTGTAAACATCGTAAATATGACATTAGTATGCCTGCAGGAAGCCATCTTGCCTTGTTTTTATAAATGCAGAAATACGCTATTAGCGCCCCCGTGTGTACAAACTCATACATGACATGTTTGCTGCAGGGAATATAACCCTGCAGCAAATAAAGAAAAATAAAGGCCTATATTTCATGTTTTTAGAAAAATTATAATCCAGAGACATAAAAGTGTTATCTGTGCTTCAACAGTTCTGCAGATTGTATATTTTATGGTCACTTTTGACCATTTAAACATTACCTTTCATGAAGAGGTAAGCAAAACAAGCAAATTTAGTGCAAAATAACTGCAGCACAGGGTCAAATCTTAAACATGTAGTTTCAAACTTTTCAAAGCAAGCACATTGGCTATCTTTTATAATCTAAAGTCACTTTGGTGGGCTCCATTGTGCTTGTCAAAGCTTACAAAAATAAAGCTTTTAATGACAACCAGATACATGTGCTTGATATTTCATTTAAGGTGTTCTGTAAATCATGATATGCTTTCAAGCAAATGTACATTTGTGTCAGTGCTTTTTATGTGTTTCTTATATTTAACAGTTTTGAACGACTGCAAATGATTTTTGTTGGTAAAAGAGATAAAAGATTTACACATGGTTACAACCCTGAAAATGGCTCATGACTCATTTAACTTATTTGTACCTTTTATGTAGAATTTTGCAAAATTCCGACCTGTTAAGGCAGCATAGTTCAGAAAAATATGTTGGTCTTTACATACCACAAAAAAACAATGGCACCCACATTACACTAGATATTTTATGATGAACAATGCGAGCACACTGAAATTAGTCAAGTCTCTCCTTAAGAAGACAGTGGCGATTTTTTTGTACAGGAAATCCCTTCGTTTCCATTATTGCAACATCACCGGTAAGCTGTCACAATATCAGCTTTTTACCTCACAACTAAAAAATGTGCAATGATAATGCTATCCCAAACATGGAAAACACACATCAGTCCAATTTAAGCTACTGTAAGGAGTTTTAAACTGGAAATATGCTGAGATGTAGTGTTACCTTTTTCTTAAAGCAATTATTACCATCAGTAAAAAGACCAGTATTACCTATGTTGTCATTTTTAGTGCCTAATGTCGGTGTTAGAGTGTAGCTCTCAGGCCAGATGATGGACAGGATGCTAAAGTGGTCTGTATTTTTAGTTTGTCTACAGCAAGTTTTCTACATGAGTCAAACACTTGCTGTTAAAAAAAACAACTGAAGGTGATACTTGCTCAAGACATTACTCACATGTGTACAGAAGTACAGAGGAAGGTGCAAAAAGAAAGAGAGAGGTGTGACTTTGTTCAGCGGGGCCCCAAAATCAACACAAACAGGAGCTTTAGAGACAGGCACAACGAAGGTCGAAAAACATCTTTCTTAATAAACCTAATAAATTAACACAACTGACTTGATTTGAGCTCCAGTCACCACACACTGCTGTAGAGGATCATGTAGGTTAACATGTTAACCTTCAAGTTCAAGATTGTCTCAAACAATGATTGTTTGTCATGCTTTGATTTTGATGTTTCAACTGTGTTGCATTTAGGTTGATTAATTTACTTAAATGTGAAAACATGTCTTTATTCTGAAAGGACACTCTCATACTCTGTCCAGTACATGGTAAGCTACAAAACTGACTGAAAACAGCTAAAAAAAACTGTTAAAACACAGAAGTGTAGATGTTAAGTGTACTAGCTCTTATGTCATTTTGAGGCTCACGAAATCTTTAAACAGCAACATTTAAAAAATGTCTGACCATCTTTGAACGAGCTGCTACTGGCCGTATATTCCAACCTGCAAAATTCCTGTCGCATTGTTCGTCATAAAATATATAGCTAGTTACTGTTGCTTCTTCTTTCTGACCATTTTACAGCGGTTGGAAACCAGCATCATAAACCACTACCACTTCTAACTGAGAACAAATCAGTTACACAACATATTTTTTTGCTTATTTTAGCCCAACAACAATATTCCTCTAGTTATAAGACAGTTATTATTGAAACAAGTATACAGTGACAGCTTTTTAACAAATATATAAAATCAAACATTGTTAGTTTCAAAGTTTTTGCTTAAATTTTTCTCAGCTTTAAACCTTGATGGGCCACACCACCTCTTTTAAATAAACGTATCTGGAGAAACACAAAAATACAATTAATAGGCGAATATAAATCCATTTAAACCAGTAGTAACAGTGATGGACCCAAACACTGAGGCAGATGTATTCAGACTGTGGTGTTTGCTAAATGTGCACACTCCTGAAACAATTTATCTACACATATACGGGAGTGAGAACTGCTAAACTTAAACAAACTCAAACATTGGTTGATAACAAACCAGACATTTACGGTATATATTCATGATATGTTTTTCTTCTCTAATGCCTTGAATAATGCAGAATAATGTCAGTCTGTTATTTGTAATGTAACAACTGTGCTCAACAGTTGGAAGGTGTCCTGTAACTGTACAATTTGACTTCTATTGTCTATAAGTAATTGTTATGAAGCAGACCCACTGCATGCAGTGCGGCTAAAATTCACTTCAATTCATTGTGCTGTAAGTAACCACTTCCCTGCAAAAAGCCCTGTGTGGTAAAGTTGTCAGTAAGCAGTGTCGTGAGCGCAACTAGTGGCACCACTTTTTAACTTTCCACTTTGTCAAAGTCATCCACATGATGAAAACAATGATACACCTTAAGAGTTATTAGTCTGAAATTTCAGGGAAAGCCATGGGAGTGGTCCCTGCATCTCCAGGCAGATTGAATTCTTGTCAATGGGTACATACTCTTTGGACTGTGGATGACCGTTGGTTATTGTGCTAGTCCAGGGATATCGGTATTGATGCATAATCTCTGAAATGTTGTCCAACATTCATTAGTTTTGTTGAATGAACTCAATTTCACATGATAAGCTCATGAACTGGCCAACTTTTTTAAACTGGTGGTTGGTTTGGTAACTTCTCTCAAGTAGGCAGCAGTACGACGCCTTCTTATCTGCCAGGTGGGAGGTACCATAAGTGTGTAACATCACGAGAAATGAATTAATATAGAGTGGCACCCCTGCTCTCTCTAACTCACACACATTCATGCACACAAACACAGACACACAATGTCTGTGATGACTTTTCCTCAAAAAATGAATTGAATTGAAATGAATTTAATGAAACAGGGCTTTGACTGCATAAAGGAGACAGCAGACATGAATCAGACGTTTGCTGAAAGGAGTCAGAAAAAGCGAGAATAGTGAAAACGAGAGTTTGACAGAACCACTGAATGAGAGGAGAACAGGAAGAGAGCTAAGGTTCATCAAGGAAATGAGAAAATAAAGGCAGAAGTGGAAGTGGTCGGTGTTAAACAAAGTCACAGGAGGCAGAGCGTCGGAGGGTGTGCAGGAGAGAATCATCGCTGGTTTCATGAACAAACAACACATTTAAACAGTTTGTAAGAGAAGAAAGTGATTCATCTGATGAGAGACGACAGATATTGACAGCAGAGAGCAAGTTTAACTCTTGGTTTTGACTACAGCCACAGCATGGGGTGAGTAGTTTCTGTACAGACAATGATACTGTTCATCTGATCAAACTTTTCTCTGCAGATCATATTAACTTTCTCATAGTGAATTATATTCATCCTTACGATTCAAATTTCACTTTAATTCTTACTTTAAACCCTGTCACGAGCAGGTGTCTGCAGCCGCTGTTTGTCTGGAGGTGTGTGTGGGAATAAAAATGAAAATATCAGAGCAGAAGTTTCTGTATTTGTCATGGAAGGAACATAAAGTCAAGTGTGAACAGCCACCTGTTTAGCTGACACTTTTGATACAATCTATCGCATAATGAAGTCCATATTAGGCAGTGTTGCACTGTGCATAGGAAGTGGTAGATATGTGTACCTTTTACAGGAAGTAAAGGTTTCCCACAGACAACAAACCTCGCAAGAATTAAATGAAAATATCTCAGTGTTACAATGTCTAGCAGAGCACAGAGGTAAGTCGCTGTGTTGTCCTTTTGTTACTCTTTTTTGAGGTATTTTTTTCAATTATAAAAGCCACATAAAGAATAAATCTTACAATGGTTACTGTGATTGTTTACAGCTGAATGTATTTGCAGCAGCTCTGTGCAAAAGCACAGTTGACGTGCTGATTTGCAGGGGTGTGTCCCAGATTTTTGACTGGGGTGGCCAAACTGGGGAACTGACTTAAGCATGGAGTGCATGCCTACACAGATGAATAAAAAGCATTTGTTTTCCTGACTGCAGTATTCATATCCACTTTGCAAAGTATACAGACATTGTATTCTTATTGAATATTTTGAAGTAAAATTGTTACACAAGAGAAAAGCACATTGAGTATGTTTACAAGGACTTCAGTATCCTGGTTTACATCTGGGTTTTTAAGTATGTTGTTTTTGTGTTTGAGCATGTGGTAGCCCTTACGCCAAGTCATGTCACTTTAAAATTACAGAGAAACATTACGACATTGCCAAACATCAGAACAAAAGAAGGGGCTCTGGTTCAGCAGCTTTCAAAATTGAACAAAATCTTAGACATGACAACATGAGTCAATATCATCCATTCCAACTGCACCACAACTTACTTTCATGCCTCTAATATTACAAGAGTGCCGTCCAGACCTGCTCATTTTAAAGTGACACTTCTGACTTAAAGGTATAATGAACGATTAATTGATTAATCTATTGATTGACTCTTGTGTTAATGTCCATGGCCTTTTCTCATAATCCTGTCATCTAATAATTTCTTCCCATTTTCTCTCTAAAAGTGAGGTCAGTATTTGCCAGGTGAGAGCGACAGTCATGCTGTATGATGACAACAGCAAGCGCTGGGTACCAGCAGGATCTGATACTCCTGCCTTTAGCCGTGTCCAGATCTTTCACAACCGCGCCGCCAACACCTATAGAGTGGTGGGCCGAAAAATACAAGCAGACCAGCAGGTAGGAGATAACTGTGCTACTCGTGTATTTTTGGTCACAATCACAGTCTTTCTTGTGAAAGGTTGTATTTGGATTTGCTCTTTTAAATAAGATGCCAGCAATACATTTGAAGAAAGTTGGGACAAGAGCCTTTAACACTCTGAAGTTGTTTCAGAACTAAATATAGTGGTTTGCTCTTTACATAGTACAGTTTTAACCTGCATGTGGATGCAGCAAGAATTACGCTCACAGACAGTATTTTTGAAAGGGATTTTGAGTCCATGTGGCGATTTCCACTACAGACTGTTTTTAATGCAGTCCTGAAGATTGTGGCCATTTAGTATTGGCTTGAGTCCCTGTCCCTTTTGCACAGAGTTTTTTTTCAGTGTCTCTTAATCCTTTAATAATATTACTTACTGTAGATGATAAAATCCCCAAATTCTTTGCCATTTCACATAAAAGGATTTCCCCCAGGGTGTTATTTTAGCACTACATAACAGTGGTGCATCAGTCTGAATTTTGTGGAAGTTCAGACTAAATTTGGAAGTTTGGTGGCATTTGCTTGGTTGAATTCCTTTACATTGTGCAAATATTAAGTAAAGGGTCAAAATAAGACATTTTTCTCTGAGATAGATAGACAGACAGATAGATAGATATATAGATAGATAGATAGATAGATAGATAGATAGATATATAGATAGATAGATAGATAGATAGATAGATAGATAGAATTTTATTGTCTTTGTGACAAGCACAACGAAATTAAAGACCTCCTTCAATGTTTTAGTGAGGAAATTTGTTTGAGACTCTTTCCATGGATGCACACATTCAGAACACAAATCAAACATATTTAATCTCTGCAGAAAATACAGAGACAAAGACAAAGTCCTTTCTACACTGAGTCAATACAGAAGAAACATAAATATAGAGACACTGACTTTTCACGCCACATACTTAATTTCTTACAAGTAAAGAGGAAGCTACCTATTTAAAGCTGTAACTGGTGCAAGACCTAGAAAACTCTTGCAAGAGCAAGTTTTTTTCTTCCGAAAGAGCTCCTCTGCCTAGTCTGTACCTGCAATAAGAATAAAGAGAGTGAAGATTCACAACACAGATTCTTAGATATTGAGTGAAATATTGAGAAAACCAGAATTTGATGGTTTGAAAAACACAAAACTGAAAGTAGGACAGCATATGATGTTGAAACCCCAAATTTCTGTTGTTTCATGAATAGAGTTTAACAGTGATGCCAGCTCCACCATTTTAAAAAGATGGGACAGGGACAAAAACACATAAGAAAAAGTTGTGTGGTGCTAAAAAAGATAAAACACTTGAAGGGATATATTTCAAATGAACAGAACAATTTTCAATAGGTTGGTAACATGACATAAAACAGGCGCTCGAGAGGCTGAGTCCCTCAGAAGTAAAGATAAAACAGGGTTCACCACTCTGTGAGAGACTGTGTGAGCAAACAGATCAACAGTTAATTGAAGAATTTGAGATTTTATTGATGCAGCTCCTGATATCAGGGAACAATTCTGGGAATCTGGAGAAATCTATGTACAAAATGGACAAGACCAAAGACCTACAATTGATGGTCATGATATTTGGGCCCTCAGGCAGAACTTCATTAAAAGCAGATGTGACTCAGAAGTGGAAGTCACTGCATGGGCCAAAAACGGGCTCAGCATACTGACCCTGAAGCAATAAATACACAATACAGAGATAAACCAGTTTTTCCTGTTTACTCCAGGTGGTGATCAACTGTCCTATTATCAAAGGGATGAAATATAACCAAGCCACACCAAACTTTCACCAGTGGAGGGATCCCAAGCAGGTGTGGGGGCTGAACTTCGGTAGTCAGGAGGATGCTACTCTTTTTGCCACTTCCATGAAACAGGCTATAGAGGCTCTCAGTGCACCTGCAGGTAAACACAACGTTTTAACCAGTGAAGTCAGTGAAAAGAAGATTCTGTATAACTTTTTAAGCCACTTTTGTAATTGTGCCTGATCATTCCTTTTAAAAAGTCAGCAACTATTTAATTAAAAGATACTGATTTTGCAATGAAGATAAATCCCCCATATATTGCTTTTTTAAAGTACTCCTTGTTTTTGGCTCATACACAGCTCCCCCTGGACCCCCTGCACCTGTCGTGGAACCACAGATAAGGTATGCTTACTTATACTCACTTTTGATTTGACCACTGAGTGTTGTTCTATTTCCCTACAAGGCAACAGACTGAAACTGACGCCTTTTTATGACCTTCAAAAGCAAATGAGACCATCAGCTACAAGGCTGATCATTTCTCACTTTTTTTTAAATGCCTGAAACTGCTGTGAGGAGGTAGGTGTAAACCAGATATTAGACAGCAGGCTGAAGAAACATCCTTTTTTCACTTATCTCCAGCGTGTGAAACATTTCTCTGTTAAAAGAAACCACAGTGATAAACTCTACTTCCACATGTCCAGAACAAGATTCAAGAGGCATCAGTTTGTCCACCAGGGACACCAAAATCTACACAAACTAAAAGTTTCTCACAGCAGCTTTATTTACTTGTTTTGAAGACATTTGTGAAGAAGACAGTGCTTTACCTTTTTCATGAAAAGTTAAAAATGAATGATTTTGGGTGAACAATCATCTTTAAGCAGCTGGAGCCTGTGTCCGTCTTCCTTGACTTTGCCAGTCTAAAAATAAATCAAAACAAATTTTAATTATGATTTACATTTGCCCAGACAAGAGTACCAGAGCCAACCAGAGCAGGCCTATACTAGCACCCCGTCCTCTCCTGCCTCCCATGGACCACCGGCCCCAGCGGCACCCCCGCCACCTGCAGCACCTCCATGCCCATCTGCACCTCCAGCTCCCCCTCCTCCTCCCCCAGGGGGCGCAGCTCCACCAGCACCAGCACCACCAGGGGGAGGAGGAGGAGGAGGTGGTAATAGAGGTGGTGGAGGGGCAAGCGATCTGGCTTCAGCACTTGCAGGCGCTAAACTGCGTAAAACTGCTGCTGCGGTAAGATAGATATTTGCAGTTGTGTCTTTGTGCAATGCATCTGTGCAATTACCATGGTAGGCCTTTTTACTAACTATAATATTTGGATTGTTTAAAAAGAACTGGGCACACTGATGGTTGGTCTTAGTGTCTGGTTTGTGACCGTCTGTTATTGTAAATCCTGGTCTTGCTTCCTTGTGTGTCTAGCTCCCCCCTCTAAACAAGTTTACTTGATACCCCAACAAAAGTAAGAGGGTACAGTTATTTAGGGACCTTTCTCAACTCGTGATGATGTAAATGTGAATAATCATGTACCCAACACAACTGAACTAAACTGGACTGTTAAACTGAAATACTGTTCATGGGGCAAATGTATTAACAAGGGTTGTTTTTGTGTACCAAGGATGACAGAGGAGGGGCAACCCAAGACTCCAAACCCGCACCATCATCTGGTGGAGGTGGAGGTGGAGGTGGAGGTGGGGGTCTAATGGGAGAAATGAGTGCTATTCTGGCCAGGAGGTAAGGTTTTATTAAAAGTAGACTTAATTTACTCGTTTTTACCATCTATTATGTCAGTCTCAGACACCTATGGAGTATCTTAGTATAACTTGCAGCTTTACTTTGGCTGCTTTTCCTCTTTCTCTTTCAGTTACAGCTAAGATCAAAACCTAGTATTTACCAAGTGAGGAAGCAAGCTTCCAATGTTGTAACTTTCTACGTTTATAGATCAGTATGAAAGACCTCCTTAAAGAAATAAAAGAGATGATATTTTTTCTTGATACTCTGATACTCAAGACTTCTGGGTATTCACAATGTTACCTGTTTTTACAGGAGGAAAGCTGCCGATGATCCTGCCACAAAAAAAGCAGAACCTTGTAATGTAAGTTCATTGATGGTTATAGATTTCCTCATATTTTGCTGAACTTTTTAGAAAATGAATTTCCATTTAAAATAAAGAGCCATATTTTAAGATAACATAATTAAAAGGTAAATACTTCAAATGTGTCTACAGGAGGACTCTGATGGCTCAAAATCAAGATTTTCAGGACCAGATGGTGAGTTATGTTGTTCCATCAGTCTAGAATGTTTACTAAACAGAAAACAAATGAGCTAAATCTGCATATGTGTTAACTTTTAATCTATTTACAGGATTTTGTTAAATGACAAGTTATGATGTATTCTTCATCTGAAAATTGCCCCACAAATATTTTGGCATCTTATATCTTTTCACTCTCGTGGTATTGGGACCTATTATAAATTTCTGTGGTCAAAATGAAAGAAAGAAAAGAGTTTTCTAACAGAAATGTAACATTTAAATATGTTGAATCATACTTTATCAGACAGGAATGAAAAGGTGAAAGACAAACCTGCTGGATTTCCAAGGTAGGTTCCCTCAATCAAACAATATCCACTTAATTCATTGATGCATTTTCTTATAGTTTACAGACCTTTATCATCTTAGCTGCTTAATAACCTCTGCCACCAGCAGTGTTAAAGAAAAATATGAATTTTGCTTTTTACTTTGTAATTTCCAGGGAAATGTGGTTGATTTAAGTTATCAGTTTTTTGGTGGCTTCCGTTAATTTAGACAAAAGATTGATTTAAATTTAGTCAGTGTTTGTTTAAGTGTAACTTTCACGGATGGTTTTAACTTTTTTAGACAGTTAATGAAGATATTTCTCTTGGTTGTGAAAATTTCAGGTTTAGTCCTGGCTATAAATGGGTCTCTTACTTGGACTTCTTCCTATCTTCCTGTCATATTAAAATTGATGTCACCGTTAATAATATTTTAACAACACAGATGTCATGCTAAATACGTGAAGCTTCGTTAAACTGAATTATGAATAACTCAGGGTACTCGTATATGAGTGTTGAGAGTCAATAACTCATGGTTTAGAAGAGGTTGGTATATGTTTAGGGTAAGGTAGCTCACTAATGATCTGTGAATGGGGTATAACATGCTAATCACTAAAAGGTATTCTTTTTAGTTGTGCTGCCTCATCAAAATGTCACCACTTCTCAAATACAGTAATGTAAAAGGACAGCAGCATTTAAGGACACCTTTCTCAGCAGTGATCGCTGTATGTACAGTTGTTTGGTCTTGCCACCATAGGCCTTCAAGTGGTGGATGCTGCCATCTTGGCTATTTACCAACAAGCTCCAATTTCATCATTTTAAGATAAAGGATTGTGACTGGTTCAGTTTATCTGACACCATGGGGGAATTGTTTCAAATGATCAGACCCACATGCCAGAGACAATGAAAATGAGCTGGCTGATGGGTCTGGGAACACCAGGCTATGAAAGACCCTTCTTGAAAACAAGAACTGCACTGCCTCAATTATGGAGAGTCAAAGAAGAGCACAGCTCAGCTATGTCATTAACCACTTTGTCTCTCTAAATATATGGGAATCTACAAGCAGATTAGACAAGTAGGGGGATATAAGGTTGGATAGGTGTTTTGGTATACAGGCATTTGATTCCACTGAAATGAAAAGACAGACTTTAACAGGCTGGAAACAGCTGTAAATTATACACCTCTTTCTTCTCTTGTTTCCAACAGACCCAAATCCAACAGTCAAAAGGACTCCACAACTTCTTCAACCTGTAACTCCCCAAGTGCCTCAGCATCCAGGTACCAATCCCTCTCTTTTTTTTCTGTTTTTCAGCCTTCTTCCGAACCTAACTTCTGGTTCAAAATTTTACCTCTTAGTGCTTCGGTCAATAAGCTGTTTTCAGTATGAACATGTCAAAACTCTGCTCAACCACCCCTGCTGCTTTTGTCATAAGTCTTCCACTTGCAGACGCTTCACTGTAACAAATAAGACACCTAGCGTGTGATGGTTTCCATCTGAAAGTACAAACCACAGCAACCGAAACTAAATTTGAAGCTGCTATTATGATTCTGAACTTCATTCTGACACCCTGCATGCGCACTCACGAGCCTTGTACGCTTTTAGTTGTTGACAAAATATCAGTGAAAAAACTATGTGCTGCACTTGTGTGATAAATTAAAGTGAATACAAGCAACATTTAGGAACTCTTACTCCTTGATGCTATGCGCTGATACTTTTCCTATAAAATATATTGTGTAAAAATACAGGACTTGCTTTGTTTCTCTTGTGTCAGTGCTTTGAAATTAATAGAAATATTGATTACTTTTCATAGTTTTGCCAGTAAAACAGGACCGTCCTTATCTTATGGAGTTTAGATTTACTGTGTGTTGATATGAATCTGTTTATTTCAGGATCAAATCTTCGCCAAAAGGCTCTGATGGTGTGGGAAGTAACATTAATATGGAACAAATCAAACAGGTTGGTTTCTCCATTTTTGTGATGACACAGCAGTCTTACACAACTCAACTGTCATTCATGCTCCGGTGTGACTCTACAAAGAGTGAATTTTAATAAATTAAACCTCTCATGCAAAATTATTACAGCATTGGACATCTATTTTAAGATTTCTTACAAAGGCAGGATTTTCAATGCTGCAACCCACTGGTCTTTGCAAGTTTAGCAGGAATTTCTCAAAATCAAGAAGAAGAAAAAGCATAGTAAAGCATAAAAACACTTGAAAATGAACAGAGATGCCAAAATGAAGAACTTTTATGACATGATATATGTTATTCCCAATTCATCATCTTTGCAAAGAGTACTGTCCAAGTGAAACTTATTATGTTTGAAGTCAAAGCTCTCTGGCTCCGTCCCTGTTGTGTTAAATTACTGAATAAATGTTTCAGGCTTTGAAAGCTACAAGTTTACTAAAAGACTGAATATGCAGCTGAGTCAGATTAAAATTATTACTTTTATCTGTTTTATGAAGGAAATTGTGGAAGAGGTGAAAAAAGAACTTCACAAAATAAAGGATGAGATCATCAAGGGTGAGTCCTATAAATCTGTGTGCCATTATATGCTGTTATGAAGTTGGACAGAGAAGTTATTCAGGGCAAGAGATTTACTTGACTTTTCTTTTTCAGCAATGATTGAGGAGCTACGAGGTGCACAGCCTGAGTGAAGGGCATCCCAAAGATGGCAGAGTGAATCAGGAAAATATTGAAGAGATGTGAATTTTTTCAACATGCAATGCTCAGGAATTTTTAAGTTTTTTTGAATATTTTTTTGTCTCGACAGACTCTTACAATAATACAAAAAGTTGATACTCATTTTATTCAGTGTGATTAAAAACATCTCTATTTTACAAAATAAATTTCACTTTCATATTTAATTATTAGAACATTTGAAAGTAGATTTTTTTAGTCACTTTATCTAACCTGCAGTATGTTTTCCTGCAGAGACCAACGGAAACAAGAACACAGTCAGAAAAATAGAATAAAGCAAACATGATGTAACATCACAGTTCTCTAGTACATAAATCAAATGGTTTTAAATTGGCAAAAGTACCCCTGACGTCTCTGAACAACAACTTTTTTCTTTTGTATAGCTTTTTTTTTTTTTTTTGCACAACAGAAGGAGGCTCTTGTATCAAACTATAAAAGTGCTTTCCTTTTAACTTATTCACATTTAGTTGGTTTATCTTCAGTCACACATTCTACTTCTGCTGACCTGTTTCCTCTGTCTCACTTCAGATGTGGTGCACGTACAGACAAACTAGATCAAAAATACCCATCAGAAATTCTACCACGCAGAGCACTGCTACGAGCTCAGCTGTCCAGCCCAGCTCTCCTTCTGTTAGATTCATGTGCTGTTAAGCCAATTCATGTGTTCCTATCTGCAGAAGGATAATTATTGCTCAGTGATTTATCCTTGCTTACTGCAATAGTTCACTTGACTGCATAAACATTGTTCGCAAAATAAAAATTTCATGACCACTCACAATGTTGTGTCTTTTAATGGGATTTCTTTTGAAGTTATGAGCAGTGAGCAGCATCGTAGTGCTGTTTTTTTCATGAGGTCTTTTATGATTTGAACCCACAAAACTACTAATAACAAAATTGTAATAATACAATCCCAAATATGTAAGAGTTGAAAAAGGACTTCAGCTCCTCAAAAGTTTGGGTCTTGTTTGTTGAATATGGTTTTCAAGATGAACCAGATGTTCTCATGGGTGATCCATCAGGACTGCAGGCTGGCCAGTTTAGACTCTTAGAGAGGAGCCTTCTACTCAGTTCAATTTATTGGAAAGGCTTAACCTCTCTGGGATACTCCATTTACATCTTAACATGAGCAAACATCTTAACAAAGAGCAGGTAGTCTAAATAACACATGATGTATATACAGCAAGTAGCATCACTTGCTATCATTCCTCCTGGTCATGTAGGCTTAAATGCAGTGATGTACAACAAAGTATAGTGGTGCCCTCAGGAAAAATAGATTTTGCAATTAGACTTGGAAATTCATTAGGTTAAAAGCATGTTTCTTGTGATAATAAAGCCTAAAATTTGCTAGAGAGTCATGTATGTAAAGAATAGTTAGCCAGTATGTTGTGCAAGAAACAAAGTCTGCTATGAGGAAGGGTAGGTTTATAAGCAGCCTGCCCTGTTCATGCTTGTGCAACAGCTGTTTCATCTCAGCTGTTCAGTTTAACTTCACAAGATCCCCTTTTCTCATTCAAATGTGGGCAACAGTCCCGCTACAAAATCATCCTGTACATCTATGTGCCATAAACTGTGGTTAAAAAAATTCCCCCCTCCCATAAAATTACAATTTATAAGATCACAGCTCCAGACTCATGAAGTATACACATAATTCTAGCTCGAGCTAACAAGCTTATCCTCTTAACCATTTTCCAGTCCAGTTGGTGGCGATAGTGCAATAATTACCAACCACCATTTAATAAAAAAGAAGAGGAGGACGCCTTCAGACTGTAGGGGGCAGCAAGACGCCAGGTCTGCGTCTGTTCCTTCAGACCAGAAGCAGTCGAAGAAGAGAGAGAGGCTCCTTGTGTTTTCCTGTTTGGTTGGCCTTCAACTGGATTTAGCCTGTCAAAACTGCACCAGAGCAACGTGGGATAAAGTTGTTGAAATGTGCGTTAAATCTTTTTGTTATATCGTACTGTATAAAACTGATGGTTTTGATTATGAATTGAGGGGTCTTCAGCTCGTGGCTCAGAGATGGACTTTGACTCTCTCGCCGCGACATTAGCACGAAAGCAAATCATTGCCAAAGAGTGTTATGAACAGACATTTCCATTTTTATGGTGGTCTAGCGTTCTTAAGTAATGTTAAAATACATAGATCAACTTATTTAAACTAACTAATGAGAAGAAAGTGCGTTTTAATGTTGTTATACACTGCCCTGAAATGTGACTGTCTAACTGGCTCAGTGTTTATTAATCAAAGTTCAGTGGCTGAAATAGATGACATTTAGCTAACGTTGAGTAGACTTTCTGAACATTTAACAATCCGAAATGTAAGTGTTGGTGATTCAGAGTCAAATAAATTGTGAATAATGGCGAAATGTTAGTGAAATCGACCGTCAAATAGAGGTTTAACTTTCCTATAACGGTACATAAAGGAGAAATGTGTCACTGTTAGCACCCACGCCAACTTAAATGGCAGTCTGACCGTCACTGTACAGTAAACAACAGGTACAACGAGACCGCTGTGATTTATCACTTCAAATGTTCGATTAGAATCTTTGGTAAAAGTCATCTTTATCTGTAATTTACTTCAGCTTTGTTTGTCCGAGTACTCGTTAGTTTACATTACAAACCGCTTCAATTAAAACCTGCAGCCTTATCAGCGAGTTTAACCGAAGCACTGCTGATCTTCATATCTGAGCTGTTTGTACTTGAAGTGATATCAAAACATCATTTTTACTGTTTACTGAGTTATTGACTCAGTGGCTCACACAGTGGGCCTTAGCCTACCTTTGGTTTGGTTACGGTGTATGTCGAGGATAGCAGTATGAACATGACGCTGACAGATCTGGACTGAAATTTTCTAGATTTTATACTTTTTTCCCCCCAAAATCTTTGATTCAGATTTGTGAAACCTTGATCCTGTGTGTAAAAATACCTATATCATTGTTCTCACTTTTATTCAGTATCATAATTATTATGTATTTATTTGATCCAGACCACATAAGACATGGTCCTGATTAAAAACTTTCAAATCTACACTTCTTATATCTGGTTAAGATTATTCTAGAGGCGTTTTATTAAAAAAACAAATTGTCAGATTTCTGAAATTCCAAAACTCATTATTATTTTCTGTCGAGACAGCATGGGGACATCAGGACATCGCCCTGATCGAGAACTGCAATTCCTAGATTTCACAGATCTGGCCTGGATTTTCCTAGAGAGATTAGGGACTTTTTCAAACACAGTTACAGATATGTGAAACCTTTAATCCATGCTTGACAATTCAAGAAAAGGGGATTTGATTCCTATATTCGGTCACAGACTAGTTCACATACCCAAATTTTCTCAAACTTTGTCTCAAGAATTGTGTTGACTCTCTTGAATAATCTAGTCTTGATCAGACAAGTTTAGGTGTACTAGTTTTAAATCAGGGCCTTGTTTCTGAAACTCTCCTCCAAGATACTAACATCAGTGTGGTAAAGGGGTTTACAGACTCACAACCAATGAATCCCCAAGCTTTAAGGTTGATTGTATGTCTGTTGATGAGATGTGGCTCCCTAAAAAGCTGATTACTTTTTCTCTCACACACACATTTTTATGAGAAAAAGTTTAATTTTTGGACTTTTGTCAAGTCTCCTGACCAGCTGAAATTGGAGAAGGTTTTTCCACTACGGGATCACAGGGGGTCAACTGGCAGGCCTTTGGTAATGATTACCAAATCATTTAAGTAAGCAGCGTAAACTGCAGGCAAGTTTTATCAGAGCTGGTCCACATGTAGGGCTTTGATGGTTTTTCTGAAGTTCACCATGTTTTAAATGGAATTTCAGTATGGTTACGGTCTGTTCAAAAACAAAAAGATTGTTTTTTCTTAAATTAACTTTGAGAAAAATATTTTAGAAGTTCAATTAACAGCTTACACAGCATCTCAACTCAACTGTTCTGTCACTGTCTGACTTTTTGTCAAGATGATCCTATTTTCTTTTTACTGCTTGTTTCTTTCAGCAGGTGCTGTTTGGACTTGCTATCTGCGACTGAGACTTGATTGGGTCAAAAGTGAAATCTTCTGTTCTCATCATCTCTAACGATGAATGAAGTAAATATCGTCAGAGAGGGCTGGCTTCACAAAAGAGGTGAGAGCCCAGAGTATCTGTGACAGAAAGACTTGAAAGGTGTTGTTTTTGTTGCTGGTTTAAACTTTTGGGCTCCATTTGAAGAACACCTACAATGACACAGTCTCCCTTTCTCCAGTTTTTCACTGAATTGACTGGACGTTGTCCTTTTTTCTGATCCAGGTGAATATATCAAAACATGGAGGGCCAGGTATTTCATACTAAAGAGCGATGGTTCCTTCATTGGTTATAAGGAGAAACCGGATCTCAATGACCAGACTTCCCCACCACTCAACAACTTTTCAGTTGCAGGTCAGTTCTCCAGAGTTTAGAATTACAACTCTTAAGAAAAGATCTTTAAGAACTTTTGTTTTCCACTTTCTTAATTTTAATCATGTTTGTATTTTTGTACATTTCTGTCCTGAAAGTGTAAATCCTCTCCAGCTCCCTGCAAACCTCAGTTCTGATGATGTTTTCACAGAATGCCAGTTAATGAAGACTGAAAGGCCCCGTCCCAACACATTTGTCATCCGTTGTCTACAGTGGACCACTGTCATTGAACGCACCTTCCATGTGGACAGCAATGATGAAAGGTAGGAAAAATGTCAATTTTCCACTCATCCTGTGTCAAACTATCTGACTATAAGACTACAGCCGGATCATTCTCTGCAATAATAGATTTGATTATAACAGAGTAATCTATACACTATTGTGGCCGCCTTAGTTAAAAAAGCCTGGACACATCCCCATATAGGGTCATAGACAAAACAGTGGGACCTAAATACTACAAGTAATTAACAGATTTATTAACATTACATGAGTGACAGGGAGGACTCTGCTGCATGTGCTGGCTTGAAAAAATGTGGAAACATTATTGATATCTAATATCCGTCAGAGTTTACATCTGTAGTTATTTTACAGCTATAGTAAATAGGTGTTTAGATTTACATAAAACATTGGGAATTTTTAGTTATCAAGTCATCAGAGTTATTAAAAGAATTGTTTCAGATTCCTGAAATGGAGTAGAGTAGCTTCTGTGTGAATTGAATATCTGACAATTAGTGGGATATTTGCTTCTCAGAGAGGAATGGATGCGGGCAATCCAGTCTGTTGCAAACAGCCTGAAGATGAGGGAACAGGAAGAGGAGGAACCAATGGATATGTTCGGCTCACCAAGCGAAAGCAGCCTGGAGGAGATGGAGGTAGCGATGTCTAAGAGCTGCAACAAAGTGGTGAGTTGATCCAACGCTCAGGACAAAGACAACAGTGAACTCAAGTTAGATCTTTAAGCTCTTCTTTATGTGTTAGTCCGTAGAGGAGGGTCAAAGAAACCCTACGTTTAATTATCAAGCTGCTGTATTCAGTTACGTGAACAAAAACTTATTTGCATGTAGTTGAATCAGCTTCATCAAATATCCTCCATAAAAATGGGAATATTTACCATCTGTAATTTAGAGATTGTAGGTCTAAATCCCCCCTTGCTCACCCTTCCCTTTTGTGAAGCAACGGTGGCCTTTGAGGTCAAAAAACTCCTGTAAATAATGATGTATATGAACCTCTATCTGTCAAGTTTTTGACATCAAAAACACCTACCAACATAAATTCTTCAGTGCACTAAGCTAATATATTTAGATGACTTTACACCAGGATAAACTTGCTCATGAGTTTAATGTTTCATTCCTACTAAGTCTTTCCTATGAAATGCCGGCACACACTGTACCTAATAGTAAAAAATAAAACAGGAGTTCATGTGCAATGATTGGTTCATCAGATCCCGATTTGTCGTCGCTTTTTTTAAATACACACACTTTGAAATTCAAGTCTTAATACCTCTTGAAATCCCTCACCTCTGACTTATATTTGTTACAGAACATGAGTGACTTTGAGTACCTGAAGCTGCTCGGTAAGGGGACATTTGGGAAAGTGATTCTGGTCAAAGAAAAGTCCACCGGAGTGCATTATGCCATGAAAATCCTGCGGAAAGAAGTCATCATAGCAAAGGTGAGTAAAAGGTTTGGGTTTTAGGACAGTTGTATGGAAGGTGAGGTGGTCTACACTCTTATCCAGCCTCTACACCATCATCTTTGAGATGCATTAGATGTACACTCACCGGCCACTTTATTAGGTACACCTGTCCAACTGCTCGTTAACACTTAATTTCTAATCAGCCAATCACATGGCGGCAACTTAGTGCATTTAGGCATGTAGACATGGTCAAGACAATCTCCTGCAGTTCAAACCGAGCATCAGTATGGGGAAGAAAGGTGATTTGAGTGACTTTGAACGTGGCATGGTTGTTGGTGCCAGAAGGGCTGGTCTGAGTATTTCAGAAACTGCTGATCTACTGGGATTTTCACGCACAACCATCTCTAGGGTTTACAGAGAATGGTCCGAAAAAGAAAAAATATCCAGTGAGCGGCAGTTCTGTGGGCGGAAATGCCTTGTTGATGCCAGAGGTCAGAGGAGAATGGCCAGACTGGTTTGAGCTGATCGAAAGGCAACAGTGACTCAAATAACCACCCGTTACAACCAAGGTAGGCAGAAGAGCATCTCTGAACGCACAGTACGTCGAACTTTGAGGCAGATGGGCTACAGCAGCAGAAGACCACGCCGGGTGCCACTCCTTTCAGCTAAGAACAGGAAACTGAGGCTACAATTTGCACAAGCTCATCGAAATTGGACAATAGAAGATTGGAAAAACGTTGCCTGGTCTGATGAGTCTCGATTTCTGCTGCGACATTCGGATGGTAGGGTCAGAATTTGGCGTCAACAACATGAAAGCATGGATCCATCCTGCCTTGTATCAACGGTTCAGGCTGGTGGTGGTGGTGTCATGGTGTGGGGAATATTTTCTTGGCACTCTTTGGGCCCCTTGGTACCAATTGAGCATCGTTGCAACGCCACAGCCTACCTGAGTATTGTTGCTGACCATGTCCATCCCTTTATGACCACAATGTACCCAACTTCTGATGGCTACTTTCAGCAGGATAATGCGCCATGTCATAAAGCTGGAATCATCGCAGACTGGTTTCTTGAACATGACAATGAGTTCACTGTACTCAAATGGCCTCCACAGTCACCAGATCTCAATCCAATAGAGCATCTTTGGGATGTGGTGGAACGGGAGATTCGCATCATGGATGTGCAGCCGACAAATCTGCGGCAACTGTGTGATGCCATCATGTCAATATGGACCAAGCTCTCTGAGGAATGCTTCCAGCACCTTGTTGAATCTATGCCACGAAGAATTGAGGCAGTTCTGAAGGCAAAAGGGGGTCCAACCCGTTACTAGCATGGTGTACCTAATAAAGTGGCCGGTGAGTGTATGTGTGTGTGTGGGTAGGGGGGTCACAGACGGTGCTGGGAACTTATTTCAGTCTTTTGGATTTAACAGTTTTTCTGTTGATAGATAAAAGATGTTGTCAAACTATCATGTTGATTCTCTTGATCCTGTTGGTGGAGCTTTTCTTTTATATGGGATTTTTTCAGTATAGTAAATAAAGTTTGTGTCTTTGCAGGATGAAGTGGCCCACACAGTTACAGAGAGCAGAGTGTTACAAAACACACGACATCCTTTCCTCACGGTGAGAGTACTGACAAATAAACCACTTGGCAGTAGATGATTGTGAGAGCACCGCTAGCTGATGCAGAATCTTTCTAGTACTGTTTTGGAGTAGTGTTTGCCGGCAGCATATTCTAGTATTTAATAATTTGCTAATCATAACACAACTATATTTAATTGAAAATAGTGCAAAAACAGCCTATCAAATGTTGCAGTAACAATGCTTCGTAAGGACTTAAGGACCATGGAGACCTGTTTCTGTTTTTAGTTTCATGATGTTTCAACTGTTTTTAGTGGATGACCAGTCTGGACTGCAGGCAGGCCAGTTTATCATGGGTCTCTTCAAATACAGAGCCATGCTTTTGCAATACTTACAGAATGTGGTTAAGCATTGACTTGCTGAAACATGAAGGTCTTTCCTGTAAAAGGCCTTTTCTGGATGGTAGCATATGTTGCTCCAAAACCTGTATATACTGTTCAGCATTAGTGGCGCCTTCCCACATGTATAAGTTATCTATGCTTAGACTGTTTGCATCCCAGTTCCATCAAGTATGGTGGCTTTTAAACAAATGACAAGCCAGTTGGTCCCTCTCTCCCTCTGAGAGAAGGATGCAGCATCCATGATGTCAAATTTTAATCCATGAAAGCGCAGGGCAGTTTTCCATTTCACCTCAGTCCTTTTTAAATGGGATCGGTCCATGTTTATATTTGGTGCGTGGTACAGTATTGATCTGCATTTCAGATGCAGCAACAAACCGTACCCGCAGGGGGCTTTCTTTGAAAGTGAGTTAATTGAAGCCCACGTACTGTTCGGGTCAAATTTGACCCGTTTTGACTTTTAACAGCAGTAAAAATACCCTAAATATCATTTTTTAAGCCTGAAACTTGATGACTTTAATATTCAAATATTCATGTGTATTTTTGTTTATGTGCTACAAATTTTTCCCCTCTAAGGCTGTTACAGGTCAAATTTTACCCATATCTATATTTAGATGGATTTTAGATCTAGCAGTGTGGGACAAGTGACAAACAGTAACAACCGTGTTCAATATAAGGTTTGTTGTTCAAAAAGATATATTCAAATCATTATGAAACTATCATTACCTTGACAGAAACACACACACACACACGCACGCACACAGACACACCTAGTCAGAGGTCAAAATGACCTAACTAGTCAAGAGAACTTTCCGTGACAGAAAGCTGCTCTTTGAACTCTTTGAGGGGGCAATTTTGACCCGGAACATACTGTGAGGGTACAGGATTTGAACAGTATTTGAGGGTTAATCTAGTGCTGTCTGGGGGCCTGAAGACCCCCCACTACTCAGTATTGGGTTTTGTCTTTTTTATACAGATTTTCTCTGAATGGTTTAACAATAGTAAATACTGTTGATGAAATCACAATCTTTGCCGTTTAACATTAAAGAACATTTTCCTGAAAACTCTCAACTATTAGCTCACTCAGTCTGTCATAGATTGGTCGACCACTTTACCTTTACTTCTGGGGGACTTAGCCTCTCTGTGATGCCCTTTTTATACGTCGGTGTTACTAACCTGTTGTAAATTCCTTCATTAGTCGAAACATGTAGTAATTTTCTGGTAATAGTGTTGTAAATTTTCTGTCTTCTATTTAGTGCAGTAATCCAGATATTGCAGCTCAAGGTCTAATTTTTCAAATCACATTTTACTTTCAATGTTTATATTGAGCTTTTTTAACCACAAACCAAACCAACACAATCATTTCGATAAGATTATGGGCTCATTAAAAAAGGCATTAAAACACCTGGCTATGTTTTTTTTCCCAAATGCACATAAACTCCCTGAACACTAGTTTCAGTGTTAAAATAAAATATATAACGTTCATGTTTAATGCTCGTAGAGATTCGTCCACTGATTTTGTATTTTTGCTGATTTTGTATATGATGTTTTTTTTTTCCTGCAGACATTGAAGTATGCCTTCCAAACTCACGATCGACTCTGTTTTGTAATGGAATATGCCAATGGTGGCGAGGTGAGACCTTAAATACACCTGATTTTATTGCAGTCAGATGTCAGCCGCTTGGACAGCACACTCAGACTGATTTTCACAGTTAAACCGTTTTTTCCATCTTGGTTAGTGTTTGATTTGACGTGCTCTCAACTCTTCCAGCTCTTCTTCCACCTCTCACGTGAACGATTGTTCACAGAAGACCGGGCACGCTTCTATGGAGCTGAAATAGTATCAGCACTTGAGTATCTCCATTCACGAGATGTCGTTTACCGTGATCTGAAGGTAAGAACTTTTTTATATACTTAAGTTTTTCAATATTCAAGTTACATCATGACCTCAGAGAAGGGGATGTGATAAACACTTAGTGATGAGACACAAGGACATGTACACCAGATGCAAGATGCAGAGGTAGAACAAAATTTGAGAATGCCAAAGTATGAAGCCAGGAATCTCTTAACCTGTGATTGTCAAACTTTGATGTGATGTTTGCTATTTAATTTTTTTTTAGCTGGAGAACTTAATGCTGGACAAGGACGGCCACATCAAAATCACTGATTTTGGTCTCTGTAAAGAGGGGATCACCCCTGATGCCACCATGAAAACTTTCTGTGGAACTCCTGAGTATCTGGCACCCGAGGTAAGGCAGCAGATTTTGACTTCTACAGCTGTAACTCCACCCCGGAGTTGATGGTTTACGTCATAATCTGTCACAAGTTGGAAAACAGAGATGAAATCTTAGTTCTGAGAATAAAAGTGGAATCCCATGGACACTTTACAAAGTAACCTCGTACATACGTTTTGACTGAACATCTAATCGCAGGAGACAGATGTAACACTGGCACACTAGTCGGAGATAAGAAACTTCTTATCTGTACTTACGCAAATGACACTTTGTTGACCCCTTTCAACTCTTAATGCAAGTTTGCCTTTACTACTGTTTCCTCTTACGGAGTTTGGTTTTTACTCTGACTGTTACCTAAAGAATTTTCTGCAGTAAATATCTCCTCCTTTTTGATATTTTTTATTATCGTACTTGTTCAATTTCTAAAAAACAAACACAAAAAACAAATGAAAACTGTGTACTCAAAAGCTGTCTGTAATGTTGAGTCTGTAATCAGTGAGATGATGTTATAAAAAATTAGATATGCAGGGTTTTCAAACTTGGACCAGAGATCCCCGGGATTTTGAGAGACTTTCTTGGACACCAGAGAACCAGAGATTTAAATAGTAGTTCAAATGTCTTGTTTTGCCTTTTATTGCACCAACATGTCAACTTCAAAGTTTATGCTCTGGTCATTACAATTCATTAAATTTTTTACTCATTTTTACACTAATACACTAGTGAGAAAACATGCACAATTTCTACCTGTAGATAATCCTTGTTCTGACTTATGAAGCCTTCGAACAAAGGTTTACTCTACCTAATGCACACAGGCCTTGATCTCAGATATGATGACTGGTAGAAAGTGTTTCCCTCTTTCACTCCCACCTAAACATTTGCGGCATTTCACACTAACAGGAAGTGATAAGTTAGAACTCAGAGGAAATGATGGTTTAGGTCTGAAGCTCATTGCTATGCTTTTTATATGTGGGGTTGTTAACTCAAAGTCAAGTTTCTGCTACTGTTTCAAATCTGTAATGAGGTAAATGTCTGTTTCTCAGGTCCTAGAGGACAATGACTATGGCCGGTCTGTGGACTGGTGGGGTCTGGGTGTCGTCATGTATGAGATGATGTGCGGCCGTCTGCCTTTCTACAACCAGGACCATGAACGATTGTTTGAGCTCATCCTCATGGAGGAGATTCGCTTCCCCAGAAATCTGTCACCCGAGGCTAAGTCCCTACTCGCTGGCCTGCTCAAGAAAGACCCTAAGCAGAGGTATTAGACCAGAATGAGCATGTGCATTTGCAGCTTTTCTTAAGTTACCTTATTGCTATTTCAGACACCTTCTTTCTGGAAATTACAGGTTAGGTGGAGGTCCCAATGATGCCAAAGAAGTTATGAATCACAAATTTTTCATCACCATTAACTGGCACGATGTTGTACAGAAGAAGGTAAGATTCCATGAGGCTAGAAAGGGGGAAACTGGGGTGTGCACACAGTGGATGCTCTTAATATTCTTCCCTCAGTATTCACAGGTTTGGCTAGAAGCTTTAAATGAACAATTGTAGAAAATGTAAATACAGAATTCTTGTTGCATCTTCCACACAATAAGTTGTACATTTTACTGTGTACTTTAAAAAACAAAGCAGGTCACAATTCCTCTTTTATCTCATCTTAAAAACTCTGTTCATACTAAATCTTATTGCTGGTTTATTAACATTTTTTTTCCCCCGTGTCAGCTCACCCCTCTCTTCAGACCACAAGTGACATCAGAGACAGACACCCGTTACTTCGATGAGGAGTTCACAGCCCAGACTATTACTCTAACTCCTCCAGACAAATGTAAGTATCCTCTGACTGGCAGATGTTTTGAACCATTTGAGTCTGAAAGTTGGCGGCAGTATTGGCCAGTCTTCTTTCATCAACCTTTATTATGCGTGGTATTGATAGAGTCGGATTGAATGAGTTTGATAGGCTCCATTATTGATGAGTGTCACAGGGATCTCTAGTTTTACATCTAAGTGCAGAGTGATAGACTTAGTCCAGAGATTTGAGGGTAGAAGCTGCAGCAGGTCTATAGATGATATCACCATCATCTAAACTGAAAGAAAGACTGCTTCAGTAACACTTTTTCAACAGGTAGGAGGACAGTTGGATCTGTCTGTATACATAAATCAGAGTTTCTGCTGAGGTTTGCCCTTGAGGATTTAATATGGGTTTTAAATGTCAGTGATTCATCAAGCCAGACACCGAGATGTTTATATAATCGCACCGCTTCAATATCACTTCCATCCACAGAGGATGGTTGCAGACAGCTAAATCAATATCTCCCGCTCTAAGCATAAATTCAGTTTTGCTTGCATTAAACACCAACTCAAAACTAACAAGTACACTCTGCAGGGCATCAAAATAAAACTAATTTCTCAACAGTGAGCTGGACAGAGTCAGCAGAACAATACAGAACAGTTTTGTGGATAGGATAAGGGTTCAACTATAATATTATCTAAGACTAATTTTTTTCGAAAAATATAACAATTTGCTGTTAAAGCTCATATCGTGCCTTTAAATTTAAGTTTGAATAAGCGATTTAATTTTAAATGAGAGCATGTTATGTCTTGATAACCAGCCTTGATTGCAAATTGGAGCTCCTGCAGGATACTGTCTTTGAACTTTCCACTGATCAAACTTTGCTTGTCTCTGAGATGAGTGTATATTTCTTGTAAAGAAGTTTGATTTTTTTTCACTCTGAACACTTTTTTTAAAATTGATATAAGGTTGATAAACAATCCGTGGTCAGGAAAATGTTCTGTGTATGCCTTTAAGCCACTGATTTCTACTGTCTTCTTCTTACAGATCACACTTTGGACTGCGAGGACCCAAGCCAGCAAGCACATTTCCCCCAGTTCTCCTATTCTGCCAGCATAAGAGAGTGAAAGCATCTCTGCCCTATAGACACACACACACCAAAAAAACAAAAACAAAACAAAACAAAAAAAAAACATGAGGCATAAACACCTTAGCCATATCCTTAAACACCTGTAAAAGGACCTTAACCTCTGTCACTGACAAGGTCTGGGTTCTATCAGGATCTCTCAGTGCCTCGACTAGGGGCCATATTTAGGAGAAGCCCTCTTTAGTCCACACTTGGAACAAAAGCCTGTACTGGACACTGGAGGTAGTGTATCAAACTGGAGTACCTCATGTAGAAATAGTCCAGCACAACTCAACAAAATCAGGGCTCTGTAGCACCTATGGATGGGCTATAAACAACTAATGCTGCTTTTTCAGGCTGTAAACTACAGACAATCTTTGATACAATCCTTTTCTGCCTTATGAAAAACCACGCAGGTCCTTCACGATTGTTCCAAGTGCTTTTCTTCAGAACTATGAGCTAGCTGCTGTCTATGGTCACAGTCGAGTTTATGTTATGAGGGAGGAAGAAACATGACAATAATCTCTGCCAGGTGTGTGTGTTTAGATTCCCTTTTGTTTCTGAAACAAAAAGACAAAAAAAAAGCAGGCGGCATTGTATCCAAACTGTATGTCAATAGTTTAGTCAGGATGTCAGTGACAGCATGACGTGTGTAAGAAAACGCTTTACAAATATACATCAGCAGCAGCGAGTGAAACCGAAAACAGAGTCTGAAAAAGCTTTGACAAAGTGAAACCTAATGTCTGAGAGAGCCTGTCTGTTTAAAGGAAATAACTTTAAAATTTGTTTGCTTTCATTGGAGAATGTGAACTTTATACCTTAAAGCACAGATTTCTTGCATAATATTTTTGAATTGTCAACAGAGTTTTGATACTCCTAGATTTACAAAATACACCACCACTATGTAATTTTACAACAACTCAATTTAACCAAGCTGCATTTTTCCTGATGGGTGTGTGTGTATTATGTAGCTAAAAGCTTCATGAATTGACCTCAGAGCTCATTATTTAATCACAGAGGGGCTATCATGCTCATTTTCACTGTTTGGATCGTCCCCTCTGGAGGATTTTACACTATTCACAGCTCAAAAAACTCTTTTTCTCTCAGACTTATTAAACCCTCATATTAGCTTCCACCTGAAAGGACTAAACCAGTTTTCTGGAAGCCTTTCCTATTTTTGCCAATCTGCAAAGTCACCATTATTGGGTTAACTATTGTTTCTTTATTTAAAGTAACAATTTTGAAATATAGCTGTATGTTTTTGACCATGAATTCAAAGAAGAAAATCCCTAGCGACAAAGAACAGGTCAGGTCGTTTAAGGTCGATAATTTTAATGTTAAAATGCACTTTTAAGGAGACCCACCAGCTGGTGATGTCAGAAACTGAACATGTCTCATGTCCCCCTTGCTTAATTTTTCCACCTGTAGTCCTGTTCTGGGATTACACTAACACTTGCTTACTTCTCAATCCAAGACTCTACCCTCTTTTTTTGACATCCAATATTTAACTTGGTATTTGTTTAAAAGAAAAAGGAAAATCTCACTTCTCAATATAAGTGTCCACTTTACCGAGTAGAAAAAGCTCCAAGATAAGAAAAGCTGGCGTCAGAGATCCAGTCTGAGTCATAGTTCTGTTGACTTCTGTTCTCAGATTTTGATCTATGTCAACATAGTTTAGAATATTTTACTCCTGTAAATGAATTTCTAGCAGGGTGCTTGTGTCAGACATAGTTTGTGAATAAATGTAGAAACCCCGAAAATAAGTCCCCCTTTTATGTTGTGTAAACACGACTCATTATAAATGGAAAAACGCGGCCTAGCACCAAAAAGACAGATTTTTCAGGGATGTTCATATTCAGAGTGTCACCATTTTCTTTCTGTCAAAGCTTCAATTTTAAAACTTCAAATTCACTTTTTTTCAACCATCGATGTATTTCTAAGAACGTAGCCTTATCCCAGATAATAACTTACTATCTTTTCTTTTATGTGCTGGAGACTTTACACGTTTGTTAGCTATGATGAGAAGGCAGAGGTTGTAATGCTGTAATTTACCATTCAAAGTTGAATATTAGATTGTTGGAATAAGTTGTGATATGACCCCGGACATAACTGTAATTTTATTTTTGTTGTTTGTAGAAAATCAAGGACCTCTAAACTGTGCTGCATTTCAGTCATATCTTGTCCTACAAAAATGTTCCGTTGAGGTGCAAACATCATTAATGATCCTGTAAGAGACTGTGTGAGTGCAATCGTGACCTCCACTGATACTATGCCATTTATTTTGACTCTTCTTTCTACTGAACATTATGAAATTGTAACCTGAAGGGTGAACCGTTCCTATTTTCAGATGCTCTACTCTTCTACTGTATAGGTTAATACCCTGCATTGCATTGGTGCTACACTGGTGATTTGCTGGTAATAATGAAAAAGTGGTGCAGAAAACCTGCTCAGCGTAACATTTGAAACAGAGCCTTCTACCAAATGTATTTTGAAATAATTCCTGCTTTTGAGTATTTGTCTTATTTCTTGATATTCTGGTAATCTGATGTTTTCCATAATACTTCCTGTACCTCCTTCACAGTTTCAAATTGAGGAATTTCCTGATTGTTGAAAAAAATGTTTTTCAACTTCAAGATCCTTTCTGAACTTGCTGTTTCAAGTTGTCTATGAATTTAGTTCTGAAAAGCAATTATCACTACCTGCTTTATTTTGCACCATCTTTGTACATCCTTGTGTTTTTGTTGATTCTCAATCCTGCCACTGGGAGTTGCTCAAACTCAGTTTTCTCCCATCAGTCTTGTGGTATTAAAGGTAACAAGGGCTTGAAGTGTGCAAAGAAGGGCAAAGTGATGCTAAGTATACAAGTGTTTACCTCAAGACACAAATGTTTTGTTAGTCTAACCCCTCCCCTTTTTCTGTATTTTCCACTTTTCTCTGAAACGGTATGAGGCAGATGTTGCCTGCAGCCAATCAGAGATCACAAAGTCCCCTATTCTGTCTACAACTGCAGCCACACTGACGGCAGACAGACTGTAAACAGAGGGGTGTCTTTCCTTTCTCAAGGCAACCAGCTGTTAAATTATGACAGATTGATCATGTAAACATTAAAGGTATTTCCTAATGCCCCTTTTGTTCCTGAGCCAGATGCCTCATCGGTCACTGCCCTTCACTGAACTGACACTGTAAAAAAAACTTTTTTAAAAGTCCAGATTTTTTATCCATTTGATTATGAGAGTATAATTGTTTTTCAGGAATGAAAACACACCAGGGTTGTCTGTTTCTTTGATATGTTTGACCACAAGAGGAGCAACATTTTTCCAATCTTATGACTTTCATGCTGAAATGGGCACTGTTCGTTACACTACAATAAAAATTCAGACGTTGTCATAGTGACTGTATCTTTGGTTAAGTGTTTGAAACATAATCATATAATCAAACACATAATCATAATAGGTAAAACCTGCTTTTTTTTCTGTATGTACTTATGTTACAGGACTACAACCAAGGCTGACTGACAAAACGTGCTCAGTACTCTGGATATTTGTACAAAAACTACTTTCTTATGATCAAGTTGTGATCATGAATAGGTCTTTCATGTTTATCTTTCTCTTCAGTATCTTTACCGTCCTGATGCACATTATTATCACTCATCTCCTGACAGCTGTGACATGGTCATTTAAAGAACCAAACTCATTCTTTCAAGATTTACAAGTTTATCAGTGCATTTAAATAGTATTTAAGAACAGTTTTAAGTAACATTTAAGTATACCATGTTTGCTGTTGAACTCCCTGTTAAATGTGTTACATGTGTGTGTGTTTTAAACTCAGGTTGGTCAGCATCCAGATCCTCAAGGTTTGCTTGTCCCTCTTTGAATGCCCCCTGTCTTCCGTGCTTGAGTGCATCATATGCAGGTGACTCCCACTCCCACTCATCCTGTGCAGAATTGTGGCAAATGTTGTTCAAGAGCAACATCACAGTCACATGTACTCTGACCTCTGACCCATTTTATAACAAAGGTTGCATTGCAAAGATCCCAACCATGATTCTATGCAGCTCCTGCAGTTTAAACTGTCATAAAACTTCAGATCTGATAGTCATAAAAGAGGAGTCAAAAAGCCAAAAAAATATATTAAGATCACCTTTGCCTGAAGTGTGAATAAGGATTGGTCTTTCTGTATAGCCAACTTCCCTTAAAATGCAAAGCAACAACCACATCCAAAAAGTCCAAATCCTGATTCTGAGTTTAGCTTCAGGTCAGGATAACATGATTAATTACAAGCCTTTATTAGGAATTGTCTGAATTATACAATTGGTCACCCTTAGCCAAAAGGAGGAGGGAATTATTCTTAATTACTTCACCAGCAAGTCAAGGACAGGATCAACACAGAAATTAAATGTACTACTTTTCCACAGGGATCATCTAGTTTAAGTTTTTATGGGAAACTCTAAATACAGTAAATGCTTGCTTTTAAAATAAGGTTCATTATGAGAGTCAAAAAACACACAGGAAAGCTTGTCAAAATTACTTTTATTTAGAAAGGTTTAGGTTTGCACGAAAATATTCTGTTTATTTTAGTCAAAAATACAAGGAAAACATAGTAGAAATCTGACATTTTATTTCATCCAGGCTTCATGGGGGTTGCATCAAATGTATTTATACCCCAATTTCTACATTTTAGTTTATTTAGATAGTTTTGAGAAAGCAAGAAAATACTTGAAAGGTTTTAAACAGAATTAAAAGGCATCAAAAAGTACAAAAATTACACAAATCTTTAGATAAATTCCTTGTGGTTGAGATTTTCTGAAATAATGTGGAAATCACATAAACTTTCAATTCAAAGCAGGAATCACACACTGTAAAAAATGAAGCAGTTGCCCTTGAACGATTTTGAAACAACGATGTTAAGTAGTTTTTCCATTAACTGCTGCTGTTGCAGTCAGAGCTTTGTCAAGAAAATAGATTATAAAGAAATCAAAAAAATTAACTAACTTGAAGTTGGAGGTCTAAAACAACAAGAGATTTAAAAAAAAAAAAAAAAAAAAAGAACCCAACGGATTTAGGTTCCTTATCTATCTGACATGAAAGGAGTTATACAGTTGTTTTTGCAGGAAGGGTGGGTGAAAGACACACAAGAGCCACAGTCAGTACACAGGCATTTTGTGTTTTACTTTGGGTGCACAGTCTGACAGCAGGCACAGCAGTATCCAGAGCACTGATGCCACAACTGGCAGAGGAGTCCACTGTCTGTCCCTGCAGCTGCCTCGGTCCCTGTGATTGATGACATCTCCTGAAATGTTTGAGTTGAAGCTTCATACATTGCTTTTCCTGATAATATGACATCTCTTGATGTTTTACTAGACTTGTGGCTAGTAAGTGAAGTCTTGCTCCATTTTGCATTAAGTCTGTCAATCTCATGGAGCATTTGAGCCTTCAGTTCTTGGAGCATTGTGTATTTTTCAGAGAGTAGTTTACGATCCGTCTCATAAGAGTATTGAAATGCCGGGTCTTGAACTTTTTGTGTTGGCTTTTCGCTGTCAAACTGTTTCTGTTCTCTCTTTGACCTCGTTCCCCTGAGAAACTGATTGACTACTTGTAATCTTCTGGCAAGATTGTTTTTCATTTCATTACTCCTGCTTTTCATCTGATTGATCTCTCTTTGTTCAACCTGGGTGTCTCTCCATATGTTATGTAAAATATCCCTGTTCAACATCTTGTCCTCTGGAAGAATTTGGTGTTCCTTTGATCCTTTTAGGGGTGGTGTGAATTCCTGTCCCTGGTGGTCATCAACTTCATCCCCAGTTTTGGTGGTAGGTAAAGATTCTTGATGTAATTTTAGGGATTCACTTTTTTTAGTCAAAGAATGGTACTGGTCCTCTAACTCCATGGGGTGTTCGATTTGTGCTGTTTCAACTAAATCATCAGTCTGCAAAAAGTCAAACTCCAACTTCTTGTATTTCTTTGGAATATTCCTCTCTGCTTCATACTCAACGACGAAATCTTTCAGGAAATCATCCGTTTGTGTGGCCTGGTCAACTTTTGATGTGAAAATTTCCTCTCCTTCTAGCTTCTCCAGACCATGTTTGTCAGCGTCAAGCTTCAGCTGCCATTGCTTCTCCTGGTCTTGTGTCTGGGCGGCCATGTCTGCCAGCAGAGCCTTCAGACCAGTCTTTTCTCTCTCCAGCAGCTGGGTGTTACCATCCATGTCTGCTTTCTGTTGAGCCAGTGTGGCCAACCTCTGCTCCAGTGCAGTGTGCAGCGCTTGCAGGTCTTCATTTTTCTGCTGCAGGGTGTCCATTTTGTTTTTCAGGTCTGAACGCATCTTTTCATTCAGCCGTTCAAGTTTGCCTTTGAGCATTTCCATTGGCTTCATTGTGTTGACCAGGTCGTCTTCCTTCCTTTGGAGCTCGGCCCTCTGTGCGCTTATTTCCTGCTTTTCCTTGACAAGGGTTTCTCTGGCCCTCTCCATATCAGTCTTGATCTGATGGAGTTGTTCTCTCTCTTGCCTGATGATGGTCATGCCAGCGTCCAGTTCTTCTTTCTTCTTGTCCAGGTCGTTCTTGAGAGCTTGCAGTTCCTCTCTAGCAGAGCGTACCCTGTGCTCAGTGTTCTCCATTTTCTCTTGTAGCGCTTGCAAGTCCACTTCCTTGAGCTCTTGTTCTTGTTGCTGTTTCAAGGACATTTTGCTCATGCTGCTTTCAAGCTCTTCTCTTTCGGTGTCCAGCTGAAGGGTCACCTCTTTGATCTTGGCTTTCTCTCTGTTCATCTCATCCAGCAGCTCCTTTGCCTGTTGTTTGTCCTTTTGCAGCTCAGCTTTTGTCACTTCCAGCTCGTCTCTTTCCTGTTGCATCTTGTATTTCTCTTCCTCTTGTAGTTTCTGGAAGTCCTGTCTGGTCCTTTCCAAGTCCAATTTTTCCTTGATCAGTGTCTCATTGCCTCTGTTCAGATCCTCTTGGTCTTTCTGTAGCTCTTCCTTGAGCTTCTCCAGACCATGTTTGTCAGCGTCAAGCTTCAGCTGCCATTGCTTCTCCTGGTCTTGTGTCTGGGCGGCCATGTCTGCCAGCAGAGCCTTCAGACCAGTCTTTTCTCTCTCCAGCAGCTGGGTGTTACCATCCATGTCTGCTTTCTGTTGAGCCAGTGTGGCCAACCTCTGCTCCAGTGCAGTGTGCAGCGCTTGCAGGTCTTCATTTTTCTGCTGCAGGGTGTCCATTTTGTTTTTCAGGTCTGAACGCATCTTTTCATTCAGCCGTTCAAGTTTGCCTTTGAGCATTTCCATTGGCTTCATTGTGTTGACCAGGTCGTCTTCCTTCCTTTGGAGCTCGGCCCTCTGTGCGCTTATTTCCTGCTTTTCCTTGACAAGGGTTTCTCTGGCCCTCTCCATATCAGTCTTGATCTGATGGAGTTGTTCTCTCTCTTGCCTGATGATGGTCATGCCAGCATCCAGTTCTTCTTTCTTCTTGTCCAGGTCGTTCTTGAGAGCTTGCAGTTCCTCTCTAGCAGAGCGTACCCTGTGCTCAGTGTTCTCCATTTTCTCTTGTAGCGCTTGCAAGTCCACTTCCTTGAGCTCTTGTTCTTGTTGCTGTTTCAAGGACATTTTGCTCTTGCTGCTTTCAAGCTCTTCTCTTTCGGTGTCCAGCTGAAGGGTCATCTCTTTGATCTTGGCTTTCTCTCTGTTCATCTCATCCAGCAGCTCCTTTGCCTGTTGTTTGTCCTTTTGCAGCTCAGCTTTTGTCACTTCCAGCTCGTCTCTTTCCTGTTGCATCTTGTATTTCTCTTCCTCTTGTAGTTTCTGGAAGTCCTGTCTGGTCCTTTCCAAGTCCAATTTTTCCTTGATCAGTGTCTCATTGCCTCTGTTCAGATCCTCTTGGTCTTTCTGTAGCTCTGCCTTGAGCTTCTCCAGACCATGTTTGTCAGCGTCAAGCTTCAGCTGCCATTGCTTCTCCTGGTCTTGTGTCTGGGCGGCCATGTCTGCCAGCAGAGCCTTCAGACCAGTCTTTTCTCTCTCCAGCAGCTGGGTGTTACCATCCATGTCTGCTTTCTGTTGAGCCAGTGTGGCCAACCTCTGCTCCAGTGCAGTGTGCAGCGCTTGCAGGTCTTCATTTTTCTGCTGCAGGGTGTCCATTTTGTTTTTCAGGTCTGAACGCATCTTTTCATTCAGCCGTTCAAGTTTGCCTTTGAGCATTTCCATTGGCTTCATTGTGTTGACCAGGTCATCCTCCTTCCTTTGGAGCTCGGCCCTCTGTGCGCTTATTTCCTGCTTTTCCTTGACAAGGGTTTCTCTGGCCCTCTCCATATCAGTCTTGATCTGATGGAGTTGTTCTCTCTCTTGCCTGATGATGGTCATGCCAGCGTCCAGTTCTTCTTTCTTCTTGTCCAGGTCGTTCTTGAGAGCTTGCAGTTCCTCTCTAGCAGAGCGTACCCTGTGCTCAGTTTTCTCCATTTTCTCTTGTAGCGCTTGCAAGTCCACTTCCTTGAGCTCTTGTTGTTGCTGTTTCAAGGACATTTTGCTCATGCTGCTTTCAAGCTCTTCTCTTTCGGTGTCCAGCTGAAGGGTCATCTCTTTGATCTTGGCTTTCTCTCTGTTCATCTCATCCAGCAGCTCCTTTGCCTGTTGTTTGTCCTTTTGCAGCTCAGCTTTTGTCACTTCCAGCTCGTCTCTTTCCTGTTGCATCTTGTATTTCTCTTCCTCTTGTAGTTTCTGGAAGTCCTGTCTGGTCCTTTCCAAGTCCAATTTTTCCTTGATCAGTGTCTCATTGCCTCTGTTCAGATCCTCTTGGTCTTTCTGTAGCTCTGCCTTGAGCCTCTCCAGACCATGTTTGTCAGCGTCAAGCTTCAGCTGCCATTGCTTCTCCTGGTCTTGTGTCTGGGCGGCCATGTCTGCCAGCAGAGCCTTCAGACCAGTCTTTTCTCTCTCCAGCAGCTGGGTGTTACCATCCATGTCTGCTTTCTGTTGAGCCAGTGTGGCCAACCTCTGCTCCAGTGCAGTGTGCAGCGCTTGCAGGTCTTCATTTTTCTGCTGCAGGGTGTCCATTTTGTTTTTCAGGTCTGAACGCATCTTTTCATTCAGCTGTTCAAGTTTGCCTTTGAGCATTTCCATTGGCTTCATAGTGTTGACAAGGTCGTCTTCCTTCCTTTGGAGCTCGGCCCTCTGTGCGCTTATTTCCTGCTTTTCCTTGACAAGGGTTTCTCTGGCCCTCTCCATATCAGTCTTGATCTGATGGAGTTGTTCTCTCTCTTGCCTGATGATGGTCATGCCAGCGTCCAGTTCTTCTTTCTTCTTGTCCAGGTCGTTCTTGAGAGCTTGCAGTTCCTCTCTAGCAGAGCGTACCCTGTGCTCAGTGTTCTCCATTTTCTCTTGTAGCGCTTGCAAGTCCACTTCCTTGAGCTCTTGTTCTTGTTGCTGTTTCAAGGACATTTTGCTCTTGCTGCTTTCAAGCTCTTCTCTTTCGGTGTCCAGCTGAAGGGTCATCTCTTTGATCTTGGCTTTCTCTCTGTTCATCTCATCCAGCAGCTCCTTTGCCTGTTGTTTGTCCTTTTGCAGCTCAGCTTTTGTCACTTCCAGCTCGTCTCTTTCCTGTTGCATCTTGTATTTCTCTTCCTCTTGTAGTTTCTGGAAGTCCTGTCTGGTCCTTTCCAAGTCCAATTTTTCCTTGATCAGTGTCTCATTGCCTCTGTTCAGATCCTCTTGGTCTTTCTGTAGCGCTGCCTTGAGCTTCTCCAGACCATGTTTGTCAGCGTCAAGCTTCAGCTGCCATTGCTTCTCCTGGTCTTGTGTCTGGGCGGCCATGTCTGCCAGCAGAGCCTTCAGACCAGTCTTTTCTCTCTCCAGCAGCTGGGTGTTACCATCCATGTCTGCTTTCTGTTGAGCCAGTGTGGCCAACCTCTGCTCCAGTGCAGTGTGCAGCGCTTGCAGGTCTTCATTTTTCTGCTGCAGGGTGTCCATTTTGTTTTTCAGGTCTGAACGCATCTTTTCATTCAGCCGTTCAAGTTTGCCTTTGAGCATTTCCATTGGCTTCATTGTGTTGACCAGGTCGTCTTCCTTCCTTTGGAGCTCGGCCCTCTGTGCGCTTATTTCCTGCTTTTCCTTGACAAGGGTTTCTCTGGCCCTCTCCATATCAGTCTTGATCTGATGGAGTTGTTCTCTCTCTTGCCTGATGATGGTCATGCCAGCGTCCAGTTCTTCTTTCTTCTTGTCCAGGTCGTTCTTGAGAGCTTGCAGTTCCTCTCTAGCAGAGCGTACCCTGTGCTCAGTGTTCTCCATTTTCTCTTGTAGCGCTTGCAAGTCCACTTCCTTGAGCTCTTGTTGTTGCTGTTTCAAGGACATTTTGCTCTTGCTGCTTTCAAGCTCTTCTCTTTCGGTGTCCAGCTGAAGGGTCATCTCTTTGATCTTGGCTTTCTCTCTGTTCATCTCATCCAGCAGCTCCTTTGCCTGTTGTTTGTCCTTTTGCAGCTCAGCTTTTGACACTTCCAGCTCGTCTCTTTCCTGTTGCATCTTGTATTTCTCTTCCTCTTGTAGTTTCTGGAAGTCCTGTCTGGTCCTTTCCAAGTCCAATTTTTCCTTGATCAGTGTCTCATTGCCTCTGTTCAGATCCTCTTGGTCTTTCTGTAGCTCTTCCTTGAGCTTCTCCAGACCATGTTTGTCAGCGTCAAGCTTCAGCTGCCATTGCTTCTCCTGGTCTTGTGTCTGGGCGGCCATGTCTGCCAGCAGAGCCTTCAGACCAGTCTTTTCTCTCTCCAGCAGCTGGGTGTTACCATCCATGTCTGCTTTCTGTTGAGCCAGTGTGGCCAACCTCTGCTCCAGTGCAGTGTGCAGCGCTTGCAGGTCTTCATTTTTCTGCTGCAGGGTGTCCATTTTGTTTTTCAGGTCTGAACGCATCTTTTCATTCAGCCGTTCAAGTTTGCCTTTGAGCATTTCCATTGGCTTCATTGTGTTGACCAGGTCGTCTTCCTTCCTTTGGAGCTCGGCCCTCTGTGCGCTTATTTCCTGCTTTTCCTTGACAAGGGTTTCTCTGGCCCTCTCCATATCAGTCTTGATCTGATGGAGTTGTTCTCTCTCTTGCCTGATGATGGTCATGCCAGCGTCCAGTTCTTCTTTCTTCTTGTCCAGGTCGTTCTTGAGAGCTTGCAGTTCCTCTCTAGCAGAGCGTACCCTGTGCTCAGTGTTCTCCATTTTCTCTTGTAGCGCTTGCAAGTCCACTTCCTTGAGCTCTTGTTCTTGTTGCTGTTTCAAGGACATTTTGCTCTTGCTGCTTTCAAGCTCTTCTCTTTCGGTGTCCAGCTGAAGGGTCATCTCTTTGATCTTGGCTTTCTCTTTGTTCATCTCATCCAGCAGCTCCTTTGCCTGTTGTTTGTCCTTTTGCAGCTCAGCTTTTGTCACTTCCAGCTCGTCTCTTTCCTGTTGCATCTTGTATTTCTCTTCCTCTTGTAGTTTCTGGAAGTCCTGTCTGGTCCTTTCCAAGTCCAATTTTTCCTTGATCAGTGTCTCATTGCCTCTGTTCAGATCCTCTTGGTCTTTCTGTAGCTCTTCCTTGAGCTTCTCCAGACCATGTTTGTCAGCGTCAAGCTTCAGCTGCCATTGCTTCTCCTGGTCTTGTGTCTGGGCGGCCATGTCTGCCAGCAGAGCCTTCAGACCAGTCTTTTCTCTCTCCAGCAGCTGGGTGTTACCATCCATGTCTGCTTTCTGTTGAGCCAGTGTGGCCAACCTCTGCTCCAGTGCAGTGTGCAGCGCTTGCAGGTCTTCATTTTTCTGCTGCAGGGTGTCCATTTTGTTTTTCAGGTCTGAACGCATCTTTTCATTCAGCCGTTCAAGTTTGCCTTTGAGCATTTCCATTGGCTTCATTGTGTTGACCAGGTTGTCTTCCTTCCTTTGGAGCTCGGCCCTCTGTGCGCTTATTTCCTGCTTTTCCTTGACAAGGGTTTCTCTGGCCCTCTCCATATCAGTCTTGATCTGATGGAGTTGTTCTCTCTCTTGCCTGATGATGGTCATGCCAGCGTCCAGTTCTTCTTTCTTCTTGTCCAGGTCGTTCTTGAGAGCTTGCAGTTCCTCTCTAGCAGAGCATACCCTGTGCTCAGTGTTCTCCATTTTCTCTTGTAGCGCTTGCAAGTCCACTTCCTTGAGCTCTTGTTCTTGTTGCTGTTTCAAGGACATTTTGCTCTTGCTGCTTTCAAGCTCTTCTCTTTCGGTGTCCAGCTGAAGGGTCATCTCTTTGATCTTGGCTTTCTCTCTGTTCATCTCATCCAGCAGCTCCTTTGCCTGTTGTTTGTCCTTTTGCAGCTCAGCTTTTGTCACTTCCAGCTCGTCTCTTTCCTGTTGCATCTTGTATTTCTCTTCCTCTTGTAGTTTCTGGAAGTCCTGTCTGGTCCTTTCCAAGTCCAATTTTTCCTTGATCAGTGTCTCATTGCCTCTGTTCAGATCCTCTTGGTCTTTCTGTAGCTCTTCCTTGAGCTTCTCCAGACCATGTTTGTCAGCGTCAAGCTTCAGCTGCCATTGCTTCTCCTGGTCTTGTGTCTGGGCGGCCATGTTTGCCAGCAGAGCCTTCAGACCAGTCTTTTCTCTCTCCAGCAGCTGGGTGTTACCATCCATGTCTGCTTTCTGTTGAGCCAGTGTGGCCAACCTCTGCTCCAGTGCAGTGTGCAGCGCTTGCAGGTCTTCATTTTTCTGCTGCAGGGTGTCCATTTTGTTTTTCAGGTCTGAACGCATCTTTTCATTCAGCTGTTCAAGTTTGCCTTTGAGCATTTCCATTGGCTTCATTGTGTTGACCAGGTTGTCTTCCTTCCTTTGGAGCTCGGCCCTCTGTGCGCTTATTTCCTGCTTTTCCTTGACAAGGGTTTCTCTGGCCCTCTCCATATCAGTCTTGATCTGATGGAGTTGTTCTCTCTCTTGCCTGATGATGGTCATGCCAGCGTCCAGTTCTTCTTTCTTCTTGTCCAGGTCGTTCTTGAGAGCTTGCAGTTCCTCTCTAGCAGAGCGTACCCTGTGCTCAGTGTTCTCCATTTTCTCTTGTAGCGCTTGCAAGTCCACTTCCTTGAGCTCTTGTTCTTGTTGCTGTTTCAAGGACATTTTGCTCTTGCTGCTTTCAAGCTCTTCTCTTTCGGTGTCCAGCTGAAGGGTCATCTCTTTGATCTTGGCTTTCTCTCTGTTCATCTCATCCAGCAGCTCCTTTGCCTGTTGTTTGTCCTTTTGCAGCTCAGCTTTTGTCACTTCCAGCTCGTCTCTTTCCTGTTGCATCTTGTATTTCTCTTCCTCTTGTAGTTTCTGGAAGTCCTGTCTGGTCCTTTCCAAGTCCAATTTTTCCTTGATCAGTGTCTCATTGCCTCTGTTCAGATCCTCTTGGTCTTTCTGTAGCGCTGCCTTGAGCTTCTCCAGACCATGTTTGTCAGCGTCAAGCTTCAGCTGCCATTGCTTCTCCTGGTCTTGTGTCTGGGCGGCCATGTCTGCCAGCAGAGCCTTCAGACCAGTCTTTTCTCTCTCCAGCAGCTGGGTGTTACCATCCATGTCTGCTTTCTGTTGAGCCAGTGTGGCCAACCTCTGCTCCAGTGCAGTGTGCAGCGCTTGCAGGTCTTCATTTTTCTGCTGCAGGGTGTCCATTTTGTTTTTCAGGTCTGAACGCATCTTTTCATTCAGCCGTTCAAGTTTGCCTTTGAGCATTTCCATTGGCTTCATTGTGTTGACCAGGTCGTCTTCCTTCCTTTGGAGCTCGGCCCTCTGTGCGCTTATTTCCTGCTTTTCCTTGACAAGGGTTTCTCTGGCCCTCTCCATATCAGTCTTGATCTGATGGAGTTGTTCTCTCTCTTGCCTGATGATGGTCATGCCAGCGTCCAGTTCTTCTTTCTTCTTGTCCAGGTCGTTCTTGAGAGCTTGCAGTTCCTCTCTAGCAGAGCGTACCCTGTGCTCAGTGTTCTCCATTTTCTCTTGTAGCGCTTGCAAGTCCACTTCCTTGAGCTCTTGTTGTTGCTGTTTCAAGGACATTTTGCTCTTGCTGCTTTCAAGCTCTTCTCTTTCGGTGTCCAGCTGAAGGGTCATCTCTTTGATCTTGGCTTTCTCTCTGTTCATCTCATCCAGCAGCTCCTTTGCCTGTTGTTTGTCCTTTTGCAGCTCAGCTTTTGTCACTTCCAGCTCGTCTCTTTCCTGTTGCATCTTGTATTTCTCTTCCTCTTGTAGTTTCTGGAAGTCCTGTCTGGTCCTTTCCAAGTCCAATTTTTCCTTGATCAGTGTCTCATTGCCTCTGTTCAGATCCTCTTGGTCTTTCTGTAGCGCTGCCTTGAGCTTCTCCAGACCATGTTTGTCAGCGTCAAGCTTCAGCTGCCATTGCTTCTCCTGGTCTTGTGTCTGGGCGGCCATGTCTGCCAGCAGAGCCTTCAGACCAGTCTTTTCTCTCTCCAGCAGCTGGGTGTTACCATCCATGTCTGCTTTCTGTTGAGCCAGTGTGGCCAACCTCTGCTCCAGTGCAGTGTGCAGCGCTTGCAGGTCTTCATTTTTCTGCTGCAGGGTGTCCATTTTGTTTTTCAGGTCTGAACGCATCTTTTCATTCAGCTGTTCAAGTTTGCCTTTGAGCATTTCCATTGGCTTCATTGTGTTGACCAGGTCGTCTTCCTTCCTTTGGAGCTCGGCCCTCTGTGCGCTTATTTCCTGCTTTTCCTTGACAAGGGTTTCTCTGGCCCTCTCCATATCAGTCTTGATCTGATGGAGTTGTTCTCTCTCTTGCCTGATGATGGTCATGCCAGCGTCCAGTTCTTCTTTCTTCTTGTCCAGGTCGTTCTTGAGAGCTTGCAGTTCCTCTCTAGCAGAGCGTACCCTGTGCTCAGTGTTCTCCATTTTCTCTTGTAGCGCTTGCAAGTCCACTTCCTTGAGCTCTTGTTGTTGCTGTTTCAAGGACATTTTGCTCTTGCTGCTTTCAAGCTCTTCTCTTTCGGTGTCCAGCTGAAGGGTCATCTCTTTGATCTTGGCTTTCTCTCTGTTCATCTCATCCAGCAGCTCCTTTGCCTGTTGTTTGTCCTTTTGCAGCTCAGCTTTTGTCACTTCCAGCTCGTCTCTTTCCTGTTGCATCTTGTATTTCTCTTCCTCTTGTAGTTTCTGGAAGTCCTGTCTGGTCCTTTCCAAGTCCAATTTTTCCTTGATCAGTGTCTCATTGCCTCTGTTCAGATCCTCTTGGTCTTTCTGTAGCGCTGCCTTGAGCTTCTCCAGACCATGTTTGTCAGCGTCAAGCTTCAGCTGCCATTGCTTCTCCTGGTCTTGTGTCTGGGCGGCCATGTCTGCCAGCAGAGCCTTCAGACCAGTCTTTTCTCTCTCCAGCAGCTGGGTGTTACCATCCATGTCTGCTTTCTGTTGAGCCAGTGTGGCCAACCTCTGCTCCAGTGCAGTGTGCAGCGCTTGCAGGTCTTCATTTTTCTGCTGCAGGGTGTCCATTTTGTTTTTCAGGTCTGAACGCATCTTTTCATTCAGCCGTTCAAGTTTGCCTTTGAGCATTTCCATTGGCTTCATTGTGTTGACCAGGTCGTCTTCCTTCCTTTGGAGCTCGGCCCTCTGTGCGCTTATTTCCTGCTTTTCCTTGACAAGGGTTTCTCTGGCCCTCTCCATATCAGTCTTGATCTGATGGAGTTGTTCTCTCTCTTGCCTGATGATGGTCATGCCAGCGTCCAGTTCTTCTTTCTTCTTGTCCAGGTCGTTCTTGAGAGCTTGCAGTTCCTCTCTAGCAGAGCGTACCCTGTGCTCAGTGTTCTCCATTTTCTCTTGTAGCGCTTGCAAGTCCACTTCCTTGAGCTCTTGTTCTTGTTGCTGTTTCAAGGACATTTTGCTCTTGCTGCTTTCAAGCTCTTCTCTTTCGGTGTCCAGCTGAAGGGTCATCTCTTTGATCTTGGCTTTCTCTCTGTTCATCTCATCCAGCAGCTCCTTTGCCTGTTGTTTGTCCTTTTGCAGCTCAGCTTTTGTCACTTCCAGCTCGTCTCTTTCCTGTTGCATCTTGTATTTCTCTTCCTCTTGTAGTTTCTGGAAGTCCTGTCTGGTCCTTTCCAAGTCCAATTTTTCCTTGATCAGTGTCTCATTGCCTCTGTTCAGATCCTCTTGGTCTTTCTGTAGCTCTGCCTTGAGCTTCTCCAGACCATGTTTGTCAGCGTCAAGCTTCAGCTGCCATTGCTTCTCCTGGTCTTGTGTCTGGGCGGCCATGTCTGCCAGCAGAGCCTTCAGACCAGTCTTTTCTCTCTCCAGCAGCTGGGTGTTACCATCCATGTCTGCTTTCTGTTGAGCCAGTGTGGCCAACCTCTGCTCCAGTGCAGTGTGCAGCGCTTGCAGGTCTTCATTTTTCTGCTGCAGGGTGTCCATTTTGTTTTTCAGGTCTGAACGCATCTTTTCATTCAGCCGTTCAAGTTTGCCTTTGAGCATTTCCATTGGCTTCATTGTGTTGACCAGGTCGTCTTCCTTCCTTTGGAGCTCGGCCCTCTGTGCGCTTATTTCCTGCTTTTCCTTGACAAGGGTTTCTCTGGCCCTCTCCATATCAGTCTTGATCTGATGGAGTTGTTCTCTCTCTTGCCTGATGATGGTCATGCCAGCGTCCAGTTCTTCTTTCTTCTTGTCCAGGTCGTTCTTGAGAGCTTGCAGTTCCTCTCTAGCAGAGCGTACCCTGTGCTCAGTGTTCTCCATTTTCTCTTGTAGCGCTTGCAAGTCCACTTCCTTGAGCTCTTGTTGTTGCTGTTTCAAGGACATTTTGCTCTTGCTGCTTTCAAGCTCTTCTCTTTCGGTGTCCAGCTGAAGGGTCATCTCTTTGATCTTGGCTTTCTCTCTGTTCATCTCATCCAGCAGCTCCTTTGCCTGTTGTTTGTCCTTTTGCAGCTCAGCTTTTGTCACTTCCAGCTCGTCTCTTTCCTGTTGCATCTTGTATTTCTCTTCCTCTTGTAGTTTCTGGAAGTCCTGTCTGGTCCTTTCCAAGTCCAATTTTTCCTTGATCAGTGTCTCATTGCCTCTGTTCAGATCCTCTTGGTCTTTCTGTAGCGCTGCCTTGAGCTTCTCCAGACCATGTTTGTCAGCGTCAAGCTTCAGCTGCCATTGCTTCTCCTGGTCTTGTGTCTGGGCGGCCATGTCTGCCAGCAGAGCCTTCAGACCAGTCTTTTCTCTCTCCAGCAGCTGGGTGTTACCATCCATGTCTGCTTTCTGTTGAGCCAGTGTGGCCAACCTCTGCTCCAGTGCAGTGTGCAGCGCTTGCAGGTCTTCATTTTTCTGCTGCAGGGTGTCCATTTTGTTTTTCAGGTCTGAACGCATCTTTTCATTCAGCCGTTCAAGTTTGCCTTTGAGCATTTCCATTGGCTTCATTGTGTTGACCAGGTCGTCTTCCTTCCTTTGGAGCTCGGCCCTCTGTGCGCTTATTTCCTGCTTTTCCTTGACAAGGGTTTCTCTGGCCCTCTCCATATCAGTCTTGATCTGATGGAGTTGTTCTCTCTCTTGCCTGATGATGGTCATGCCAGCGTCCAGTTCTTCTTTCTTCTTGTCCAGGTCGTTCTTGAGAGCTTGCAGTTCCTCTCTAGCAGAGCGTACCCTGTGCTCAGTGTTCTCCATTTTCTCTTGTAGCGCTTGCAAGTCCACTTCCTTGAGCTCTTGTTCTTGTTGCTGTTTCAAGGACATTTTGCTCTTGCTGCTTTCAAGCTCTTCTCTTTCGGTGTCCAGCTGAAGGGTCATCTCTTTGATCTTGGCTTTCTCTCTGTTCATCTCATCCAGCAGCTCCTTTGCCTGTTGTTTGTCCTTTTGCAGCTCAGCTTTTGTCACTTCCAGCTCGTCTCTTTCCTGTTGCATCTTGTATTTCTCTTCCTCTTGTAGTTTCTGGAAGTCCTGTCTGGTCCTTTCCAAGTCCAATTTTTCCTTGATCAGTGTCTCATTGCCTCTGTTCAGATCCTCTTGGTCTTTCTGTAGCTCTGCCTTGAGCTTCTCCAGACCATGTTTGTCAGCGTCAAGCTTCAGCTGCCATTGCTTCTCCTGGTCTTGTGTCTGGGCGGCCATGTCTGCCAGCAGAGCCTTCAGACCAGTCTTTTCTCTCTCCAGCAGCTGGGTGTTACCATCCATGTCTGCTTTCTGTTGAGCCAGTGTGGCCAACCTCTGCTCCAGTGCAGTGTGCAGCGCTTGCAGGTCTTCATTTTTCTGCTGCAGGGTGTCCATTTTGTTTTTCAGGTCTGAACGCATCTTTTCATTCAGCCGTTCAAGTTTGCCTTTGAGCATTTCCATTGGCTTCATTGTGTTGACCAGGTCGTCTTCCTTCCTTTGGAGCTCGGCCCTCTGTGCGCTTATTTCATGCTTTTCCTTGACAAGGGTTTCTCTGGCCCTCTCCATATCAGTCTTGATCTGATGGAGTTGTTCTCTCTCTTGCCTGATGATGGTCATGCCAGCGTCCAGTTCTTCTTTCTTCTTGTCCAGGTCGTTCTTGAGAGCTTGCAGTTCCTCTCTAGCAGAGCGTACCCTGTGCTCAGTGTTCTCCATTTTCTCTTGTAGCGCTTGCAAGTCCACTTCCTTGAGCTCTTGTTGTTGCTGTTTCAAGGACATTTTGCTCTTGCTGCTTTCAAGCTCTTCTCTTTCGGTGTCCAGCTGAAGGGTCATCTCTTTGATCTTGGCTTTCTCTCTGTTCATCTCATCCAGCAGCTCCTTTGCCTGTTGTTTGTCCTTTTGCAGCTCAGCTTTTGTCACTTCCAGCTCGTCTCTTTCCTGTTGCATCTTGTATTTCTCTTCCTCTTGTAGTTTCTGGAAGTCCTGTCTGGTCCTTTCCAAGTCCAATTTTTCCTTGATCAGTGTCTCATTGCCTCTGTTCAGATCCTCTTGGTCTTTCTGTAGCGCTGCCTTGAGCTTCTCCAGACCATGTTTGTCAGCGTCAAGCTTCAGCTGCCATTGCTTCTCCTGGTCTTGTGTCTGGGCGGCCATGTCTGCCAGCAGAGCCTTCAGACCAGTCTTTTCTCTCTCCAGCAGCTGGGTGTTACCATCCATGTCTGCTTTCTGTTGAGCCAGTGTGGCCAACCTCTGCTCCAGTGCAGTGTGCAGCGCTTGCAGGTCTTCATTTTTCTGCTGCAGGGTGTCCATTTTGTTTTTCAGGTCTGAACGCATCTTTTCATTCAGCCGTTCAAGTTTGCCTTTGAGCATTTCCATTGGCTTCATTGTGTTGACCAGGTCGTCTTCCTTCCTTTGGAGCTCGGCCCTCTGTGCGCTTATTTCCTGCTTTTCCTTGACAAGGGTTTCTCTGGCCCTCTCCATATCAGTCTTGATCTGATGGAGTTGTTCTCTCTCTTGCCTGATGATGGTCATGCCAGCGTCCAGTTCTTCTTTCTTCTTGTCCAGGTCGTTCTTGAGAGCTTGCAGTTCCTCTCTAGCAGAGCGTACCCTGTGCTCAGTGTTCTCCATTTTCTCTTGTAGCGCTTGCAAGTCCACTTCCTTGAGCTCTTGTTGTTGCTGTTTCAAGGACATTTTGCTCTTGCTGCTTTCAAGCTCTTCTCTTTCGGTGTCCAGCTGAAGGGTCATCTCTTTGATCTTGGCTTTCTCTCTGTTCATCTCATCCAGCAGCTCCTTTGCCTGTTGTTTGTCCTTTTGCAGCTCAGCTTTTGTCACTTCCAGCTCGTCTCTTTCCTGTTGCATCTTGTATTTCTCTTCCTCTTGTAGTTTCTGGAAGTCCTGTCTGGTCCTTTCCAAGTCCAATTTTTCCTTGATCAGTGTCTCATTGCCTCTGTTCAGATCCTCTTGGTCTTTCTGTAGCTCTGCCTTGAGCTTCTCCAGACCATGTTTGTCAGCGTCAAGCTTCAGCTGCCATTGCTTCTCCTGGTCTTGTGTCTGGGCGGCCATGTCTGCCAGCAGAGCCTTCAGACCAGTCTTTTCTCTCTCCAGCAGCTGGGTGTTACCATCCATGTCTGCTTTCTGTTGAGCCAGTGTGGCCAACCTCTGCTCCAGTGCAGTGTGCAGCGCTTGCAGGTCTTCATTTTTCTGCTGCAGGGTGTCCATTTTGTTTTTCAGGTCTGAACGCATCTTTTCATTCAGCCGTTCAAGTTTGCCTTTGAGCATTTCCATTGGCTTCATTGTGTTGACCAGGTCGTCTTCCTTCCTTTGGAGCTCGGCCCTCTGTGCGCTTATTTCCTGCTTTTCCTTGACAAGGGTTTCTCTGGCCCTCTCCATATCAGTCTTGATCTGATGGAGTTGTTCTCTCTCTTGCCTGATGATGGTCATGCCAGCGTCCAGTTCTTCTTTCTTCTTGTCCAGGTCGTTCTTGAGAGCTTGCAGTTCCTCTCTAGCAGAGCGTACCCTGTGCTCAGTGTTCTCCATTTTCTCTTGTAGCGCTTGCAAGTCCACTTCCTTGAGCTCTTGTTGTTGCTGTTTCAAGGACATTTTGCTCTTGCTGCTTTCAAGCTCTTCTCTTTCGGTGTCCAGCTGAAGGGTCATCTCTTTGATCTTGGCTTTCTCTCTGTTCATCTCATCCAGCAGCTCCTTTGCCTGTTGTTTGTCCTTTTGCAGCTCAGCTTTTCGTCACTTCCAGCTCGTCTCTTTCCTGTTGCATCTTGTATTTCTCTTCCTCTTGTAGTTTCTGGAAGTCCTGTCTGGTCCTTTCCAAGTCCATTGTTTCCTTGATCAGTGTCTCATTGCCTCTGTTCAGATCCTCTTGGTCTTTCTGTAGCTCTGCCTTGAGCTTCTCCAGACCATGTTTGTCAGCGTCAAGCTTCAGCTGCCATTGCTTCTCCTGGTCTTGTGTCTGGGCGGCCATGTCTGCCAGCAGAGCCTTCAGACCAGTCTTTTCTCTCTCCAGCAGCTGGGTGTTACCATCCATGTCTGCTTTCTGTTGAGCCAGTGTGGCCAACCTCTGCTCCAGTGCAGTGTGCAGCGCTTGCAGGTCTTCATTTTTCTGCTGCAGGGTGTCCATTTTGTTTTTCAGGTCTGAACGCATCTTTTCATTCAGCCGTTCAAGTTTGCCTTTGAGCATTTCCATTGGCTTCATTGTGTTGACCAGGTCGTCTTCCTTCCTTTGGAGCTCGGCCCTCTGTGCGCTTATTTCCTGCTTTTCCTTGACAAGGGTTTCTCTGGCCCTCTCCATATCAGTCTTGATCTGATGGAGTTGTTCTCTCTCTTGCCTGATGATGGTCATGCCAGCGTCCAGTTCTTCTTTCTTCTTGTCCAGGTCGTTCTTGAGAGCTTGCAGTTCCTCTCTAGCAGAGCGTACCCTGTGCTCAGTGTTCTCCATTTTCTCTTGTAGCGCTTGCAAGTCCACTTCCTTGAGCTCTTGTTCTTGTTGCTGTTTCAAGGACATTTTGCTCTTGCTGCTTTCAAGCTCTTCTCTTTCGGTGTCCAGCTGAAGGGTCATCTCTTTGATCTTGGCTTTCTCTCTGTTCATCTCATCCAGCAGCTCCTTTGCCTGTTGTTTGTCCTTTTGCAGCTCAGCTTTTGTCACTTCCAGCTCGTCTCTTTCCTGTTGCATCTTGTATTTCTCTTCCTCTTGTAGTTTCTGGAAGTCCTGTCTGGTCCTTTCCAAGTCCAATTTTTCCTTGATCAGTGTCTCATTGCCTCTGTTCAGATCCTCTTGGTCTTTCTGTAGCGCTGCCTTGAGCTTCTCCAGACCATGTTTGTCAGCGTCAAGCTTCAGCTGCCATTGCTTCTCCTGGTCTTGTGTCTGGGCGGCCATGTCTGCCAGCAGAGCCTTCAGACCAGTCTTTTCTCTCTCCAGCAGCTGGGTGTTACCATCCATGTCTGCTTTCTGTTGAGCCAGTGTGGCCAACCTCTGCTCCAGTGCAGTGTGCAGCGCTTGCAGGTCTTCATTTTTCTGCTGCAGGGTGTCCATTTTGTTTTTCAGGTCTGAACGCATCTTTTCATTCAGCCGTTCAAGTTTGCCTTTGAGCATTTCCATTGGCTTCATTGTGTTGACCAGGTCGTCTTCCTTCCTTTGGAGCTCGGCCCTCTGTGCGCTTATTTCCTGCTTTTCCTTGACAAGGGTTTCTCTGGCCCTCTCCATATCAGTCTTGATCTGATGGAGTTGTTCTCTCTCTTGCCTGATGATGGTCATGCCAGCATCCAGTTCTTCTTTCTTCTTGTCCAGGTCGTTCTTGAGAGCTTGCAGTTCCTCTCTAGCAGAGCGTACCCTGTGCTCAGTGTTCTCCATTTTCTCTTGTAGCGCTTGCAAGTCCACTTCCTTGAGCTCTTGTTCTTGTTGTTGCTGTTTCAAGGACATTTTGCTCTTGCTGCTTTCAAGCTCTTCTCTTTCGGTGTCCAGCTGAAGGGTCATCTCTTTGATCTTGGCTTTCTCTCTGTTCATCTCATCCAGCAGCTCCTTTGCCTGTTGTTTGTCCTTTTGCAGCTCAGCTTTTGTCACTTCCAGCTCGTCTCTTTCCTGTTGCATCTTGTATTTCTCTTCCTCTTGTAGTTTCTGGAAGTCCTGTCTGGTCCTTTCCAAGTCCAATTTTTCCTTGATCAGTGTCTCATTGCCTCTGTTCAGATCCTCTTGGTCTTTCTGTAGCGCTGCCTTGAGCTTCTCCAGACCATGTTTGTCAGCGTCAAGCTTCAGCTGCCATTGCTTCTCCTGGTCTTGTGTCTGGGCGGCCATGTCTGCCAGCAGAGCCTTCAGACCAGTCTTTTCTCTCTCCAGCAGCTGGGTGTTACCATCCATGTCTGCTTTCTGTTGAGCCAGTGTGGCCAACCTCTGCTCCAGTGCAGTGTGCAGCGCTTGCAGGTCTTCATTTTTCTGCTGCAGGGTGTCCATTTTGTTTTTCAGGTCTGAACGCATCTTTTCATTCAGCCGTTCAAGTTTGCCTTTGAGCATTTCCATTGGCTTCATTGTGTTGACCAGGTCGTCTTCCTTCCTTTGGAGCTCGGCCCTCTGTGCGCTTATTTCCTGCTTTTCCTTGACAAGGGTTTCTCTGGCCCTCTCCATATCAGTCTTGATCTGATGGAGTTGTTCTCTCTCTTGCCTGATGATGGTCATGCCAGCATCCAGTTCTTCTTTCTTCTTGTCCAGGTCGTTCTTGAGAGCTTGCAGTTCCTCTCTAGCAGAGCGTACCCTGTGCTCAGTGTTCTCCATTTTCTCTTGTAGCGCTTGCAAGTCCACTTCCTTGAGCTCTTGTTCTTGTTGCTGTTTCAAGGACATTTTGCTCTTGCTGCTTTCAAGCTCTTCTCTTTCGGTGTCCAGCTGAAGGGTCATCTCTTTGATCTTGGCTTTCTCTCTGTTCATCTCATCCAGCAGCTCCTTTGCCTGTTGTTTGTCCTTTTGCAGCTCAGCTTTTGTCACTTCCAGCTCGTCTCTTTCCTGTTGCATCTTGTATTTCTCTTCCTCTTGTAGTTTCTGGAAGTCCTGTCTGGTCCTTTCCAAGTCCAATTTTTCCTTGATCAGTGTCTCATTGCCTCTGTTCAGATCCTCTTGGTCTTTCTGTAGCTCTGCCTTGAGCTTCTCCAGACCATGTTTGTCAGCGTCAAGCTTCAGCTGCCATTGCTTCTCCTGGTCTTGTGTCTGGGCGGCCATGTCTGCCAGCAGAGCCTTCAGACCAGTCTTTTCTCTCTCCAGCAGCTGGGTGTTACCATCCATGTCTGCTTTCTGTTGAGCCAGTGTGGCCAACCTCTGCTCCAGTGCAGTGTGCAGCGCTTGCAGGTCTTCATTTTTCTGCTGCAGGGTGTCCATTTTGTTTTTCAGGTCTGAACGCATCTTTTCATTCAGCCGTTCAAGTTTGCCTTTGAGCATTTCCATTGGCTTCATTGTGTTGACCAGGTCGTCTTCCTTCCTTTGGAGCTCGGCCCTCTGTGCGCTTATTTCATGCTTTTCCTTGACAAGGGTTTCTCTGGCCCTCTCCATATCAGTCTTGATCTGATGGAGTTGTTCTCTCTCTTGCCTGATGATGGTCATGCCAGCGTCCAGTTCTTCTTTCTTCTTGTCCAGGTCGTTCTTGAGAGCTTGCAGTTCCTCTCTAGCAGAGCGTACCCTGTGCTCAGTGTTCTCCATTTTCTCTTGTAGCGCTTGCAAGTCCACTTCCTTGAGCTCTTGTTGTTGCTGTTTCAAGGACATTTTGCTCTTGCTGCTTTCAAGCTCTTCTCTTTCGGTGTCCAGCTGAAGGGTCATCTCTTTGATCTTGGCTTTCTCTCTGTTCATCTCATCCAGCAGCTCCTTTGCCTGTTGTTTGTCCTTTTGCAGCTCAGCTTTTGTCACTTCCAGCTCGTCTCTTTCCTGTTGCATCTTGTATTTCTCTTCCTCTTGTAGTTTCTGGAAGTCCTGTCTGGTCCTTTCCAAGTCCAATTTTTCCTTGATCAGTGTCTCATTGCCTCTGTTCAGATCCTCTTGGTCTTTCTGTAGCGCTGCCTTGAGCTTCTCCAGACCATGTTTGTCAGCGTCAAGCTTCAGCTGCCATTGCTTCTCCTGGTCTTGTGTCTGGGCGGCCATGTCTGCCAGCAGAGCCTTCAGACCAGTCTTTTCTCTCTCCAGCAGCTGGGTGTTACCATCCATGTCTGCTTTCTGTTGAGCCAGTGTGGCCAACCTCTGCTCCAGTGCAGTGTGCAGCGCTTGCAGGTCTTCATTTTTCTGCTGCAGGGTGTCCATTTTGTTTTTCAGGTCTGAACGCATCTTTTCATTCAGCCGTTCAAGTTTGCCTTTGAGCATTTCCATTGGCTTCATTGTGTTGACCAGGTCGTCTTCCTTCCTTTGGAGCTCGGCCCTCTGTGCGCTTATTTCCTGCTTTTCCTTGACAAGGGTTTCTCTGGCCCTCTCCATATCAGTCTTGATCTGATGGAGTTGTTCTCTCTCTTGCCTGATGATGGTCATGCCAGCGTCCAGTTCTTCTTTCTTCTTGTCCAGGTCGTTCTTGAGAGCTTGCAGTTCCTCTCTAGCAGAGCGTACCCTGTGCTCAGTGTTCTCCATTTTCTCTTGTAGCGCTTGCAAGTCCACTTCCTTGAGCTCTTGTTCTTGTTGCTGTTTCAAGGACATTTTGCTCTTGCTGCTTTCAAGCTCTTCTCTTTCGGTGTCCAGCTGAAGGGTCATCTCTTTGATCTTGGCTTTCTCTCTGTTCATCTCATCCAGCAGCTCCTTTGCCTGTTGTTTGTCCTTTTGCAGCTCAGCTTTTGTCACTTCCAGCTCGTCTCTTTCCTGTTGCATTTTGTATTTCTCTTCCTCTTGTAGTTTCTGGAAGTCCTGTCTGGTCCTTTCCAAGTCCAATTTTTCCTTGATCAGTGTCTCATTGCCTCTGTTCAGATCCTCTTGGTCTTTCTGTAGCGCTGCCTTGAGCTTCTCCAGACCATGTTTGTCAGCGTCAAGCTTCAGCTGCCATTGCTTCTCCTGGTCTTGTGTCTGGGCGGCCATGTCTGCCAGCAGAGCCTTCAGACCAGTCTTTTCTCTCTCCAGCAGCTGGGTGTTACCATCCATGTCTGCTTTCTGTTGAGCCAGTGTGGCCAACCTCTGCTCCAGTGCAGTGTGCAGCGCTTGCAGGTCTTCATTTTTCTGCTGCAGGGTGTCCATTTTGTTTTTCAGGTCTGAACGCATCTTTTCATTCAGCCGTTCAAGTTTGCCTTTGAGCATTTCCATTGGCTTCATTGTGTTGACCAGGTCGTCTTCCTTCCTTTGGAGCTCGGCCCTCTGTGCGCTTATTTCCTGCTTTTCCTTGACAAGGGTTTCTCTGGCCCTCTCCATATCAGTCTTGATCTGATGGAGTTGTTCTCTCTCTTGCCTGATGATGGTCATGCCAGCATCCAGTTCTTCTTTCTTCTTGTCCAGGTCGTTCTTGAGAGCTTGCAGTTCCTCTCTAGCAGAGCGTACCCTGTGCTCAGTGTTCTCCATTTTCTCTTGTAGCGCTTGCAAGTCCACTTCCTTGAGCTCTTGTTCTTGTTGCTGTTTCAAGGACATTTTGCTCTTGCTGCTTTCAAGCTCTTCTCTTTCGGTGTCCAGCTGAAGGGTCATCTCTTTGATCTTGGCTTTCTCTCTGTTCATCTCATCCAGCAGCTCCTTGGCCTGTTGTTTGTCCTTTTGCAGCTCAGCTTTTGTCACTTCCAGCTCGTCTCTTTCCTGTTGCATCTTGTATTTCTCTTCCTCTTGTAGTTTCTGGAAGTCCTGTCTGGTCCTTTCCAAGTCCAATTTTTCCTTGATCAGTGTCTCATTGCCTCTGTTCAGATCCTCTTGGTCTTTCTGTAGCGCTGCCTTGAGCTTCTCCAGACCATGTTTGTCAGCGTCAAGCTTCAGCTGCCATTGCTTCTCCTGGTCTTGTGTCTGGGCGGCCATGTCTGCCAGCAGAGCCTTCAGACCAGTCTTTTCTCTCTCCAGCAGCTGGGTGTTACCATCCATGTCTGCTTTCTGTTGAGCCAGTGTGGCCAACCTCTGCTCCAGTGCAGTGTGCAGCGCTTGCAGGTCTTCATTTTTCTGCTGCAGGGTGTCCATTTTGTTTTTCAGGTCTGAACGCATCTTTTCATTCAGCCGTTCAAGTTTGCCTTTGAGCATTTCCATTGGCTTCATTGTGTTGACCAGGTCGTCTTCCTTCCTTTGGAGCTCGGCCCTCTGTGCGCTTATTTCCTGCTTTTCCTTGACAAGGGTTTCTCTGGCCCTCTCCATATCAGTCTTGATCTGATGGAGTTGTTCTCTCTCTTGCCTGATGATGGTCATGCCAGCATCCAGTTCTTCTTTCTTCTTGTCCAGGTCGTTCTTGAGAGCTTGCAGTTCCTCTCTAGCAGAGCGTACCCTGTGCTCAGTGTTCTCCATTTTCTCTTGTAGCGCTTGCAAGTCCACTTCCTTGAGCTCTTGTTCTTGTTGCTGTTTCAAGGACATTTTGCTCTTGCTGCTTTCAAGCTCTTCTCTTTCGGTGTCCAGCTGAAGGGTCATCTCTTTGATCTTGGCTTTCTCTCTGTTCATCTCATCCAGCAGCTCCTTTGCCTGTTGTTTGTCCTTTTGCAGCTCAGCTTTTGTCACTTCCAGCTTGTCTCTTTCCTGTTGCATCTTGTATTTCTCTTCCTCTTGTAGTTTCTGGAAGTCCTGTCTGGTCCTTTCCAAGTCCAATTTTTCCTTGATCAGTGTCTCATTGCCTCTGTTCAGATCCTCTTGGTCTTTCTGTAGCTCTGCCTTGAGCTTCTCCAGACCATGTTTGTCAGCGTCAAGCTTCAGCTGCCATTGCTTCTCCTGGTCTTGTGTCTGGGCGGCCATGTCTGCCAGCAGAGCCTTCAGACCAGTCTTTTCTCTCTCCAGCAGCTGGGTGTTACCATCCATGTCTGCTTTCTGTTGAGCCAGTGTGGCCAACCTCTGCTCCAGTGCAGTGTGCAGCGCTTGCAGGTCTTCATTTTTCTGCTGCAGGGTGTCCATTTTGTTTTTCAGGTCTGAACGCATCTTTTCATTCAGCCGTTCAAGTTTGCCTTTGAGCATTTCCATTGGCTTCATTGTGTTGACCAGGTCGTCTTCCTTCCTTTGGAGCTCGGCCCTCTGTGCGCTTATTTCCTGCTTTTCCTTGACAAGGGTTTCTCTGGCCCTCTCCATATCAGTCTTGATCTGATGGAGTTGTTCTCTCTCTTGCCTGATGATGGTCATGCCAGCGTCCAGTTCTTCTTTCTTCTTGTCCAGGTCGTTCTTGAGAGCTTGCAGTTCCTCTCTAGCAGAGCGTACCCTGTGCTCAGTGTTCTCCATTTTCTCTTGTAGCGCTTGCAAGTCCACTTCCTTGAGCTCTTGTTCTTGTTGCTGTTTCAAGGACATTTTGCTCTTGCTGCTTTCAAGCTCTTCTCTTTCGGTGTCCAGCTGAAGGGTCATCTCTTTGATCTTGGCTTTCTCTCTGTTCATCTCATCCAGCAGCTCCTTTGCCTGTTGTTTGTCCTTTTGCAGCTCAGCTTTTGTCACTTCCAGCTCGTCTCTTTCCTGTTGCATCTTGTATTTCACTTCCTCTTGTAGTTTCTGGAAGTCCTGTCTGGTCCTTTCCAAGTCCAATTTTTCCTTGATCAGTGTCTCATTGCCTCTGTTCAGATCCTCTTGGTCTTTCTGTAGCTCTGCCTTGAGCTTCTCCAGACCATGTTTGTCAGCGTCAAGCTTCAGCTGCCATTGCGTCTCCTGGTCTTGTGTCTGGGCGGCCATGTCTGCCAGCAGAGCCTTCAGACCAGTCTTTTCTCTCTCCAGCAGCTGGGTGTTACCATCCATGTCTGCTTTCTGTTGAGCCAGTGTGGCCAACCTCTGCTCCAGTGCAGTGTGCAGCGCTTGCAGGTCTTCATTTTTCTGCTGCAGGGTGTCCATTTTGTTTTTCAGGTCTGAACGCATCTTTTCATTCAGCTGTTCAAGTTTGCCTTTGAGCATTTCCATTGGCTTCATTGTGTTGACCAGGTCGTCTTCCTTCCTTTGGAGCTCGGCCCTCTGTGCGCTTATTTCCTGCTTTTCCTTGACAAGGGTTTCTCTGGCCCTCTCCATATCAGTCTTGATCTGATGGAGTTGTTCTCTCTCTTGCCTGATGATGGTCATGCCAGCGTCCAGTTCTTCTTTCTTCTTGTCCAGGTCGTTCTTGAGAGCTTGCAGTTCCTCTCTAGCAGAGCGTACCCTGTGCTCAGTGTTCTCCATTTTCTCTTGTAGCGCTTGCAAGTCCACTTCCTTGAGCTCTTGTTGTTGCTGTTTCAAGGACATTTTGCTCTTGCTGCTTTCAAGCTCTTCTCTTTCGGTGTCCAGCTGAAGGGTCATCTCTTTGATCTTGGCTTTCTCTCTGTTCATCTCATCCAGCAGCTCCTTTGCCTGTTGTTTGTCCTTTTGCAGCTCAGCTTTTGTCACTTCCAGCTCGTCTCTTTCCTGTTGCATCTTGTATTTCTCTTCCTCTTGTAGTTTCTGGAAGTCCTGTCTGGTCCTTTCCAAGTCCAATTTTTCCTTGATCAGTGTCTCATTGCCTCTGTTCAGATCCTCTTGGTCTTTCTGTAGCTCTGCCTTGAGCTTCTCCAGACCATGTTTGTCAGCGTCAAGCTTCAGCTGCCATTGCTTCTCCTGGTCTTGTGTCTGGGCGGCCATGTCTGCCAGCAGAGCCTTCAGACCAGTCTTTTCTCTCTCCAGCAGCTGGGTGTTACCATCCATGTCTGCTTTCTGTTGAGCCAGTGTGGCCAACCTCTGCTCCAGTGCAGTGTGCAGCGCTTTCAGGTCTTCATTTTTCTGCTGCAGGGTGTCCATTTTGTTTTTCAGGTCTGAACGCATCTTTTCATTCAGCCGTTCAAGTTTGCCTTTGAGCATTTCCATTGGCTTCATTGTGTTGACCAGGTCGTCTTCCTTCCTTTGGAGCTCGGCCCTCTGTGCGCTTATTTCCTGCTTTTCCTTGACAAGGGTTTCTCTGGCCCTCTCCATATCAGTCTTGATCTGATGGAGTTGTTCTCTCTCTTGCCTGATGATGGTCATGCCAGCGTCCAGTTCTTCTTTCTTCTTGTCCAGGTCGTTCTTGAGAGCTTGCAGTTCCTCTCTAGCAGAGCGTACCCTGTGCTCAGTGTTCTCCATTTTCTCTTGTAGCGCTTGCAAGTCCACTTCCTTGAGCTCTTGTTCTTGTTGCTGTTTCAAGGACATTTTGCTCTTGCTGCTTTCAAGCTCTTCTCTTTCGGTGTCCAGCTGAAGGGTCATCTCTTTGATCTTGGCTTTCTCTCTGTTCATCTCATCCAGCAGCTCCTTTGCCTGTTGTTTGTCCTTTTGCAGCTCAGCTTTTGTCACTTCCAGCTCGTCTCTTTCCTGTTGCATCTTGTATTTCTCTTCCTCTTGTAGTTTCTGGAAGTCCTGTCTGGTCCTTTCCAAGTCCAATTTTTCCTTGATCAGTGTCTCATTGCCTCTGTTCAGATCCTCTTGGTCTTTCTGTAGCGCTGCCTTGAGCTTCTCCAGACCATGTTTGTCAGCGTCAAGCTTCAGCTGCCATTGCTTCTCCTGGTCTTGTGTCTGGGCAGCCATGTCTGCCAGCAGAGCCTTCAGACCAGTCTTTTCTCTCTCCAGCAGCTGGGTGTTACCATCCATGTCTGCTTTCTGTTGAGCCAGTGTGGCCAACCTCTGCTCCAGTGCAGTGTGCAGCGCTTGCAGGTCTTCATTTTTCTGCTGCAGGGTGTCCATTTTGTATTTCAGGTCTGAACGCATCTTTTCATTCAGCCGTTCAAGTTTGCCTTTGAGCATTTCCATTGGCTTCATTGTGTTGACCAGGTCGTCTTCCTTCCTTTGGAGCTTGGCCCTCTGTGCGCTTATTTCATGCTTTTCCTTGACAAGGGTTTCTCTGGCCCTCTCCATATCAGTCTTGATCTGATGGAGTTGTTCTCTCTCTTGCCTGATGATGGTCATGCCAGCGTCCAGTTCTTCTTTCTTCTTGTCCAGGTCGTTCTTGAGAGCTTGCAGTTCCTCTCTAGCAGAGCGTACCCTGTGCTCAGTGTTCTCCATTTTCTCTTGTAGCGCTTGCAAGTCCACTTCCTTGAGCTCTTGTTCTTGTTGCTGTTTCAAGGACATTTTGCTCTTGCTGCTTTCAAGCTCTTCTCTTTCGGTGTCCAGCTGAAGGGTCATCTCTTTGATCTTGGCTTTCTCTCTGTTCATCTCATCCAGCAGCTCCTTTGCCTGTTGTTTGTCCTTTTGCAGCTCAGCTTTTGTCACTTCCAGCTCGTCTCTTTCCTGTTGCATCTTGTATTTCTCTTCCTCTTGTAGTTTCTGGAAGTCCTGTCTGGTCCTTTCCAAGTCCATTTTTTCCTTGATCAGTGTCTCATTGCCTCTGTTCAGATCCTCTTGGTCTTTCTGTAGCGCTGCCTTGAGCTTCTCCAGACCATGTTTGTCAGCGTCAAGCTTCAGCTGCCATTGCTTCTCCTGGTCTTGTGTCTGGGCAGCCATGTCTGCCAGCAGAGCCTTCAGACCAGTCTTTTCTCTCTCCAGCAGCTGGGTGTTACCATCCATGTCTGCTTTCTGTTGAGCCAGTGTGGCCAACCTCTGCTCCAGTGCAGTGTGCAGCGCTTGCAGGTCTTCATTTTTCTGCTGCAGGGTGTCCATTTTGTATTTCAGGTCTGAACGCATCTTTTCATTCAGCCGTTCAAGTTTGCCTTTGAGCATTTCCATTGGCTTCATTGTGTTGACCAGGTCGTCTTCCTTCCTTTGGAGCTTGGCCCTCTGTGCGCTTATTTCCTGCTTTTCCTTGACAAGGGTTTCTCTGGCCCTCTCCATATCAGTCTTGATCTGATGGAGTTGTTCTCTCTCTTGCCTGATGATGGTCATGCCAGCGTCCAGTTCTTCTTTCTTCTTGTCCAGGTCGTTCTTGAGAGCTTGCAGTTCCTCTCTAGCAGAGCGTACCCTGTGCTCAGTGTTCTCCATTTTCTCTTGTAGCGCTTGCAAGTCCACTTCCTTGAGCTCTTGTTGTTGCTGTTTCAAGGACATTTTGCTCTTGCTGCTTTCAAGCTCTTCTCTTTCGGTGTCCAGCTGAAGGGTCATCTCTTTGATCTTGGCTTTCTCTCTGTTCATCTCATCCAGCAGCTCCTTTGCCTGTTGTTTGTCCTTTTGCAGCTCAGCTTTTGTCACTTCCAGCTCGTCTCTTTCCTGTTGCATCTTGTATTTCTCTTCCTCTTGTAGTTTCTGGAAGTCCTGTCTGGTCCTTTCCAAGTCCAATTTTTTCCTTGATCAGTGTCTCATTGCCTCTGTTCAGATCCTCTTGGTCTTTCTGTAGCGCTGCCTTGAGCTTCTCCAGACCATGTTTGTCAGCGTCAAGCTTCAGCTGCCATTGCTTCTCCTGGTCTTGTGTCTGGGCGGCCATGTCTGCCAGCAGAGCCTTCAGACCAGTCTTTTCTCTCTCCAGCAGCTGGGTGTTACCATCCATGTCTGCTTTCTGTTGAGCCAGTGTGGCCAACCTCTGCTCCAGTGCAGTGTGCAGCGCTTGCAGGTCTTCATTTTTCTGCTGCAGGGTGTCCATTTTGTTTTTCAGGTCTGAACGCATCTTTTCATTCAGCCGTTCAAGTTTGCCTTTGAGCATTTCCATTGGCTTCATTGTGTTGACCAGGTCGTCTTCCTTCCTTTGGAGCTTGGCCCTCTGTGCGCTTATTTCATGCTTTTCCTTGACAAGGGTTTCTCTGGCCCTCTCCATATCAGTCTTGATCTGATGGAGTTGTTCTCTCTCTTGCCTGATGATGGTCATGCCAGCGTCCAGTTCTTCTTTCTTCTTGTCCAGGTCGTTCTTGAGAGCTTGCAGTTCCTCTCTAGCAGAGCGTACCCTGTGCTCAGTGTTCTCCATTTTCTCTTGTAGCGCTTGCAAGTCCACTTCCTTGAGCTCTTGTTGTTGCTGTTTCAAGGACATTTTGCTCTTGCTGCTTTCAAGCTCTTCTCTTTCGGTGTCCAGCTGAAGGGTCATCTCTTTGATCTTGGCTTTCTCTCTGTTCATCTCATCCAGCAGCTCCTTTGCCTGTTGTTTGTCCTTTTGCAGCTCAGCTTTTGTCACTTCCAGCTCGTCTCTTTCCTGTTGCATCTTGTATTTCTCTTCCTCTTGTAGTTTCTGGAAGTCCTGTCTGGTCCTTTCCAAGTCCAATTTTTCCTTGATCAGTGTCTCATTGCCTCTGTTCAGATCCTCTTGGTCTTTCTGTAGCGCTGCCTTGAGCTTCTCCAGACCATGTTTGTCAGCGTCAAGCTTCAGCTGCCATTGCTTCTCCTGGTCTTGTGTCTGGGTGGCCATGTCTGCCACCAGCTGGTTGTTACCTTTATCTGTCATTTTTTCCGTTTTGAGTCTTTGCAGGATTAGCTGTGCTAAATTGTACAGCATTTGTACATCTTCTTTCTTTTCCAGCAATGTTTCCACATTTCTTTTCACTTCATCTATTAATGACATGCCTTTTTCTGTGTTTTCATTGTTTCTTTTTTCACTTTGTCTTATTTTCAATTTTACTATTTCTAGTTCATCCCTTTCTTTGTGGATTGTTTGTAGACGCTGGTCAAACTCTCTCTCTTTCCTTTTCATTTCCCATTTAAGAGCTTTTTGTTCCCCCCTTACCTCATCCTGTAGTCTTTTGGCTTCTTGTTCTTGACGATTGTGCTTCCGGACCATCTTTTCATATTCTCTTCTTTTCCATTCCATTTCAGATATCATTACTTCTACTTCTCTTTTGTCTTTCTTCACCTTTTCTTGAGCAAGTTCAATGTCTTTCTTTTGATTTTGGATTTCATCCCACATGTGGACCATTTTATGTTTTTCTTCTTTGGCTTGTTCAGTCATCCTTTTAAGGTCAGCCTCCAACTTTGATTTCATTTCTCTAATTTTTTGTCTTTGAGTTCTGTTTTCAACTTCTAACAATTGGAGCTCTTCTCTTTGTTTACTTAATTCAGTGTTTACGTCAGTCAGAAGTGCATCTTTTCTCTTTATCATTTGTAGATGTTCATTTATCCTCTGTCTCATGTTCTCAATGTAAATGGTGCATTCAGTGACCTTTGAGCTGAGGTTTATGATTTCAGCTGTATCCTTGACATTGAAGTTCAGATTTTCATCAACTGGCTGCTCCTTCTGTTTTGGTTGTTTGTTGGTTCTCAATATTTTCAGCTCTGCACCCTTTTTTCTTGATTCTTCAAACCCTCCCTCAAACTCTGTCTTTCTTTTTTTGGTCTCTCTTCTTTGTGAAAACTTGTCTCCTTGATTTTCTCTCCCTCTGCTTTTTCTCATGTACTTTCTAAATTTCTTTTCACTATCTTTTTTCTTTATTTCCATTTGCAGCTCCAGAGGCTCATTTTCTCTCATTTCTTCCTCAGAAATTTGCAGTAATCTACCGTTGAGCCCCTCTGTCTGTCCTGCAACGCTGTCCTGAGGCAAGTTCATCTCACTTCTTTCTGTGTCAGCATGTCCTCTCGGTTGACCTTTGATTTCCTCTACTCCTTCAAACTCTTGTTTAAACATCTTAATATTTCCATTCTCACCCTGTTGTTCCCAATGCTCGATTCTTACCATCTTAATTTGCTCAGTCTCACAGCTTTTTTGCTCCAAAGTGACACCTTGTAGTTTTTCCTTTTGAGCCCTCAATACATCTTGGTCTTTTGTTCCTTTCAGCAGTCCACTGATGCCTTCCTCGTCCTTTCCAGTTTCCAAAGCTGCAATTTGAAACCCATTTTCAATCTCTGGCCTTTGGCTCTGCAGGTCATTAATTTCCATAATGAGCCTTTTAATCTCTCTATTTTCTTCCTCCATTTCCTGCATGGCAGATATCATATCCTGCTTTGTTTTTTCCTCTCTCTCCCTTAGTTGTAATATCTCCTCTTCCACTTCAGCCTTTTCTTGTAAGTTTATCACCAGTTTTGTCTGATCACCCATTGATGCATCATCATGAATCTCTGCCTGCATCTGAAAGAAAACATTTTGCTGTCCTTTTGTGTCCACTCCTGTTTGTACTTCTTCACTCTGATGAAGGCTCACTGATGTCAACAGCTGTTGTGGAGTTGTGACTTCTTTTGTGATTTCATCTTCCATGTCTTCATCTTCTTGGTCTTTGAGGGGGTCTCTGTATGTTTCTGTCTGTGGTTCTTGAAGTTCAAATGGTTTCATTGTGAAAGTCTTTTTGATTGAAGACTCGTTCAGTATCCACTTGCTGACCCGAACTTTCAACAAAGTCAGCTTAACCTTAACATAAAAACAGACTCGTCAAGATTTTTCCTCATTATTTCAACTCAGAGTCACTAGCTAAGAACCTGCAATAGCCATTTATTTTATCAGAGAAATCATTTTCATCCTAAAAAAATAATAAAATCTTTAAAAACCACAAAAGTTTTGGCATCCACCAGGACCCCTGAGCTAGTCGGACTCACATCTAACACAAAGAAACATATTTACTTACCTGTCCTTTAATGCTTTTTAAAACAGCAAATGATCATATATGATAAAGAAAAAAGAGATTTACTCACCATGACTTTATCCACCTCCTTCTTGTTCTCCTCCATGTCATGTTGCGCTTTCAGAAGTTCTTCACATGTGTTGTTCATCTCTGCAGCAGCTTTTTCGATGCAAGCTTTAATCCCACTTATTGTCAAAACTGTTTTTATGGCACTTTCCAGTTGTTGCTGGACCTCCTCTTTTTGTCGTTGTATTTTGTTCTTCATAATTTCTAGCTCATCTCTTTCCCTCATCGTCTTCTCCCGCCATCGATCAAGCTCACGTTGCTTTTTCTTTGCATGGAAATTAATCCATTTCATTTGGCTCTTTTCTTCTGACAAGTTTGTTCTGTCTTGCTCTGAGTCTTCTCCCATTTCACACAGAACCTCTCTCATTTCTCTTGCTTCAGGACTTACTTCCTGTATGTCAGTGGTCTTTTTGTCCTTGCTTTTCTCCATGCTGTCTATCTCAAATTGATCTTCTTTCATTTGAAGTGTTTCTTTAGCTCTGTCAGCCTGTATAAAATAAGTCCTTGGTTGATCAACTCCATGCTCAGATCTCAGATCCTCGGGATCCTCTTGTCTGTCTTCCATGTGTTTCTGTTCCTTTGATTTGCTGGTGTCTTCTTTTTTCCTCCTGCTCATTCTTATCATTTTTACCAAGTCCCTTTTCTTTATTTCAACCTCAGATTTAATCAGTTCCATCTCTCTTATCTCTCTCTTTGTCTGCTTTAACTTATTTTCCAGCTGTTGTTTCTCCCTTTCAATACTTTCCCTCATGCGTGTCATTGTATCCATTTCTGTTTTCGCTGACTGTCGGTCCCTCTCGATCTTTTCCCTCTCTGCTTTTAATTCCTTTTTGATTTTTTCTATTTCATCTCTTTCAGGCTGAACTTGTGTTAACTTGCTTTCTGCATCTTGTTTTTGTCTCTCTCCAGTTCCATGTGGTGCTATCTTCATGCTTTCTTCAGTCGTTTGTATTTGCTTTTCAGAATCAGATTTCACCTGACCTGCCTCAAACTCAAACGTTTTCACAGCCAGATCACTCTCCTCCAGGACATCCAAAAGTTCATCTGTGTTCTCCAGGATTTTGCAGAGTTTGATCTTCACAGTTTCAAACTTATCTTTTTCTTTTGGCTGTATTTGTGTGTCTTTAATCTCTGGGACTATGGTGTCTTGCATTTGGACATCTGTTTTAATTAATGTCCTCTGTTGCTTTAGCTGATTTAAAAATTCGTTCATCTTTTGTTTAGTGTGTTCAAAATGCTCTCTGCACTGTAAAATATTTGATTGATTACTTCTTAGCATTTGAGATGCATCTGCCATGATTTTCTCCATTTTCTCTTTTGCCAGTTTGGTGTCAAGCATTAATTTCTCATTTTTGCTTAACAGTCTCAGCACACTTTCAGCCATAAGTCTTTCCCTTCTCTCCTGCTGGTCTTCAGGCTCTTTGGACTCCTTACTTGTGTCTGATTTTGTTTCATCATAATTGAATGTTTCTTGAGTAGCATCCTTTTTACTCTCATTCAGTTTTTCTGTAAGATCATCTACCTGTATCCTGAGTCTTTCTATAAATGAACACTGTTCCTGTTTTTCAGCTGTCAATCTTTCAATTTCTTTTTGTTGCTGCTCTGTCTTTGCTTTTAGGTGGACAAGTTCATTTCTTTCCCTTTCATTCTCCTCCTTAATTTGGTCGATCTCCTCTAGTACCTCACAAGTCAGCAGTCTTTGTCTTTTGATAGTCTGTCGTTTGGCTTGCAAGTCCATTTTTGTGTTTTGATCACCAAGTTTCTTACTTTTTTCTATTGTTCTTCTTCCCTCTGTTTGGGTCACCCTGCTGTTTCGTTGACTTTTCACTGTTGATCAAGAAATTAGCAAATGTCACTTGCAAATCACAATTGCAATATACTGTTAATTATGCCTCGTGTTAAAAGTGCTATTTGTCATATCAAGTGTCAGTCTACGATAAATAATATCCATGTTTTCTTAAGTTTAATGTCAGTATATCTGGCAAAGACATGTATTTAAGATAATAAACTGTATAATGTTTCTATTTGACTTGTAATGTAGTACTTAGGAATAAGCAAAACCAAACTTTTTAAATTTGATACGATGCTGTTACTTTTTGATGTAGTTTTGTCAATACCAGTACTGATACTTCTTGAGTGGGATGAAATATTGAAAATGATCTAAAAGTACCCCTTTACACTTGAAAGCACATCTAATGACATAAAGAGGATATCATTATAATAGAAGCTAGATTTTCCTTTTGGGAATAGCAAATCAAATCCCAATTCTCATTACAAAAAAAGAAAAGGAACCAATGTGTTTAAATACATGGATCTGACTGTTTTCTACAATATTTCCCTCTATAATGTAGTGAGCTTACAGTACATTTCAAATATCTTATATTCTTACTTGGTAAAATACAAAGTCCTAATTCTATCAACAGTGATAATGGTGCTGCCTCTTCTTGAATAAGCTCTGCCTTCCTAAAAACTCTCATGCAGTCAGTTCTGAAGTACAATGGATGGTGCAGCAGGTGATTGGGATAACTTATTTCTGTCTTCAGCTTTTCATGTAACTCTCAGGGCAAATTCTTTTAGATTTTAAACATGTAGCCTAATGATTATGGAGCTACAGTATAAGCAGCTACAGTGTCACAAATGCTGCATTTAGAATTATTTTTGTCTATATTGGACAATGGCTTCTCATTATGTTGCACCTAAACTCTGCTTCATTGCAAGATATGATGAGGACTGAAAAGAGGGTGTTATTTGGGTCTGTGCCTGTGCAGTGGGACATCGTCCCTGATGTCTGATTGGTCCCCACAGTCATGTGATACAGTGCGGAAGTAAACAGCTGGCTCGGCAAAGCAGAAATTTACTGAAAACAGCTGGAGGAGACGTAGTCACAGATGTTTGGTGGAAGTAATCATTTAGTATTGATAGTCTTTAGAAGTACCTGATACTAAATGAGTGTTTTAAAAGTATTGAAATATCAGTACAATAGTATCGATACACCCATGTCGAGTGGTACAACTTTAACTACAGAGAGGCAAATAAACTGAATGATTACTTAGTGTCCAAGATTAGTCTTTACAGTACCTGACAGAAGGGTTTTACTCAGTATTTAGAATATTTAGAGGTCAACTTTAGATTGTTATTCATATTGGTATGTTGTTACAGTTTCTGTCTCGTGTTTTTGGCTGCTGATATCGTCTGTGATGGCCATTGGGGACCTCACCCTATGATGATCTCCTCCCTGAGCTCTTCAGGAAATTAGTCTGCTCAAAGTATTTGGTGGTGTTTTCTCTTGAGGAGATTTGACAACATTTTACAAATAAGAGAATTATTTTATGAGGAAATACGTATGCACCTCAATTTCCAAACATGCAAAAATGATGCATCCAATGGAAGAATCAGACTCACTTTTCATTCAAAACCCTTCTCTTATGTATTTGAAGAGTGGCACAGTAGTGGCTTAAAATTGAGATGTACTATTTAGGTTTGTTAAGTAAAGCATTACTTAGAGTAACTTTTGGGGCATCTAAAGGTATAAAAATAAATAATTGTTTGTTGTTGGAAAGGATAAACACTTACCTTTTGCTTGTTCTCTTTCCATTTTGATCCAAAATCTGAGTTGCTTTTAACATCATGGGTCTAGCCAGAAATGATATACTTATTTGAGAAAATCACTTACATTTACAGAAATTACAATACAGCAAATAATATCTTTTTTTAACAATAGGTCTTACCTTTGCTTCTTCTTGTTTTGTTGAACAGAGCAACTACCTCCTGCTTTAATTCCTAAAAGACTGGGCACATTTGAGCCAGTTACTCCAGAGCGCTGTACAAGCAAAATAAGAGGAGATCTTCTGTGATGAAGCAGGCTGGCACTGCTCTTTTTGAAACATCACATATCTCCTCTCTCCACACATTTATTAAGCAGAGGGTTTGGCTGTAAGATAAATGCACACCCACAAAGTACGTGTGTATGATTGTACGGTGGGTGGTGCTGGGGTGATTCTGGACCCAGCAGATAAGGGTGGAGCCCATGTTTGGCTTGTTGTTGAGAGTTTTCCTCAGCTCCTCTGATCCACTTAGGCATCAATAAACAGATGAGGTAGGGGCTTAGTTGCATGCATACATACATACATACACACAGTGAGCTCACCCAGCTCTTTACATAGGAAGAGTGTAACTGCACTTTTTGAGGCCTCTCTCTGCAACATTGTGGATGCAAACACAGGATTAATCTGGCAGCTACATTTGTACTTTACACAGTTTTAGCCTGATATTGCTGGACACCCCAACCTGAGCACACATGCATGTTTCTATAGGATTCATCTTACAAATTGGATTCATTTCATGTGTTAGGTTGTGGTGAAGCTTGTAACAGATTCAGATTCCTGAAATCAGGTCAAGCTGTGGTAACGGGCTATAAAATACTTTCACCCAGACCCATTTTCAAAGTCATTTCATTTACTAAGTTGTTGAGTTTTACATGACTTTAAACAGCATTAAGGGAGATGTAGTGCTTACAGCATTCATTCAAAGAAAGAAAACTAAATACAGAGTGAACAAATAATTGTAAATTAAATGAACTGACTAAGTTATGACCTTTCAAAAACATCTTTGTGGTCCTCTTTTTCTGTTATGACTTTTTCTCCTCTACTTTGTGCATTAACACTGTTTTTAAATATTAAAGAATACAGCAACTTGCAATGTTCAGACTGCAGATACCGTGTAATTATTAGTAGTTAAATTTTACTCAAACATCATCAACACAGTGTAGCATAGTGTATTTTTGTGTTACAGCATTTTAATCTGATTAGACAAGCATATAGTCTTACACTACACCTTTTAACCTGTGTTCTGAAAGTTCCTTAAATGTTTTTGTGCAGATAATTATGTTAATTGAGTCTTTGATGAATATGTTCTGCATTCATCTACTTTCTTTTCTAAATAATCTTGTACGTTTCCACTATTTTTGCAGGTAGGCACAAATACTGTGTCTGTGACAGGCCTGTCCCCCTGACTGATGGTCGAGTAGAGAGTATTTTTAACTGTATGGTATACTTGTTTTATTCATCTAAAATTCTATGAACAAAACTTGGCATTAGATGGATGCATAATTCAACTAAAAAAGGTGTCTCGCTATTTTTTTAAACAAATAACACATTTTTTGCATGCTTATTAGTGCAGAAATGGGTGCTGATAAAGCTTTTGAATACTTTAAATCACATCATTAGTTAAATTGAACTCCACAAATCAACACTGACAATCGTGGCTCTCTTTAGCATCCTGTTGCTCAAACCGAGCTAGCTTAACATTGCTACACTTACCAAGACACTGACAAATCTCCCAATTTCTGGAACATAAGTCCTGCATCCTAATCTTTTTGTGTTTTAAATGCTTTAAATGTGTTTTTTTTTTTTTTTTTTTCTACAGAGTTTTCACCTGTACACAGGTGAAAAGGATACATGCATCATGAGCATTGACTGTATATACTATGGACAACTTGGTTTCGCCTTCCGCCTGTATACGGGTTTGAAGCCAAAATGTTCTCAATATTTCCGGGATTTTTCTTCATTTCCTGAAACCAGCGCTGCACAGTATTGATGCACGCATTCGGCCGCGCAGTCGCCGAGAGTTGCTGTGATGACGATCAGCTCAAACAGTTTATCCCCCCCGAGTGAGCTACGCAATCCATGAACGCCCATAGGCTGTATAAGGTGTCAATCAGAAGAAAACATGAACCCCCTAATAACTTTTAAAAACGGAGCTTCACAGAAAAAAGAGGACTTACGCACAAACCAGTCTTACAATAACTACATGTCAACATCACAAGCAGGGGGAGAAAAATGTATGTTATGTGTAATAAATTTCTGAAGTTTGTCCACAGCCCCATAAACTTTGCTGGCGGAGGCGAGGTTTATGACCTGTACTGCAGCCCACCATCAGAGGGTGCTGTTCTCGGAGTGGCTTCACCCAGAGAGGAGGCAGACTGTCCATTCTATATACAGTCTATGATCATGAGCAGCACCATTCTGTGGCTTCTTTTTCTTGAGGTACAAACATAGTAGATGGGTACAAAGCGGGTAAGGGCGCGGGGCTTAAGCTGTAAAGACCAATGGTAACAGAGTGCAGGGGCATTTAAACAGCTCACCATGTTAATGGCAATAAAGAAATAACAGAGTCTAATATTCTGGTTACACTTATTGATTTAACACTTTTTTATTAACACTATCAAATTTACTGCCAATTATACAAAACAATAAGACTTAAAAATACTTATTAGGCCTGCTGTAAAATATCAAATACTTTGAGACTTTGAAGTCATAATCTCTGAATTATAGATTGACAAAGATGTTTTGACCTTCTTGGTAACCACTATCAGTAACTTACTGGGATGAACATATGAATTGACAGAATTAGGTAATACTAATAGTGAATTTATCAATTAATTCAGTCATATTACTCAGACTTACTTAAAATGTTCATGATGTGGTAGTTTTTTAGGTATGTGTGAGTCATAAATAAACTCATGACTATCTGAGCATTAGCTAAGCATTAATAAATGTTTATCATTATTATTATTATTATTATTGTTGTTATAAGTGTTGTTATTATTATCATGTAAAAATATAAAATAAACAAATATAAAAGTTATGAAAACTTTGGGCTACATGTTTTGCCTCTCCTGTGATGTCTACAGGGTTATGTCCATTCTAAAACACAAATTACAATTTTATTTGTTCTAATAGTGTGAAGGTGAGTCCTTTAAAAACTTCATATAACATGTGGGTAAGTCAATTCAAACAGCATTTAAGGGCCAATTAAATTCCTCCTTTTCTTTCTTTTAACCCCAGGGCATCTCATCCTGAAAAGTATGTAGGCTACGTCGAAACCTGGTCCTGTAGGCCTGTAAACAACTCCTCTAGATCACCAGTCCCTCCATTATCACCACACTTCCAGCTGTCTAGTTTGTCTCCGTTTGGGCTGCGGGTCATCAGGAAGCTTTTTGTACTGAGACCGGATGTCGCTGCCACCTCTGAGCCTGTTACACTTGACATCAGTAACAAACTGAACACCAGTGGGTGTCTAATAGCCTCTGAAATTGCGTTGGCTGTTTCCCGGAAAATGTTGCTTCATAAACTATTCCCTTTGACCCTCCTACCACTGGGAAAGCTGCATCAAGTTAGACAACACCATCCCAGATAGCACCGGAAATGACCTCTGTCCCTTCAAAGTAAAGGATGATTTGAACCATTATTAAATGTAATTGACGTGTACTTGTGCAATTACAACAATGTGCTCGCTTAAATACGTGAACAGTAAAGTTTGTAATTTATATTTAGAGGTAAGTTGTGAATGCAAGCTGGATGTAAACTCTGAAGTCGGTTATTGAAGCCTTTATTCGGGAGCTTTGAAGAGGATGTGAAAAATGGTGGTATCGTTTTATTAACTTTACACTGATGTCACCGTACAAGCCATGCATCATAGACCCCCCCTGTCTCGCGTTTTTCCAACTCTGCCGACAGGAACTGGGAAAAGAGGCTTCTATTTGAGTGCTTAGACACATGGATACTTTTTAGTAACAAGAATTTACAGGTTTAATAGTTTTCTTTCCTCTCTTTACCTTTGACTCTTTGGCACGCCTTGATTTTTTTGCGTTGGATGTGAACAGAGTTCAACTGGGAACCAGGATCCCCACAGACAATCCCTGGTGATTTGGTATGTTGTGACTTTTTCCTCTCTTTTTTAATCTTTTCTTTCGTTGAAAAAAACACGTAAATATAAGGAGTTTGGTCTCGTCACTCGGGCTCAGAGGAGTGGCTCCAGCCGCTGAGTTAGAGGCTCTGATAAATCTCGCCACACGAAACAATAAAGGGTGGTAGGCTATAGTAATAACACAACTCTAACAACACACCAGTCAGTGTGTAAACCAAAGAAAAGCCGAATCCACGAAGAGACCGATCACTGAAACGCTATCTGTACCTTAATCCCATTATAAAGTCATATGGTTCAGCTGAGAAGTTTTAAATCTGTGGGAATGACATGACGGTCAGTGGACATACTCCCACGGGAGGACGTTAACAAAGCAGCTTCAACCCTGTATTTCTCTGAAGCCAAAAATGGAGTGTTAAACTAGAACAACAAACACTAACACTGGTTTTCTTTATGAACTGAAAAAAGGGGAGGACTTCTATGTAAAAATTTACCCAATTCTTCAAATGGGGGTCAATTATTCAACCAGTCCAATCCAGCGTATTTATTAAGTTTATTTACAACACTACCAAAGTCTACTTCAGTTATCTTTATTAAAACACATAAGACAGAAAAACAATATAGGATGCTTTAGAAAATGAATAGCAGACTTTAAACATGTAGAAAAAATACACAAGAAAATATTACAGCAAACAAAAGAGCAGGACGACAGTAGCCAAATGGCTTCTAGGCTAAAGTAAAAATAAGTTTTGAGTTCAGGGACACTCCTATGTGAGGGGCTGATTCATTCCACAGTTTGGGGGCCACTGCTGAGAAGGCATGGTCATCCCTGGTTCTCAGCCTGGTCCTAGAAACCACATGAAGCAGCTAATCAGCAGACCTCAGAAACCTTGTGGGAGTAGTAGATTTCCAGGAGATCAGGGATGCACTCAACTGTGCTGTTTGAACTTGAAAAAAAGCAATAAAATCTTCAAATGAATCCCAAAATGATCAGGGAGCCAGTAATGGCAGGAAAGGATGGGGTAATGTGCTCTTGTTTTTCCTCAAATGGAGTCAAAGATAAATCAGGCGATAAATCCTCAGATGGTAAAACGAGATTGAACAACAGAGTGTTCAGCAGATACTTGCCATTAAAAGTTTCATCTTTGATTTATGTGTTTCTTTAAGGACATGGCAACTGCTCTAAATGGTCGAAACCCTGGTGGACGTGGACCAAACCGTAATAAAGGTCGAATCTTGGGCATTATTGATGCCATCCAGGATGCAGTGGGATCACCGAAACAAGCAGCCGCAGATCGGAGGACAGTGGAGAAAACTTGGAAACTCATGGATAAAGTTGTAAGTTTTAAATGATTTGATGCCATAATAGGATTTAAACTGCCAAACAGTTCAGGGTCTCCTTTACGGTATTTTTTTGTTGCATTATGCTCCAAATGTTTTCAATGGCTGAAAAGTCAGGGCTGGTGGCAGGCCATTAATGGTGCCTAGATGTTTGAATGAGCTATGCCGTGGGTGCTTAACTCCGTACCATTAAGGATGCTGGCGGTTGAACTTTGTCCTGATAGCAAGTCTGATGTTCCCTCCCTTCATTACAGCCGAGGATGCAGCATCCATGATTTCCATGAAAAATGTCAAATTATAAGAAGTATTAGTTTTGCATCTTTCAGATGGTGTGATAACTTTGTTCAACAATAGCAAAATACTGATTGATAAAAGATAACCTGATCTTTACTTCACAAATTCAGTCTCTATTTAGTAAAAGAGACAAAGGTCATTGTAAAGTGCTCTTTTCATTGTTGACCTAACTGACATCTTTTAGTTTACCACATTTTCCTGGTCCTCGCCGAAGTACTCATTTTTGGTTTGCGTTGCCACAGGTCCGCCTCTGCCAAAACCCCAGACTCCAGCTTAAAAATAGTCCACCATACATCCTGGATATCTTACCTGATGCCTACCAGCACCTGCGGCTCATACAGAGCATATACACAGAGAACCAGAAACTCACACAGCTCAGTGAGAACGAGTACTTCAAAATCTACATCGACAGCCTTATGAAGAAGTCCAAACGGGCCATTCGGCTTTTTAAAGAGGGAAAGGAGAGGATGTATGAGGAGCAATCGCATGACAGGTAAGAAAATGTTTGAAAAGTTATTTCTTTCTTCAAAGGTTCTACCTTCAAAGTTTTCTTTGAGCCTTTTCCCAAGAAGTCTGGATACTGTTTAAATTACAGTTAAAAACTGAATGTGATGATTTGTGAAATATTCAAACTCCATATTTAATTAAAGATGAGGATGCCAAAGAGACAGCAAATGAAACCTTAAAACAGAGATATTTCATTGTGTTTGACAAAAAGTAAATTCTCATTTTTAATGTGGATTATTTCCAATAAATGGAGACAGGGTCACATTTGCTGCTCTGTTTCTTCACCTCCTTTTTCAACAGCGCTTTTTCAGCATACAGAAAATAATAAGCCAGTTTGAAAGTGGACAGTTTTAGCCACTCAGCAGTTTGAGGTCTCTTTTTTGTACAAGCCATAATTTGTTCGAGTCATCATGCACCAAAAAATTCTATGGTTGACAAGTCAGGACTGCAGGTATCAGCAGTACTCTTAAACCATGGAGCTATGGTGCTGTCATACAGATAGTGGTTTGACATTGTCTCGCTGAAATAAACCATGCTGTTGCTGTTTTCCTGCTTTAAAACCTTTATGTATTGCTCAGCATTACTAGTTCCGTCATAAATGTGCAGATATGCCCACTTTTCTACCACTGATGATGGCTTTTCAGCTGTGCATTTACAACAAGCCAGATGGTCCGTCTCTTATTCAGCCCGGAGGGTGCATCCATTGTTAGACCACAGGACACTTTTTCACTTCACTCCAGCCCATCTCTAATGAGCTCGGGCTCAAGAAAGGCAGCCATGTTTCTGTGTCTGGTTTATATACAGTTCTCTCTTTGCAAGATAGAGTCACATGCATTTCTGGATGCAGCAACAAACTGTGCTCACAGACCACAACCTTTGAAAGTCTTGCAAAGCCCATGCAGTGATGTCTATTACAAAATCAAGTCTCTTTTTAATGCAGTGCTGTCTGGAAGCTCAAGGATCACATCCAGAGAGATTTTAGTCAGGGTTGGAAATCAGCTGCCTGCCAAATGCGGGTTGTTTTTCAAAGTGTTGGGTGAATTTTCCAAACCTACCAGCCACAGAGGCTGCTAAATAAAATAACTGAACAGAGTGACTCGTGAAAGAACAGAGGTCTACCGCTCTAATGTAGGCGGATCTACCAAAGCCAAAGAGCTCTGCCTCCTCCTCATGTCCCCCTACTTTACAATGCTGCAGTGCCTTTATTGTAAAACAGCCACATCAGTAAGTGAAAAGTTTCAGCTGCTTGAACATAATTTTACTCCTGTATCATGGAAACTAAGGCGAGATGTTAAAATAATCTGTAAGGGTCACAGCAGAGAAACTAAACTTAAATCCACACTAATATAGTGTACTAAGAATTAAATTTTAGAGTTACAGGAGGAGTGATCAGCTTCCACAGGGAAAGTATCCCAACAAATATATCTACAAGTTTTCTTCTTTGGGGCGTCAGTATGACTATTGGCCACTGCTCTTCCCTGAACATGAAAGAAACTAGGATGACCCACACTGATTTCCAGCTGTGCCTCTTTGGGTTAGTCAGAGGAAAAGTCCTGGAAATTGGTGCCATGTTTCATTGTCCCCTTCAAGATTAGTCAGAGCATTAACCTTGGCACCCCTGCTGCCTTGGTTTAATCCAGTTCTTTTACTGATGCCTTGCATGGTTTTACTGACTCTCTATGAACTTGCCACCATAGAGACCAGAGGGCAGTATGATAGGATATACTTTGTCATAGCATTTGAGAACTTCTCTTGAATGTTTCAACAGTTTCTTATTCACATCTTGGTTCCACCCTGCAGAAGGAACCTGACCAAGCTGTCACTGATATTCAGCCACATGCTGGCTGAAATCAAAGCTATTTTCCCTGGAGGACAGTTCCAAGGGGACACTTTCAGGATCACCAAGGCTGATGCCGCTGACTTCTGGAGGAAAAACTTTGGAGAAAAGTAAGAAATATCTAAGTTTTCTTTTTTCTTTGGCAGTTTTTTTGGTGCTTTATTATTATTATTATTCAACTTGGTGATGAGGAACTGCTGTCCTGAGTAGCATCTCTAGTTGACTCAGAGTTAGGGATAGGGTTTTCTCACTTTTTAATGATAATGTTCACTTTGATGCTTGATTCTTCCTTAAAAGACAAGCATCCCTTTCTTCTTGTGTTCCATCTCTATCAGCTCATCTGCCTCTTATAGTTGCCATCTATAACTTTTGCACACAAGTAATATGTTATTTTTGACGTTAGTGGTCATTACCGAAGATTGCGCACAGTGCTAGTTCAGGCAAGCCGTACAGTTCAAGCTCAGCCTACAGTCCATCAGCTGATAGCTTGGCTGATTACCTTTTATATATCTAATTGGCAAATGTAAAAAATGGCATAAAACTCCTTTAGCTTGTCCTCTCTAGTTGCTTCTTCCACAAAATGTTTGGCAAATCACCTCCACCTTGACTCCTCCTTATGAGCTGTGCTAGATTTTGCCCGTGTCAAATGTAGCGTCACAGGAGCCTGCTTTGTTGTGTATCCTGCGGGTCTTTGCTGCTGCTGTTTTCCCTGCCCTGGTTTTTCATATATGCACATGAAACAGTGGTGGTATGCTCTCTTCGCAGCAGGCCTGGCAATCCTCATATGCATGTAGAAGGGCAGAGTGCTCTCCAAACAGAGCTATACTGCCCAACATAAGTACTACATGCAAATAATTCATTCTTTTTGATCTATATGGTTCTGGATTTGGAGGGAGAGTCACACAGTCCACAGTGTTTGAAGTCCATTGTTTATTTTCCTCTGTCTTGGGATTCTGTCATCTACTTGTTTTAGTGCACTATTATTTACTGTGTTCAAAGTTATCGCTTTAATCTACCGAGAGATTTCAGAGCAGTTTAATGGAAATACTCATCTCACTTTCAAGCAGGACTTGGCACCTGCTCACAATGTCAAAACTCCTCCCAAATGCTTTGCCAACCATCATATTAGAAAGCTTGGTTGGTCAGCCAGCTTGCCTGGCCTTAACCCCATAAGGTAATCTTCGGGATATGGTCAAAAGGAGATGAAAAACTCCTGGCTTAAGGGTACAGATGACATAAAAGCCTCCTTCAAAGTAATTCAGTGACACCTCAGCAGTGCCACAGACTTATCATCTCCATACAATGCCCCGTTAACACAACAATTTGTAGCAGAGGAGCCCCAACCTAAGAAGTTTGGAGCATAAAATGAACAAACTTTTCAGAAAATGAACAGTTTTGCATTTAATTCATTTTTTTCTTTTGTCTTTTTTTGATGTTTAGATCTAGGTTAATATTCTCAATATTCCAGATGCTGAATGGTTTGGTATCACGACCTTTACTCCACAATCACCCAAATTAAAATCTAAAACAGCTTGAAACCTTGAAATATGACAATGAACATGTCATAAATATGAGTATACGAAAGTTCACCTTTTTGAAACGAGAAAAAAATGAGAACTTTTCCACAATATTCAGATTTTCCTCTGTACCCCTCTATTAACTGCTGTTATAATGATTTTGAACAGCTGGTTACTTACATTGATTTCTGCACTGTTAATGGATTTAATGCTTAGACCGCTAGACCAGCAGCACTCAAATTTCATCATTCGAGCATAAGTACAATCCTGTTTTTTAATGAGCAGTAAATTTACTTATCCTGTGTGCCAAACTCTTTTGCTGTTTGTATGTATGCAAATGTCTGCTAAGAGGCACAGTTTGTCTTTTTACCTTTTGTTTTGCTTTGCAATTGTGATTGGACTCATTGCTCTCTTGTAGGACCATAGTATCCTGGAAAGTCTTTCGACAGTGCCTTCATGAAGTGCATCCCATCAGCTCAGGTCTGGAGGCCATGGCCCTGAAGTCAACCATTGACCTCACCTGCAACGACTACATTTCTGCCTTTGAGTTTGACATTTTCACTCGTCTCTTCCAGGTTGGTCAACATCAAAAAGTTAGAAACACGGAAGTGAATAAGTTTGGTGCACATGACATAAAGCACATCACTGGTGACTCAATTTTTTTACAAAATGAATCCATCGCTCTTGTCTATGCACCCTTCTTCTTTGGGAAAATTGAAAAAACAGAATTGGATCCTGGTCATGGTGATTTACATTTTCAGGCTCCCTTTGATGTTAGATATTTGCTATAAATCTACTGACAGAAACAGCATCTTCAGTTTTAAGAAAGCCCAGTGTTTTGTTTGTAATTTGCTTGGAGTAGTGCATCAACCTCTTTTTTCTAGGTCACAGTTACCTGTGGTTTTGTGACATGTATGAAAAAAGCAGTTCACTTGAAGATGGTACTTAGCAGCTCAAAATAAAAAAGTTCCTGACAATTTAGTGTGACTCTACCTGGCGGCAATTGAGAGCAAGGGTAAAACTACCATACATGAGCATTATCATATCATTGAATATTTTGAAATATCGAGGAAATGTCGAAAGAACTTGAAACTGTGAGGGTTTTAAAAGTTTAAGGATTAACAGTGTGTAAGATATTTCTATTTTTGTTTTTATGCTGACTTTTCTTTTGGTTCTTCCCTATAACTAAAAATTTACTTGCACTCTTTGCACAATACACAACAGCAGAATAGCTTAAATAGACAGAAAATTTTCAGTGTAGGACAACAGAAGCAGAAGTGTCCCAAAGAAGTCACAAAAACCACATACAGTGTTTTTCAGAGAGTGACTTGAGTCATCCTGGTTTTGGCCCTTGTGCCTGTGCGATTGTGCTTTGCCTTCGTTTGGAATGTATGATGAACTTTTCAGTTGAATTATCACTCACTTTTGTGTCAACTTAAGATTCTGTATCGAATACCTTATCCTCTTATCTACAGAGTTTTAGGATTTTTACCTTTTGTGTTTTTGTCTGTTTTCTTTCTTTTTTTTTTTTTAAATGTATGCACACGATGGTACATGATCATGACTAACGGGTGAAAGCTACTAGCTGTATGCTAGACATAACTGTAATGGATAATAGTGTCCAAAACTACCATTTATGGCATGTTTTAATGTATGTTCAACTCTAGTATTATTGTATTAAAATGTGAGCTTTTAGTAACTAGTCATTTTTACACTAATTATTTACAAACTTGATTTATTTCAACCCTCAGCAATAGTCTGCTATTCCTTGACAGCAGACCTTGTTTAAGAAAAACACACTGTTGTTATGAAGCACAAAGCAAAGCCAGGGATGAAGCTGCAATGGCAGACTCCAGAGGAGTATCTAAAATCATATTAGTGCACAGAGAGATGTCTGGAAGATTTAACAGTAGTCTGTTTATGTTATCAAACCTATAAAAAAAGACCAAATGAAGAAAAACAAGACACAAGACAAAAAAAAAAACAAAGACAGAGACATGTTTGTTTCAAAACACCAGAACTGTAGGCTTCAATAGAGAAATCTCCCTTCATGTATTTCAGGATGGCATTTGATATTTAGCATAGTGCTATTTCGGGCAGGCCACAAAGTCAAGCTCTGCCCAAAATCTATCAGCTGATTGTAATGCAAGCCCACATCAGCTGACAGCTCAGTCAGTAACCCTTAATTACCCTTTAAGTTGCTAATTGGCAACTGTTTTAATGGGTGGTATCATTTTTATTGCAGAACAGATTCATTTAAAGTATCTTGATTTTGGTCAGAAGTTAGAGATGGTCAGATGTCTTTTTCAATGCGACACAATAATGCTTTCCTAGAGAGCCATTTATGCTGAGCAGACAAGTAAACAGATTCCAAACCACACCAGAGTGAACTTGGAATGCTTCACATCATTTGTTTTGGCATCTGTCAAACTGCCCTAAAATACTGAACCAGCCAAACTCCACAAAGTCAAGTAAAAATGGTTGCACTGCTTAAGCTGCCTCTCAAATGTCTCCTTAAATCAGAAGCTGCAGCTTTGCACACTTTCTCTCCATTTGTTTGCTGATTTGGAAGCAGCCAGTTTCAACCCCATCCACAGACTTTGTATCACTAACGTGTGGCAGAAACAACTATTTCAAGATGAAATTTTACCTTGAAAATGTGAAACATTAATTAGTTGTCTCATGATTATGATTCTGTTGATACATTAATGGATGCTGTTTTTCAGCCATGGAATTCAATTCTGAGGAACTGGAATTTCCTGGCAGTGACACATCCCGGCTACATGGCTTTCCTTACCTATGATGAAGTCAAGGCCAGACTGCACAAGTATACCAACAAGCCAGGCAGGTAAGTAAACCGTTAATATTACTGGAACTGCCTTAATATGTGCTTATTCTCATATTGGAGGTTTCTAATTCAGTGAGTTAAATTCATCATGAATATGTAGGGCAAAATTAACAGGTTTATATTTGTTTTTTAAGACGCATTTTATTGTTAAAAGTAAATGGTGAAATGTATTTTTAATTCGTGTGAAGCTGAATTAAAAAAAAAAAATCTATCTGAGTTGCCCAACTTGAAAGTACACCATTTCAGGGTGCAGTTAGTGAGTACAAAGACATAGTGATAACAGATTTACAGCCAGGAAGTGGCTGCAGATGCATGCTAGTCAACATTTCTTTTAAACATAGTGGGGGTGGGGACTGAGTCTCCCCTGTCAACCAGATGTGTGCTGGAGGAAACTGAAACTGAATTTGAAGAGCTAATATTAAAATATGTGCAGATGGAAACTGAATTGTGAAAGCTTCAAGTGAAATTGGAAACTTCAGTGTAGAGATTTAAGCACACATTGTACAAAATAGTGCATCCACTTTCATCTTCAGTAAAAGTTTCTGTTGTCTTTCTTTCAAACAGTTACATCTTCAGACTAAGTTGTACTCGACTCGGCCAGTGGGCCATCGGCTATGTCACCAATGATGGAAACATACTGCAGACCATCCCCCACAACAAACCCCTGTTCCAGGCTCTCATCGATGGTTACAGGGAAGGCTTGTGAGTCACTTAAAGGTTCATCTACACAAGTCATGGTTTTGATGGTTTGAAATGTTTATTGCAGCTGCAGAACATTGTTGAGTGTTTGCATCGTGGTAAACTGGATTATAGCTGGTGGGTAAATCTGACTTGTAGAGACATTACTGACTCATGAAGTATTCATCCAAGATAATTTAAATAGCACAAAATTAAATTAATAAATCAATTAGCTTTAAATTAACCAAGGTTGTTGTACAGCATTTGAATTTTTTATTTAACAGTTATCTCTATGGTGTTTCATGTGACACTAAAACTTGTTCAAAGAAAAGCATGCATCATCATAGTTATGAAAGGATATGAACAATGTCATGTGAGGAGTCACAAAAAAACAAATTGAGGTGTGGATCATCATCTACAGTACAGTGTATCTCTCCTTGTATTTATGACTGTCTGATCATTTTAACCTCTTTCTCATCGTAGTTACTTGTTCCCTGACGGTCGCAGTTACAACCCTGACCTCACTGGATTATGTGATCCAACTCCTCATGATCACATCAAAGTAACACAAGTGGGTATGTGTGTTAGTGTGTGTGTGTGTGTGTGTGGGTGTGTGGGTGTGATTGTGAATGTTTATGTGGGTGTATATGTGTATGTGTGTGGTGGTGTGTTTATTTATGCTTGATCAAATGGGACACGTGGCTGACACAGGATTAGCTTCAGTCCTCAATAAAGCCTTGTGACTAATACTTAAGTTCAGTCAGGACAACTTTTATCAAAGAGAATGAACTATTTCTAGGAGTAGATTATATTTGGTGGTTTGACTATTCTGAGAGCTTCCTGCTCTTTCATGTGTGTATGTGTAATGCCAAAACCTCAGGCAGAGAGAGCAGCAGCAAAGACCCCTAAGGTACAGGACGGTTCTTTCACAACAATCAAATCCACAGTTTTCAAAACACAGCATTGTGTGTTTAGATTGTTTTTTTACTAGTAGTCGAGCAGTTTTTTAGTACTGCTTTACTTTGTGGCCTGCCTGAACTAACACTGTAATCAATGATGTACAAAACACTCAAGCACAGTCCTCAGCTGTGCCGGAGCCAAGGGGTGGGCCACCCCTGAAATCGGTTTGGCCACCTCAGGGGCCATCCTGAAATCTTAAACAACACTGGCCTAGTCAGAGGCATTTAAATTGAAATCAAATATCTGAGCTTAAGTTCAGCTTCATCTGGCTATTTAAAATCTTTTTTTTTTTTAACTTTTACTTTGTTGGCACTTTTACTGAGGACTTTGGACAAATACTTGTTTTTAGTCCTAAAAAAATCAAGTTACGCAGGTATAAAGTAAATGTTGCCAGTATGTGGTATCTGCAGCTGTCGATAGCCAAGCTTCTATGCTGTCACTCAAGACAGTTTCTCTCCTGTGGATACTAGATTCACTTCTAACAAGTAAGCCATATAACCTCTTAAATACACCTCTCAAATACGTGATGGTGCTCTGCATTATTTACAGGTAGTCAATGGACACAGAGAATGATTTGAACAGAGGGGGAAATAGTAGGAAGCGTTTGTCTCTGTGTACTCTATCTATGTGGCTTTATTGTGTTTACTTGTATTGTATTCACATTAATAGTTAATCCATGCCCTTTGTTTGATCTGTTTGTGCAGGAGCAGTATGAGCTGTACTGTGAGATGGGCTCAACCTTCCAGCTTTGTAAGATATGTGCTGAAAACGACAAAGATGTCAAGATCGAACCCTGTGGTCACCTCATGTGTACTCTCTGCCTTACAGCGTGGCAGGTATTACATTGTTGATCTCAAAATAAGCTTGAACAGTGTTTAAATTTATGATTATGATGAGTTTGTAGAAATGAACCCAGTTGAGAGGTGTGTGTTTGTGAGTGTGTGTATACAGTCGTGTTTCCCTGTCTGTTCCAGGACTCAGATGGTCAGGGTTGTCCTTTCTGTCGCTGTGAGATCAAGGGCACGGAGCCCATAATTGTGGATCCCTTTGACCCACAAAATGTGGCAACCAAGTGTTTCTTCTTGGACCAGCATGGCTGCTCCTTCCTGGAGCTGGATGATGATGAGGACCGAGAGGACTTCCTGGTTATGAATGGATTAGCCAACATCAGAAAGGTAAAGACCTCTGGGCTTTAACATCACTGGTGGTGATGAATGACCCAGCGCTGTACCTGGTTTGTTTCTGCCCTGCCTCCATCAGTCTATGACTTTTCATTTCCATTCAAATGTCTTTGGACACAATGAGTAAAGGGTTTACTTCCTCTTTCACTATCCTCAGTTTTGAAGATTTAGCTCCTCACTTTTTTCTCTCTTGCTTCTGGCTCTTCTTTCCCAACATCTCCCAACAGATCAAAATGATTAACTTAAAAAACACACAAGTCCCAAAAGGTAAATTTGATCTGACTTTGTATATCGATATTAAACAGTTCTTGTTATTATACGGGTGTGTTTTTGTCTTACCCTGACATTTTTTGACATGAAGCTTCAGGCATATCCAAACCTCTACAAATCAGCTGACAGACAATGTCACAACAACATCATGTCACACCTCTGAAAAGGAAGTTTATAGTTCAAACATGTCAAGATGAAAAGAAAACCCCCTTGATCTACCTACAAGAACTGTTTAATGATAATATTACATTTATTTATAGCCAATTTTTATAACACTCAAGGTCACCTTACAGGAAGAGTTAAAATATGAACAACAATTTAAACAATACAACAAGAAAAGACTGATTTTTGAAGTCAGGATGCGTTTTGAAAATGGACAGAGCCACTGTTGTGGATGTCTGGTGGGAGGGGTTTCAGAAGGACTGGGGTTATGTGATCAATGCAGGAATGCAGGCAGCAGGGCCAAATTAAATTTTGTAAATTGACTCAGGAAAAACCTTTGAAATATCAGTGGTGAGGGAAAGACATTTTGTGCCAATGAGTAGGACATGGGTCTAATCACTGTTTAATTTTGGAAAGTTGTAGTAGAGCCACAGTTTGATTTCATGTTGGTGAGAGGGAGGAAGAAGGTTTGGTGGACAGGCAAAGCTGTCATCTGCATAACAATGAGAAACGGAAGTTAGATTTATGGGAGATATGGCCAAGAGGAAGTGGATAGATGATTAACAGAATGGGCCCCAGGACAGAGCCCAGGAGAACGCCTAGAGTTTAAAAGTAGTGAATTGAATTAACCAAATGTGACCTCATAGATAAAATTTGCAAAAGTCTGTGATCAGAAAATATTCAAATCGACAGAGTTAGAATAACAGGCAGTTGCTTAGGACCAACTAGAATTAAGTATTTACTGCTAACTTGCAGTAAATTCAAAAAAGAATACAGTGAGTGTGTGGGTAAATGGATAGAAATCATGAAACAAGTGGAATGATACTTTTTGACCCTAAAGGGGGTCATTGCGCATTATCCCACCTTTTACCCCTTAACCAACTAAAGAAAAGGACAAGATTACATTAAATGCTGATTTGATGTGGAGTTTTTTTTTATTTAAAAATACTGATTTGTACAGCTTTTAAAAAAATCCTTTGGTTACATGGTTGGTAGAGCTTCCATAAGAATAGTATTACTATTAGCCAACTTGCAGGTCAACATCACTGTGGGCTGTATTTTCGTGCCCGCCAGCGGCGCGGCAGAGGGTGGCAGACCCCGCACAGTGGTATTTTCATCTGGCGGAGCCCGGGACCCAGCCAGTTTGGTATTTTCGTAGACCGAGGTCCGCCAAGCTGGGCGTGATGGTGCAGTAGGGGGAGGTGTCGACAGAATCAGCTGGCGCAGTGACATTTTCGTGCCCCCGGCAGCATAGAAAGTGCGCTGAAAGCTTGCGGATTTAAATCTGGTCAGCTTTCAGCGCAGGTGGAGCGCAGCTGGTCTAGTGGTATTTTAGTAGACCGGCGGCGTAGTGCTCATAAGTCACCGATGCCTCACAGGCAGGTTTCCACAGTGCCAGGCACATTTCAGTGCAATAAATAATCATCAACAACTAATATTCTGAGTCAGCACATACATTTAGATTTATATCGATATATTCTTATCTATATATTATCTGATGAGCGTGTTTGGACACACAACCTGACTGAATTAACACAGCTGAAACCGCATTAAATCAAATTAAATATCTAGTAAACAGACAAGACAATAACAAGATATTTAATTCCTCTTCCCCCTATTTCTATCTTCCTCCTCTTTCTCGCGCAGCTCGACCCAGACATGTCTCCGTGTCCTCTTCCCGTCCTGCTGCTGCTGCGGCGGCTGAACAGGCAACTTAATGTGATTGTCTTTTTTGTGGAAAAGGGTGATTGTCTTACCAGTGGGTACAACCTTACACACACCAAATCCCTCCGTGCTTATGTGAGACAGTGTGGAGGATGCCCTCTGCAGCGCTTACAGCGACACTTGTTAAGTTGCTGCCTTCAGCTGCCATCATGTGGCATTGCTGTCTGCAGCCATCTCTTGATCTCTTTGACTAATGTACGAAAATTGGAATACGCCTCGCCGGTGGCGGATTTAAAGGTGAGGAGAGGAGCTGATATGATTGGTGAAAACAGGTCTCGGCTGTGTTAAATCCACTCCATGCCCTCTCTCCTCCCTCTCTATGACTTATGCCGCTGGGAGGAGCTGAGTTAGGGAAGGGGTGATACTTATGCCGGGCTGTGCCGCTCACCAAAATACCAAAATGTGCTTGGAGACGCCTTGTCAGTGTGGCGGACATGACTTATTTCGCGAGGCACGAAAATAGAGCTTTTGTGTAGAATCAGGTTGTATCTGGGGACTTAGATAATAGAATAAAAAAATCTGATATGGGGTTTAACCTACTGGAATCAAGTATATTAACACCTTCAGATACGCAAGGGGGGGATCATCCCTGTATCTTCACCAAAGTCATTTTGGAGCAAATGTTGACTAAAGCTATGTCTATGCAGTTTACATTAATTTAAGGGCATATTCAAATATGAAGGGTTCTAATCACTGTCTTAAGATGTGCATATTGAGAGATACAAATAAATTATGTTATATTCAGTCAAGACCCAAACTGTCAGTTTGATGTATATTGCATTGATGTTTTGTGACAGCTGGTATGTTATTTTTCTTTTTTCTTAGCACTGTGCCGAGCGCCAAAACTCCCCCATGGTGTCACCTTGCTCCTCCCCTGTCAGCCAACACAGAAAAACCTACGGAGTAGACCAAAGTCACAGCCTGCAGCACCTCAGCCTTCCCCCCATTCCACCAAGACTTGACCTCATCCAAAAGAGTGCCACCCGCTCCCCATCCTGCAGTCCCACTGGTTCCCCAAGGGTGAATATGCATTACCACTTTAAGAAGGATAGGGGTTTATTTTCCTATGAAACATTTTTCAGATATAATAGGCTGACAAAAACTATTTGAAACTAATTTATTGTAAAAGTAAAGATTAGTCTGAGCTTTGCAAGAGAATGGAATAAATTCAAATGAACATTTATTTATAAAGAACAAATCATTGAATGATCAGTGTAAGATAAACATATTCATCAAAAAGCAAAAAATAGCAAAATGCAAGAGGTACTCCAATGGTATAGTGGTGAATATCTAAAGGATGTTTCACCCTAGAAATAAAATTGTTTTGAACTGACAATTTCTCTTACCTTAAAGAGTTGGACAAGGATGAGAAAAGAAATTGCTCCTTTTATTCCAACTACACACCGTAATTTGACATCTTGGAGACTTACTCAATTTTAAAACTGAAGATGCTTTGTATGAAAAATCTGGATGGCTCTGATCTTCAGTCCCTCAGGCAGCACTACACAAAAACAGACGTGACCCTGTTGTGCAGATCTCTATAGGCGCATAATCACACTCCAGAAACCATTGTCCGTGAATGTAGTTTGCTGCTCTATCCAAGAAAAATAGGTCAAAAAAGTACCTTGCTAAAAGGAGCCATAAATAATCATGATCCAGAATTACCAGCAACTCCTCTAAAAGTAGAAAGTAATAAAATAAATGGAATGAGTAGACTATATTAGATAGAATAGAGAGTAATGAAATGAATAGAATAGAATCAACAGCATAGACTAGAATAGAGTGGAGCTGAATATATTGGATAGAATGAATTTCCCTTCAGGGATAAATAAAGTTCTTGCATTGTGAAATAAACTAGAATAGAATGCTGTAATAGGCATTGTACTAGCAGCTAGACTAGAAGTGCCGCATTTGATTTAGGTGCTAAATAGTCAATAGAAAAGAGGAAAGACAGACAACATATTCGGTCATACAATTGGGTATTAATGTTGTAACAGGACATTAAAAAAAATTAAGAAATAAAATGTAGCAATTAATAAAACTTAACCAAAAATAGACATTCTTTTTGAAAATCATGGACATTGCATCCTTGCTCTGCATACCGGAACTATTTGTCTTGTTAGCAGCTCACACATCAGGAATGGCAGCATTAATGCAAATCAATATACACAGATTTGGAGTAACATACTGTATTCTATCCAAACTTAAGAAACTTTTCAAACCCAGATACTAGTCCTAAATGTGTGCAAAGGAGAGGTTATGCAGCCCCATGATTAATATGATCCATTTTTTGACATTTTGCTTGCACTAGATGTTGTCTTTTCACTGTAAGCAGTGAAACAAAGGGGTTAAAATTCTGTGCAAACCCTCATTTTCTTTATTTTAGACAGCCTCTCTCCCACCATGAGATGTCTTTTATGACATCACTGATGTAAGCTTATCTTTTCATCTCTCTAGTCTTCGCCGAGCATGTCCAGAAAGCAGGACAAGCCTCTACCAGCCCCACCTCCTCCACAGAGGGATCCTCCTCCTCCACCTCCTCCTGAGCGTCCACCTCCCATCCCTCCAGAGTCACACCACTCTTTGCCCTCCAGTTCAATGTCTCCCTCTACCAGTGAACTGGCAAACATCCAGAAACCCCCTCAGACGTGTTGCCCCAGAGACAGCTCCTTTTCAGATGACCATATGGCTGGACCTGAGCATCTGCCCCAACTGGGACCTGCTGGCCCCTTTCACCTTGATGGGAGACCACTAAGCTGTTCATCTGCAGACTTTGTGAGGATTCATAATGAAATGGATGGAGCAGGAAACTCTGAGAGCTCTAAGGTAGGACATTTTAAGGTTAAAAGTGCACTGTTAAAAAAACAACGACAATCTATTCACAAGAGTCTGTATTCTTAATTGGGTGAACATGAAAATTAAAATAGCTATTATTCAACAAGAAAATACATGTCAGACCAACAATGTGCACCTCAATAGAGACCAAATATGTAATTCTAAGTTAGCAGAATTTGCAATTTGTTGTTTGCACAACAAAGTAGGAAAAATTCCCATAATGCAGTTCTGACATTGACCCATGAGGTCTGCCGAAGAAGACCTACAGGGTTTACCACGCTCCATCGCAAGGGCAAGTTCTCCCTTATAGTGTGTCAGGGCCAGCAGCGCTGAGGAAGAAGAGGACTTTTTTGAGTGGACCAGCTTCAGTCCAAGTTTTTTAAGTATTTTGTGTGAAAATAAACTTGTTTAAACTGTATTAAGTGTAATCACTAATAGAGAGTGTGGTGTTGTTCTGCTTTACCAAATTTACTTAAGTAAATTGGCTACTTTTTCTGTAGCTGTATGGTGAAGAAGAAATCATGTAAAGTGAGCGGGTTGTTACTGCAGAGGAAGCTTATCACAGCCTCGTAATAATGTGTCGGTGCAGAGCCCACAAACTGTTTCAATCTGATAATGTGGATACCTTTTTAATGCAATGTTTTTGTCATTATATTATGCAGATATGATTCGATTTTTGACTATTGTGATGAAGTCAATTTGCATGTACCTCTTTTCTTTTCTCATACACAGCTCTTCTCTAATGGTGTGCAAGCCAACGATGAGTATGACATCCTTCCCTCACGACATTCCCCGGTGCCATCTTCAGTTACCAGTAGCCAAAAGTGAGTCCCCAGTCCAAAAACTTGGACTTCTGACGCTCCAAAATCTTAGTGAGGCCGAAGCACACACAACTGGAACACTTAGATGTAAATCTGTCTGATTTGACTTGAAATTATTGAAAATAGCAGCTTTAGCTTATGCTGGTCTGCTTACTGGCAGATCCATGTATGACTTCAATAATGAGTGTAAAAATGAAATGGTAGTTTGGTGTATTTTCTTTAATTCCTTTTAGTGAACTAGAATGATATTTTATTTTGGAGAACTTTAACAAAACTGTTATACATGAAGTTGTCACAAGCATTTGATTGGATAATGTGAACAGTAAGATGTCCATCAGAGAGTCAACAAATGGGTGGTCTCCCGACTGTGTGCCTATATATGATAATTTACACTTTTATAATGTTGTGATCTGCAAAGTTTAACTGACCGATGTTTTCAGTCACACTCTCTGACTCTTTCTGAAGTCTGACAGCATGTTGCGTTCTTCTGAAAACTAGCATATATCCACTAACATCTGTTAAATCTGACAAAATTAGGATTTATCATGGTTTGATGTGTGATTTTCCACCGTATGTGGCTTTTTGTTTTTCCATTTTGCTGTGTCATGGATTAAAAAAGTCATAACAGCTATATAAAGATGCGACCTTGCTGCATCTTTATCCTCTTGATAAAAAATCAAAATGTCAGAGTTGCAGATTGAATGCACTTGAAAGACATTTTAAAAGGTGGGATTGACAAATCTCCACATCTTCACAGATCCTCCAATCCTTTCAGCAGTACAATGACAGAGCATCAGCGGGGAGTGATGGAGAGACCGCAGGATGACTATCAGATCCCTTCATCCAACCTCTGCCTGAGTCAGGCTCCCCTCAGCCTTTCCATACCAAGCAGGTACCAGGCTTACCTAAAGATGCAACCATGCAGGTACAGTGATCATGGGTCAGTAAGAGATTCATTCAGCAGCCGTGTCCTTTGACTTTTTCCAGAAGCTCTGAGAACAGCTCTTCAGAGCCCTGCACCAAGGAGAAGAAACCCCACCCTCCTGAGCACAGTGAGTCATGATACCAGCAGAGGCGGATAAATAATCCCCTCACATAAATATTATTACTGTGCTTTTTACCACAACATAGTGAAGAACTTTGCTTAAGACTTTCAATCCGCTCTACTTCACATCTTTTTATAAAAACAAATGCATTTCAACAAATAGTAAAGAAGATTTTTTTCTAATTTGATGAAAAAAGTAAACTCTCATTACTTTGATATTTAAACACAACCTTTCAATTTCAATATTATTATACATAAAGTAACATATTCAAAGCTTTTTCAAATACATTTTGAGGATTATGGTTCATGGCTCATGAATTTTATAATGCAGGATATAAAGAAACCTTAAGGCGAGACAGATGAAATGTTTTTAAAAAACATGCTAAACAATTGTTTAATGATGTAGGGCGTGTTGGGTTTTGCTCAAATCAGATCCCTCCAAAAAAGATGTCTTTAGCAAAACAAGAAGTTAAGCAGGTAGTGAAGGCAGGGATCTGGCTGGTTGGGGCAAAAATCTTTAAAGCTGCAGCAAACATCAGCTCTCTGGAGATCCTGAGCACAGAAGAAACACAATTAAGCCAAAAAGGTTCAAATAATTCTCCTAAACACTGGGAAACAGAGTACACAGAGCACTACCATACAAGACGGGATGATCTGTCAGTGAAGTGGAGTTCAGACCAGGTTTTTAAAAGCAGCTTGATTAACTGAGTGACAACAGGTGTGTCTAATCAGCAGAGTCAGGCCCCGTTTATACGTACCCAGTTATCTTTAAAAAACAGAGACATTAACCATTGTTTGCACCCTTCATTTAGACGCAAACGGAGAATTCGCCCTGAAAACGATGGTTTTTAAAAACTCCGGCCAGAGTGAAGATTTTGGAAAACTCTGTTTGTACGTTTGCATGTAAACAGACAAAAACAGAGAAAAACTGAGATTTGGGTAGCCGACGGCAGATTGCACGCAGGAAAGAAGGAAGTGTTGCTACTATGCAGGATTCTTGATTAACTGAGTGACCCCAGGTGTGTCTAATCAACTGCTATTACTGTCTTTATTAGGGTTATTGTCTTTATTAGTCAAGTTTATATGTTGTGTCTTGTTTGAGTAGCTGTGTTTTGCTTTATGCTGCCCTCTGCCTGTGCTCCTCAGGGGTCCCACCTGAGCCTCCCAGGGGGACGACACATGCTGCCTTCAGTCATTTCAACTCCAACCAGACGTCCTCTGACTATGATATTCTGCTCCCCCCTCAAGGTAGCCTTTCTCAAGCCCACCTTCACCTCACTTCTTTGACGTGTGAATCCATCCAGACGGCTCAGTTTTAATTGTGGCGTCTCTTGTGTTTCAGCATTGGGGGACGCACTGAACAGCTGCCCTCCTTCTCAGCCTCCACCTCCACCACCCGCCAGACACAGCTTCACAGACCTGTCCTCCTGTTTTCGGTCCTCATCCTCCATGCCCTCCTCTGTCATCACGCAACCTCACAGGTTTTCCTCTGGACAGGAGCACTCGCTGCTGACCCCCGGTGAGCTGACTGCTCAGTATAAACAGGAGTGGTATCACTTTACACATGATTTATGACTTCGCTGTGTTAACTGACAGATTGTGTGGTACCTGAATTTTCTCTGTGTAATTTGTGGTTCAGGCGCAGTGTTTGACATGCTGAACAGTGCTGCTCCGTTGCCTCCGATCAGACGACACGTGGAAAATGTTAAAAGCTCCAGAAGCTGCCTAGAGTACGACCACTCACAAGCCAGCCAAGGTAGAGTCTTGAACTTATTTTCTGTTTGGGCCTGATTTAGTTTGCGCCCACTTTCCTCAGATGTGATTTCTCTCCTCTCTTTCCCAGTATCGTCAGACTGTTTGCAGGCCCCTGCCAGACCGCCCAAGCCACTTCCCAGGAAGATCCCTCCAGATATTCAGCCGGGTAAACCCTCCAGTCTGGACGCAGATAACATGGATGCCAAGATAGCCAAGTTGATGGGGGAGGGTTACTCTTTTGAGGATGTGAAGCGGGCGCTGATCATAGCCCAGTACAAAGTGGACGTGGCCCGAAGCATCCTTCGGGAGTTTGCCTTAGTGCCCCCAAGACTGAACCTTTGATTCCTGAAAGGGAAATGGATCCCAACAATGAAGCACTTCTTCTGGAGGAACTTTGTCAGTCTGTTTGGCCTTGAAGCAACAAAGATCCACAGAAACAAACACAAGAAACAATCAAGGGAGCAGTGATGACTACACAGCTTAAAGTTACTAAAAACAGATCATAGCAGAATATTGTGAATCAAAAGTTGGGAGAAAAATCCTGATCGTGACTCAAAACCGGGCCCCTGGTTTTAATGCTGGTGTCTGGCTTTGATCACATCAGCTCTGGTACTGCAGCAGCTGCCATGGACCCTTCATACTGTGCCAGCCATAAAACTTAAGAGTGCAAGGTGGCCTTTAAACAAAACAAGACATTTTCAGCTCAGTAAGATGTTATGGATCATTTCTACATACAATAAGTGGGGGCGCTGAACTCCACTGCTCTCTTCTCTACATTTCTAACCTGCTTTCTTTTCTTCTCTCCATTTAAAAGGAAATTTAATTGTTTGCACATAGTCTGAATAACTCTGGGGTCTGATTGTCTCCTGCAGAGCTTGAGAAAAGTAAAAGACAGCTCTAACAGAGCGCTGCTCTTTGGTGTCTTAGTCAGAGGGTTGTGGGGTTTAATTTTTGACGATTCATGAACTGATGCCTTTTTAAATTATTTTTCCATCTGTGAAGAGAAAGCCTTTGAATGTATTTGCACCTCTGTATTTCAACTCTACTCAGGCCCAGTTTTGTCCCCGAGGGGTTAAGCACTGAAAAAGGTTCAATGAGCGCTGCATGGACTTGCAGCCTAGTGACGTTTTAGCAGAACAAACATGGAGGCAAAAACAGGAGCTTCTCATAATCAGGATACTCAAGTCCATGTTTACTCACCGACCGTGGCAGGTTATTTTTTTTTATTTTTCAAGGTCAAAAGCCAGAAACGAGTGTGCCTGAATTTCAGCCTTTGTCTTTAAGTAGATATAAAAGTATTATGTTGATCAGTGAGCCAAACTTAGTGTGTGTGTGTTCCTAGAGACAAAAAGCTCTGCAGCCGTCACACCGCAGCCAGCTTTCTCATATTCAGTGACCCAGGCATCAAATGTCCACTTTTTATGTTTCACTTCACTGAGTTGTAGAGTGAACCTGACAGGGCCTAATTGAAAGCTGCTAAAATGCTGCAGAGGATTCAGAGGAGCCACACGCACTTTCACGGTGCAGAACAGATGATGTTATTAATCAAACTTACCTCAGGATCTGGAAGCTACATGTCTGCCTTATGACAGCTAGATGTCTCACCTATGCATGTATTCAATTTGTTCAAACGTAACAGCATTTTTGATGACAATTCTTTTGTTCAAGAATTAGAGCTTGATTTACAGATTTCATTAATCACATGATTATTTCATGATTAACCACACATTTATTACACATTTGTATCGCTTCTTAATGTACCTTAAAGGGATATTTGTTAAGGTTTCAATATTACCATCAACATGGGAGTGATCAAATATACTTGCTTAATGCAAATGTATGTCTATTATAAGTACAACAATTAAAAACAGGCACATAATCCTCCAGAATAACCTTAAAGGTATTGTATGCTCTAGAAATATGCTGAAAACATCACATAGTCCAACAAGCAACAACAGGAAGCCATACTGACCTGAATATAATAGTTACATTCGGTAAAACTAACACATTGTAGTGTCTAACTTTACATCTGTGATAATAACTAAACGGCCCAATACAGTTTTTAGGCAGCAAAACACAAAAACAAACATACACATTGTACAACAAGGAGCTTTAAACTGTAAATGGATCATGATGCCAGGTTAATAATAACACCCTTCTCATCAGAAGCTCTTCACAGTTAAGAAAAACTCACTTTTTTTGCACAATTGTTTAACTTTTCTTAAACTTTAGTAGCCGTAGCTTGACCTCCAGATCTTGGTGACAAAAAGTGCCAATGCAGCCAAACTTAGTATAGAATAAATATGTCCTGTAAAGATCAATGTTTAAATTGATCCCTCTTTAATTTCTAATTTAAGGAACTGATAATAACTTGATTCTTCTCATTGTTTTTGCATCTGTAACAGGTTCTTGAATACCTTCTTGTTAGTAGCCGGTAACAGAGCAGTGTATATTAGTAAGGCTGTTGTGTATCAGAAGTAATTGTCTAGGCCAACAGAGACAGAGTGCTGTCATGCTGGACTGAGATGGATCAGCAGAAGGTACTGCATTGAACGTCATGTAAGAATACAGTTAAAGTCAAATGATGTCATTTTAACTACACATTGTTAGGGTTTAGAAGAAAAAAAGGTCCTCTTTTATGACGGGAGCTGATCCATGAGTGTACTCATAAACCCCAAGTAAAATCACAAAAAACAGCACAAAGCAGTGACCCATCTTCATCACAATGGTCTTTTTTTGTGACATGCTTGTGACACTGGAGATCATGGTTTGTATTATTATTCACAGAGGAGCTGCAAAAACGCTGATCGACTGTAGTCCGTTGGAATCTAATTGATGGAAAAGTTCATTTACACCCTGCTGATAATTAACAGGTTAAACTTTAAATGATCCAACATCTCAAAGTCTGATTGACGATTTTTATTCCTCTGTTCTCTGTAAAAAAGACGTTTGTCTTAATGTTGGGTTTTTTTGGGGGGGTAAAGTCTTCATCTTTCTATGGTCCTTTAATTCAAACGTAAGAACTGTATTGCCAATAATGAGGGAGACCATGTGCAAAGAGGAAGTCCGTTAAAGTCAATAACAGGTGTTCAAACATTGTTACCCTTTGCTGGACAAGGATATACTGTAAGTATGACAGCTAAAAACAAACAGAGCTTATAACAGCTTATAACAGCTTAAAACAGCGTTATGAAGCTCTTGGATAATGACGAGCAGCCGTGTCTGTTAATGGGAGACAAAAACCCTGCACTCACTGTGTATGTGTACGTTTTATTTGTTTGTGCGTTTGTTTTTTCATTCTGTTTGGAGCCAGAATTTTGTGTTAGAGCAGCTTTACTGATAGTTACTTACAGAAAACGGCTTTTTTTTTTCTTTTGTATCATTAAAAAAAAAAACTGAACCGTCATATTGAAAAAAATTTGTAATTTAGATGGGTTACTCACTGCTTACTGTCTGCACTGGTCTGTTCCTTTATTTTGTTGAACTTTAAAACCCCGAGCTCAGATTTTTTCATTCCAGTGAACTCCTTTGTCAGGGGGTGAGAGGCCTTAGATTGCAAAGCATGTTTTTTTTATTTTTTTATGAAATTTTATTTTCATTAATATTTTCTGGTGACAAAACAAAAGTGTTGATAATACAGCGTATGTAAAGCATAACTTCATGTAAAATATAATGTAAATGTTTATTTCTTCATAAGTTATTTTCACGGATGATAAATAAAGTCATGATTCCTTTGCTCTGTTTTAGGTTTTGTTTGTACTGTGTCATTAGTCTTTCGATGGGGACACTTTGTGTTCAGACACACCTCATGGAGCAAAAGTAGCAGAATAAAAAGTTGTTGTAATCAAGTCAGATTTTCAGTCATTTTATCATGACTTACAAGGTCAGGTTATTATAATGTGTTATAACTGTTTACAACTCACTGTCAATGCCCACATAGATAATGCAATGCAATAGTTGTTAACAGTTATAACACATTATAATACCTGACCTTGTAAGTCATGATAAAATGCTTTATAAGAAGAAGAAGAACTTAATTGATCCCCGAAGGCAAATTCAATTGTCTGTTGTCTCACGTAATATGTCTATACAAGTTATCTATTATTTACATAAGAGTTATAAAGTCTAATGGCTGTTGGTACAAAAGATCTTCTGAATCTTTCTGTCCTGTAGCGAAGAGAGAGGAGCCGTCCACCACCATTGGCCCTTTGGTCCATCAAGGTGTTGTGAAGTGGGTGATCCATGTTCTTGAGAATAGTCTCCACCTTCCTCAGTGTAGATCTCTCCACCACATCCTCCACTGAGTCCAGCTTGAGTCCAACCACAGAGCCAGCCTTTTTCACCAGTTGGTTAAGACGTCTTGCATCTTTGTGTTTGATGCTTCCCCCCTAGCAGACTGCAGCGTAGAACAGAACACTTGCCACCACAGACTGATAAAACATCGGCAGCATCTTACTACAGATGTCTATTGATCGAAGTCTTCTCAGGCCAAAGTGGCGGCTCTGCCCCTTTCTGTAGATGAAGTCTATATTCTTAGACCAATCCAACTTATTATCCAGATGTACACCTAGGTATTTATATGATGTTACCACTTCGATGTCCATTCCACAGGTGTTCACTGGCTGAAGAGGGGGTTTATAATGTGTTATGATTATTGCTATAAAGCATTATGCTCATTTATGATTATTTATAACTATAGTTATACAGTGCTATAACGTGATTATAACGTTTTTACATATATTTATAATGCGTTACAGAGATAGGTGTCAAATAAAGTGTTACCGTTAATTCAGTTGTAAGTCTTGGAAGAAATGAGCTGTTTCCATGTTGGTGAACAACCATGACATGAAAGTCAGAGTACCCTAAAGAAGATAAAAAACAAGCAGCTAACTGGTTAGTCACAGCCTCCAAAGATGGTCGCACACTCTAAAAATGGATGTTAAGCTCATTTTATACAGTTTGGTAAACTGAATAAAATCATTTCAAAATAAAAGCATGTTTTACTGTAAATGAAATAAAGCTATCAAAAAATAAAATAAAATAAAAAAGATTTTAAAAAATAAAATTAAAAAAATTTAAACTATCACAATACTGTTTTGCTTCAGTATCTCCTTTAAGGAAGTTTCTGTCAAATTATTGTTGATCATTATCAGAAACTAATGACAACATTTAGTTCATTGATTAAAAATATGAATTAACATGTGGATCCACCTGTTTCTCTGCTTTCCTTTGAACCTGATAACCTGAGAGGGACTTCAGAGGTCTCTTTTATAATCTCCTGATGATTTTTTCCCAAAAGTTTCTGATCTCAGGGCTTTGTCAGCAGGAAGCTCTCATAACTGAATTAGTTTTATGCTTCTCTACAGTGTTTATGACCTTAGCATAAAATATTTGATTGTATCTCATCAAACAAAAGTTTTAAATGGTTTCTCCTAATAGCTCTTTGAGCTGATGGAAGTGAAGCACCCTGAGAGTTTCTTAAATTAATAATGAGAGGCCTCATTAATAATGAGAGGCTTCAAGTGTTTCAATTTTACCACAGAGCATTTAGTCTGCTCTGAGGTTATTCTTGGAGAGCTTAGCACAGCAGACAGTGAAGTCCTCTTGGAAATAATGCCACACTTGAACAAGAGAGGCCAAACTCCTCAGTTAACCCTTCTAGACAGGGTTTTAGATTGATGTCTCTGTACCAGTCTCCACGAGTATGACGTGCTTTATCTATATTTTCCAGTATAATAGATCAGGTTATACCAAATACCTGACTCGAAGTTAAAATAAATGTCAATTTTATGGATCCTTAACACTTTCTTTTTCCATACTATGTGAATCAGAAGTAACTGATGAGGTTGTTTTAAATGTAATATTTCAAAAGAAAACAAACTGCTAATGTAATATCAAGAAATAATTTTTGGGACATCTATTTTAAATAGTCACACTCATCTGTTATCAAGCAGAGATCTTCTCTCAACAGAGTGGATTTTTTTTCCCACAATTTGATCAAATTCAAGTGGAAAGACAATCCCTCACTAGTTTGAAATTCATATTTGGGCAAAAAGTAGTCAAAGGGCTGCACTGATTTAATTCTGTTTGCTTCAAAGCCTGACGGCTATAAAAAGTTATTCATAACCTTGAACAGGGTAACAAAGGGTCAGATGCAAAGCAAAGTATATTATCAGTATACAGTCCTCAGCTTAAAATGACAACTTCTGCTTTTCATAAATCCTGCCAGGTTATGATATATAAAGCAGTCAATAATTTTGGATTATTGGAGAGTTAAGAGCTTCTTTTTTTTTTTTTTTTTTTAGAGTTTTTGTAGATGTGGACTCTTTGAAAAAGAATTTATCACTCTCAGTTGCTTTGCAGTTAATATCCAAAGGTGTGGTCACAAGTTTACCTTTCTGAGCCTGTACAACAATTATTTAGATTGACTGTTTTTGTTTTTATACATCTGGCTTTTTCCTACTTTGTCACCTGACTCAAAGCAGTTTTGCCTCACCATGAGTTCCACTGTTGTGTTGGTTGTGAGTTACTTCAAATGTAAGTTTTATATGCTTTTATTCAGTCCGTCTGTGGTCATGCTTAGCTTAAACTTAAGCTTTGCAGCACCTTTCACCACCCCTGAAAGCTTGGTCTCACTTTAATTTTTGTTTTATGAGCGCAGTGCCTCAAAAATAACCCCTCACTTTGTTAATCATGGTTGACCAGCAGAGGGAGCTGGTGGGACATGAGTTCAATGTAAATGTCCTTTCTGCCTAAAGTTTTTCACCTGAGCGTGGGATCTTACAGTTGGCAGTTATTCCACACCAAATGAGATGTTCAGGAATTATTACTTCAAGGAAAAATGTCTAGAGATCATGTGCATGATCTGAAACGGTTGTTTAAAAAGTGCAATATGACTTGAAATACATCCACTTGCATTTTGATATGATGTAGGCTAAACTCTCCTAGTCAATAAATCATGTCCGATTAATTGAATGGCCCTGGCATCCATTCAGCTCAGATATGTCTTACTTTAGGAATAAATCACACGGCAAGTATTCATCGTGTTCGATGTTTCACCACCACATCAGTTTCCCTGCTGCAAACACAAAGCAAGAGCCTGATCATCCTCTTAGTGGAGCAGACAAATGCATAATATAGCCCGAATCGTTCACTTTGTTATACAACCATGAAATTTGGTACATATACTCGTCAAACCCCACTCTTTTAAAAAATAACGTTAGCCATGCAAAATTCCAAGATGGCGGCTCAAAAATCCAAGATGTCCGCTCCAAAAATGTGGTTTTTCCTTTATAACTCAAAATGACTTGATTTTAAGCCCCATACATATATTGAAGTTGAATATAAAGTTGGGTATTGCGGACATTTAGGTACCCAGTACTTTTCTGTATCCATTACGGTTCTTGAGATACACTATATAGATACTTGTACAGAATTGGGAGAGTGAGTAATTTGTAACACCGATTGTTGTTACATGCATATGGTTGCATGAAAATATCATTTCCATTATCTGTTATTTTCATGAGGGTTATAACATTAAATTTGAAAAACAAGACGGTGTCCAAGATGGCTGCCATTGCCTTGAAGTAATCCGATCTTAGTGACTATGAAACATTAACTTTTCGCATGCACATATTTTTGGTCTATGCATCCAATGGGGCCATTGCAGTACAGAATTTAGATGTTTATACATTACAAGCTTGCAGATGTAATAGAGTGAATATCGGCACACAACCAGGGCACACTGGTGATATCACTGCTGTGTAACTCAGCATGACCTCCAGGGGTTCTTTCAGCATGAGAACCAGTCCTTCCCTGTTGCATTGAGCAAGGGTGGAAAATTGTACACTTGCCAGAAGTCTCAGCTGACCCCTATCCTAGAGAATTATGTCCCACCAGTTGACAAGGAACCGGAGGCAGACGTTCTCATTGTAGATGGGTCAGCTTTGGACCATGCCCTGCCACCAAAATGATCCAAGACTTTTGAGGACTATGCAGCTCTCAACTTCCTACCTGTGATCTACATGTACTCCAGCAAGTACACAATGACACATCTGGTCTTTGATGTGTAAAACTCATCAAGCCTTAAAGCTGAGACCAAGTCCAAACGTGGCCAGGGGGGAAGACGCAAGGTAACAAATAAGGACACCATGCTATCTAACTGGCATAACTTCCTGAGGCACAATGACAACAAAACAGAGTTGTCCCACCCTTGCCGACAAGGTTGCACAAATGTTTGCCCTAAATACCGTCACCGTCACAAAGGGACCTGCTGTCCTCAGCACTCGTGCAACTGGTCTTGATGGACTGGATAAATGCTCTAATGAGGAAGCGGACAGCCGCATCTTTGTGCACGCCAAACATGCAACTGGTAGCCAATCAGTGGCGATTGCTCTAAGACTACAAGGGAAGCTCGGCTTCCCTTAAAATGTCACCCCCCCAAAAAAAGAAAAAGTGGTGAAATACGTACGGCTGTGTGTACATTTCATGAACTAAATACGCGCTAGAAAGCCTTCAACTTTTGTTCAGACACTGTGATAAGAAGCTGATAATCACAGGTAACCGGCATAACTTCGTTCTCATTCATCCTCACAGCGCCTCAGCGCTTCAAACAGTCGGACGCTGGGCTTCTGCTGACTTCAATGTGGAAGCTTAAAGTGGGTTGTTCCAGCAGCGAAACTAGACGCTCATTGGATAAATGCTGGGCTTTGTCCCGCCCAATGGAAGCCCAGCTT